TATAGCCTTCTATATTTATAGCGAGTAAATACCGGACCGTTACAAAGAGTAAAGAATATATTATCTATCCTTTCTTTATTCTATAGAGAAATTAATAAAGGTTCTATTAGTATTAAAAGCTGTTCTTTTTGTTTTATATAAGAATTTAACTAAGAAGCTACTGAAATATTAATAATAGTAAAGGAATTAATAGTAGTCTGTTATTGTTAAGTACTTTAATATTTATCTAATTTCTAGTCCTAATAATTAGTATCCTACTAGTATCGCTATTAAACTCGCTAGTGCTATAAATCTTATATTTAAATGTTATAACTATACAAGACTATAGGTAAGTAATCTTAAGGTTAGTGTAGTTGTTATTATAAGGCGTCTAAAAGAACTCGGTATTATACTAGCTATTCTTATCTAAGGATAACTCTATAGTTTCCTAAATAAGTAATTAAAAAAGAAGTGTAAGTCTGTAAACGCTTATCTATAGTTAAGTTTAATATAGTATAATAGGAAATTACCTTACTAAAAGTACTATTATATCTCTTAACTAAGATAAAGATTAGTAGATAATAAAGTGAAGGTTTAAGGAAAAAGAAAAGAGACTTAAGAAAAGAAGAATTAATAAAATAGTATCTATTAACTTTAAAATTAAGAAGTACTAGTAATTAGTATAATAAGCTATTCTAAGAGAGGGTTATTATAGTAGTAAGAGATTTACCTCTAAGAAGCTTTATTAAGTCTAAATATCATATATCTTATATAAGACTTAAAAAGGAGCTTTTACCTAAGCTTATTCTTTTCCTTAAGTAGTAGGCTTAAAAGGTAGTTTAGCTATAGTATCTTTATATATTTCCTTATTATCGTCGTTACTAGAGCCTTTCTTAAAATTCAAGGTCTCTATATTAACGGTATTTATAGCTAAGATTACTATATGTCGAATATATAGTATAAAGTATCGAGAGGGAGCTAAAAGAGTTAAAGCGCGTAGTGTTTCGGTATATATAAGGAAAGTGTAAAGTTAAAAGGGAATAACAGGTAAATTCAAGTCTACTTAATAAGAGGTAGTATCTATTATAGTAAGTTAAGTTAAAAGTCTTAAAGGTTTAATAGCTCTAGTTAAGGCTTTATATTATATAGCGTAGACAATTCTTTTAGCTATCTATCTTTAATCTTTAGCTTAAATAGCTGCTACCTACTCTCTAAGAGTACTATAGCGCCTGTATTTTAAGTGTAGTTAGTAACGTAGTCTAGGTAAAAGCTTATCTTAAAAGTCTATTCGTAAGATAGTCTTATTAAATATTCTAATAGTTTAAGCTAACGTTTAAAATTAGTAGTAAAATTCCTAAAAGCTTATAAATAGCTTCATAGTAAGTAAGTTATAGTTATCTCACGTAGTCTATTACTCGTAAGGATTCGTAAGGAAAGAAACTACCTCTTTAACAAGATCTTCAGCTTCTACTAAAGTGCTATTATTATTAAAAGTCAGCTCTAGAAACGTAAGCTTAAGGTAGGTTTTAACTATACCTTTAGTCTAGTTTAATAGCTAATTCTTCTTATAGTTAGCGTCTATAAAATATAAAACCTAACGTTAAAGGGTATTATATATTTAAGCTTCCTATAACCTTAGGCTATATTTAATTCTATCAGATAGTTAATTTTAAAAGTTAAAGATCTTTTTAATATATATAACGACTGATATTTAAGAAAAGCTACTAAAAGTAAGCGACGTCTTTATAAAGGTTCGGTTTATAAGAGGGCTATCGACGTAAGAGTCTAAAAGCTTAAAAGTAATAAAGTAAGCTCAACGCGAGCTATTCTTATAAAAGTAATAAAGTTTAGCTTTATACTATACTTATATATTCGCTATTTTAACTTATAGACGTTTAATCTTAATAGTAAGAGAAAAGAAAAGAGCTATACTATTCTTATAAGCTCGCGCCTTTATATAAAGCTATACTACTTCTTTAAGAAGTCTTAAGTGTACTATATTACTACTCTTAGTGATATATTCGTTAGCTTATTCTTTTGTATCTTACTAGAAAGCTTTACCTTTCGCTCTTAAGCTCTTTAAAAAGAGTATTATCTTTTTTAAGGCTCGAGTTATAACTAAAGAGTTTAAGGAAGCTAAAGGAATTAAGAGGAGAGAAGTTAAAGTTAGTATAAATAAAGAGGATACTATTCTTTAAGCTAAGCTTAGTATAAGCCTTCTTTATATCAACTTATACTTAAATACTATAATACTATACCTTATAGTAATATGTTATAAAGGAATTTAAGAGGGGGATATTTACTATCTTCCTAAATATAAAAAAGAGAGCTTTAGATAATATAACTACTAGTGCTATAAAGATAAGATATCACGTAAAGTACTACCTTATATACTAATTAATAGAATATAAAGATAAAAGTTGTCTCTTAAGAATCTAAAGCTACAGAAAAGAGAGAAGCTTAGAGGCTCTTAAAACTATATACTCTAAAAAAAGGGCTAGCCGAGGCACTTCCTAAAGGGGATAGCTGTAGCTATAGCCGAGCCAGCTAGGGGCAAAAGGGGTATCTCCACACTACATATACTACGCGGCGTCACACTCTTTATCGAACTATAAAAGGAATGGAATAATAAAGCAGCTCTTAGTCGAAGTTTAAAGCTTGTATTAAACAGTAGAATACGCTAGAAAGCCTTATACGTTATAATAACTTAAGTACTCTTCTTCTATAAACCTCTCGATTAATATACTTATAAATTACGAGTTTTTAAAGACGCCGAAGATCTAGAGGTTTATAATAAAGACTACTTATCAGATAATAAATAGATAACTCTAAAGATAATCTCTAAGTAATTAGAACCTCTCTTTTATATTATAAAAGTGCTAGAGAGTAATATAAAACTAAATAAAAATATAAGGAAGCTATCGTATAGAGCGCTTTAAGAGGTTCTACTAGCCTTTAAAGGTCTCTTATCTTACTTTAAAGCTCTTTAACGTCGAGCAGCGAATAAAGAATTTAATAACTGAATTTAATAGTTAATTACCTTAATCTAGAATAAAGTAAAAGAATACTATATTAAAACAGACGTCTCTATTATGTAGTAAGCTTCTTTAGTTCTCTACCCTTGATAGAAGTAGAAATACTTTAAAGATAAATAGACTAGCGCTAAGAGGTCTTATATAACAAATAGTAAGAGAGCGTTAAAAGCTCTATAAGAGAGAGATTATAAGTCAGAACCTTTACTTCATTAAGAATCTCACTCTTTAAAGCCTAAAGGTAATATATAAGTTAATTACCTTAAACAACTACTTAACAACTTTACACTAACTATAGTAATAAATACTCTAGTTTGACCTTTAGTATAAAAAGATCAACTCGCTCTCTACCTTAAGAAGCCTTATAAGAATACTCCTCCTTTATAGTACTAAAGATCGAAGCAAGCTTAGTAGCTATAATTAGCTTTAATAGCGCTTAATTTCTTATCTATTCTTACTATAAGTTCTAAGTACGAGCGTATATTCTCTTCTTATATAAAACAAACTACTCTAGAGACCTCTAATCTCTCTAAAGAGATACTATAGTATAAGGAGTATTTAAAGAATTAAGAGTATAAAAAGGCGATTAATATATTATCTTATAATAACGCAGTTTAGCTTAGAATATAATTTTTTATAGCTTTAGTTTTAACCCTTACAGCTTATTAGCAGCTTATAAGTTCATCAGTTAAGTTAGTCAGCTCCTGATTTATATATAAGTCAATCAGTTGAGAGATCAGCTCAGCTGATAACTAACTAATTAGCTTATTAGGACCTCTGGAGAGGGAATTGAAGGAGGTGGGTGGTGGAGAGGAGAAGGAGAGGAAGGATAGGGAGCTTAGAGGGGAGGTTTCGAGGTTGTTGGAGCAGTGGCGGAGATGGCATATTGGGAGGATTCTTATACCTCTAGTGTGTACTTGTTTTGCGGTGCGGGGGCTTATCTTCTAGGGAAGGACGGAATGAGACCTTTATAAGCGAACGGCTATGGAGAATTCATAATAGAGATTGCGCTATCAAGCGGTCACTGTCACTGTGGGTATACGGTCGGGCCGTTTTATGCTGTCAATTGAATCCGATGTCCTCTTGGTCGTCTTGGAACATCAGCGGAAAGCTCCAGCCTCACCAGGCCAAGCTCCTTACACCTGAAGCAGGTGGTATTCCACCTGCAAGGCACACGTCAAACATGCATATCAATTCACCCAGAGTTTCATTTCCAATTAATGATAAACCCCTTATACACAGCCTCGCAATCTCGTAAAACTTCTCACATCTGATCCTCCCCAAGGCCGAAAGTTATCAGCGAACGACCACCCATGATCCTCTTCCGAGATTCGAAAGTCTGACGCTGAAAGGATATGGTTGTAATTTATTTATCTTAACAGACCAGAATAAGGCTTTGAAGGTAGTCTAGAGGAAAAATGGAAGCAGATAGAAAGTTCGGCTAGGAAGGGGAAATCAGTTACATGAGCCAACCGAGGGTCAGTGGGAGGAGAAACACAGAAGTAAAGACGCCTATTGTACCAGACAATGGTTGGAATGAGGTATTAGGAGTTTATGACCATATGTTGGGGCGATAGTGTATAATGTCCACTCATGATTGCGTCGTGGGATTGGGCATGCAACGCGAGGCTGTAGGTCGCTACCGAAAGAGCAGGGGGAAAAAGAACGATAACAAAACCCAATATTGACAACGACAAAATTAAAGTCATTAAATCATAGAGACACTAATATAGTGAATGAACCAGTACCACTGGCTCTACATACTAAAAGTCACCAAGCATTTCGACTCGCTTAGCTCGAAGCGAACCCACCTTGGTCATCAAAAGTTCACCTCGAGAGTCATCCGAACGCGACATATTCAACCTACGCGAATATTTGACGACTTTATAAGAGTTCTTTCCTCAGACTGTTCCTTTCCTGCTCACCATCGCGTTCTGCAGGACCTCGACATACTATACAACACCACCCAACTCCACATCTGACCCCCCCCCCCGTTCTCTCTCCAACAATCAGACAAACCTATCCTGAAAAGAGAAACCATGGCTACAACCATGACATTTGTACTGCCGAGCGCAGCGACTACAGAACATCCCGTCGTCACCAGCGTAAGTGTTGTCATCTTCCACATCGACCTTGGCCTTGATAGTGTGCACTGAGCTGATGACAATAAACAGAACTCGCCTGTCAAGAAGGTCCACTCTCCAAAGCCAATCCGACGAGTCTCGTTTGACAAGATCCAACGCCTAGCTGGACTGATGGAGGTTACCAGCGTCCCTCGTCCTGTTACCAAGACCAACACTGCTGTTGACAATGCCACTGCCACTCTTACCACTGTCATCCGCCTGGTCAACAGCGGCAACAGTAATTACATTCCTCCTGCTGCTGTCAACACCACCAACACCACCACCGGAATCAGAGAAAAGCTCACCCTGACCACCGTCAGACCAGTCCTACTTAACAGTAACAGCAAAAAATACATTCCTCCTCCTACTTCCAAGATAACCACCTCCACTGTTGACCGCTTCTTCACCAACTACTCATGCTCCTACTACTCCTCCTACAACAAGAACATTAACAAATACCCTACTAGCAAATACCTACGCGAGCTCCTCAGAGGCTCAGTACCAGACCATAGCATCGGATCAAGACACGGCGTGATTGGACCAGAGCGGACAGGAAGGAGAACTGAGGTTTTTGGGACGGAGTGGGCTTAGAAGGGACGGAAGAGAGAAGCAAGATATTAGAGAGATGAGGTGGAAGGGACAGGGACGAGTAGTATGTGGAGATGACAGCAAGATTTTGATAGCAGGTGATAGGGTCGAAACATACATAAAAGCAAACGACTAAGGGATAAGGGAGGGGCGAACTGGCGCAAAAGTGCGGTCTGAATATTGAATAATAAAGACAACTCTGAAAAAAAGACGCGCTGTACTGATAATATTGTTGTGCTCGTCCCAGAACGTACTCATACTGTCCTGTCCCGCTTATCAACACTCACGTGCTTGCCCATTTAGTCCACTTCATTCGGGCATCCAACAGAGCCATCGCTTTGCATCCTCGCTGGTTCTGATCATTTTCATGATTATCCACACCATAATTCATCGATAGTCGTATCATCGCGCAAATGTCGATCAACCTTTCAAGAAGGCCCCATAATAGCTATCCAGCCAGCTCACAGCCTCTGTGCCTGACTCAGCCCTGTTCGAATTCCACCTCCCAATACTACCTACATATCCATCCGGCCTTATATTCACAATCGCAACCTCGCCATCCAGCAGATGCCCAATCCATTTCTCCGTCGCGGTAGGCATCCGCATCAGATTGTCCAGGAAAAACGTCCACCTACTATCCTGTAGTAGAGGAGGCAGATCCGCAATCTCAACGCGCGCTTTTGGCATTGTCGTTACAATGGCAAATGTGACTAGTTTAGAGACTGGAACATAGCGCTGTGGCTGGATGAACGAGTCCATATCTGTTGCTGGCTGGTCTCGCGCTTGATATGATGTGTTTGCTGCAGCAGTGGCACGGCCAAGGACTGTCCTTGAAGAGGACACTTCCGTGCAAACAGTCTCCAGGAAAGTTGAAGCGAGCTTGATGTTGTTCGTGAAGAAGAACAGCCGGAACTGGCCGATCATGGGGATCTCGAGTTGCAGATTCACTGGGTTGGCATCAATGTATCGCGTCACTCTCGCCGGTACCATCAGACATCCTGGCTGGAGAGCTCCTCTCCTTAGTTTCTCAGGCATATTGAGTGCATTCTCAGCATACTCTGCGCCAACTCCAGAGATGAAGCGGATGTTCTTTGCGAAGTTCTCGGCGAGGACTTTGGGGTCGCCGCTTGCGAATGCGGTGGCGTGGCCATAGTCGAAATCGATCAAGTCTTGAGCAATCTTGCGTCGCTCTTGCTCGTATGTTGATAAGAGGCTTAAAGGAGAGAGACCACGGACTACAAGGTTGAGTTTCCAGGAAAGGTTGAAAGCATCGTGCATGCTCACGTTCATGCCTTGAGCTGCTTTTGGAGAGTGAGAATGTGCTGCCTGGACGATCGTTAGACTGCGGAGCACGAAAAGAGAAGGTGAAACATACGTCTCCTGCTATGAATACTTTTTCCGATTCACTGGAGAATTTCTTGGCTACTCTTTGTCCGACTTTATAGATGCCGAACCATTCTGAAAGTATCAGTGAGATCTCTTGTTTGTGGAGAAGCTAACATACCTATAGACTTCCATGATATCTTGAATGGAGCCATGATGGCCTTTGCTCTCTTCATCACAAAATCTTCAGTTGCCGCTTCTGAGGACATCGGTGCTGAACCAGGGTGGAGTTCGATATACAAACGTGTCATATTCTTCTCTCGAGGAATACAAAGAACAGACCCTTCGGTTTCTGACGCTATCACGGCTTTGCTCCACAGATCTGGGAAATCTGTCTCGATCACACCTGAGACGAACGAGTTAGTACCAGCTTCACTCCCACACAAGGCTCGGAACTCACCATCCAGGACACCCCACGCTGAGTTTGACCGTTCACCGTCATAGGTTGCATTGAGAAGAGACTTTCGAACTCTTGAATGTGCACCATCACAACCCACCATGTACTGAGAGGTAAATAATCTCGGCTTTGCAACACCTGAGTCGCCAGGAACAGTACATTCAACCTCGACACCGCTTGAGTTTTCCCGGTACCGCGAAAACGTTGTATTACGGAGCACATCAACGCCACGAATTTTCAAATCGTCCAGGAAAACATCTTCCACCATTCCCTGGTGTACGAGGAGGATGAAGGGATCTTGTACATCGACAACTCCTGGCGGGTAGTGGATTTCACGGCCTATCCTACGCAGTGGTTGAGTCGGCGTTCCGTTCTATTGTCCTATGAGAAAAATGGCAATGGAGTAATCGAAGTTCACATACGTACCCAAAAACAGATATCGTATATCCTTGCTCCTTTCTGCAAAAGTGGTCCTGCTAATCCCAACTGCTTGAAAGTCTCAATAGTCTTCGGTTGAAGCCCATCAGCTCTACCCGTGGATGTCCTGTCTTGACGATCATCAACAATTGTTGTCTTGATGCCATACCGAACCAAATTTGACCTAAGAGTTCCCGTCAATCAGAATGCCTCAATCTTCGCCTTTTGGCCACCTTTTGCAAAACTCACGCCAACATCAGCCCGGCTGGTCCTGCACCAATGACCAACACGTGACTGTCATTCTCGCCTGATTCCGAAACAGAGTCCACACCGTTCTGCATTGGGGCGTCACGAAAGCCCTCGTTATCCATTCCAGGTGACATTATTGCTTCTCCTTCCTTTCGATCTTCTTCGTGCTACGAAATATGCGACTTTTTCTTCCCATCTTGCAATCCCAGAAGTGCCTTCGGGACTTCCCTTAGTATTAATTCTTGGGCTCCCCATCATCATGTGAGAATGTCGTCGCGGCCTCGCAACAGGCTGGATCAGGTCAGACTGCTGTAGCTCAGACAAGATCAGGCGATTTACAAGGTAAGAGTGGAGGGGTTAGTGGCATGATGCGAAGAAATCAGTCGATGTTCAAGGATGGGGTCTAGATTAGATACAGAGCCGTGCCGTGGTATTGGGCCGTTTGACGGGAGCATGGCAAAAATGTCGCGGTTGCACGGAAATGGGGCGGGTGGCGGCCAGTGGGCCACAGGGTAGGACCCAACCGGAGAGTTCAAGCAGACGAGCATGCACACTTGGCAAAGTCTTTATCCTCTTTTGAACCGAGACGGTGGTCATGATTGAACATTTCTCGAGATCACTACAATGTTGGTCGGTATTCTCTAAAATCTGACTGACACAAGTGTAGCCCCGTCAAGAAACATTCATTAGATTGTCTACTTGTTCTCAGTACGGCTGAAGTTTGCATGTTCTAACCGGAATCCTCGGTGCCAACATTTCACGCATCATCGTGCCGGTAGCCGCAGCCTGCAGACACATGACTGCCAGTGGCTTGATTCCAACTGTACATTTCCGATTCGGAACTGGAAGAAACAAAGAAGCAAATCTTTGGAGTTTCTCCTTTTCTGGAAACAAATCTTTCGTGTTTGGCTATTGCTTCATTTTCTGTTTGGGCTTGAACTGTTCTACCATTTCGTCACCCTTCCATCAACACGCAGATCCTGTCCTGCCATGCTTGTACCAGCATCAATCACCAAAGAAGACACAACCAACCCGTATATCATCAGGTGTTGCTACTGTCCAGTTCATGATGCCGTCTTGCCAGCTCTCAAGGAGGTTGGAAAACTACTGTTGTTTCAGCCCGTCAGGCGTCTTCAGTCTCGGAAGAGGCAAAAAAACAAAAACCAGAAAGTCTTTCTGAATATAGAGGTGCTGTCATCTTGCTTCTGATCTGTCCAGGCGAGACAGAATTTGCACTGGCTTCTTCATCCAATCATGAGTGACCGCCCTTCGTGTTTAAAACCGGAAAACATCGTACATATTCAACCAACTCAGTCGCACTTCCCGAGTACTCCGCCCTCACGGCACTCTTCATCCCATAATATGCACTATCAAACTAGCTTCTGATCACCGTATAAGTAGCAATACGCGCACAGAGCAAAATACTCCCCTTCTTTGTCCTGTTCGCAATTATCTGCCTGGCAGCTAGTCGTGGGGAGAAGAGACGGTACACCAGCTCATCCCATTCTCGTTCGTTGCACTAAAACAAAATATGTTCTGCTCCAGTGCACAAAGAGGTAGCAAATGCCCGCTCTTTTTTCCATCCCACTATTCAACGATTATTATCTCCACTTCTGCATGAGTTTACTCCATGCTTCCCATCTGCATGGCTGCTAGCTGGTAAGCGAAGCATGACCACTCTTGTCCTACGACAATGATTTAACGAGACAGTTCACACCCGAGGATACGAAAACTGGGGATAGGATTGCATCCAATAACTGGGAATCAATTGCATGGATGTCGGGCTGTCAGAGTCGGTCTCGTCATAAATTTTGCTAATTTCTCACAACACGCTGAAGAACAGTGGACCCCGACCTGCCACAAATTGGATTTGCTGAAAGAAATCAGCGTCTACTTCAATCCGCTTCAATGTCCGAGTGTAGTATTAGGCATTAAACTCTTCTTTAGGAGCCGCTGTTCTGGTGCACTCACTCGTAACCTGCACCCGAATCTCCCATTGGAACGCTCGACTCCATCGATCCAGGCGGGGACAAAAGCTCACTCTCATGGTTGAAGCGTGCATTGGCATCGACGGTGTTGACTTCCACCTGGGACAAGCTTTTCGTTCTACTGGATGCTTTTTTTGGCTTCTCCAGCTCTGGTATAATAGAGCCTGGAGTCAACATGAAAGATTCCTTTCAAAAGACTGAAGCAACTCTGGGACACTGATTGATGCATAGTACCAACCTCCTCTCTGCTACGACTGTTCCGTCTGCATCTCTCCATAATCGTTTACGGGTCTCAGGTCTATTCACTCCTGTTCTCTGTGGTGAGACATATGTCTGTCTACATCAGGAATAATTAATGGCGCTCGGCTCATCAATACTCAGCAAAAAGTCAGGACTTTAGAACAGTGGCAAAGATGGACCTACCTAACAAGTCCTTCCGCTTAAACACAGCTCTACACCTCTCACAGGTATTTACCCATTTGGTCTCATTGTGATCCAGTACATGGCGATGCAGGCGTTCCGCACGTGAGAAGCTTTTCGCGCAGGATCCAAATTTACAACGGATTTTCTTGAGAGCTACAGAAGAAGCAGCTGTTTGAGAGGATATTAAAACACCTTCAACGGAGGCCATTTTCATCGTGAAACGATCTCAGGACTCGAAAAGGTGGGGATGGTGCGATCTATATGGTGGATCTGAAGGTTAAGAGTGGGAGGGGATAGTTTGATCGTGGGTCCTTCGGGTGTTGATTGTCGCAAATTTGGTGCGAGGGATTGGCTGGTGTCCTGCTGCATCTTGTGAATGGGTAGCATGGGCGGATATACGTAGCATGAGTTCGTTCGTGTACCTTTAGAAAATACGTACAATTGATCCGATCCCTCGTTAGCTAGTATCTCATGACTGTATATAATCTTTAAATTCTCATCCCCAGCGCTTAACAAATAAGTTTCCTGGGACAATCTCGAAAGGCGCCCGACTGAGTCTTTGGACATGCGAGGACAAGCGAGGTGTTCTGACGGTGGGCACAAACATGGTGAGCGATTCGTCAACTTGTTTCATTTCACTTTCGGATGAATGACTTCCGATTCAAGTACGCGACAAATTCATTTGTCTCCTATCTCGTTATATGCTGATGAGCTCAGGAAAAGTACAAACTGAGCGGCAATCTTCTCCTCCCTTAGTGGCTCAAAGTGCACGCCTGAATCACCTTGCCGCCTCGCAGGAGCAATCCGACTTCAGGCCTCAGTTCATTCCTCAGGTGTGACAATACCAAGTAACTTGAAATACTCATGGAATTGGTCCTCGTTCTTGGCGTAGTACTCGGCCATGTTCTTGGTTTGCTCAACAAGTTTCATCATGGTTCTGACAAAGTACTTGTTAGAGAACTCCTCCGAAAGCCCGAAGACGTTCTGGCTTCGAAAATATGGAGACGCAATGTCGAAATACTCTTTCTTCATGAATGGCGAAGTTGGTCCTGGGAGGTAGCCGCCTGAATTGACTGTTTCGCCGAACAATGCTATTCCTGCCTTCATCTCAATCTCGTTGAGTTCTGCAACAACTTTTTTGGCCCAAGCCGCGACTGCCCTCAACGCTGCAATCTCTTGTGGAGTTTGAACTCCGATGACGGGAGTGCCTTGCTTCTTGATCTCGGACATCCAAGTCTTCATCAATGAGTTTGTGACAGAGGATGGTGTGAGCGTGAGGTTGTTCTTGCATGCTGTACATTCACACTTGAAGCCGTAACCATCTTGAACTGCCTTTCTCCTCATCGCAGTGGTTCCATAACCGGCTTTTTAGTCATGGGTGATCTCGGTGCCCTTTCTGATGTCCCTAATAGCCAAGAAGACGATTACACTACCCTTGGCGAATCCGCAGCTAGAATTAGGAACGCAGGAATGGTTCAAGCGTGAGGCTACTTCGTACAAGCACTCTCCTTTCTCGCCCTTCAGATGGTCGTGAAAGCTGTTTATTTTCCAGATCTTCATGAGAGATGTCTCGATGCATGGAAGAGGGTGGCGCTTGCAGCAACACTCCATCGCGAGGGCCATGATTGCCGTCTTCTTCTCACCAGATAGCACATTGAATGAAGCTTCAGTCTGGATCCATTCTTGTTCCCCTTCTTTGGCAACAAGAAGGGGAGCCTCTCTGAAGATCTCTTCACCCTTCTTGATGTTGCGAGTGGCGAATATTCCAACACCTTTTCCAGCGGCAGGCTTAACGATCAATGCAATACTCGTCAAATCATCTAGGTGTATAATCAGTATCTCCCTGGAAAGGCCCTCTCATTTGGCCTATACTTACTATCTGATATAGAGCTATGAACGACATCCTCTTCAGGCTCGAACACCTCATCACGAGACACGCCATACGTCTCATACTCAGCCTCCTTCTCCGCGGAGTAATTTGTGTCGGAGTCCAAAGCAGAGATGGAAAGCTTCTCTCTATCGGATAATCCACTCAGAAAGTTTTGAACTCCAAAGAAATCTTGTTGATATAGACCATTGTTACCCATATCGCCATGTATCTGACGTGGAAGCTGCAATCCTTCAGGGGAGCATATGGATGTGGATTTTGCTGCCGTGACTTGCTTCTTTAGGGTGGTTTGAATGACCATCTCCTCAACCATCTCGTCGACCTTCTGGTTGTGAGTCTGTTCTTCAATCTTGCGCTTCGCCTCTGCTTTGTTTCTTCTGTTATTCTCCTTCTTGCGCTTGTTCATTGCCTTCGTCTTCGCGGCGGCGGCAGCAGCCTTAGCGGTTTCCGAATTAGGGACACCCATGTCTTCAGCTTGGTCTGGCAAAATCGACAAGCTTTTAAACTCCTAGTGAGTCGTAGAGACAGTCGGCTCATACTCTTATTTTTTGAGTTGCGGAAAATTGAGGAGTGGTAAACTCGCAACTCACAGTCGCCATCTCCTCATCTTCGCCATGGTCATTAACTTCGCTCATCTTTGCTTTGGTATCAGGATCTTCGACGGTAGCTTCGAGGCCTTTAGCTTCAGCTAAAGATCTAGTTGTTTCGTTGAGACGAGCATCGTTGCGGCCAGGGCTGGCATGGTCTGGGAGTGTGGTTGGCATCTTGGGAGATTAGTGATGAGATCGTTGATGATGTGGGGAGGAATTACCTTGAGTGGGTGTCTTGTGTCTTGCTAGTAGCAATGTGAGAGGAATTAGATCGACTGACTAGAGAAAGGTTGGAAGCTGTGTTGACTGCGAAGTTGCAAGGTTGCAACGCAAGGTTGTGTTGTTGGGAAGAGTTCTAGGCTGTGAGGTAAATAAGGCATTGTTTATTGACTTTAAGCGACGCTAGTGGAACTCACGTTTACGCGAGAAGGCAACGACTTTTAGATACCCTTCAGATAGTTCAGCCAGCGAGGTTGGACGACTTCTTTTTCCAAAAATGATTTGTATCGGGTGTTCTGTCCTATCAATCGACGTCAGTTTTCGTCTACGCAGCAGCAAGCTTGCTTTTCTAATGGGAACCTGAATAGCCCGTCGTCGGCGGATCCCCGTCCGAAAACATCGACCAATCATACTGCGTTAACGTTCATCCTTCCCTCAACCTTTTCGACCAATTCGGATTCGACATTTTGGTGTCTTCGTAGTAGTGGTACGGAGAGACAGATGCCGACCTTTGGGCGTCGATGCTGTTTTGACGGCGTGTATTATTTGGAGCGAAAGCAGCAGCGTAACAGCGTTCTTCCATGGAACCACCGTAAGCATCAGTATCGAATCTGACGTTGCTATGCGAAGCACATTGCGATTTCATGGATATCCGGAATTTTCGATACTGGAGGAGGATGGCTGGCATAATCCGTTCCAATGACAGCCAGTCCAGTAATGGGAATATTGGATGGGCTGGCAGTTCACTTTCCCTGAAGCAGAGTATCAGAAGTAGCTCTTCGAACATGCAAGATCTGGTAGAAGAAGAAACCACCCATGACGTAAGTAGCATCTAATAGTCACAGACTGTGCCCCTCTTTCATTCAGTAGGTTGACCTTCTGTGAACACTCAGTCGGATTTCTTCACTCCGCGCATGCGTGTCAGAGGAGCTTGAATGATTCTACGCTCGACTTTCGAAGGAGAGCTGTGCCGGTGAGATACTTGAGCCCTTGGTAATCTTCGAGCGTGATGTTGTGAGAAGATTGTAGTTTTGGAGAATGGAGAGTGGTAAGCCAGGTTTGTGTACTTTGGAAGAAAGGGGGACAGGAGGGAAAAAGCAAGAGAGACACACGGACGTAAACATAGAATTCACTCTAAGCTTGAATGCAGGCAATTAAATTGATCCATTGTTGTCAGAATCGACCAGAAACATTGGCAATAGTCTGAAGCTCATCAACAGTCGTGGGCTGCACTTAGAGGTCTGTAGGTTTGGGTTGGATCCCGCTCAGAGGTACCGCATTCAAGATCCCTTTCCGTATTGTCATCGACAGTATTACTAATATACAGGCTCCCAGGATGTACATCCTCGACGTATGAATTGCCCTTTGGGAGCGATGTAGACTGTACGCTCTTCACGCTTCGGTCTCGGTTTCGACTCCTGCCTCGACTTCTCCTCCTATCGCGCTCTCTCTCGCCAGCGGAGGACAAACGCTCAGCGGCTTTCTCCCCGTCCACTGAGACGGGGAAGTCAATCCTGCCAGCTTTCATAGAACCGACAAGGAAGAGAGGCATAGAATCTGGTCGCAAGGACGTAACAGATCCGTTAATTGATTTACTGTCCGTGACGGGATGAGGCTGGTAGGGGTCTTTATAGACAGAAGATAATGTAAGCGCTGAAGTAGGACGAATGCTGCTCTTCCTTTTGCTTGAAGTTGGTCTTTCTAAAGTTTGAGAGGTGGTGACATCTTGGCTAGGTGGAGTTGATGCTGCTCCTGCTGCTCCTGCTGCTGTCTCTTTCTGCGCTAGTGCGAGGGAGAAGGCGTCGAGAGGACTGAAGGATGGGAGTCGGGCGTGATGTGAACGTCGCAAGCTGTGGCTGCGTGGAGGTGCATTTGGTAGTGGGACATCTGGTGGTGCTGTGATTATTGATGTGCGTATGCTGCTTGGTCGGCGTTGAAGCGGCCATGCTACGTCGGATTTGCTGTTTTTCGGTTTTCGTCAGGAAAGCCAAGTGTATTTGGTGTGGATGAGGTGTTTGGCCCAGGGAAATCCTGACTGCTGGTATTCTTGGAGGAGCTGGTTGGACTGGAAACTCGAGGAGACTTCGGGTTCCTGGAGGATCTTTTCATACTTGCTGCTCTTGAGACATCCGGCATCGTGCTGTACAATGACCGAGGCTTTTTGCTCGTCAACTCAAGAGCAGCTGGTACAGGTGCCACAGTTGTAGCAGAGACCGCTTGTGTGAAAGTCCAGTCGACATTAATACCTGCTTCTGCAGCGAGACTGCTTGAAGCTGTCTCGTGCTCATGTGTGCTTGGCTTGGGCTTCTTGTTCTGTGCTGGAGATGAAGGGAGAGTGAGACTCGGATGTGGTGGCTTGAATTTGGGATCGAAGTCCGGGGAATTTGCTTATTGGACTCTGTTCTTACCACTGAATAGTGCTTGTGAGGTTTTGGCGCCCCAGGAGAAACTGGGCTGGCGGTCTGGGATCTGCATTGGTGTGGTAATAATGTATAGATGTGGAACTGATATGAGAAGAGAAATAAACTTGCGGGACGATCAGCCTCTAAATGAAGTGGCTCGAAGAATTAGAGACATATATCCGGACGCAAGTGGTGAGCGAACAGTATTGGGGTATGATCGTTTCCTTTATATCTCCGATCTGAGAATGATGCTCGAAAGTGAGGATCTTCTCCACCTCTTAACCGGAGTCAAAGTGTCTATGTTTTGATGTATCTGCTCCACAGCACTTGTTGACTATTTGACATCATGCTCATTGAAACAAGGCTTCTTCAGTCCTGAGAAGCTATCCGATCACCTCGGTCTCCGGACATACCCTTAATAGAATCCTGATCCTCTGTCAGTCAGGACGTCCAATCAGGGACGAATACTTAACTGTCGTCAGAGAAATAAGCACAGACGGAGGGTCCTGTCACTGTTTTGACAGCTCCCAGCTCGCAGGGTGTTGCCAGTTACCGACCTCCACATGGTGGCTTTGAGTGGGTCGTTAAAGGTAAGAGAAGCGTTGACCTTGTAAACAAAGATAAAGCGGACGAGCTTAGATCTTTACCGGCATCACGCCATGTAGATTGTGACTTGAGATGTGACAGAAATTCCGGGACATGTCAATCCAAAGGTCCAAGCCTGGAATCATAGGCGAATCATCTATACAGTGCGACAGGTACAGTATGCCGATATCTGCAATATACCACGACCCTTTCATAAACAATGAGGTGCAACTGGAATAATTTAAAGAAATCATTTTGCATATGTGGATTTTAAGAAAATAGTCTGCGTCGAGAGTCCAAAACCTCAACATCAAAAGCTAGAAAATGAACAGACATAGAAGCACTTTCATGTTGTGAGCAAGAAGTTTAATGGTCATGTACTCCGCAACCCGTTGAGTTTCCTGGTCAGGAGCATCGCAGTGTGCCTGGTTAAGGTCTGTGTGTCAACTGAATGACTCGCGAACACTGTGGATCAGTTGACTATGTTGGGATATCTCCGGTCGTGCAGCATTACAAGGGGAACTCATCTGGAGTAGCTGATAAGAGCGTGTGGACAAAGCTTGATAAAAGGAGAATATGCCTGCGGAAAATAGGAATTATAAGCACGTAAGATATATTCCGGCCAGTTTCTGCCAGCTTGTATCACATCTAACAGTGCCTACAGATATTTTGTGCTAACATCAAACATAAACAACCAATCGCCACAGAAATGTTTATTCGGGAAGTGAAGAATCGATGACCCCTCACGAGGTCTGCAACTCAGAGCGGATGATCAAGTGCACTGATAGTGGCGCGGTCAAGAAAAGCTTCCGCAAACTGTTCAAACCCGGTCAGGGACTGAAACAACCTTATTTTGCGTTGAACAGGCCAGCCCGCGACGGAGATTCCGGGTCGAGCTCAAGCTGGAGGTCACAGATGTTATCTGAGAGCCTTGTGCCAATACGAAAGTTGGTCCTTGTTTGCCCCAACGTCCATATATTGTTTGGGGAATCTGAGTTATGCCGTAGATTATGCTGAAAGATACGTGACCACCTTCGGCCTCGCACAAAGATGATCCACAAGCTTGATTTGTCGTGATAGCTAGCTGCATCGCATACTGAGACATCGAGCACACAAATAAACTCCACTCGAATTCATCTTATGAAGGAGAAAAGCAGGCGCAGCATGTTTGAGACTGTTATTTCTGGCTGATGTTCAGACAGCTCATGTGTTGTAACGAGACGCGCCAGGACACTCCAGCTGAGGGTGGTCGGACACATCCACGAGGTACCATCTGGACGTTGGAAGAGAGTCTTTATCGAACGACCGCCGACCTTATGAAGGCCATCACCAGTCAGATACAATGGTGAGGTACGAGAATAAGGTTTCTGGTTCTAAGGAGCCATCTCCATAACACCAGGCTTCGTGCTTCGCCACTGACTCTTCAACAAACGGCTCCAACTACTTCTCTCACGGCAATGGGTCAGAAACCTTTGGGGCGTTGTAAGCCAAGGATAAGGGACGTAGATCTGTCAAGTTTGTAGCCAAACAAAATGACTCTGGGTCCCGGAACGCGGCGGATATTCCTGATCAGGTTGACATCCAGTATATCTTGCTGACATGACAGCTTGCTGGTAGAGCGAGCACCGCTCATTGGCATGTCCATTTTCCAGAACACCACGAAGTTTCCAACAGGATTCTCAATCTCCTTTGGCGACTTCCTCTACAGATTTATTGGCGCGGGTGGTTCCTATCGAGTCTCTTTGCATGCTATCCTTGTGGAGCTTCTCGCGCCATATCCTCTGTAGCCCTCCCATAACGCCAGGCATGCTGCCCTGCTTCCTCAGAATGGCCTCCTGCTTAATCCACCGCTCACCAGACTCACCGTGCTTTCCGGTCAGTGTCTCTTCCTCCGGGGCAAGAATATCTTCATTGTGCCATCTGCTCTTCTCCGTATCCCAGTCAATTACACCCTCAGACCAATTGGAATCTGGTACTATCGTTGACAGGGACGCTGCTTTGTAGGAAGATTTCCGGGTAGCTGGGACATATGGCCCATGGAGGGGGTTCATTCGAGGCGATTTGAGGAAGGCATAATGGTTGTATGTAGTCTCGGAGGCGTTCAATTCGAAGACTGTCGAGTTGGAGGTATTGCTCTCGGGGTCTTCTGTCGAGGATGCATCCGAGGATTCTGTAATGAGTCTGTAGCGGAGAGGCGATGCGTTTTGGAGATCTCGAGCAGAGGAAGCTGAGTTGTAGACGGCTATAAAGGCATTATGGACTGGGCGATGCGGATCGTACTCCAAAGGCCTGTCAGCTCTTTTCTCATTCCGAGGGTTGGTAGGCTGGCATTTGACCAGTGGTAGCATAAAAAACTTACCTTAAGTGATTTGAATACGGAAACTTCACCAAACCGTTCGATGACTCGCAAGACCTCGCGTTGTTCTGCAAATGTCCTGGGCGTTGGGTTGACTTTCAGGTGGAGTGTTCTCAGGCCAAGAGAACGTGCTGCAGGAGCTATATGGTTCGACATGCTTGACATGCGCTGTGAAGACAGTCGTGGTGGTTATTGCGAGAGCATTTCTGATCCGTGAAGCTCAAAGGAAGCGTTGCTGATTGGCACTGCCACCAGTGCTGCGTGAAATTCGAGGTCGAGCGTCGAGCTTCAATATCGGGCGTTCTGCAGCGACCAATGGCGCAGCTACCCTTGGGTTTCTGGATCCCTCGCCTCAGGTTGGGAAAGTCGAGACACCCAGACACCCAACAACCCCCCAGCTCCAAATTTCCCAACATTGCACTTGAAAGTATGAGGAACTTTAGTAAGCCTATTGAAAGAATTCGAGAAAAAGATAGAACAGAAGTTGATTCCTGCATAGACAGCTGACGAGCGTGCAAACTTGGAACGAAGAAGCGCCGAGTATCTGCGGCGACGTCAATAAGAGGCGAGAAGATAAGACGTCAACATCTGATTTGTACCTACTCGCTTGCTATACTCCTTGTCGAAAATACTCCGGATTTGAAGAGTCGACAGCTTTGGTCATGTAAGGCTTCATCGGTAAGCCTCATAACACACCGTTCCTGAACCTATCACAGCTTTTTGCAGACTCTCTGCGCTCCAACAGGAGCTTTTCCAAGGGACTTACAATTCCATATTACGAGACATAGACCCTTATCCATTCCATCTAGTACGCACATCACGGAGGGAGGGAGGATCTCTATCTGTGATGAGCATTAGCATGCGAGTAGCGTGCGGAGCTCTGTGATCGGCAGTTCAACGATCGACGAACAGCATGCTCGATGTGCCTCTCAATAATTGACCCTCTCAATATTTGACGATTCTCGTTATCCATTCAGCGTGGGCGACTATATTGTTTCACATTCACCAGATCTCAGCATCTGGCTTCCGAATAAGCACAATAAGTTAACAACCACCCATGTCCACAGGCCCGCTACTTCTTCAGAGCCGGACGTTTCGCAACAGTCGCTGAACAAAAGTAAAACTTTTGAAGATGCCGGAGCCGCACCACTCACAAATTTTGAGCGCACATACTTGGGCGAAGAACGGCCCTGGAGAACTAGTAAGTGATTGATTATCGGCAAAATGGACAGAGGAACATTTTGCTCGGACCTTTCATATGCTTCTTGCACATCTTCAGGGATATCAGGTATTTAGTATGTGGTCTCCAACACCTTTACAAGGCGCTTCGGGTTGACAGGCAGCCAGTCAGAGACGATAATGAGAGTGACTACATCGACAGTGATCCTAATCCGAGCACCGATGATGAGGATGGACATTCACGCGTTTCACCTAGGAGGATCGACATCCACGCACGAGCAGGCATAACCGATATCCATAGTTGAATGACCTGCGCTTACTGGCGTGAAAATAACATGGGCAATTCTAAGTTTTCTCACTGAGAGGACTTGACCTCACGCGCTGGGAGCACGGCTAGGCCAGGCCAGGAGCGGCCTAGGCTTCGTTACCTGTTGTACAAGCGGGCAGCTCAATCTCTCTGTGCTTTCGGATCATGAACTTCACTCTTAGTTACTATTCAACGAATATTTGAGGAAGACAAAGATGTGGTTGATGAGGTCAAGTGAAGTATACATGTATCTGGAAGTGCGACCTGCGCTAAGCGAGATGTTCTCAAATCCCATGCGTCACCAATAGTACCATTCACCATTGTAATAAGCATACCATCTTTGATGCTCATAAGACCATTCTCCTTCAACCCAACCCACTCCGTTCCACCATTCTGCACGCTTCGTCTGCTCGTTTGTCCTCCACGAAAGCTCGGTAGTGGTGGCGCCCTGTGCATGACTGCTGGAAGATTCACCTCCACCGGCATTATGTCCAGCTCCAGCAGTCGTAGCCACCTGAGCAGAAGAACTGCCGTGGGTCGGCTTACTGTAGTCGACTTTTCCATTCAAGTGGACATGCGCGGACATAATTCTTTTGCTGCCAGCAAAGAACTTCACGCTGATAATATTTGAATGTGCAGCGACTTCGTAGGATTGATGTGCCTTGGCACCTCTATCATTGAAATCATTGTCAGCTCTTATTTCTTTTCAAATCAATGATACTCGCAGTTGAATCATTCCCCACCAGGAGATTGGGAGGAGCAGACATACGCAATCTGAATAGCATCAATTTGTGGGTACTAAGACTAGTCAGCCAAACCACAAATGAGCCATGACAGAGAAAGAGCAAGTACAGTAGTGACAACAGTCTGCTCTGCAATATTGAGCGCTGAAAGCCATTGCACACCAAGTGACCCATTGGCACTTTGGACTTGAGACATTGTCACCTTGCCAACCCTCTTGAGAGATTTAGCCATAGACATGTTGAGCCACAAAGAATGACAAATTGAGGTTTAACGAGGTGTGTGAAGATATAGCAAATAAGGAGATATAGAACGAGCTTTAGGCTGCTAAATGATAAGAATGGTGATGGATCGAAACTGAGTGACGGGTCGAAGCTGAGTGAGGGATCGAAGCTGAAATACGATGCTGATGTCGTTGGCCTTCAGAGATCTTATAGTCCTTTACCAAACGTCTCGAACTTTCATCGTTGGCCATAGCAAGTAGGTACTCAGGAGGCATTACATTTGATTTGTCCATATTTCGTTGAATAATGGGACGGCTGCCAGGCCAGTGGCGTTGGAAATATGACAGTAGCCATCTCTCAGTGGAGTTCCAAGCAATCAGGGCCAGATTTGCGCCATAACCGCGCGCTCTTTGTGACGACCTATGCCAGCCTTGCAGGAGGTGTTGCGTTTCATTATATTTGGGCAGCGGCCGGCGGATAATGACCATGGGCAGTGCGGCTAGCTCGCCACGTGATTTCAGGCTGTGCTTCGACCGAGATGTCTCCCTTCATGGTACGCCGATTTCCTTCTTACAACAAAATGTTTGCAGGACGCTTCTTGCGGTTTACATCCCCGCGACCAATCCTCCATTCATCTACTCGCATCAGACGTCCTGCCATGGCCTCGCAACAATTTTCGGATCGGGCTATGTTTCCACCCCGTGCGTTTGACTCGACCGGGTTCGAGGTCATTGATCCGTCTCAACTAGTGGAGGAGGAGCGCCTCCCTTTCTACAACCGCGATCACTATTACCCTATGCGGATTGGCGAAGTGTTGAAGGACCGCTATCAGGTAGTTGCAAAGCTTGGCTACGGTGCCAGCTCGACTGTGTGGCTGTGTCGCGATCTCAGGTATTCTTAGATCCTAAGTGTCCTAAACTATCTTGACCTATTGCTAAATATCCGTTTCTGTTACTAAGCGATCGATCATATCGGGTGATAAAAGCGCATGTCAATACTCTCAAACATATTCAGGAGCTTGATGTCTTCAATCACCTGGCTAGCATCTCTGTGGAGCACCCAGGTCGGCTGCACGTCCGACAGCTTGAAGACTCTTTCAAGATGAAGAGCTACAATGGCGAACACGAGTTCTTCGTTATGACACCTCTAGGTATGAGTATGAGGACTTTGCAAGACTTGCACGTAGGTGGCGTCTTTGCCCAAAGTGTTGTAAAAGGGGCTCTTGACCAGGTACTCTTTGGGCTGAATTTCCTGCACGAAGCAGATGTGACCCACACAGGTAAACTCACATGTAGTCTTCTAGTATCTTAGACAGCGACTTTTGACTAATAAACAAATAGACCTCCACTCGGATAATTTGCTTATTGCTATCACGGACGACTCCATTCTCTCAAAGGTAGAAGAGGACGAAATTCAGACTCCGTCTGCGAGAAAGCAGGTTGGTGATGATGTGATCTACGTCTCACGGTACATGCTGGGTGGCGCTGGGCCCCTCGTTATTTGCGACTTCGGACAAGCACGCATTGGCAATAAACACATTGGCAACGCTATGCCAGTGCCATACCGCGCTCCTGAAGTTATTCTTGGCATGGAATGGGATAATGCTGTGGACACTTGGAGTTTAGGTCTCTTGGTACGATATTCTTCCCCCTCTCGCCCTATGCTCCTGTTATTGTCTTGAGCTAACTCCTTTTCCCATTAGATCTGGGACTTTATTGAACGAGAAGGGCTATTTGGCGTTTATGATAAAGCATCCGAGGAGCTGAATGATGCTCACCATCTTGCAGCCATGACCGCCCTACTCGGCCCGCCACCACCCGAGTTTCTCAAAAGGAGCAAGAACACTAGCAAGTACTGGGATATTGACGGTAGGCCCTGAAATCATTCTGTTTAACTATCCTAATAAACTTGTTTTAGGAAAATGGAACGGACCTGTCCCATTGCCAGATGAAAAGAAAATTCAATCTCTTGTGACGAATCTGACGGGAGATGACAAAGAAGAGTTTTTGGATTTAGTCTCTGGGTTCCTCTGCTGGGAGCCAGAGGAGCGCCTCACTGCTGGACAGGCATACTACCATTGTTGGCTGCGAGGAAAATCTGATGAGCCAATACCTACTGTGGGAAATTGACATCTGAGCGGAAGAGATTCAAAAGAAACAGAAAAGCGTGCCGACTTCTTTTCATCTTTGGTGACATCGACATTGTCGAGAACATCCAAACTCGGTCTTTTTGTATTTGGCCGGCACCCATACTTTGCTTCAGAGCCCTGCCGCGTTCTTCTTTTCTACATTTCCCTCTCTGGATCTATATGTCTAGCGGCTTCTGGCCATACACGAAGAAGAACCAGTGATGAGCAAGCAGCCTGTTATCCTTCACTGCGTTTCTCATCTGAGCGCCAAATACTTGAACCTCCTCAGCTCGCCACTGATCACGTTAGCTCGTGGCATGCTAGGAGAGCTCATGACTTACTCCCAAATTGTTTATAAATCTTCTTTCACAGAAGTCCTGAACTCCTTTCTCCAGACGAAGTTGCTCCCACAGTCCGACTTCTCTCTCCCACGGATCTTTAGACCATTTCCCTATCGTGCAGCAAACCTTTTTCTCCACGACGTTGATGAAACCAGCACTTTCAAGGCGTTCCTTGATGTATGGCCCAACGTCGAAACTCATTCCTGCATTATTTCCTGCTTCGAGCATCGCTGTACCCCAGAGCTTGTAAGGATGGTCATCGTCGAGTGTGCCATAGAAAGACTCAAAGTACAAGCCTGGCTCTGAACAATCTATCCAGCCGCCTGGCTTCAGAGCTCTTGGTTCTGTCAGTTCATATATGTCTAGCCTGGTGATCAGGACTTACTTGAACGCCTCGCCATAGAACACCGGCCAGTCTGGAACAGAGCCAAGTAATTCTCTTGCGTGGATCAAGTCGAACTTATTTTGGTCTTGCCATTCTAAGTTGAAGTCGTCTAATTCAAATCTGCAATTCGGCGGGCCCCAGATGGGTTGAATTGGCGAGACGTCGACTCCTTTGACGTCGGCTTCTGGATACTTTTCTGCTACATCACTTAATGATATTAGCTTTGACTTACACCTACAGGGCAAGGCGATTACATTGCCCACATGCCCGTACCAGTCCCTACATCAAGTATACGCTATCACAAGTCAGTGATATAGTATTTTTGCAAGCAGCTCTACAACACACTTGAGGGTTGATGACTGGAGCCAAGAATAATTCTCCCTTCAGCATCAGACTCCAGAAATGATGACTGATCCTGTCAATCATGCGTTACATATCAGCGCTTCGACTAATTCTTACCTTATGTCTTTTTGTTCTTGAGCGTGCTCATCATTTGGGCCTCAATGATCGGTCGATCCTGTCTTCTTAGCTCAAAGCCATACGTCGTGGATCCTGCGACCTACCGAACGCATGATATGTTCTTCCATTTCTCTCTCGAAATTTCAAAATGCTCGAAGTCAATGATGCAGTGTCGGTCAAATCAGATCTAGCACTTCCAAATGCCGAATCTCCATCATCTTCATACTCATCAAAATCATCAGCCGCTACTGCTGATAGCAATGTCGAAGAGGCCTTGAAATGGTCAGCATCCGAATGTTTTTGAATTTTTCCCTCTCACCTCAGCACTGCCTGGAGACTGAGGTCCTGAACTTCGCGGGGAAGAGGCTGGACTTCTTGCATTACTGTGCGCCATTTTGAACACAGATATCACTCGTGACTCGAGGTTTCGAAGAAAAGGCCTTATGAAGAGGCACAAATTACTTTGTTGATTTCTTCACATTACACTCCCACGATTCATGCGGCCGCACCAACAATTGTGCCGCACAAAGCTCTTGGATGCAGGCGTTGCTGGACAGGTTCCGGACACAAGGGAAAAGAGCCGATAGGCTGACTGTACTTCAATGCCATACATTATCGAGAGTGGGATGAGTGTCCCTACGATCATCGACAGCAGTGTCTCTGGCAGTCGTAAACAGCCAAATATTCCGCAGAATATACCGTCTGACACTTCTTATCGCATGCTTTTTGGTCACAATGTTCTTCAGCGAGCCCCTCGCCTCACCCACGCTTCTTGGCGCAGCTCAGTACATCTGCATGCTGCATCCTATGGTTGGTTTAGCCTCCGTCTCTAGTAACAGCGGATGAGCGGCAGGGTCCTGGCCTTGCATGAACTAGCTAGTCTAGTTCACAGTCTCTCGCCCTCCAGACCAAGATACATGCACTTCCTTCCTCACCGCACCTATTTCGTAGGTACTTCCCAGGTTCGTGCAGGACATACGTGGTCTCGCAACGGTCGATTGACCCGATGTGATGTGAGTACATCAATTATACATGTCTATCACGAACGGCAGGATTTACTTGTGCGCTGTCACAGTGGTATCCAGGTGAGAATGCACAGCGATAGGAAGGAGGGGTTGAGTGGGTACCCAACCCATGACATCTTCTCAGTACAAGCGACCTCTCAATCAATATTATCGCTATCTTGCCAATTCAATACGATGGTTAGCTTCATGTGTCCCTCCAGGGATTCCACGGCGAAGGACTGGGCGACATCTCCTCTTCTTTTGTTGGTATCTGTGCTGCACTGTACGACCTGTTTCGTCGAACATTGAGGCCGAATTACCCGTTCACAGTCGATCTCGATTTGACATAGGAAATAGAGATGGGATCCAACGCAGAGCCTCTTCGTGTGCTTATCATTGGAGCTGGTGGGTTTCCTCTTACATGGTTAAAGGACGAACACTCAAAGAAACCTAGGATCTGCCGGTCTTCTCTTCGCCCAAGTCTTGAAGCAGGTATATCACTAACCTTCCCTGAAAAAACCTTTCCCTTGATAAATACAATAGGCAGGAATTGCATGTACTGCCTTTGAACAAGACACAAGTCTATTTTAACGCCCTCGAGACTGGAACTTCGGCATCTACTGGGCACAATCTCGTCTTGACGAATGCCTCACAGACGATTTGAAGGCTCTTATCCCGACTGTTCAGACAGACCCCAGCTATGTGGCCAACGAGGAAAGTGTGATGCCAGTACACCATGGTGAGACTGGAGAACTGATGAAGAATCTTCCTGCACCATGGAGTTTACGTCTTAAACGGAAGAAGTTGATTGAGCTGCTGGGGAAAGACGTTGACATCAAAGTAAGTCCTTGCTTGGTCAAAACATCTTTATCTCATCATGATCTATCTCAGCTGACTGGTGATTAGTGGGGTAAACGAGTCGCTTCTATCTGCACAGACGCCGAAACTGTGACAGCAACTTTTACAGACGGCACCAGCGAGAAAGGAAACCTCCTCATCGGCTGTGAAGGTGCGCACTCATTGACACGAGAATTCCTACTCGGTCCTAAAGAGGCTGAGCTGCTCCTCTCGCCATGTGTTGCAAGTGTGATCATCACAAGGATAAGTAAACAAGCAAGTATTGACTTGAGGGCGCTGCACCCGCGATATACCATCACCTTCCACCCAAATGGCACATTCACATGGATGAGTAGTATGTGTCTCCCATCTGTTTCCATACAATGGCCCCTTCCGTATATCCCTTCTCTTCTCGGTCCCTGTCAATTACACCCTACCCTCTCATCCACAACCCCTTTTCTAACCTCCCACCAGTCCACGATTGCTCCTCCTCTGACCCAGGTGAATGGACCTGGATGCTAATGCAAACCTGGCGATCCGACGAAGAAACCGGCCTCAAAGGCGACAACATCCTCCCCGCCATGTACGAGCGCGGAAAAGCCTTCGGATACCCCTTCAATGAGGTCTTCGCGACCATACCCCCACGAACACCAGTCTGGCATAACAGACTTAGGTACTGGCCAACGAAACCGTGGGATTCGAGGAATGGGTTGGTTACACTTGCTGGTGATGCGTCGCATCCTATGACTTTTCGTGAGTCTTCTTCTCTTTCCCTTGACTCTCTCTCTCTCTCTCTCTCTCTCTCTCTCTCTCTCTCTCTCTCTCTCTCTCTCTCTCTCTCTCTCTCTCTCTCTCTCTCTCTCTCTCTCTCTCTCTCTCTCTCTCTCTCTCTCTCTCTCTCTCTCTCTCTCTCTCTCTCTCTCTCTCTCTGTCTCTCTCTCTCAGCGCTTCATACCTCCTAACTTCCCTTGAATATATCGCTGTCCACCCCCTCCTTTCCTCCTCCTTTTCTCATCTCCACTACCGCCCTCCCAGTAGATCACCCCATCCATGACAGGTCTACTAACCACTCACTCCACAGACCGCGGCCAGGGCCTCAACAATGCCATCACCGACGCCGCTGACTTCCTCGCGCACCTCCGCGCCATGAAAGAGCACACACCATCCGAGCTCGCCGCCACCGTCAAGCGGTACGAGACTGAGCTCTGGCCTCGAGGGAATGAAGCCGTTTTGGCCAGTCATGAGAACACAAATGCCGTGCACGATGTACGTTATCTTTTCTTTCCTTTATTTCCTTCCTCCTCCATATGTTATCATCTTTATGTTCCCAAGCCGTCCCGTCCCCTCGTCGCGGCCGCGGCCCTGGCCAATTCGTGGAAGCGAAACCTGAGAGATAAGTTATGGTGTATGTTACTTTGTAATGTTTACTAATATAAGTTGAACAAACGACAGTGGAAAACAATGATGCAAAGCCCTCTCTTCACATCCGGCCTTGCGAAAAAGGGGGACAAACCCACGAACGGGGACGATGAGCAAGAGTAGAAGTAGAAATATGTGAAAAAACCACAAGTACAAGCAGGAACAAAAACAGAATCCGCCACCGCGAAACAGGTCGAAGAAGCCTGAGAGAGAAATCATTTTACTGGAAAGATGGCGAAGGTTGAATTGAATAGAGTTGAAGTGAAGTAAGGCAAGGATCTGGATCTCGTGACTTGGTTCCTGCGGTCTGCTTTACTGTACCCAGGTTTAGGTAGCGAAGTTCAGGAGAAGAGAACTATCTTGTTCGTTGTGGTTGCGTTTTTCTAGATAACAAGAGCTCATCCTGTAGATAGACTTCATATCGCTATTCTTATTTATTCAGTATGTGCTTGTTTGTTCCTTCGTTCGCTTAGTACTCTAGATCCAGCATACGACTGGGCTATTAATTACTGTAGAACATCTATATCAACAGCGCTGGTTAACAAAACTCTCATCAACCACCAACCACCACCCATCATACATCATCTTATCTTTTCCACTCTATTCCTACACCTACCTACCTATCTATCCGAAGGTACACTTAAACCCAACGCAGCGCCGACCTTTACTTACTGTATCACTTGCCAAATCCATCACAGTAAGTCACTCATCGCGAAGTTCTAATCCAATCAATAACACCATACCTTATCTTTCCTTGAAGACTGCATGCAAGGCACCTCAACCAATCCAGCGCCTCCCATCCATCTGGTTCATCTCGTTCATCGCTGATAGAGTTCCCTCTTTCACCTGTGACACCTTACAGAGGTACGTTAATTTACAAGGAAGCTGGCGAGCTTCCCGCGTCCCCGTCTATGTGCCCACATGGCATGGTGTCCGCGTCGGTGTTTAAGTAAAACTCTATTTTGACGTTGAGGCTTGTGACTTGTGGCTTGCTTGTTTGGGGGTGACGGGGGATGTTCCAAGGTTTTTTATGGGTTCCTCCCCGTGGAGTCGCTCCCAAGGTGTCGTCTCAGAGTGCTGGATGCAGCTGCAAGCATGATTTTGGAAATATTGTGGTGGTTGCCAATGTATGGAATTGGTCACTAGGTGTGATATTTTAGAGGTGTGTCACGACATGAGGGAGTTGTTTAATCGTGATCTATGTACACTAGGTGTTGAAGCGAGGAGAGAGCTGCGAAAAATTAAATCTGAAAATGTCCGGTCTGGACTCTGAACTTGTCGTAAATGAAACCCGAGATTTGAGAAAGCAAACACGATGCTATTTTGCTCCGTCGCAGAATCTAACGGAGCCCTAGAAGCACTGCCGAACCCAAAACATGAGATGACACGCCTGCCGCTGCAGTGCTGCAGCACGACCTCTCCTGAGATTCCCGTCGTCTGATCTGAGCAAGCGAGGATTTGGCGATCGAAGTCAACATTGTTACCAAACAAGGGCTCCCCTGGAAATGCCGTCATCGCCGCCTGGACGCTTAATCTCAACGTCTGGTTCGTCTGAAAGATTTCCTCCCATCTTTCACGAACTCTTTCCTTCCTTCCTGCGCCTGACTCCAGGTCCTCCCTCGCTTGCAAAGAACAAGCTCATCTCCAAATAGCCAATCTTCCCTCATCACCCAATCAAACTCTTCACATCCTACTCAGCCACAACACGCTGCATCCAGTATTGGACCCCAAACGGCAAAACCAAGGCACTGGTCATCTTCAACACTCTCCCCTGTCACTGAACCCCTACCCTTCACCACTATCAGCCAATAACAGCGTTCTCACACTTGTCAGCCACACTCGTACCCCTGAGCGCTACGTCAGCGCTCGCTCGCTACAACTGCCAGCGCGGGACGACCAGCACATCTTCTCCACAAGCAGCTTAGAATTGCCGGGTAAATGTGGGTGCAAACTTGCTGAACCCTGAAATCTTAATTTTGAATTCTGATGCTAAAGCGGTCAGAACCTTGAATTCTTCGTCTCCACTACCAGATGCCATTTCCCCGGCTCTACTTCTGAGAGACTTTGAAGGGATGATAGCCAGTTAGAAGAGCTGGATGGTGTCAAGCGAGGAGAGGAACATCCACTCTGGGCTGGACTCTTGCAGGGCAAGGAGTGGATGAAGAGAAGATGGAAAATCTGGGCTTGCAGAGCCACAGTCTGCCAGCTGTTCTGGCTGGCCTTGTGGATGTGAAAGTGGATACCAACAACCCAAAAGAGCAGCATGGCTGAGAAAGTGACGAATGAGACGCAGCTGAGGCGTACCCAGGTAAACATCCATTCCTTTCACCTCATTCCAGGTTCCTTGCTTTGTGGCTTGCAAACCCTGTACGCACCAACCAGCTTTTGACTAGAGAAAGGAGGAACCTATGATGCGTTGTGATTGTGATCTTCTGGCTGAAGGGCTGAAAGGAAAAGTGAAACAGGAACATAAAACCTGACCTGTTCCCTCCTTCCACGACATATCTTGGAATCACTCTACGCAACGACAACACCACGGTACGATACTTTAACTTGAGGTCCTCGCTTCATCCTCTCCTCATCAACCTCATCTCTTCATCTCTCTACACGATTACTACACCAACATCACAATGGCCAAAACTGGTATCTTCCATCACGTAGGAACGTTCCTACTCCTCGCGGCCTCGGTCCTCCTAGTTATCACAACTATCTCCGCCCCAATCATCAACAGCATCCCAATCCTAAAGGTCAACCTCGCCAATGGATCTGATGTCTCATTTGGTACCTTCGGGTACTGCATCTTAAACGTCGATGAAGATTCGTATGTCCTCCCTCCTCCACTCCCACCCAAACCACTTCACCTGTGCTCAAGTTCCCAAAGCAAAGACTAACAACCACAACAGCAAAGACTACTGCTCCGGCCGCCACATCGGCTACAACCCAGCCAACATCATGACCCGCATCGAAAACACCGACTTCGGCTCCGCCTCCGAAAACACCTCCGAGGGCCTCACCCGCGTCATGGTCCTCCACCCCGTCGCCTGCGCCCTCTCCTTCATCGCCTTCCTGCTCGCGCTGGGCAGCGGCTTCATCGGCGCGCTCTTCGCATCCTTCATGTCCGCCCTAGCATTCATCGTCACCATCGTCGTGATGGCCACGGACTTCACTTCTTTCGCTATCATCAGAGACCATGTCAATAGAGACGATAGCGGCAGCAAGGCGCATTACTCTACGGGTATGTGGACTTGTCTGGCGGCGATGGTGTGTCTCTTCTTGGCGACGTTCGTGGTGCTGTTTACGTGCTGCTCAGCGAGGATGCATAAGAAGAGGGAGAGTAGAGTGGGGCATGCGGAGAAGGGGTATGTTGCGAATGGGACGCATACCAGGACGAAGAGGCACTTCTGGCAGAGGAGGTCGAGGACTACTACTACCGCTGCGTACTAGATGGTTCTTACTTTGTCGGGGAAGGTGTGGTCATGAGATGAGATGAGAATGTAATGATGGGAGATGAGAAACGAGGAGTGTGGTGTTGAGAAGTGGAAGAGGAGATTTCCTTGTTGTGTGTCTGCATACTTTGATTCCTGCGAGCGAGCGCGCGTTTGAGATACCACGAGCCTTATGGTTCACATCTACCTAATAGTCAATTTTTATACAATGATACCAAATCAATCAATCAACCAATCAATCAACCAATCAATCAACCAATCAACCAACTTTCAATACTAGATGATTTCAATCAAAGTTCAAAACATGACAACTTCTTTCACTCTTCAACCACATCCATCCATCGATTCTCCGAATCTCTTAAGTTCTCCAGAGGTACATTCACTTCCTTCACTAATTCCATCAATCCACCATATAAAGCAAACAAACCCAAACAACACCACCACATCTACATCCTTAGCCTATCGCAAAGAGATAGGTAGCTACCTCCACAGACTCCAATAAAATAAAGAAAACGTATCCGTTCAGCAACATCCTCCCAAGCTCTCAACCTCATTCAATCTATACCTACCTGCCTACCTACCTACCTACCTACCTACCTTACCTACACCTCCAAGTCACGAGCCCTCCCCCCCTTTCTCCCCTTTCAAGCACACCCACACCCCAGTCGCAGTCCTAAACCCAACCAATCACAATTCAGTTGTCTGACAGGGAATATATCCCAATCCAAGTACCTAAGCGAAAACTCGATATTTATTTTCGGCCACTTGCAGCGGTTTAACCAGCGGCATCGCGTCGGCTCTTGGAAACTAGTAAGTTTAATTCAATGTTCCAACCTTGGCATCGGTTGGTTATGCGTGGCGTGGCGTGGTGTTTGGAAGGAAGGGCAAGGGAAAGGCAAGTTTTGCTTGTGGAGGTATTTGGAGGGGGTTTGCGATGAGAATAGGAGACACGAGATGGTGAGGAAAGAGAGTACAAGGCCAAGAAGGGCCTGGAAAATATCCAGAGGGTGTGATTTCTTAGGCACAGCGGCAGTCAGTGGATCCATCCCATCCTGCAACAACCCGACCCGACGGGACTTGGGACTTGGCGAAAACCCCTGGATTGAATCACCTCATCCCGTCAACTTCAACTTCACGACGGTGAATTCCCATTCCATCCAGCCTACGCTGCACATACAACAACATCTCTCTACGCCGACGACCATAGACTTCATGATACGGCGGATAGAGAAGGACGACGGACGAGATTACGATCAATCGACGGCAAATTCAAAGTCTGAAGAAATCAAAACAAGAGCTGTGTCGCAGAGCAGGGGATTTGAGTGGAAGGAGAAAGGGAAAGAAACGAGAGACAAAGTTTTGGATTAAAGGGCAGGAGTACGAATAAGGACTACGAGATCTGCTACGAAGTCGGAAAGGGGTATACGAAAGGGGTACAAGTCAACTGCCCTCAGATACCTCCACAACTTCAGCAACGAAATCACAACCAGATCAAACCACAAATCCACACCACCAACAACCAACCATGCAACTCCTCCCCATCCTCCTCCCTCTCGCCCTCACCCTCATCCTCACCTCCCTCCCACTCACCACCGCCTCCCCTTCAAATCCAGACCCCTCCTCCCCCTCTACTCCTTTCTCACAGCCCGAATCGCCCGCCCTCCTCAACCGGCAACTCGCCGCCGGCGGCGGCCTCGCAGCCACCACGCTCGCGCCCTCACAATACCCGATCTCCACCACAGCCGGCAGCCTCTTCACCATCAACGGCGTGACGAGCGCGACGTGGAAGCTGTACGTGCAGACGTTTGCGACTACCGCGCTGGGGACTTGGGAACTGGGGCCTACGCCGGGGGTGGGGAGTATTGGGTTGGGGGATATTGAGGGGACGGTTGGGGGGTTGAGGGACGGGGGGACGAAGGGGAAGAGGGATGAGAGGTTGGGAGAGGGGATTAGGGCGATTGAGACGCCTGTGCCGGTGGCGTAGGGGGGGGGGGGGTCTCGAAAAGATGGGGGCGACGAGTTAGATTTGATATTTGGAGGACTTTGGAGAGTTGAGGGCATTCGTGGGATTGTGGAATAGAAGATTACTTGCTCGACAGGCGATCGATGACAACTTCTCGACAATCGCTGGACTACAGGCATGAGGAAGAAAAGAACCGCATGGAGAGGCATTGGTTACATTGGACGAAGTACAAAGAGTGGCGGGAGACCATAGAATATGGATCAGCATCAGCATTCACATACGGGTATCGACATGGGGCGTTTTGCGATTTGGATTTGGGTTCTGCATGCATTGTTGGCGTTTGGGTCTCTTGCGTTTGGTCTTTTTCTACGAGGCTGGAAAGAGAATAAGGCGGGGGGTGTTTGTTCGTGTAGGATATTGGACTGTACATAGATGTATATGTATACATTCATACATACAATGAAGGAAGGAGTGGACATCAGAAAGGAGGAGAGAGTAGAGGATGCATATAGAGTACAGGCAGTACAATAGACTTGCGAGTCTCACAACTCGCAAGGATGCGCAGACGAGAGGACAAGGACATTTTTCATGATATTGTAGAAGAGGATGTGATGACAAGAGAGTGTTGAGCTGGGATTGAGTTCTTGGTAAAAGGGGTTGTACATGTAAGTGACAAGTGCCGTTTTCGTCACTGCGTTGTCTGCATTGTCTGGCGTTTATCTCATCTACTTCAGTCACATCTTCAGTCTTTTGGTTTGTCCACTTATCGCGTACAGGTTCAACATCATTGCAATTACTAGTATTGAAATGAGATTACTTTCCAAGCCATCGATAACATACCAGATTATGTCAATTATCTTCTCTAGTTTTTCTGCATTATGAAACTAGAACGGCTCTTTGGCTGACACACTAAGTGTTGTAGTATTAAACACTTCTTTTGCCTCTCGCTGATCGTCCATCGCCAGAATCCTCAATCCTAAGTCCAGTATTACACTTCTCTCCAAATCCCCTATCTCTCCCATATTATCATCAATATTACCAACCCCCTAACACCTCTCTACTCCCTCCCTGATCCCTCTCTATGCAAAAATCCTCAAATCACCTCCTCACCAACCCCCCACGCCCACCCCCATCTCCTCCCTCACAACCCTCCCCACAACAACCTCCACCTCCCTCCCCACCCCCCTCCCCGTCCTCCCCTCCCTCTCCCTCCAAACCCTCCTAACCCCCACCGCGCCTCTCCCCCTCCCCTCCCCAAGTCTCAAATACCTCCTCACAGCGCCTTCTAACCTCGCCGTTTCCATCTCCACAAGTCGTTCGGGGTGATACCGTAGCCAGAGTCGCTTGGCTAGGAAGAGTAGGAGGATGATGAAGCTGGAGAGGAAGCAGAAGATTATTATTTGGAGACCCCGCGTGTTGTAGTGTTTTGTTAGGGTGGTGAGGATTGCGTGGTGTTTGCTGAGGGGGATGGTTTCGGAGGAGGAGTCGCGGGCGAGGAGGGAGAGTGGCGTGGATGGGTTGGGTAGGATGGGCATTTTTGAGGGTTGGTGTGTGTGTTTGTTGGTATTTATGAGGTTGTTGGTTGTTTGATTGTGATTTGACAGACTTAAGAACTTGAGAAGGTAATGTAGATGTGCGCGATCGCCTGTGAACCGAGTCCGACGAGAAATACACTGAGATAGAAGTTGGCTTCTAGCAGGAAAATTACGAATATGAAAACGCTGAAGTCGATGCTGGCTCTGACAATGACAATGATGCACAAAAAGAAATTCAAGACAGACTGACGAAATACAGTCCTCCAAAGTCAGCGTGGAAAGGTACAGTGCAGCCAGCGCTGGTAGTCCGGCGTGTTTACTACTATGTTAAGCGAGCGAGCCACTGCGAATAGATCCCACACCACACCACACATACTGTCGGCAGAATGCTATTCCCACGCAAGAGACGCTGGCAATATTTGGGATGGTTTGAGATGTACTGTATGAGGTCATGAACGTTACAATTGGTCGGTTTGAGTAGAGTTCGGGTGCTATTTTGGCGGGATCTGAATAGGATTTAAGGGAAATGGGCCAGACTCTATGTCTGCTGGCTGTACTACTGTAGGATAGCCGAGGAAGGGCATATCGGTAGTTTAGTTCTAGAACCTATCCAATAATCGATTCCAACCTGTACAACTGTAAGTCTTCTAAACATTCAGGTGTGGTGGAGTCTCCTCCTCCCGCTCTCATATTAAGTTCATCGACTTGTGTTCATCTACGTATAAGTCTCTGGCCGCGAAAGGACTTGCTGTTCCACACGTAGTAAAATGATGAGTAGATAGCTTCGACATCAAAATGAGATGCCAAAAAAGGCCATCACGACTCCCAAATCAAGCAGAGAGCGTACAACTGATTCCGGTCACGTGCACATTTCCCTCTCGATTCCAGACCATCTTGGAGGCAGTACCTCACAAGGCAGTTCAAACCGCACATACAACATCTGCCGACACTCCATGCTTATTTCCAGACTACAGAAACAAGAGTTTAGTAGCCTCCGCCGTAGCACCTAAGACTGCCGAGAGACTTAGTTTCGTCAAGCTGGTAAGTCCAAGATAGACAAGAGATGTGCCAATGATGGCGGCGTGTCATTTTAGGGAAAACGGGGAAGCTTGGAATCAAGAAGGCTTTGATTCCTTGTTCTTTAGCGTTGAGGGATAGTGGTGAGCTTGTTGATAGATGGCATTGTGCTTTGCCATGTTTCTCCGCGGTGGGGTCATGGAGAAGTGTGGGATGTCCATGACGGAGGCTTGACTAGAGACTTATTTCACAACTCACTTGTAAGATTCTAACTCTGCCGGTGTGCTGTCGGCTTTCCCCCAACGAGTATCGGGCCCAACAGTCCAAAGAATGTGGCGCCCAAGCGAAGCGATGTCAATATTTCTTCTGTAATGAAAAACACTGAAGACCTTCTCTCACCTTACAGCCCATTGGAAATCTCATCGAAGAGTCTCGTATCCTTTTGCTTGTATTCAACTTTAGCATTTGAAGACACAGATGAGACAACAACGTCGTCATTGCTAATTGGAGATCAGTTCTCCGATCAATAGATTTCGGATATGCTTGATGACATATTCGCCCACTTTGGCACCCCCACAAAGTCTTAGGTGTTCTTGGACCTGTCTAAAGATTGCTTGGAAATGGTAGCCTCACCGGCAGCGTTTACCGCGTGTCGCTTTAAGGGCTAGTTTTCGGGGCTTCAATAGCCTCATTTTCGAGTTAAACGCAACCACTAACCCGCTGCTCGATTCAGTGAAACTATTGCAATTGAAGAATGAATATACATCGACAATTTTCTTCCAGCCTGGTGCTTCGACAATTCATTTCTGCTCCCCTCTCATTGCCTCATCGTCATCGGACGCGAACAGCCGAGAGCGGGGTGCAAGAGTCTTGGAAAGTCAGCCCCAAGAACTCCAAGACCAGCGGCCAAGATCACATGACGGATCCAGAATTTTATGGAATTCGTGCTTCTGACCAATGATGGCACGCCAAACGACGGCTTTGCCTTTTTTTGCCCCTTCCGCTCCTAGTTTCCTCTCCGACCCAAGGTTTTCCTCTGCTTCGCCACGGTTTCCGCCCGCGCTAGAGAACCCGCCAAGGCTTGGACCCAACTTGGACTCTTGTCAACACCAACTATCTCACCACTTCCCACCAACTTATTGGTAGCCGGACACCACACGAACACCCTACTCTTGGCTTGCTGCGATGGTGGGTCAACCACGGTTTGTGTTATCAGGGTAGAGGATGCCGTCTTTGCCGGTCGGAGCGATGGTGTATATATATACGGCGGGGTATTCCCTCTTCGTCATTTCTTCCAAGACAAAGAGCTGAAATATTCTCAAACATCTATGTAAACACATAGCATACATTCCCTTCTCTATTGTATGTTCCATTCACTCCACCCAATTCCCCTTTGTTTATTCAAGATCCCAAAATTTCGTCATTTGGTCTTGCACATTGATTTAATGGTCCATACTAACTCCTTCCCTCAGCCCTCGACTAGGAATAGTATCCCAACTACATCCTGAACATAACAAATTACGAAAGTAATACAACAACACACTTTCAAGATGGCACCCAAGAAATCCAGTCACATTAAGACGGATCGCCATCCGTTCTTGCTTACAGTTGAAGAGACTGCCAGGCAATTGAACACCAATATCGAAACTGGATTGACAGCTAGTCAGGTAGCTGAGATCCAGAAAACCCACCCATCCAATGAGCTTAACACTGGAGGTGGTACCCCGTGGTACAAAATACTCGGAAAACAAATTTCCAATGCCATGATTCTGGTAAGTTTGACAAAATGGACTTATTGATTCTTTCGTTTGGCTCTGACATCAAATAGGTTCTTGTCTTTGCAATGGGTCTTAGTTATGGAGTTGGGGACTTTGTTGAAGGTGGCGTACTTACCGCAGTCATTGTCCTCAACGTATCTATTGGGTTCTTTCAGGAATTCAAGGCGGAGAAGAAGATGGACTCCTTGAGAGCACTTTCCTCGCCTAGTGCTTCTGTTCTACGAGACAACAAGGTTGAAGTTATTCCCAGGTAAGATTTGTCGCCCATCCTTACATTCCATGTACTAATCGAACTAGTGCCGAAGTCGTACCCGGAGACATCATCATTATCAAGACAGGTGACACAGTCCCCGCGGACTTGCGCATGTTTGAAACTATGAACCTCTATTGCGATGAGAAGTCTCTCACTGGAGAATCCGAACCCGTTGAGAAACAAGTCGAAGCCGATATCCTCATACCCAATACCGATGAGGTGGCTACCTCGGAATCAGACGTATCTGTTGCCGATCGTGTCAACGTATGCTACTCTACAACACCTGTCACCAAAGGTCGTGGTCGAGGTATCGCATATGGAACCGGTATGAATACAGAGGTCGGTAAAATCGCCGAGTCAACCACAAAGAAACCCCGCAAAGAAGGACGCTCGATGAACTTCAAGAAGCATGGCCCTCTCCAAACAATCAAAGGTCTTACTCTCAGAACCTACGATGGAGTTGGAAAGTTCTTGGGTCTCACCGAAGGAACACCCCTCCAGCGCAAACTCTCGAAGCTCGCTTACCTCCTGTTTGGATGCGCCATCCTCCTCGCTATTGTCGTCTTCGCTGTCAACAAGTTCAAGGTCACTGACGAGGTCGCTATATATGCTATCTCCACCGGAATTGCCATCATTCCCGAATCTCTGATTGCTGTCTTGACAATTACCATGGTTGTTGGAATGACAGTCATGCGGAAGGCAAACGTTGTCATTCGAGATCTTTCTGCATTAGAGGCTCTTGGCGGTATCACCAATATTTGTTCTGACAAGACCGGTACTCTCACCCAAGGTGCTATGATTGTCAAGAAAGTTTGGCTGCCCAAGATCGGAGTCTACACCGTCAACAACTCCATGGACCCCAACGACCCAACTCAAGGAGAGGTTGTCATTGGCTCCGAAACCATCTCACCCGCTTCGACACCAGATGAGAAGCAGGATTTCGATCATCAACGTAGTGCTGCTGCTCTCAAATTCGATGTCCCAGCCGAAAAGTTGGCCAAAGATCAGCAGAAGACCGAAAGAGATACCGATGAAGAGCCAGCAACCATGACCGCTGATCTCGAAGCTTTCCTCCGACCCACTGCACTCTGTAACCTCGCCACCGTCAAGAAAGAGGAGGTTGAGGGTGAGAAGGCCAAGCAATGGAACACCAGCGGTGAGCCAACTGAGATTGCCCTTCAAGTGTTTGCCCATAGATTCGACTACGGCAAGAAAGGACTCGAAGCAAAGGGATGGAAACAAATCGCCGAGTACCCATTCGACAGCACCATCAAGCGTATGTCAGTCGTCTACAAGAATCCAGATGAGGAGCAATGGGTCGTCTACAGCAAAGGCGCCGTTGAGCGAGTCCTCGATCTCTGTAGTTCTATCGGCACCGGTGACAGGAATGAGCCTATGACCGACGCTTTGAAGGACACCGTTCTGGCTCAGATGGATCACTTCGCCAGACAGGGCCAACGTGTTCTGGCTGTGGCTTCGAAAGTCTGGCCTGGAGAATTCATTATTGAACAGAAGGACGGAAAGCATGGAAGTAACGTTGACGAGCTTCGACCTCAGGTCGAAGAAGATCTCACTCTCGTTGGTCTTGTTGGAATCTATGATCCTCCTCGTGATGAGACCAAAGACGCTATTCGAGAGTGTTCCGAGGCTGGAATCAAAGTTCACATGCTTACTGTAAGTAAATCCCAACAATTTTCATCCGAGACAATCCTAACAAGAAACAGGGAGACCATCCAGCAACTGCTGAAGCCATCGCCAAGGAAATCGGAATCATCCCACGCAACATCAATGTTCTTCCCAAGGACGTCGCTGAATCCATCGTCTTCAAAGCAACCGACTTCGACAAGTTGTCTAACGCTGAGATTGATGCACTCCCCGAACTACCTCTCGTCATTGCACGTTGCGCACCAGATACTAAGACACGCATGATCGAGGCTCTACGTCGCCGTGGTCTCTACATGGCTATGACTGGAGACGGTGTCAACGATGCTCCGTCTCTGTCATCCGCAGACGTTGGTATTGCGATGGGTCTTGCAGGCTCGGATGTCGCCAAAGGTGCCGCTAAGATCGTTCTTACAGACGACAAGTTCAACAGTATTGTATCAGCTATCCGCGAAGGTCGCCGCATGTTCGACAACATCCAGAAATTCGTTCTACATCTCTTGACATCCAATGTCGGTGAGGTGATCCTTTTGATCGCCGGTCTCGGATTCCAGGATTCTTCTGGACAATCAGTGTTCCCTCTCTCGCCACTTCAAATCCTCTGGGTCAACATGCTGACCTCCTCATTCCCTGCCTTCGGTCTCGGTCGTGAGAAGCCATCCTCCGAGATCATGCAACGCCCACCTCACAAGATCAAGTGGGGAGTATTCACCCCTCAAATCATGGTCGACATGGTCGTCTACGGAATCATCATGGGAACCTGCACAATCCTCACCTTCGTAATCATCATCTACGGCGCCTATGGCGGCGACCTCGGCCACGAATGCAACGCACGATACAACAACCACCCCGAAACATCCTGCGACCCCGTCTTCCGCGCTCGTGCAGCTGTCTTCGCAGAACTCACTTGGCTGATCCTCATCTCGGCCTGGGAATTCAAGTCCCTCCGCCGCAGCATGTTCCGCCTCGATCCCACAACCAACAGCCGCTTCCCATTTTTCAAGGACGTCTACGAGAACAAGTTCCTCTTCTGGTCTGTCCTGATCGGCGCCGTGTCCGTCTTCCCCGCCGTCTATATCCCCTACCTCAACACCCGCGTCTTCAAACACACCGGCATCACGTGGGAATGGGCTCTCTCCTTCGGCTCGATCTTCGTCTTCGTGCTGGGTATTGAAGGCTGGAAGGCTATCAAGCGATCTTTCAGACTCTTTGAGGCTGGTAGTGATGATGATATGGAACATCGCCGTTCGCGCAAGCTGGGTCTTAGACAGGGATTCTTCACTATGGCGAAGAGTCAGGCGAGCAGTATTCGCAGTCTTAGCAGACGCCCTACGAGCAGGAGTGGTGATAGTATGAGTGGAAATGAGAAGATGTCTGCGAGGTCTATGAAGCAGGGATCGCAGCCGCCGGTTGGTGATGAGCGGGTTTGAGTGCCATTTGTCTTTTTCTTGTCGTGTTTCTTCATGATTCCCCCTCATGCGCTTGGGTTCGATGTAACTTTTTGGTGGTATACTGGAAGTATATTGATAGAAATTAAAGAAGTAATGATCAAAGTCTCAATTATCTGTCAAACAGAATTCGTGAAGTGAGATAGCTCTAGTCTACATTGATCGTGAATTTCCCCCTTCCCCATGTGTTTACAATGCTTTCGCTTAAAGTTCAACCCAAGAATATTATTGTTCTTTCACTATTTGCCAAGCCGATATTCTTTACTGAGGGTTACACTAGATACTTCCCTTCCTCTACCGTAAACACCGTAAACAAAGATAAAGTGTGCGAAGTTTCATTCTCTAACTAACCAGGGCTTTCTTCCACATTTTCATCGTTCCAGAATGTAGCAAAATTAGATATACCAACAAAGAAGAGCATACCTACCATTGACGAAATTCTTCTCGACAACTTGGACTATCCGCTACGTCTCTTTCAACTTTTATACATAGACCAACATGCCGCTATCAGATTAACCAGATTTGTTCAACATCCCAGGGACGTGAATTGAGGAATTCTCAATATTCAGCAAAATCCCAAGCTGCGTAGTATGCAGCACACCTAACCATCCTATCCCGCCCCCACAGCCCGCCCGCCCATCACCGCGGGCGGGCCATCCCCTATCAGCCGCAGCACCCTGAAAACCAATAGTCGCTCAACTCTGTACCACTGCCGCGAATGAGGCTGATGTGAAACCCATCGCAGCGGCGACCTCAGGTCAATCCGTCTCAACTCTTCCTTTCCCTCCATCTTTATAACCATCGCCGGCATCATCTCGACTTTCTCCCTCCCACTGAATATAATCTGCACGAAGAAATTGGACTTGCAATTAAGTTGAAGGAGCAGTAAGGAAGAGAAGAGATAAGATGGTATTGAAGCGCAACATTCGCGGCGGGGTGCCGTCCCCCTATCCACGGTTTTTGTTCCATGGACTGCGGTCTGCGCAGTTGTTGTCTTCGCTGGTAGTGAGTGGTATTATGGGGTATTTCATGTATCATCTGCGTATGTGGCACTGTTTCTGTTCTCTTGGGGGCATGGCTAACTCGGTCGTTGAATTGTAGGAGACGAGAACTTCGCTATTCCTTGGACGTTTATTCTCGTAAGTGCCTCTGGAGCCTTGCTAAATATTATACTGCATATGAAAATACAATGGAATAGTTGCTGATAAGTAATTCAACAGCTGCTAACCGTCTCCGTCGCAACCATCCTCGCTCTCCTCGTCACAATCATACTCTATAATTTCACCTACACCTCCCCACGATTCAACTGGTTACTGAACGGCGGAATATCTATACTCTGGGCTTTAGGCTTTGCGCTACTCAGCTGGTCAATAAGTACCTCGCATGTACTGTCCAAAGTATGCTCAAGGCAGGTATGGGGTGGAGACGCAGAAGCAAGTGTTTGTAGAGACTACAAGGCTCTGTGGGCAATGACTTTGTGCGGGACGTAAGTTGGGTTTATCGTCCCGTCTATCTCTGGCTTGATAATTAGAATGAAATGCTAATTCTGGTGTAAAACAGAGTCTCGACTCTCGCAGCACTAGCTCTCGATATCAAGACCGAATGGACGACAACTAGACGCGGCGTGTATGCTATCCCGGAGGATGATAAGGATGCGCAGAGGTTGAACGAATTGAAGAGTATGCGTGTGAAGAGCGAGGGGTACGAAGCGCCTGAAGAGCAGAGAGATGTTGCGCATGGGGTCGGGTTTGAGCAGGAAATGGATATTGGGTATCATAATCGGTATGGTGCTGAGGAAGAGGTCCAGAGGCGGAAGAAGTAGGAGTACTGTATGATTCGGAGATTGTATTGATGAGAGGTGTTCTTGTAGTCTAGTATTGGGCAGGCGCGGAGACGGTTGGAATCGGAAATGGAGATGGAGTTGGCAACTGGAGGTGTTTAGTTTCTTGGAAGGTATACCATGGTTCTTTCGAATCAGCTAATCAAATCAGACACATCTGATTGCTGTTGTTCATTTATTCAACTGACCTTCCATTTTCTTTCAAAAGTTGAGAAGACCGGCGGACACACCCCTCCACCTCCAAGCGGAGTCATATCCACTTCCCAAAATTCCAATCGTACCGCTTTCCAATCACAGACACGGACTTACTCCAGTCTCCTCGGGATATCAAACACATCCCTGCCATTATCGAATCTCAGAATCGAACGATTCCAACTCATCGCACATCCATCCCAAGCCTCCCAAAACGTGATATGGGGCCGCCCGCGCATCACATCGACCCAGAATTCCCCCACTTCCCTCCTGCCATGTGGACAAACGAGATCGCGGAATCTGCGCGCGCGATACAAAACACGTCTCATAGAAACCAGAAAACAGAAACACAAATAATAGACTTTCTAGAAACTTAGTCCCCGGAGTAAATGCCCGACATGGAAGACAATAGGTAATAGAGCCAAGAACAGCTTGTGACCTAGAAAAGGCTTGCCCACCCTGCCCGGACGAAGTCCGCTGTAACGTTTCTCCGTTTTCCAGCTCCTGCCATCATAATCTTCTTCAATAGTACCATGATACTGTACCCCCCGCCCCCTGGGAGAGAAAGTCTTGTCAGCTGCTCCATTAGGAAGGAAGGACGATTCTTGCCAAGTTCGATTCAGCAGCGGGTGAGAGAACCTGAGGAAATCCACTGCCGGCCCAGACTTGCAGAAAAAGATTGGGTTTCAGCCCCCAAAGCCAGGCCCCTCGATACAGAACAGTTCAGTACCACATAAGCCCTAGTCCAGGCCCCAGGGCAGAGGCAGTGGGAGTGGCAGTGGCGCTGGGATTTTCTCTGCCTGCAGGCTGCAGGATGGGATGGGATGGGTTCACGCGCTTAGAGAATGGGCAGACAGAGGTGCAGGACCAGAGGGTGCAGGTTGCATGCAGAGTGTTAACGCCGGAGGAGACAGACAGCCATCATGGGGACGTCGACAAAAAGGCGTTGTTACCTTAGGGGGGGTCAGCTTGGCTGCTCGAAAAGGTTGAGACGAGAAGACTCCGAGGTTCGACCGGTGGAGTGATTGATTCGAGAAAGGTAGGCTAGAGGGGGTCTCGAACGTTGATCAGGTTTCTCGAAGGATTCTCTGAGATGCTGTTATGTGGCACGGCTTTCGTTTGTTGCCAAGGTTGGAATCTTTAGGCTCTATTCTATGTTGGTAAATACTTTCCCTGGCGGCAAAGGAGATACCTTCTCCTGAGGAGCTGTTTGAATTGTTATTATCATTTGACTTAGCTTTTGGAGTCACGGCATCAATTCGAAATAACTGCATTTATGTATCTAATTTTCGACTTCAGTTGTGGAAGTTGTGGTTCATGCGACCCCCTCTACTCTTTGGCGCTAAGCGTCGCAATCGATGCCCGCCCATGGGGATAGGAGATACATGGCATGGGCCACGAATTGTACATCCGATGTAACTCGGCTTAGTGTTGCTATAATTGGATGGTAAGCAGTAGACCTAACACTCTCTTGAAGAAAGTTAAAGTTAATTGCCGACATTGAAAGCTTGGTATTCTCTAAACTGGAGATGAGTACAATCACTTGTGAGATTACACTCCAGACTGAATGTTTTGCACATCGAAGAGCTTGGTACGTCAGAACGATATGTCAAGATGGCAAATCCCATAAGCCTGGATCACTTTCAAATACCGGCACGATACCGGTAGACGGGACGAACCGACAGACAGGGCTCGATTCCTACCGTCGTTCAGTTACGAGCAACGGGAGTGTCTGATAGGATAGCAGTTCGAGATGCATGTGGCCCGCCCTTCTTCTTATCAACCCAATGTGCTACGAGTGCCGCGTCGAGAAAAACCAGCGAGTCAAAAGCCCGGAAGAAGTTCACAAGGGTTCAACATCTCGGCGGTTAGACACTTGGCTGCGGAAAAAAATGTTGCATTTATTTCTCACGGAGTTCATGGTGTTGATGCAAGTAAATCCGTATTTGGACGAACCGGGCTAGCCATGCGGGGATTTTTATGTCAAACTCTCAAGTGACGGACAGGCATGCTCTAGTTTAAGGCTTTTGTGGACAAGGAGGGGCATCCATGATAGTGTTTTTGACTATGAAAGGAGATATTACTTGATTCGGCGTAGGTCAACGACCGGGACATCCTCCGGCCGGTCTACACGGTCTACAGACGAGGGGAACTGCTACTCAACTGAGGGGAAGCAACCCCAAAACCGCCCTATGACAATCATGTTTGAATACAACTGGGCACTTCAAAGGGATGATCTTTTGGCGTTTTTGCTACCTATCATATCTGACAGATCGCCCCCTACAAGAAGATTCAATCGGTGGCTTGGCTCGAGCCTGGATAGTCGCTATGCGTGCAGCGGCCGACACACATATCAAACCTTAATTGGCTCTCTTTCAGGACACCGCACCAATTAAATCCGCAGGGAGAAGCGGCTACACGCGCTTGAGGATTGGTGGAACGGTCATGTTGGTGGAGGGGGCTTGTGGAGATATCGATGGTGATAAGGAGGAGGGGAGCTTGGTTTTGTCGCAAGCGCCGATGGCCCCCTTTCTGGTCCAATGATAGCCGAGACAACATCGCTAAGCTACCTAGATACACTTTTGTGCACGGCTAAGCCGGCCGCTGGTACCGGACTTCCTTCTGATAGATCAGCATTCCAGAGCGGTTTCACAGGTTCCCGTCTCATCGTGTGGGAAAACGGGAAAACAGCTTTTTGCCTTCAGAGATAGTCGTTCGAGAGCTGCATGGCTCAGTGTTCAGTCCTCGGGATGAGACCCACAACCATGGCACGGGGATGTGCTGGTCGGGGATCGGAGGGCAGCCGCTTCGGCCAAGCCCTGGATTTAAAACCTTTGGGGTCCGGAAGTTGTGTTTTGACCAGGCCCTAGACGAGTATAGTGTGGCTGTGTGGAGCATTCAAACTCATCACAGGAGACGAGAGGGAGCCCATTATTGGGCCATTTGCGCTCTCATCAATCGAGTCCCAGCGAGTCCCATGTGCTGTGCTGTGCAAAAAGCGCGTTAAGCCGCCTTCAATCGACGAAGCCGTGAGAAACTGGGTCCGGCCAACCGCATCCCTGACGAGCCTGGCGTAGTGGACGGGATTATTGCATGCAGCACCAGCATCAGGAAGGTGGAGAAGAAAGTCCTCCTGGTCGAGCCTTGTCCTTGTCCTTGTTCCACAGGGGCGAACCAACTTCGGCTATCTGCCGACACCTTCATGGCAGATACAACTGGTACCGTGGCCCTAAATTCGACTGCCATCCTCTAGTTCCTGCACACTCGCGGCGTTGATATTATGAGACGGAACCCCTCTTCCCCTTTGTCCTCACGTCAGCCATACCTGTGCTCACGATGAAGCCCAAACCTACGCATAGGTACAGGATTTGTGGAACTCCGTCAAGGTTGGGGTGTCTCACTTGCAAGTAAGTGGCTCAAGGGAGGGGCAAAAGACCTCAACTTCGAGAGCAAAATCTCAACTGATTGCAACTGTAGAATTCGGAGGGTCAAGTGTGGTGAGGAGAAGCCCTTTTGCAAACGATGTACCTCTACGGGGAGGAAATGCGATGGATATGCTGCCCAGACTGGTCCCAAAGATGCACCACCGAAACCAGCTGCACCCACCAGGACCCTCTCTGGCACTGAGGATCCCATGGAACAGAAGCTGCTGTATTTCTTCAGTACATATACCGCGCCCAGCTTGTCCGGTTTCTTCTCGAGCGATTTTTGGGAACGCAGGGTGGTACTGAGTAGTCATGGAGAGCCTTCAATCCGACACGCCGTTATTGCAATTGCAGCAATGCACCAGGAATTCAACGAGAGGCGGAGGTACGACGGAATGGAAGACACATCTAATCTTCAAGCATTTGCTTTTCGGCAATATACAAAGGCGATCAGTAGTCTCCACCACTTAATGACTACTCGTATGCCTCCACTGGATCTAACATTAACATCGTGTATTTTGTTCGCTTCCATTGATTGTCTGCTCGGAAACCAGTAAGTTTAAATATCTCTACCTGTCAGCGAAGCATTTGATAGCATAACTCCATCGTTGAAGATTTTCCTTGCTGTGATTTGCGTAATTCCACTCAAACATGCTGACAATGTCTTCAGTGCTTCAGCAATAATACACCTAAAGGCTGGGTTGAGGATCTTAGCAGACATCAAATCACACAAAACGCAACGAGGCGTGCACGCCGAAGAATGGGAGCGAGAATTCGCTCCTCCACTCCTAGCCCTCGGGGTGCAAACAGCCACATTTATAAATCCAGCTCTACAGAAAGAGCGCACATCTCTCTGGATAGCTCTGAAACGAGCCGGAAATCTTCCAATACCTACAACCTTCTACTCTCTCGACACAGCGCGACATGCCATAGATACCATATCAGCGACCGTTATGGCCGACCGCACCTCGACCGAAGTAAGTCCTAGCCTACTCGAGCACAAACCTCCAGATCCTCTCGTGCAAGGCAGACTTCACAACGCTGCTCTCGATTCCTGGACGCAAGCGATGGATAAATTCACATCGACCTTCGCCGTCGGCGAACCGCCACTAGGCAAGACGAGATGCGGCGCGTCACTCCTGAAAGTACATTCTCTGGTGGTTTCTATTGTGATTGGCAAACCAGAGGAGGCGGAAGCCAAGTTCGACCACCTCATAACACTCTGTGACCTCCTCGACTCAGCAAGAGTCAACTCTGGTGCGGGGCTCACATTCTCCACCGACCAGCGAGTCATCGCACCTTTATTTTTCACCGCATTACGAGCTCCCAACCCGGTAACGAAACGACGGGCCATCGAGCTTCTATCACGAACCCCAGCACGAGAAGGCATGTGGGATGCCGAGGACGCGATCCGTGTCGCGGAGGGTTCTCACAGCGACATTCAAAACATAGGTGGATTTGTTCTGAACGCGATACTGCCGGATGTGATTCCGCAAAGCGAGATCAAGATCTGGAATGATATTGCGTCGCGCTTGAAGAGCCGTATGACATGGCCGTTTGGGGAGAGCGATCCTGGTCAGAGTCCTTCGTCGATATCTTCTATCACTTCGCCGACGCAGAGCGAAGCTGTTTATACCCCTACTCAGTCGCAGCAGGATTTCACGTCTCCTGCGCCGCCTGGGATGCAGAATTATTAGGACCGCCTTGCCTTTTGCTGAGGGGTTTGTACATGTACGTAAACGTAATTAATGATAGCCAAAAGATACCAATTCATGCTCCTCATGTCAAGAACAATCTCGCATAATCCGTATTCTGCTATTTTGCTGTTCCAAATCTTTAATCCGATATCTTGAACAAACATCATACCCTCCCACCATAGCACCATAGCACCCTCACTTTCGCAACAACGCCTCGCCACCTATCCAAAGCAGTCCAGGTACCAAGACACCTACCTACACCAAAACCCAACTCCAGAGCTCGCTCTCCCATCAAATCAGCATCTCCCATTTTTCACAAATTCGATATTCAAAGATAGAAGCTACGGGGAGACCGAAACCCCACCACACTTCTAGTCCCTTGATCTGCTTGCTGTCCTGGGCTCCCACAGAATTGGATTAACTAGCCGATAAGATCAAGTCAGATCGATCAACCAGCCCGTTATTTGCCCGCTTCAGCAACGCGCGCGCTGATCCCCTTACAAGCTAAGCTAAGGTAGATTTACCTAAACAGTCGAGAGAGTGTGTTAGAATTGGCGAGTTTGTGATTATTATTATAGCCAATGGAGGTTTTGTTTGTACTAAAGCTTTGAGTTAAGAAAATTAGGTTAAGTTTATGCTTGCTTCTGTACAGTACAGTAACATTAAATTTACCTTCATTATTGACAGTAGAGTTGAACTCGGACCACCAGCACCAGCACCACTACAACCCAGCTCAACGATCCAATCCCCCGCACCACGCCACTAGTGCCCGGGTCAGGCACTGAACTGTGCCGCATCAAGCTCCAGCGCGAGACTCTAAATCAGCCCTGGGCAGACACTAAGTAGTATTTGGGTTAAGCACTGGAGCATTGACAGTGGGTTTTAGTGGGAAGTTTATTGGGTAGGGAGGTAAGGGTAGGGATTATTGGATTGAGTTTACGTTTACAGAGGTGGACGGGGTGGAATTGGCTTTGGAACTTTGGACAGTAGGACAGGTCCTTGAAATAGAATGTTATGCTATTGGTAGCTGGACGGTGGCGAGCTAAGATAGCATAAGATTTGAGATTGGGGGATGGGGATGGGGATTTGGCGCGTTGCGAGTTTTGAGGAGTTGAAGATGTCGAGTTATTTTTCAATTTGGATTTGAGTGCCGCAGAGTCGGGTGCCATGGGGTTAAGATGAAGTGCTAAGAAGGGGGCTTTTGCAAATCGGTACATGCAAATTGCTTTGAGCAATGTCCCCCGACTCTCTGAGATTTGGGGTTGATGTACTGTGATCTCCGCTGTGTTGACTGGGGCGAGTGAAGTCACAATCAATTCCTCTAGAAAACTTCAAGTAACAATGCCCTGAAAGCACAAGCCCCTCAAGTCAAAGACAGCAAGAACTCGACCGAGTAACTCACCAACTCTCAACACTCACTAAAACGTCATCTCGACCGGTCTCAGAGACAGTTTCCACCTAAATGGGTTTCGTAACATCTCGTCACGCTGGCTTCCGCGCAAGGAAATCCAGGTCATGAACGTATGACAGCCTCAGATTGCAAGCTCGCCAGGCCATTTTCCTCCGAACTATCAGAGACGACCATAGCAGATAACCTAGACCAAGAGAAGAGTACGAATCGTATATGGAGAAATGTAGCCCAGGAAAGCCGCCCTTTCTGCCTCGATTCCTACGTTCGACATCGAGATCTTCTCGCTCCTCTGCCGACTGGTAATGGAAGTAGGTGTTGGATTACCAGATCAGAGGCTGATCTCCCTACTCGGTACCTGGCCTGTTGCTCATTTGTTTATTGCATTCCTCGCTCATTTAGGGGCGGTTTCAAGAATCGAAGTGATGCCCATAGAACTTTTCTGGGATGGAAGGAAGGACGGGTGGAAAGATATTTTGGAAGAATGATATCTATCCGTTGACCAACATCGACGTGATGATGGTTTTGGGGGTTTCAGATACTTACTGCACCTGTTTGTTTGGAGGCATAGTATGTTTAGGAAACAATTGGTGCTGGGCGAGATGAGATACTGCTAAGATGACGGCAAGTTGGCCTCGTCGCGACAGATAATGTCGACCAATCGGTTCTGCATCCGAATACGTCGAGAGGAAGGAAGGAATAAACGTGCTCTCAATCCTTCGTTGGTCGTCGTAGGCGAGAAAGTGACCGTCTACCCTGCCACTCAGCCGCATTTCTCTTCCTCGCAAACGTTGCGTGCAGCGTCAGATCCTCCAGGAATTATGTCCAGCGACATCATGAGTTTTGAGCTGAGATCTTCTCGTATTGCAATTACAATTAGGAATCAATACTTGATAATTGAAGGAGGATTCGTTGGATTTCCGAGAGGATGTGCTGGATTGTACATTGTACTCTTGTCCTGGAATAGCCAACAAATTTCGACTTTGTACGTTACAATTCAATCAGGTACATTGACGTGAAAGTTCACGTTCCAATCAACACAACCCCCTTTTCTTACCGAGGCGGCATCTGAAACATCAAGTTCGGGGCAACTCTATTTAACCATATGAAACACAATACATATGCTGTAAAGTCCCATTACTTTGATACAAGAATCGCATTCAAACGCCTTTACATATAATTCGATAACGGCAATCTCTTAATGCTTCGTGAGTGAGAGCGCTGATCGTCAATATCCCACCCATGATTTCCATACATACAATTCGCTCGGCACTTGTGAACTCAAATGAACGGAACGGAACGTCGCACAATGATCAAAAAATAGAGTTCCAGATTGCCGTAAGCATTGACCTACTCTAAACCAAAAGCTGGGTTCCAAAGTTTCTAGATTGCGGTTAAAACTGCATGCACGTGATAGACACGGCCGTGAACTCAGTCCTCCCGTTAGGAAATGCTTCCATCCTCGACAACATCTTTGCCACACATCCTCCAGAATAGCCAGCTCAAGCATGAGTAACATGCACACGGATTGAATTACGAAGATTTCAACAATAGCCCAGCCTACATACACGTTATGAGAAATATTCTGGATAGAGTGCTCACTCTTCGGTGGCTCGTGACAGCTTACTGGTTCCTGGCGACGAGCTCGCTCAATCCCTATCTGATCGCGCCAACACCTTCTCATCCGCCACACCACCAACTTCCCAGCATCTCACATCAAGATTCCATTTAGGCACAGTCCGAGCCCAGGCCCAAGCCCAAAATACAACCTAGAATAAGCATATGATTCGCCTTACGGGCTGCATTGTTGGTCCTCCTCCAACAAAATAAGGATGCAACGCTCAGCCCTGAGAGGCTCGGCTAAACCCCTCACTTACAAATTGACACTCACTCAATTGAGCCCCTGAGAAGAGAAGCAGTCTGGCAGCGCAGCGGCGCCAACAAACACAGGCTCCTGGCGTGGTGGCGCGAAAATGTCAAGATCCCTGAGAACCCTGGAATCCAGATCCTACCCGCTGTCGTGGGACTGGCCAGGCTCCGTTTGGCTCATAATCCGCCTCATTTCAAAACGTCGTGCATCTCACCAATGAGAGCCGCGGCCCTTCTGAATGTGACCTTCGCACCGAGGTACCCACAACTCTTCTTGACTTTGTTCATCTCATCTTCTGCTTCGATTGCGTTTCTGGGTCTGGGCGCTCTGACTCCTGCGCTTGTTTTTTTGTTTCGTTTCGCTCTCTTGGTGCCATACAAGCGGTGCGCTCTACCACCATTCCTCCACTCTTATTCGCGCCCTTGGTACTTTGTTCGCTCCCTTGTGGGGAAGAACGAAACAACTTAAAATAGGGGGTAGTGACAGAGGGGCTGTAGTTTGCTCTACTCACTCTTATCCCACTCATACGGCCAATACAGTATTTGCGCCGTGGTACCGCACGATTCGGCTGGTATCTCCCATGCGAGTCAAAAATTGGCATGAAGGATGCAAGGCATTCTTTTCCTTGCATAGATGCATCAACACTTCAGTGCAAAGTGCCCAGGTGGCATAGGCTTGGAGGAACCATCTATGCCATGTGAAATCTATTAACGTTCATCTCGGCATGATATTGAACATGGGGTGAGTGATATGTGGGAGCTGTCAACTTCGTGTTTGGAACTCCTTTAGCCGCGCCTCTGGCTCTGTGCATGTGCCTGCCCCTGAAAATTGCCGACGTGGGCGAATCGACTTTGTATATATGGTTTTGTTTCGCGCTCGAAACACGAACCCCCTTTTCTTAGTACATACAGACTACTACGAGTACTTGCTTTCATACTTATATATCTCCTTGCCCGCCCGAGTTTTCATCTTTTCTTTGCTCGGAGCTGTAATCTGGTTAATTCGCTACCACCACATTCCTTTACTCGCTTTTGACTTATTCGCTTGCTCGTCCTCGCTTACCCTGTTATAATTTCTCAACACATCAACACACCAATACACCCCAACTTCTATCCAAGCTCAACTCACACAAAATGCACACCATCTCAACCCTCCTCTCCGGCCTCGCCATTCTCAGCACCACCCTCGCCATAACCGCCGAAACCAACACCGGCTTCCGCATAACCTGGTCCGACGACTTCAGCGGCACCACCCTCGACCCCGCCAAATGGGACACCTTCACCGGCACCCCCTCCAACAACGAACAACAAACCTACACCGAAACCGGCAACTGCGCTATCACACCAGACAAAACCCTCCTCATCACCCCTGAGAACAACAACGGCAAATGGACATCCTGCCGCATCGAATCCGTGCCCAACTTCCAAGCCAAACCAGGCGGCCAGATGATCGTCCAAGCCAGACTTAAGCTCGGCGATGCAGGAGCCAAATTGCAGGGTATCTGGCCTGCATTCTGGTCCCTCGGTGAAGCTGTCAGGAACGGCGTCGATTGGCCAGGCTGCGGCGAAATCGACACCATGGAGAATGTCAACGGTGATGTCCTCGGACACGGAACCATCCACTGCGGAGCAGCGTGTAACGATCCCACTGGTCTCGGGTCAGGCACGACGTTTGACTACGGGACTTTCCACACGTGGGCTCATGCTATTGATTTGCGGAGCGGGGATTGGCAGGAGCAGAGTATTACGTGGTATATGGATGGACAGCCCTTTAAGGTGCTGCATGGGAAGGATGTGGGCGATGAGGCGGCTTGGAAGTCGGTTGCGCAGAAGGGGATGTTTTTGACGTTGAATGTTGCGGTGGGTGGGAATTGGCCGGGGAATGTGGCTGCTGATACGGCGAGTGGGAAGGCCGCGGGGATGGAGGTTCAGTATGTGGCTGTTTATGAGTCGGAGTGAGGAGATTATAGGAAATTGGCTTCATTTGGTCTTCTAGGGTGGAGTTTGGGAGTTTGAGATTACAAGTTACGGAGTACTTTGATGGGTTTCATGGTGGGGTTTGGGTCCTGGCGTTTGGTGCTTAGTGCTGTTAGAGGGAACGACATATACCAGGCGTTGGATGAGATTTAGAGGTACATATCTGGCTTATAATTTTGCATATACTTCTGGAAGTATACACGAATGTACATTTCATTGTTCATCAGTATCTATGGCTCAAGAAGTGAACTCTGTTAGGGACCCATAATTTGCATATGTCCACTAAAGAGCTCAACAAGCATGTAAACATTGAAGCTGCTGTTCCAGCCAATTCCTGAATCAAAACAAGTGAAAGTAACCACCTATATCTCTCACACAATATCCACTCTCTGGCTGCAATCCCAAATCCATGACGCCCAACTGCCGAAGAAATTCAGACCATAGAGCCAGCCCATCCATTTCCATCTCAAGCAACCTCGCCTAACTTCGTAAATCCACTCTCCTCAAAACACCCCACCAAAAACAGCAACAAACATCCGCCACCCTTAACCTCGATTTCTGCAACAAAACGAAGGTCAGATATCAACAGTCAGCACATCCAACACAAGCTTCCGAAATTTTCTGAGCAGTTGAAAGCTCAAGTTGACTCGTTTACATCCTCTACCCCATATCGGTGGCAATGGTGTTGTCCTAGGTATGCTATTTTGTTGGTGGGGTTCCCAAGCCAGGGGGGTTCAGGGGTGCAACAACCCCGCCAACAGCCAGAAGCGACATCGAGACCTGGGATCCAATAACAATATGTGCTGACCACCGAGCATGCAATGTAAGACGGCAACGGCTTTCTGCAGTAGTACTTTCTGTATCCCCATGCTCCTTATCGTATGGATGAAAATATATGGTAGGGGACGAGAAATTGCAGTAGTCACGCTGATATTCCAGTCACTTTTCCAGTACAATCTATTCATCACCGATTCGACTCCCTCAACATCAGCATTTCCATCTCATCAGCCTCATGTTCTTCCAGCATCTGCCTCGCCCGACTCTGTCCAGTGACATGCACCTTCAACCCCTTGTCAAAATTCCTCATACACTTGATTGCCATCCCGATCGTCGCAACTTCAAGGATGAGCGTAGGGGCGACGAAGAAACTGAGCTGTTTTCGGGCGGGTAGGAAATCGTCTGCGCGGCTTGGAAGGTACATGAGGACAGTCATGTATATGAACCACGCGAAGATTCCTGTGTGCATGGCCTAGTTTTGTGAGCTGGTGTCAGCTGATTTCGCTGTATGGTGCACTGGGATGCAATTGTAGCGTTCTTGGGGAAGGATGGTGGCGTTGAGAGACTCACCAGGACAATAAGCATGCCGGTTTTGCTTTCGTGTCTCATGCATGATGCGGATGCGATTAGAGTGATACATATCACTGGAAGACTCGAGAAGGTAAGGATGTAAAGGACATCCATGATTGTTGTTGACATGGTTATGAATTGGCACATGAGTCCTAAGAAGAAGAACAAGTCAAACTTGAGCAAGCAGATGTAAATCTATACATATGTCAGTAGGCTGAACATGTATGGCTGTCAGTCTCAGCGAGTTATGCATACCTTGAAGTCCAAGTATCTATTCTGCATATCCAGATCTGCGTTTAATTGTTTGTAAATCGTCCATTGGAATTCTCCGTAAAGCTTCACACTGATGCAACAAATAGCTACCAGGTAAAGCCCAGTGATTAAGATAATGGTTATCAAGGATGGCTTGAGAATGGACCAAGCGGACCTGCCCACCCATCCTTCGACCTCTAGCGCCTCGACTGCTCTGTCAACCTGATTGTATTGCAGCCCAGCGTACACACAAAGACAGGCAGCATAGAAACAGAGACCGAGCAGTTGCATTGTGTTCTTCTGCGCCAAAGTATCGTAGACCAGGAGTGCCTGATAGGTCAGAGCGATAATGAACAGAATCGCAAATGACGGAAGTGCGTTGGCCGAAGGCTCGAAGCCCGAGCCTCCTTTCAGAGTGCCCACGAACATGATGAACGCTGTACTGTGAAACGTTATCGTCTGAAGCCTGATATTGGTCGATTTGATAGTCAATACATCATACGTACACTTCAAGCGCAAGCACGGCGCCGAGCTCTACTGTTGATACGGCGACAAAGCACCATGCCCATGTTGTGGTTGGGCGATATAGCATTGGGCTTAATATTTTGCTATTTGAATTTCGAGTCTTGAACTCATGAGCTCGAATTTTCGTGAACAGATATATAATGAAGCTGCAAACGATAGTGAGCTGAAATGAGAGGCGAGTGATTTAGCCACGCTGCGGCAGATTTCCCTGACCCTTGTTCACACGGTGGCTGAGGAAGGGCTGAGTGCGTGCAGGGCCAGCCGCGCCTACCTTCTCATCTATTCGAACCGACTCAGTAAATGCAAACAGAACATTGATAAAAATGATATTCCTCGACTCATCATTTCAAGCTTATTCAGTGAGAACCGTCAACTCCTGCTCGGGCTCCTCAACATGGACAATAAGCAGGGCTGGACGTCCGGCCCTCAAGTCCGAGGCACCTTTGACATCCTCTGGACCTGCATTTCTACTCTAGCGCTCTGTGTCTGGACAGCCGTCCATCCAAATATATCATGTGTATCTAGCGGCCGCCGTGCCTTCATGGTCCGTCTAGGAATGATGGCCGTTGCGGTCGTCCTGCCTGAAATCATCATATCTGCAGCTTGGAGACAACTCAAATCGGCGCAGTGGCTACGCGCCGAGATAAACGCATTACATATGCAGACTCAAAAGAAACGTCAGAATGCGGAAGGCGGGAGCCTAAGCAATGGTGTTCTTAGTGAGAATGAATTACTTCGCGATCCGTTGCTGCCACCTTTGGACTTCGGAAATGGCAATACCACCACTCAACGTGTACCAGATAGTCCGCAGCCGAATACAAATGCAAATAATGATGCGTTAGAGACTGCCTCCACAAACGATAGAACAGATCCAATACAGCTGCTCGAATGGACATCAGAGCAAGCCTTCTTCGCCGTCATGGGCGGCTTCGCCATCGAACTCGACTCCACCAACCCATCCTCCTTACAAACCAATACCCCCAACCCAGAAAAACACCTCCTCAGCACCGAAGGTATTCTCCAGCTCGCAAAGCTAGGCCTTCTACCCAACATCTCCACCTCCGAGATCGAAGAACGTAGCAAAGCAGACCTCATCGCCAAGCTGCTCGTCCTCTTACAAATCACCTGGTTCGCACTCCAAGTCATCGGCCGCCTCGCTGGGCACCTCCCCCTCACGCTCCTCGAAACACACACAGCCGTGCACGTGGCATGTACAATCCTCATCTACCTGCTGTGGCTGAAGAAGCCGTACGACGTGCAGTCGTCCGTTGTACTGAGTCACCCCGACGTCAAGGACATGGCGGCCCTGTTCAGATTCTCGAGACTTCTGAAGGAGAATCATGCGAGGGCTGTGGAGAGGTTCCAGACTGCGAGAGTCGCGTATTGGAGGGATCGTGTGGTGCGAGCAAGTAATAATCTGCTCGATTATGATCCCCCGCCTATGCCGCCTGTTAGAGAGCCGTTGACGGCAGCAGTGGCTCGCTATTGTGGACTTCTCCCAGACCAGCTCCCTCCATCAATGGTGCCAAGCTCCAGCTCCAGCTCCAAATCCAAAGAACAACTGCTTACCAGTCTTGCTCCACAAGCGCAAAAAGCGATCAACATGGTCCGAATTAAGGAAGGCCTCTCTAAGCGAGATGTTGACTCCCAGAACTGGGACTTGCTGCGCGAGAATTCAGAAAACTTCGCTATCAGAGAAGTATGGGGCAGTTGGAGCACCGACATAGGACACGACATGTCCATTGAGAAAAGCCTCCATTTCCTCTTCAACCTGCTCTACGGCGGCGGCCACCTCGCAGCCTGGGCGTCCTCCTCCTTCCCCACGCCCGTCGAGCAGTGGATATGGCGAGTATCCGCCATCGTGCTCACCCTGATGCCGTTATGGGGATTGATGTGGGTTGGGTGGTGGAAAGCAGTGAGAACGAAATGGAAGATTTTCTATCCGGTTCGAAACGGGGATTTGGATATTGTGGTTGCGCCGTTCTTTTTCTTGCTTATGTTGGTGTATGCTGTGGGGAGGAGCTTCCTGCTTGTTGAGTCGTTAATTAGCCTTAGGATGTTGCCGAAGGAGGCGTTCAAGACGGTGGAGTGGTCGGAGTATCTGCCGCATATTTCATGATATTATAATCGTACGTTAGATATCTTGCAATCAAACGCTGCCGGGCTTGCTCGATCTTCTTTCATGAATAATACCCTTTCCGTTGGACAACATCTTAAACAATATCAGTATACTCTCGTCATTCAACCCGTTATCCGACGGACCGACAATAGGACTACATCCGTTAAATCTTCTATTCTTGGCAGGGGAAAGGCCCATTGTCAGTCCAATGATTGAAGGAGATGCTAGTCTCTGAAGCCTGAGCGTTGAAATGCAGCATCCCGTCAGATTTGAAAGAGCTGAATACCATTAGATGATCTGTATCTGTGGTATTAGACCTAAGGGCTTAATAGGCAGTTAACTCTCTCTACTTTCGAGGGCTCAGATAGACGAGTGCCGCAGACTTTCACAGGGGAACCGAATATCAAACGCATAACTTACCTTAAGGTAGCGACTAACCTAAGTAGGTAGGTACATCTCAATCCAACTCGCTACCTATCGACCTACTATTGCTACGCCACCTCCACAACGCCATGATTGGTCGTCTGTTGGTGTTGTGTTTATGTCAAGAATCTTTCGACAATCTTGCCTTATAGGAAATTGAATTCTAGGTAGGATGCAGTGCTCAGTAACACCTTGGTTCCATTTCCAGTCCTTTCGTCTCCACGTGATCGAAGACAGAAGTGACGAGACTAAGACCTCCCTTTGGAGCAGAGAAGATAGAACGTATCTTCGGGATATCTCAATAGATCACGTTTCTCATCGTTAGCACGAGCCAGAAGTTCTGAAGTCTGAAGTCTGAAGTCTGAAGTCTGAAGTCTGAAGTCTGAAGTCTGAAGTCTGAAGTCTGAAGTCTGAAGTCTGAAGTCTGAAGTCTGAAGTCTGAAGTCTGAAGTCTGACGTCTCGTACCAAGTACCAAGCTCCGTGCTTGCCGGCGCACGCCAACCCACCCCCTCCACACCGAGATACCTCCAATGATTTGAGCAGCCGCTGGAGAGAACCGACTTGGCAGGCGTAGGGAAGGGGCTGAACTGCTGAGAGAAGCTTTCAGGCAGTGGTGGGAATGCCGTGTGCCATGCTATGACATAAGGTAGGTTGTATCGGTGGGTACAAGACTGCGGTAGAACTGTCCGAAGATCCCTATGTAAATTTACCAGGCGAGGGGTAGGAGTGGAGGGTGGTTGTAACATGTGCTAGCCCTGCTATGGGTATGGGTAATAATGCATACCATACCATACTCCATTTTGAAAGGCATTCAAAGTGTGAAAGTATAAATCGAAAGAAATGTGTTGGATTCAATTTCTTTGGATTCTGATTGGAAAATGTTGGACTGGTTGTGAGTGTGGCTTTAACTCGAGACATGTTGGGTTGTCCACATACCTTCCCTTCCTACGTGTTTGTTTTTCCTACCTCGAGGCCTGCCCTAACTTCGTAAGGTTAACTCAGTAGCACAGGTAGGATTCTCAAAATAAACCCCGCACTGCCCTCCACCAGCCGCGCACAAGCATCCCTGGGCGAATCCTCACCAATACCTACCTACCTTACACCCAAGCATCTGCATATCTGCATATCTGCACAACAGCACTGTACTGTACTGTATGACGCACATCTACAACTGCATCATTCTTAAATCTCTGCCGCCAGCCTCTTGCCAGGCTTCCTCTCTTTAACTTGGATTGTCCTGTTCCTGTCCACGTTCGTTCAGCACTTCCATTTCGCGACTCTCTCTCCCCTCACCATTGATTGCTCGAGCTTCCCGTTTCAACCCACCATCGAACGAACCAACCAAAACCAGCTGGCACCCACCTCATCCACCAAAGCTGAACTGCCCCTGGTAGCCACCCGCGGGCTACGGTAAAGTTGGGTTGGTAACGAAGGACTACTCCGTAGATCGAACCTGGAACCTGAACCCGCCCGCCAAGTAAGTTCCCAGCTTGATACTTGCACCTGCCTGCCCACAGTGCTACCGGACCAAGCATTACCAGCTACTTAATACCTGGACGGTCCCCCCTCGTCGACGACCTGGCCTTCCGTCAACATGGTCCGCATCTCGCTCCCAAACCGTCTCAAATCCTACACCAACAGCACGAACAACTCGCGCAGCTCAAGTCCGAACCCTGGTGCGAACAGTATGAGGAAGACGAATAGTGGCTCGGATGGAGGTCCGGACGGTGCGAAGGTCAATGGATTGATGTTGAAGGTGGTGGTTATCAAGGTACGCCAAACTCAAGAAGCTACAATAAGGTTAAAAGAGGGGGAGAGGAGAAGAAGTGGCAGATTGCAGGCATTCCGAGGCCAAGAACAGGATGTAGGTGAGATGCTGACAAGTGGAAACAACAGGCCAGGAATCTAGCAGCAAAGGATAGGAGCGGTACTTCTGACCCAGTAAGTATTTGAAGCCCGTGCAAAGCCTGGAAGGACTTCGAAAGCTAAAAAGTTCCAAAGTATCTTGTCCTGACGCTGGGCGATTCGAAGAACGCAACGCAATCCGTCCCCAAGACCCTCAATCCAGAATGGAACGTCACCGTGCAGATGCCAGTCAACAACGTCAGCGCCCTCCTCCTCGACTGCGTGTGCTGGGACAAAGACCGCTTTGGGAAAGACTACTTAGGAGAATTCGACCTGGCACTCGAGGACATATTCACAGGCGACAAGGTCGAGATCGAGCCACAATGGTTTACGCTCTCTAGTAAACGCACTGGAGGGAAGAAGAGCAGTAATGTTTCAGGAGACGTTCAGCTGCAGTTCACGCTCTACGATTCGAGCAATGTGTCTGCGACGCCCGCACAGATTCTAGAGAAGTTCCGTACGTTGGCTGGAGTGGTGGATCTGCCGGATACGCCCGGGAGACCACCAATGGGTGCTACAGAGGCAGATGAAGATCTTGATTTCGACGACGATGATGAGCCAAGTGACGAGACCGACGATCCTACAAAGCCCGAGAATGCAGAGAAGAGACGCAGGAAATTGAGATTGAAAGGTTTGCGGAAGAAGAAGCAATTGAACGCCTACGAATTTACTGGTGGTAGTGAGGTGGTGGGCATTGTCTTCTTGGAAATTGGAAAGATTACCGATCTACCGCCCGAACGCAACATGACCAGAACTTCGTTCGACATGGATCCGTTCGTTGTAGCTTCGTTAGGCAAGAAGACGTACAGAACTCGAGTGATCCGGCATAATCTGAACCCGGTGTTCAACGAGAAGATGATCTTCCAGGTGTTGAAGCATGAGCAGACATACTCGCTATCTTTCACTGTCATTGACCGTGATAAGCTGTCCGGAAACGATTTCATCGCAGCTAGCGTTCTGCCCTTGAAGGAAATTACGGATACTGCGCCAGATGCCAACCCCGAGACTGGTCTGTATTCTCTTAAGGAACCTCCGGATCCAAGCGCTTTCCCGGCCCAGCCCAATAGATCAAGATTCAAGTTGCCGTTATCCCGCTCGACATCATCCCAAAGTTTGAAAGGATTGACCCGACCTACCCTGCCAACCAGAACTTCAGCCCAGAATGTGTCATACAACAGCATCAATTCAGGAACATCTACGCCAACGCCTGGTCCGGCGCCAACAAGCAACCCAGCCGGGCTTCAACCTGGTGATAACGTGCCTGTGCCAAATGCTGTGGACAACGATGATGGAGTTGATGGAAACGGAGACCCTGACTTACACTCCTTTACGATCCCGTTGAAATTGAAGAATGCCGAGAAATGGGAGGAGAAGCACAGTCCGCAGCTATTCATCAAGGCTAAATATGTTCCATACCCCGCACTTCGTCAACAGTTCTGGAGAGCTATGTTGAGACAGTACGATACAGATGAGAGCGGATGTATCAGCAAGGTTGAGCTTACTACTATGCTTGATACGCTGGGCTCGACGCTGAAGGAGTCTACCATTGACGGATTCTTCAAACGTTTCCCACATGCGGCTACGAACGATGGTGAGGCTAATGCGGAGATGAGTTTCGATGAAGCTGTTATCTGTCTTGAGGATCAATTGGACCAGAAGTCTAAGCCGCAACAATCTATTGCAGATAGGATGAAGAGCCATCTCCCTCCACAGCTCGGAGGAACCTCTGGTCAAACACCTGCTTCTTCGTCTGTCTCGGGAACCGGATCTTCTACTCCTTCCAATTATGACAACAATACCAACCCATCACAACTCAGTGTCGAGGCACAGAGTGTGGAAGAGCTTGCCACTCCCGGGGAAGAAGGAGAGTATCTTGATAGAGACGATTTGAACGATAAGGGTGAAGAACATGTTGTTGAGATCAGAGAATGTCCCATCTGTCATCAGCCTCGTCTCAACAAGCGTTCCGATGCCGATATCATCACCCACATCGCTACCTGTGCAAGTCAGGATTGGCGTCAAGTCAACAATATTGTCATGGCTGGTTTCGTCACAGCTAGTCAAGCCCAGAGAAAGTGGTACTCCAAGGTCATCACCAAGATCTCTTACGGCGGCTACAAGCTTGGTGCAAACTCTGCCAACATTCTCGTACAAGACCGTATCACTGGTCAAATCAACGAGGAGCGAATGAGTGTGTATGTCAGACTGGGTATTAGGCTGCTATATAAGGGACTGAAATCTAAGGATATGGAGAAGAAGAGAAGTATGTTTGCTGGACGAATCTCTGTCACTTATTTCATGTTTGATGAAAAACCCAGTGTATCAATTGCTAACTATTTTGCAGTTCGCAAGCTCCTGAAAGGCCTGTCAATCAAGCAAGGTGTCAAATACGATGACCCAGCCTCGGCCAGTGAAATTCAAGGCTTCATCAACTTCCATCAACTTGACATGTCCGAGGTCTTGCTCCCAATCGAAAAGTTCAAGAGCTTCAACGAGTTCTTCTACCGCCAACTCAAGCCCAATGCTCGACCATGCTCCGCCCCAGATAACCCTCGCATCATCGTCTCTCCCGCCGACTGTCGCTCTGTTGTCTTCAATCGCATGGACGAAGCCACCAAGATCTGGGTCAAAGGCCGAGAGTTCTCTATTGAGCGCCTCCTCGGCAACGCTTATCCCCAAGACGCCGAACGCTACAAGAATGGTGCTCTGGGTATCTTCCGTCTCGCTCCCCAAGACTACCACCGCTTCCACATCCCCGTCGACGGCGTCATGGGCAAACCAGTCACCATCGAAGGCGAGTACTATACCGTCAACCCAATGGCTATCCGCTCTGCACTCGATGTCTACGGCGAGAATGTCCGCATCGTCATTCCGATCGACTCAGTCGCTCACGGTCGAGTCATGGTTATCTGTGTGGGCGCCATGATGGTGGGAAGTACAGTCATCACACGCAAGGAGGGTGAGAATGTCAAACGTGCCGAGGAACTTGGGTATTTCAAGTTTGGAGGTAGTACTATTCTGGTGTTGTTTGAGGAGAACGCTATGCGCTTTGACGATGACTTGGTTGATAATAGTAGCGGTGCGCTGGAAACATTGGTAAGTGCATTTCTCTCTTCTCCTTCGTTTTTTCCCATTGCCCTTCCCTATCAATGTATCCTTTGGAGAATCTGACTAATAAACTCTAGATCCGCGTCGGCATGTCTATCGGCCATCATCCCAACCAAGGCCAGCATACTCCCGATATGCGCAAGAAAGACGAGGATATCACCGAAGTCGAGAAGGCCGAGGCTAAGCGGAGAATCGAGGGCAGTATCGTGCAGGAGGGCAAGGGGAGTGGAGGTGCTGGAAAGCCGACGGTTGCTAGTATGGCTGGGTAGATGGAAGATGAAAGGTGGAAGATGGAAGATGGAAGATGGATTGGGGATGGTGGTACCTATGATATGAGTGACTTGGGAAGTGTGAGTGTGGGAAGGGTTGTGAAAGAAGGAAGGAAGGAAGGAAGGAAGGAAGGAAGGAAAGGAAGGGTTTGATGGGATTGTGAATTGTGATTGTGGATTGTGATTGTGATTATGATTGCATAGACGTTCAACATTTGAAGTGCTCGGGTTGAATGGGCTTGATTGGTTTTGGGGTTGGGTCGGGTTGGGGTTGGGTTGCGTGCGGTTTGTTTGTTTGTTTACTTTCCGGGGGTTTTTAACTTTACTTTCGGGGTGCGTGCGGTTTAAACTTCTTCGATGGGGTTTGATACAGTATCATAGGTAGGAGGGGTGTGTGTGTGGATGTGTGGATGTGTGGATGTGTGGATGTGTGTGTGTGTGTGTGTGTTTGGTTCGACCATACATAGGAAGCAAGCAAGTGAGCAAGCAAGCAACAAAAACGTAAAGCCAGCCAGACAGACAGGCAGACAGCAAGGCAGGCAGGCAGGCAGGTAGCAGCAGCAGACAGCGAAATGAAAACAAACAAACAAACAAACAAACAAATAAACCAATAAAGCGACGAGAAGCCGAGAAGCCGAGGAAAAGTAAAACGAGAAAAGCGAAAGCGACAGCGGAGTAAGTAATGAATAAGAATAAAAATAAGAATAAAAATAAAAATGGAATACAAAAAGCTGTATTTCCCCTGTGCATAGTATGTATACACAAAAGTCGATTCTCATAATCATCGGATTTCGGATTCGTTGATGTGGAATGGTGGAATGGGGAATGGTATGATTTCTTTGAGCGAGTTGCTTGTTGCTTGTTGATTGATCTAATTGTATGACTTCTTCTATTGATCTATTTATTGGTTTCGTAAAGTCTGTGTATCTTCTCTCTCTCTCTCTCTCTCTTTCTCCCATAACTCGGAAGAAATACTCAGCGTACTATCCTTTTCATTCATAACCTAGTATCAGAACAGCAACGCCAATTACAATGCCGCCTTCCCTTCCAAAACAAACCCATACCATAACACCACAGCAAGATCTCCTTCACCACTCCACTCCCCATCTCTACGCAGCAACACCCTCCGCGATCCCCGGCCCCTGCGGCTTAAACTCCGAGAAAGCTTCCGGCCACAAAAACATCCTCTCCTCCTTACTCGGCGTCTTCGCAACCAGCAACGGCACCGCCCTCTGCGAACTAACCCTCCTCCACATATTCGCCCTGGGATTAAACCTAACAGGAACCCCCCTGCCCCCAGTCTTAAGCTCATCCTCAACCCTCAACTTCTCAATCTCCCTCCTAATATCCTCAAACGTATCAAACGCCAAATACGGAATCCGATTCTCCACACAGTACTCCTCTAGCCTCAAGCCCCTCCTAGCAAACAGAACATCCGCTTCCCTCGCTGCAGGGAGGTCGGAGACCCCGTCCCCGATGAACACGATGAGTGGGATGGTCCCATCGTCGCATTCGAGGTTAGCTTGTGTGCGGGCTTCCGTGATGGAAAGAGCTTTATCATGACCCAGCTCGGTGTCATGTCTCCAAAGCGGTTTCCACGTCTCCCCACTCTCACTAATCTCCGCCTCGTTCGCCACGATATCGATATGTGCTGCTTGGTCCTCGCCTAGGAACTCGTCCAGCACGCGGCGCAGGATGGGTTTCAACCCCGCGGAGATGACGTTGAAGGGGATGGAGTGCGCGATGCAGTAGCTGTGGAAGGTGCGGAAGTCCGGGTCGATGGAGAGACTGGTGCGCATTACGTCGAAGCCGGAGTCGAAGGGGATGTGGAGGGAGCCCCACATCTCTTCGGAGACGTCGCGGAAGGAGCGTTCGCCGGATTTTATTTGTGAGTCGAGGAGGGTGCGGTGCGTTGGGCCGCAGCCGTGGGCGTCGAAGAGGATGTGGCCGGTGTCTTCCATGAAGATTGTGCCGTCGAAGTCTGGGGGTTGGTGTGTTAGGAGCTGATTTGAACAGTGTGAAGAGATGGATGTAGAGACTCAATGGTGTAGAAGATTATGAATTGAGTTGAGGAGATGATGAGGGAGGATAGAGCTTGACAGCGGGTGATCTACAGATCAACACACACGTACCTGAGAAACAGATGATCTTCCGTTTGGTGTTCGCCATATCTTTATTCTGATTCGAAAGTAGAGTCGGTCTTGGGACAGCGAGGTCTTTGGTCTGAGGGACCGTTGGGGGAGTGGTAGCAGCAGGCATGTTTGATGCTTCGAGCTCTTTTCTCTCTTGGTGGCAAAAGCAAATCTTCAGGTACGAAATGATGTATGGATGAGACAAGTGAATAAACCCGCTTGCAAGAATAAAGTGGATTTTTGACAAACTGTTCAAACGCAATGGTAGATGCCAATAAATCGTGGTTTATATCGAGGGGGAGGAAAGTCTTCTTATCCTCCTCCCGCCTTTTACCCACTTACCTATAGACTTGTCTCTCTGACGGCATTGAAGAACGTGCGCCGCCGGAAGGTAGCGGCAGGGGCATTGCCTGCCATCATTGAATCTTCTCACGATGATAACGGTCAAGTAGTACGAAAACGTCTTCCAGCTAGAGCCCCAGCTAGTCCACTTGCATGTGCAGAAGTTCCGAGGCGAGCCTGGCCACTCGAGCCACACTGACTTTGGGATCGGGATTGCTCCACCGCCATCGAGAACGTTAGTGTTGCCTGTCGATCTTGACACATTTCTAAACACTGGCTGGGTCTTCCGAGCGCTTGTTTGTGTTCCTGTTGGTTGAGGTGTTTGTGCTGAGAGGAAAACTATGACTGCATTATGCCTAGATGCTTGTCTAGACATGTGCTTCTCGCTTGCGGTGGGGCAGATGGGAATTGAAAAGTTTCTTGACAGGAGGTGTGGAGGGGCACAGCAGCGATAAGAAACGAGGGGAAGAAAGGCTCGACAGAACAGTTGTAAAAGAGCATCGCATTGAAAACAGCATGATAGCGCGGTCTACTGTAAGCTGGAAGAAGCAGAGATTGGCCATGCGGAATGCAGTGCTGTGAAAGAGGCTTACCTTAAGCAGAGGTAGGAGGAATGCTCGTGATGATGTCACTTGCCAAGCATCGAGTACAACTCCACTATCTCTCCTCTCCGTAAGCAATGGATGTTCTGTCCCATCAAATCCTTTCACGGAATGCAAGCACGGGATGTTGCAAGCAATTGAAGCCCACGATAGTCATGTAATAGAGAAGTGAGGTGATAGCGCTAGCTCCCGAGTCAGAGCGCTTCTTTCTCGACATCGATTCGAGGGGTCATTGGTAGAAGCGCGTCAGTTTGTCGGTGTGGAAGACATCCCCGTGCTCTCCGCATGAAGCTTTCGTGGGGGGCGTCAGCAAAAAGCGTCACTATGCATCTGAAATCTGTTATCTTTTGACCTTTGACCGTCTCGCAACGAGGTAGGTTGAGTTCAGGGTCGTTTGAGACTGGTGCGGAAACTGGTCGGTGGGATTGGTGATGTCAGTGTGCATTGTGAGGCTTTTTTGTCCGGAGCTTTTGCTCAATTCGAGTACGAACTCGGGGAGCCGCTTAACTATTGGCATCAGAACCACTCTTGAAATTTAACATTGTGATTGGATGAATGGATTGCTTTCGATTTCCCCCAATTTTTGAATAACCTAAAGCAACATCATGTGAATCCCACCCTGTCCCGTACGCCACATTATTCTATCGTTGGGTATTATGCTGCTGCCACTTTTGCCGAGTATTTTGTAGCCGCCTTATCGAACAACGAGGACTTTTCTTCGAGATCTTGGAGGAAATGGTGGTTTGGAGCAGTGTTTTGAAGATCACTAAAATGATCTGTTAGCTTCTCTCTAAGAAGAATCCAGTATGAGACATACGCCTTCAATTGCTTTGGATCCTTGCCAGCAATGATTTCGAGAACAATACTGTTGGCAATTGCCTCTATGTCCTTAGGGTCCTTCGCCAAAGCCTGCTTGAGTGCTGCCTCTGCCTCTTCTAATCGACCCAGGTGGATCTCCGCAACAGCTTGTGATATCAGACTTTGATTCGCAGATGTCGATGGAGCTTGTGCGAGTTCCTCGAAGACATAAAAGGCTTGTTGGTACTTCTCTCCGCCCTGTTTTTGTCAGTATATGGCCATTGCGGATGCCCTTCAAAACGCACCACTCGTAAGCCAAGCCACGACTCTGCAAGGTTGACAAGTAAACTATCTTGAGCCCATTTTCTGGCAGTCGCGACTTCTTTGATAGCTAAATCGGTGCGATTCTGCTCCAGGCGGATCTGAACGATAAGGGCAACAGCTTCAACTATAGGTTTGGATCAGCGTAAGTCCTACTTGGATGTAGAACCAGACTTACGATTCCCCTGATGTTGAGAGAGCAGTGCCAAAGCCTCTTCACTCTTCCCAGCAGCCTGCAGAACCGTCCCAGCCAGAACCTGGACCGTAGAATTATCCCCAGCCTCGCTCGCCAGCTTCTCGGCCGTCTTCACAGCCTTGCTCTCATTTCCAGCCTTGAGATCCGCCAGCGCTCCTACAGCCACCAACTCGACTTCCTGCTCGCCCTGCACATCTGCGACGACATCCTCAGCCTGTCCGAGGGCGATCTGGGCGCGGAGGGAGATGATGCGGGCGGGGAGCTTGTTCTCTTCGCAGAGGCCAGCGGTGTCGAAGTCGATGGCTTCTTGGAATTGGCCTTGGTGGAAGAAGTTGTGCAGGTTGAGCAACTCGCCTTCTGCTGAATATGGATCCATCGTGAGTTGTGTGATGTGATGTGAGCGTGGTTAAAGATTGAAGGTATTCGCAGATACGTGTTTGAAGGCCAGGGGAGCCAACGGATCTTGCCGGTGAGGGTTAGCGTCAACCAGGGTGGGGGCCCATCTGTGGGCCTGGGATTTCCGCCTCTGCTCACACCTCATCCAAACGTTGCTGCTCGTCCGAGATCTTCTTCTCTGAACGACATCGATATATTTCCGGATATCTGCCCTTCAACCTTTCCAAGTGTCTTTGCTCTTCCCAGCTTCTTCTTCTTCCCAGTCAATAAATCTCGAACTTCTTGTAAGTCGAGATCCTTCCCACTGGAAGGACAAATATTTGAGGGTCGCTTCCATCCAGCAGCCCTCTTCCTCATAAACCCCATATATGAGCATACGACTGTATCTCTATCTCCGTGATCATCTTCCGACTCTGTCATCAAATCAGATGTATCTGAGATCTCCGAATCATCAATAGCCAACGTCTCGTGCACATTCCTCCAATATTCTTTAACTACATCTTGTCGTCTTGTTTCCTGAACCTTGTGTTGAACCTCATGGCAAAGATTGTCGTAGAAGAGGGCGTCCATCCATTCGAGGTGGTGAGCTTCTTCCTCTTTCAAGCACCGCATTAATGGTTCGCCTTCGAAGTATCGACGATGCCTTTGAAGTTTCTGCTCCACGGTCTCCTCGATGTACTCCTCCACTTCTGACTCCATGCCGTTGTCGCTCTTCTCGTAGTCGCTCTCGCTACTGTCACTGCTCCACCTCGAAATATCTGTCTCAGCAGGCTCTATATTTCGTGATGTAGGCAGGCGGTCGATAAGGCTGTCAGTCAGGCCCAGTCCTATTCTTGAGACTCTCTGTCGGTTGAGCCGTGTTGGCTTCTCCCACCTATTTGACGAGCTCTGCAGTTCGTCCCTGAAATAAAGTCCAAGTCCCTGGAAGACTCTGGCTTTTTCAGCGATCGACGCGGCCTTTGACGCCATAATGTCTTTGAGATGAGTTAACAGACTAGAAAGACTCTTCTTTTGACTTCCATCTTTTGTTGACACTGCACGACCTTTAATAATAGCTTGAGTGGACCTGAATTATTCACTACCCACAGTCGCTGAGTCTATGTATAGTACGCTATGAGCTCTCAATACGTCTGAGCATTCACAACCCATTTGATTCATCGTCATAGGCTCACAGCCACTCTCGCCAGCTTTGCTATCTATTAAGCCTTCAATCTCAAGACTTCTCCTCAAAGGTCCAACCGAGGCAACTACCACTTACATCAAAAAATTCAAGCTCCAGCAGGATATCGAGATGGGGGCAAATAGGAGACTCAGCGACAAGCATAAAGAGGCGTTGAGGAATATTTATCCTGAACTCAAGGCGTTGCCTCCAACCTGGCAGTTCTTCATCGATGATAAAGATGAAGTGAATTATTATATCGATTCTGAGAACAGGAAAGTCAAGACTCGCGACCATCCTAGGCTTGGGAAATTACCCGAGCACTGGGTGTTCAAGGTTGTGGAGGAGAATAAAGACAATGGCTTCATCAGACTCGGGTACTACAATAAGAAGTCTCGAGAAGAAGAGCGCTTTGATCCGCGACATACTCCGAAAGCTTTCCAAAAGATTCAGAAAGCAGCAGAAAAGACAGATGGTCTGGAAATAGCGGCATCACTTAGGCGGTCCACGAGAAGAGAGCCCATGGAGTTGATGAAACGTCAGCCTATCGGTGACACCAATATTCGATCGAAATATGAGATTATGCACGTTATTGACGATGGCGGTGGAGGTCTTGGTGCGATGAATGGAGGTGTGTTTGTTGTTAGAATCAAAGGCCATACACGTCTTAGTGTCGAGAAACGGTATGCAGCATCTGCCGCATTCACTTTTGTTGTCATAAACTTGGAAACTATCCTCAGTAAACTTTCTGACCGTTCATAGATTCAAGCCAGACGGGTTGGTATATGGGTACAAGGAGACGGAAATGCTTCATCGACTGAAGCATGGATCCCTGTCTTTCTATACCGCCGGATTCATCGACAAGAGACTGGGCATAGGATCGGTTTATGTCGAGTTCTGTGATCGTGGTTCTATGGACGACGTCTTCGACAAGTACAATAAGCGCAACATATGGGCACGGGAAAACAACAAACCGCTGAATCGTGTCCCTGAAGGTTTTCTCTGGCATATCCTTATCGGCCTGGTCGACGCAATGGCATACCTCGCAAACGGACGTAGCTATGTGGACCCCTCCGTACTCGATACCAAGCCAGCAGACAATTGGATTCCCGTCGTACATAGGGACATCAAGCCCGACAATGTGCTGTTCAGATCGAGGGACACTCTGGGAAGTACCAAGTACCCTTACTGTGTCGTCAGCGACTTTGGGCTTGCAACCGATGATGTAGGCCCCAACCACGAAAAGGCAGACCACAATCACCTCGGAGGCTATCAGTGCGGAACAGCTACCTATTATGCACCAGAGCTATGCTGGCATCCATACCCCATGCCCGGCAGGAAGGAACAATCTCAAAAATTCGCTGACGGCAACAGACATACCAACAAGTCAGACGTCTGGGCTGTCGGCGCATGTGTCTACAACCTCGCCATCGCCGAATCACCACGTGTGAGTGGTCAAGCAAGATGGGGCGGTAGCCAGGCGTACGCGCATCTCAAATTCCCCGCACCGAAAAGTCTTGATATCACCGCCTGGATCCACGGAAGAGCTTCTCGCGTGATGGAACTCGATATTGGCGACGACATTGGATATTCCCCGCAGCTTCGCAAGGCGATCATCATGGCGACCGAGTGGGACCCTGATAAGAGACCACAGTCGGCCGAGTTAGTGCAGATGTATAAGAAGATGGTGAGGGAGGCGGGACATCATGTTATGGCTCCTGAGCAGTTGCCTGAGTGGGCGTTCAGGGTGCATGACTATCACAGTGAGAAGCCTCGTCCTGCTGAGTAAGAGGAGATAAAGACGAAAGCTTGTCCAGGTCGGTCTAGTGATCTCGACTTGTAACATCACGGTCCGAAACGACATGCTCCGTTGAGGGCACTAGTCTATGAAGGACCGAAAGCTCCCAGGAAGAGGCGTTATCTTATGTCAATCTTTTCTCCCAAGGTGTATTGTAATAGTAACAATAGTAGATAGGGTACAAGTTGTATATGGAGGGGGAAGTCTGGCTTTATGTTCTCTTACGTTCCAATCTACCATTGAGTGGTAATCCAATTGCATCAATACTCGTCCGACTTTTTCCACTTCAACTTCCCACAAATTAGTTCTCTTGCCAAACCGTGTTGGGCATTTCACGATCTCACGGGTTTGTAGGCCATATACTGTAGATGCTGTGGGATGTTCCCTGAGTTGTTGTAGTGAGAAGGTAGTTCCATCCCTCTCTTTTTGGTCACAGATTTGGCTGTGAACCAATTTGAATCCACAGTCAGCGAGACGTCAGATGAGGAGCGGGAGACGCGAGTCAGGCGCTTTTTCTTGTTTTCCCGTGAGCATCGAGCCGCAAGTGTAAGTCGATGGCACCTATCAGTAATTTATTTCGAGGATCTTCTTGTTCTGCTATGAGAGCAACGTTCAAATACTTCTGGAAGAACGTCACGAATTTCCTGCTGGAGATGCAGCTTTTGTCGAGGCTTCGCTGAGTACCGCAAAATCATGATGTACGAGTGACAAGAAAGCAGAAGCTGTTTCACCAGTTTACTGGGATACCGAAAAGCTTCACCTCGAAGTCTGAAAACCGGGGCCCTCAAAAAGCGGCTCTATTGTGGTGGGGACATTCGCGGTAGTTAGTCCATCAACCCGCTTTCGAAGCCCTCTTCAACGAATCACGATCAAAGAAAGTGTCCATCCGACAACCGAAGTAGAAGAACTCACCTAGAAGCCTGTCAAAACCTTCTCCACCACCCCGCTATGCACGGATTACCTCTTCCTGGAGCGAACCCTACCGAAAGGGTGAATTTTTTAAACTTTTGAAAAAATTCACCCGAGGAGTAGCACCGGGTCCACTTTTCCTGTACACGCTTCGGATTTCCTGGACGGGCTAGGATGTCACGACCAGGAGAGAGATGGTTCCTGACTTGCTTTCCCACAATTCCATCCGTATGTGGGAGTTTCTATGGAGAATGCGTATCTGGTTATACTTTGTGCTGGGGCACGGGGTTTGAGTTTTCCTCCGCAGAAAAACAAATCGGTCCGAAAAGAGGCCCATGGGGATGGGATGAGGAGTCCCCGTTGTTATGAAATGCCTTTTGCAACTGGGACCGATTCTTTGGGTCCGATCGTTCTATAAAGCTGTTAAAATTCCCCCGTCTGGGACGTGTTTCTGTATCCTGGATCATCAGCTTATCGGTTCTCTCATCGACGACGTCTAATCCTCGAATCGTCCAACATGGGTCTTATGCTTAAAAAGCCGGAGGGAACTCCAGGTCGATCATGGCCGGCTATCATGATTGGCTTGTTTGTAGCCTTTGGTGGAGTGTTGTTTGGGTATGTTAAAGTTCACCGAGTCCATGTACTGACCTCGGTACTGATGCGTCCTGCGATAGTTATGATACTGGAACCATTGGAGGTATCTTGGCTATGCCATACTGGCAGAAGGAATTCTCCACAGGATACATTGACAGCACCGGAAACCCCAACATCTCAGCTTCCGAGTCCGCTCTCATCGTCTCGATCCTGTCTGCTGGAACTTTCTTTGGAGCTCTTGCTGCTGCACCAATTGCTGATGCTATCGGTCGTCGTTGGGGCTTGATTGTCTCCACGGCTATCATTTTCAACTTGGGCGTTATTCTGCAGACTGCTGCTACTGAGCAACCAATGTTCATCGCTGGTCGCTTCTTTGCTGGTCTTGGTGTTGGTTTAATCTCCGCTATGAGTAGGTTCAAACACGTTCGATGAATTGAGTTATCATGCTTATGAATGTCTACAGTTCCACTTTACCAGTCCGAGACTGCACCCAAGTGGATTCGAGGTGTGATTGTTGGCTCATACCAACTTGCCATCACTATCGGTCTCTTGCTAGCCTCCATTGTTAACAACGCCACTCAACACCGCGACGACACAGGATCCTACCGTATCCCAATCGCAGTCCAGTTCGCCTGGGCCATCGTTCTCGTCGGCGGAATGCTAGTCCTCCCAGAGACCCCTCGCTTCATGATCAAGCAGGGTAAACTCGAGGCCGCGACCAAGGCCCTCGCCAAGATCAGACGACTTCCAGCCGATGACCCAGCTGTCGTGGATGAGCTTGCTGAAATCCAAGCCAACCACGAGTATGAGCTGAGTCTTGGAAAGTCTAGCTACGCAGACTGTTTCAAGGGCAACCTCCTCAAGCGTCTTCTTACTGGATGTGCTTTGCAAGCATTGCAGCAGTTGACTGGAATCAATTTCATCTTCTACGTAAGTCTCTTCAACAATGTAAATACATGTCTTTTGAGCCTTGGCTAACAATCAAAATAGTACGGAACTCAATTCTTCAAGAACTCCGGCTTCACCAACTCCTTCGTCATCAGCTTAATCACCAACTGCGTCAACACGGCCTCCACTTTCCCGGGCCTCTACGCCATCGAGAAATGGGGTCGCCGCCCAGTCCTCTTCTGGGGCGCCATCGGCATGTGCGTCTCGCAATTCATCGTCGCCATCCTCGGCACCACCACCACCGGCCAAGACATCGCCGGCAACATCATCGTGCACAACGAGCCCGCCCAGAAGGCCGCCATCGCATTCATCTGCATCTACATCTTCTTCTTCGCATCCACCTGGGGTCCCGTCGCCTGGGTCGTCACAGGCGAGATCTTCCCGCTCAAGGTCCGCGCCAAGTCCCTCTCTATGACTACCGCTACCAACTGGCTGCTCAACTGGGCTATTGCCTACTCCACTCCGTACCTTGTCAACTGGGGTCCTGGAAATGCGAATCTCCAATCTAAGATCTTCTTTGTTTGGGGAGGATGCTGTCTTATCTGTATTATCTTTGTGTATTTCATGATTTATGAGACCAAGGGTCTTACCCTTGAGCAGGTTGACGAGTTGTATGGTGAGGTTAGTGTTGCGAGGCATAGTATTGGGTGGGTTCCTACTGTGACGTTTAGGGAGATTCAGGATGGGAAGGGCCATGAGAAGGTGGAGCATGAGGATACCACCAAGGTGTAAGGCGAGCCGGGTAACCGTCAAGATTCACTTGGTTGAGTCGATGATAGTGAAGTGGCGGATGGTCATGACAAAATATGTCAAAAATAATGTTAGAATTAGATGTGTGTATACTCCACGACGAATGTTGTTCCGATAGAATAGAACTTACGAATGAAGATATTTCTTCCACGGTCGCTTGCCGTCGTATTTCGAGTTCGTTTCTGTAATGATATTATTTGCTGGATGGATTGCTTGTTGGTATTTGAACTGAAGAATTTATTTGTTGGAGCTGCAGTCAAACAAACAATGTCCATACTTGCTGCTGTGATTCACTGCATCAGCCTGCATCTACCGCCTGTGAATCGCCCAAGACGAATCCCGCATCGCCAGCAGTCTAGTAAAGGCTAGCAGTACCTCGCATCTTGATAAGAACCCCAGCAGTACGCGCCCAATGCTTCAAACTACACATCAAATGTTCTTCTTGATATTGATCTTCGAAGTTTTCGAACAAGGGAGTTGTTTTTGGATCGGCTAAGTTTCGCCAAGCGAGCCCTCTGCTTGTTCAGTGAAAACATTACTCGCCAGACAAGGTTCAATTCGCATCTCTCATCTCCCAAATCTATCACTGACTCAGCTCGGCTTCTACTATATATTGCTTAGGTGTCTATGAGCTATGATCGCATATATACATTCTAACGCTAGATTCTGTCCATGCAAATATCCAAATGTCCGAGTAATGAAGATGTAATAACAACATCGGAAGATGCCCCTCCCGGTTAGCCATAAATTCTCCTACCACTCCTCGAAGGACCCTCCATTCTCTAAAGATTACTCATATCATACGCACTCCTCTTCCTAATCTGCTTCCCAAACTTAAACAGCACCCAAGGAACCGGCATCAGCGCCACAGCGATGAAGCCCAGTAAGCTTGTCGCCCAATCGATTCCAAGATTTCTGTACATCTGAAGAGTAAAAAGCGGGAAGACACCACCGAGCGTGTACCGCAAAAGACCATTCGCTGCGACTGCAGAAGCGCCGTTCAGCGCTTGGTAGGCGTCGATGAGATATGTTGCTGCTGCGATGAAAATGCTGAGATTGCCCCAAGCGAAGGGTATTGCTGAGACGACGGGACTGGCCCAGGAGACGGATGAGCGGGCTGTCCATGCGAACCACTAGATACCCATTAGTATCATTCTCTCCAAGGATAATGCTCCTGTCCAGTCATACAGGAAGCAGATGCTCTCGTGTAAGTAGGGGACGCCTTACAAAAAGTCCTATTGGCAGCCCAAAACTTCCAATCATTGCAGGATATAACCTGTACTCGGGAGCCACAGCTCCACTCCCACCGTTCCGCTTTGCTTCTCTGACTTTCGGCTGATATAACCAGTAGTCACAGGCGAGTACAGTTGGAACTGCAAGGACACAGCCTATACCGATAGCTAGGAAGACCAATCCTGCTTGCTCGACTGTGAAGCCGTACACGCTCTTGAACACGTACGGATATGCGGCGAAGAAAGCAAAGAGGACGGAGAAGTTGAAGGCTACGTAGAGGCTGTTCGTGGCGTCAGACTCGTCCATCTCAAACATTCACGTTTCACGTGTCGGGAGAATTGTGAGGATGACTCACGAAAGGAAAGCCACGATCGGCTCGGTCATCAGCATGTGCAGTGGCCGGATCAACGTCACAGTGATCAAGAATCGAATCTTGGCCGAGCGGCTTGGGAATGGCGAAGGTGGTGGTGGAAGCTTGCGACGTCTTGCCCGCCTGGTCAAGATGGTGTTTTTGTGCGTTTCGCGGGCGAATGTGGTGAGTATGAAGGCGAAGATTGCGAAGAATATCAGCGTCCATTGTGTCCAGCGCCAGTCTTTGCGGACTGTTACGAATGCTCCGATCACAGGTCTGTTGATGTCAGCTATGTCCTTGTATATCGCAGTGAAAGTCCTTTTGAAGGATACGAGGGATAAGCCAGACTCGACTTAGGCAAGACGGAAAACATCCCCCAAGGCAGGCCCCAAGAACGGACTCAAGATGTAGAGCGCTGACGGCACAGCTCTATTTTCAGGCTTATTTACATCGGCAATGCTCCCAGCTCCAATGGCTAGTGCAGGGGAGAAAGCCAGGCCGGAGAAGAATCGAAGGATGCATAGCGTTTCGATATTTTGCGAGAAGCCAGTGCCCATGGTGAAAAGTGCGCCAAGTGGCGCGGATGTCAAGTAGACAATATGTCGACCATAGGTTTCGGAAAGAGGTGCTGCAATGATAGGTCCAAACCCCAAGGCCAGAACGTAGAGTGTCAGTGGGAGAAGAGCGACAGTTGAGGAGACATTCCATTTCTCCATGATGGTTGGGAAGGCTGGTGTGTATATTGATGAGCCTAGAGTGCTGGCGTGGTGTTAGATCTGGTTCAGAGACTCGACTTGATTGGATGGATGACTTACGCAGCGAAGGATATGACGGCCGGTGGTACAACATGGAATCGTCGTTTCCATTTTGGCCAATTTATGGGGTTTTCTGGGTCGTCGGGTCCGTCCCAGTCCAAAACTGCGGGACGAGTCTGCTGTTCCTCATTTCCTTTTTCAAGGTCTCCATTTGACGTATCTACAGGGTTTTCGGTTTCTTCTTTCTCAAGGTCTCTGTCTGCATCTCTATCGTGCCCATGAGTAGAGAGGGTGGCCGATGAGGAAGTGCGTGGTGAGTCTGCCATTCTGAGGAAGCGTCGAACATGCGTTTTAAAGTTGTGGAAACTTGGGGACATGACACTTTATATCCAGGCCAAGAACAGACTGTCAACGTAGTCTCTAAGACATATGCAAGTAAGACTTTGGTTGACCTCGTGGCTGTTGCTGAGATGCACACCCTTGGTGGTTACGTTCTGTATAATTACCAATCATCCAGTTGAGCCGTACAAATAAACAGATGATTGAATAGTAATCATATGAAACGACTGCCGAGAGCCGCACATGCGGTATGCAGGGTCTTGACAGAATCGAGTTACCGTTGCGAGCTTTAGAAATCCAGCGAGTTCTGAGATCTGGAAAGGTCGAATGGTGGATTTTCTCAGTAGAAATGATGCTGTATGGATCCACACAAACGTGTAGAATGACTGTGTCGGTCAGCCAGAAGGGACAGAAAAGTACAAACAGTGCGATCTAAACCGAAGAATCAAAGATTTTGTAAGAAGCCGGTCGCTGGGAATAGGGAATAGCAGCAATCCAGAACTTGCCCCGCTCCCCTACCAAGCTCGAAGCCACCGCGCAATACTTCATCCAGGGATCCTCGCTTCCATCGCTTGCACCAATCACAGCCGAACAACCAAGGAGCCTCCAAGCCACATTCGTGATAACTCAACGTCAGATTACTGATCATCAATTTAAGCTCGGCTTCCGCATATCTTCCGCACGCTATTCGATTTGAGTCTAGTCTTGCAATCGAGAAGAGCAACTTTGGGTACAGATGCAAATTGAGTATGAAAGCGGACAGGACTTGCTGTAGATCAAAAGAGGCTCCAAGGGCTTCGAGAAGCTATCATAGAGAAGTGGCAGGTTGAGATTGGTAAACTTACATCTGGCAAGGCAAAAAACGCAAGTCTTGGCACATCCTTTAGTGAAGAATGCCAATATGTACCAAGTATCAAGAAATCCATGTCACATATATAGGTTCATACGTCAAAGTAAGTCTATGCTTGCTGAAAGGATCAATAACACACTTTACTCAACGTCTTGCAACCACTTCCTACACGTGCTTGTTACTCGCTGTCTCCTCTCTTTCCGCTCTTCAACTTTCCTCAACTTCTCTAGTCTTTTCGATTCCTTCAACTCCTTCTCCTTCTCGAGAACCCGAGAACGTTTCTGTAAGTCGCGTTCTTTGCCACACAAAGTCCAGATTGTCTTCCCCACAAGGCCTACATCAATGAAAAATCCTGTCCAAGCCACGTAGTCCACTATGCCTTTCTCTCCGCCCCAGGGGCTGCGAGCATGCAACCCGTATCCCAGCAGCAAGATCGCGAAGCATAGTATAATCTCACAAAATGCGTTGCCTGCTTTTGTTTTCCATCTTACTTTCCATTCGGCTTCTCTATTTCCGGATTTGGCATGATGTGATCTCGTATCTTGTTTCCCTGCCGAAAGAGTCAGTTGTTGTTGAACGTCCCATCGCTCTGTGCAAAATCAGAATTTGGGTGAAAGCAACTTACCACAACTCATTAAAATGCATAGTACACCTGTCATGAGGCCAATGAGGCATAGCAGGATGTCACAAGAATCATTCGAAGCCACCTTCATCATTTCTCGGAAATTCGCTCCTTGCTTCGCTAGCTTCCCCCTGCACTTTGTTTGGGCGGTCTCCTCGAAGTACAGTTGAGGGCATGAAGAATACAGCTCTAAAGTGCAAACTGCATACTTTCAATTTTACTAGTCAATGATGTAGTGTGGTGCTAGTGATAGTCCACCTGTGACTTAGGGCCTGGTCCTGTTCTTCGTGCGGGGATGACGCCAGCTAAGCTCCATGCAGGCTTACTGAAATATATAATTTACATCGATAGGATGTTCTATCACGGTAGAGGTATACTTCTTTCTTCTACCTGAAGTCACGATCATAATTGCATGTAGACTCATTCAGAAGCGAAGCCAGCAAAAACTTCCATTCAGGTTCCACGTCTCCATCATGCCGCCCTCGCTTAACGTCCAACTATTATTGACATAGCGCGGCCGCCAGTTACACCCACACCCACGCACACACTATAATCCCATGAAATCGTCAAGCGCAACCCACAATGCGCAACAGCCGTAACTTCATGTTCCATTCATGAACATATTCCCTCAGTCAATCCATTGATCCCATCAACATGATACAATATTAGACATTCTTCCTCCACGATCTTCTTCTCGATTTCGTCTCCTCCTTTCCAATCCCGTTGCCATTATTATTATTTCCATTATCCAATGGCATATATATACCTTCCATTACAGCATCTGCATGATGTTTGAGAGACAATATAATACTGTATATTCCCATGCCATTATACAGGCCCAGCAGTGCTTCCCAATCCGTTCTGTCCATTGTGTATAATGTTGTTCCGAAGCCCGTGAATTTGTTGCATATTGCTTCTGCGTTTTGTGAGGTATATCGAAGTTGAACGACGCAAACTTCGTAGATCCAGGCTTTGCAGTGAGCATTTGTCCCTATGAAAACATAATGTTAGTATGCAAGCATGAGTCGGATACATATATGCATGTACTGAAAGAGTTACAGAACATTTAAGATTGTCTCAAGACATTGAAGATAGAGATGAATGCTTGGAGAATGACTTACATGTCCATTGTGGTATACTAGAAGCTGTGATTCTTGGTCTTGATGGTGATACTGTTCTTTGTCTCAAAGATGGTGTTGGTGATGGTATTGCGACATCTTTTTCTTGTTGTGGAGAGGAGGATTTCTTGAGCGTGATGTGGCGTCTGATGAAGGAGTGTGGGAGGATCTTGAAGCAATCCATCTTTGAGTTTTGTTTGCTTGATTGATTTTTGGAGACTTTATTGTTTAGAATGTGAAGTTGATATGATATTGTGGTGGGTTGTGGATGAAACTGAAGGTAGGAGGTACGCCTGCGCCGAATATATCTTGGAACTCAGCGCTACAGCCAAGCGTTGACCCACGAATAATTAGAAAATCAATTGAATAGCATCGTGATAATATAGTGCGAAAAATGTTCTCGAATATTCAATTCTGGCCATACTGCATGCTCGTCACGACGTGGACTCAGTACCATCTCTCTAGCGCAGCTCAGAACCACGATTCAACTTCTCGCTTATTTCACGCCTGCAATGTTGAACCAGACATTGGAATTGAGACTTTTCCCTATCAGAAGCTGTCGAACCGACTTTCCCATCCATTTGCTCATCTCATTCCCAGGAAGGACCTCGAATCCTCGAGGCACAGCCCTTTTCCCATCGCTCCTCTTAAGTAGTAAATCATATGTACTTCTCACTCTTTCCCTCACGAGTGACAAGATCCAGTTCGGCTCTTTGAGTGAGATATGAACTAGGTTCAAAGACTATATGAAGTTTCTCATAAGTGCCTAGCCTTCGTCTGCGGTGAAGTTGAGAAGCATGGTGTAGACAATAAGAGGCCATTTTCTGCTTTGAATGTTGGAATTCTCCTACTGGGGGGTATCATATGCTGTGAGATTCTGTGATGAAGGAACTGAAGTGGATGTTGCAACTCCTGTGCTTGAGGGTATGTGTGGCTAGACTTCACTTCCGGAACCTTGAGAACCAAGCAAGGACTGCCACACCATAACTAGCATATGCGCAACAGCTCGAATGGTATCACTTGACGTTGAAATAGCTCCTGAAGCGATACAACAGACAATTATAGATAGTGCCGAGTGCGTTAGAAGCAAAAAATATATTTGCGAATGACCACCCTGCGTCACCAGGCATGAAGCTCGTATTTTGTGGACCAGATCTGCTATCCAACTATCCTTTGCAACCAATGCAGCTTCAAACCTTTAACTGCCACCAATAACCATGAGTCCAAACTTTCCACTCTGCACCATAGCCAGCATGGCCAACCCTGTAAGCAACACCTCAACTTCCCGTCCTTCCATACCCCTCATGATCTCGAATCGTCCCAATTCAGTCGTAGAGAACACTTTATTGCGAAACCAAGCACACACCTCTCCCCTCTGATCCACCAGCTTAAAGTCCCCAGACATGATGTCCTCAGCTTCCCAATGCATCTTCTGCTCCAAGACTTTCTCGTCTGCGTACTCGTTGTTAGATGCGCCGGGGGAAACGTAGGTATAGGATCTTGTGAACATCTTCTCGCGATAGAGAAGAATTGATCGACTATGTAGGAGAAGCTTGACGTTCGTGGTGAGGATAGAGAAGGATGATGAGGCGATTGGTACGCCGTTGTTTGGCGTGGAAGGAAGGATCTGGAAGGCTAGTGGAAGACATTTGACTGTGTATAGGCTGGTTCTATCATCTGAGTCGAGGACTGAGAGTGCGAGGCCTTTGTAATAGACGTGTAAAATTTGAGCTGGAAGACCCATCTTTGTTGTGGACGAATGAGGACTGGAAATTTCTCGGATGAAGGATGTGGAGCTTGACAGTAATTGAAAGCTGTTCGATAATGCACGACTCATCTCTCTATGAATATCGTCGGGTTTATATGCACGGCATGGGCTCGTTCAGTCAACCTCGTTTAGTTGTCTCGTTTAGCGAGTGCAAAGGGTACATAACAGTTCCAGATGCTCAACTGAACGAGCGAGCCAATCTCATGCAATACGATTCTGTTCCCTAAATTTCCCTTAATGACCCTGGTAGCATGAGGAACACTCACTTCTGAGCAACTCAATGTCCTCCCTCTTCGGGATTAGTGATTTGTTGCTCCTCAACTGCCCAAACGAGCGGACCAATAAGCGATGTGGCTTGAGGCTAAATGAGGGCGGCACAGCCAATGGAACCTTGGATGTTCATTTCCATGGGACCCCGATCACCTGAAAGTTCTGATGGCATTCTCTCCGACACAGGAAAAAATTGCAGCGAATTCTTAGCTGGTGCCGCAGAATAAGATAGTCGGGTGTGGACGCTTCACTCGTCCAGCAACTTGAATTGCTCCTCCCAAATTACCAGCTCCCCATCGGACTCATGGCGGTACCTCGCACAAATCAACCTTCCCCATCCGATCCTCTCAGAATGAAATAGTACGAGAATATCAGAGCATCGTGCCACCTCTCCAACATCGCTACTTTCGAGGACAAATTTGCCCGCTCTGCGCTCCTCTAACTCTACAACTTTAGTCATAAACTTGGCAATCATCTTACCATCCCACATGCCTTCCTGACATGGTGCCTTTATCATCAAAGAGATAGCCTCGCGTCGTATGCGCGGGCATCGACATTTGTATGCTGTAAGATAGAGAGCTGGTATGATGCCCGAGTCGAGCGCGAAAACGGGAGTGGCTCTGCTTTTGGTGGACTGTAGGTCAAGATACTGCTTCGAAAGCTGCACCACTCTTTGAAACAATTCATTGAAATTGTCGCATAGTACTTCTTTTGTCGTCTGACATGTCGAAAGTAGTAGATATGCATAGAAATGCTGCAGTTCGAGTAAAATCAATGAACGCATGTGATCAAGCTGGACCCTGGGCCTATTCTTCAGCTCGTCAAAAGCTGAAGACCAGACCGATAGACTCTCTCCTAGTTCTCCAAGCTCGCATAATAGTAAAGGATGATCTTCGAAGTTTATCGATCTCGTGGAAGCATGGTCCCATAGATATCGAAACAATAGTTCAAGCGGGATTGCCGGGGTACATTGAGAACCAATCTCGAGAAGCTTCCCACGAAAGCGAAGCATGCCGTTGGACAGCATATCCATATATCTCCGGGCTTCAAGAATACTCTCAAATTTGGATGGTACATGCAATTTTTGATCGATGACCCCGGAGGATGTGACATGCAAGTGCGGGGCTCGTTGTCCAAACATCGTAGACTCAAAGTCTAGTCTTGTGAATGAAGCTGATAACTGGTCGACTAGATTTTCCGACGTAGGCTTCAATTTCAAGGTGTTCTTGTGTCCCAAGGTTTGCGATACTCGAGATGTCAGAATCTTGAGCCCCGTATCCAGATGGTTCAATGCAGTCATCGACTTGCCCCAGAGCAATTCGAGACAGACAAACAGCAGGCAGCACATCATCGCAACATCGTTTGCTCTCTCATCTCCCGGCTCACGAACATCATCAATCCTTTGACGCAGAAACTCGATAGCTTTGACGTATTGCCTGAGCCCGTTGGCCTGTCTCTTGTCCAAGCCATGGTAGAAAGCGTTTTGACGTGCCACTTGGGTATCGCTCTGATCGCGATGAACAATTCCCACTGCAATTGCAGCGTGAAGGACGGCTGGTTCCTGATGACAGACTTGTAGAACAAGTTGCTCCCAGAGATTCGATCGGAAAGCTCCTTGGATTTCGAAGACGGTGTTTTCGCGGAAAAACACAAATCCTTGTGCTTCACCAGATGCCAGATCAAGCGCGATTGTTGGAGTATATGTTATTGAAACTGTCTGTTTACGATCACATCTCGTCGCTGTCTGTGCGAGTATCTGAGAAGAAGCTTTATGAGTGAGGGACGGGGTATCGTATCCGTCGCACTTTCTCCCCGTCGAGGTGCAACGACGACACGCAGGTTTGGCTTCATCACACTTAACACGACGAATCCTTCTTATGTCAGTGATAAAGTCAAGGCAGGATATTTAGACAGTTGTGTGTTCAAGCTCACCGACAAGTCTTACACCCGGTTTTTGTCTTTGGTTTCTTAACCCGAATCCTTACCTTGGGGATAGTCATGAGGAACCACTGCTGAAGGCATCGATTAACGAGGTGGAATGCTCAGTGTAGAGTTTCTGCTTCGTTCGTGGCGGATGGAAGGGTACTTGTAATGAACTCGTCGAGTTGAAAGCGAGGATGCGACGTAAGAGGTGCTTACTGCTGCGGCACAAGCGTGCTTTCTCGCGTTATCCACGTGACATTTATTAGCAACCTGAGTACCGTACCTATAGGTACCTTACCTACACACTCAGCCCATTGGATGTTAAGGCTCTTGAGGTAATGATAGTATAAACTCAGTTGAATTGCTAGGTGCGAAGTCATACCAAGTCAATCACGCAAGTCAAGCAACACACGATAACTTTTCGCACTAAGTCAATAGCCAGATCGCCTCTCCTGTCTGGTCTTCGGCTTCGTCTACTCAAAAGAAAGAGAAACGCAACCTGAATCTCAAATTTCTTATGTTAAGTCCTGCAAGTCAGATCTAGGCTTCTCTCCAACAACTCATATCCCCGATAAACCAACAAAAGCGCAGTTACCGCAACTGCAAAGGCACAGCTCCAGACCAAAGTCCTTACCCCTTTCTGGTTTTCCTTCCATATGCATACCATCAGATGGCGAGTACGCTGGAGATAGACTGTCGTTGTTAGCCATCGTCAGACAACATACCAAGGTGATTGACCTTGACTTACACTGCTGTGAAAGACGAGATTTACCATGAATATGGTATGTCACTCCCGTGGGCCGTGGCCTCGACTCGATATCGGAGAATGACATTTTGTCTTGTTAAGAATTTTGTTGAGAGACATTACGTGAGCTGTATATCGAGAATATTGATACACCCTGAAAATCAGATTCGATTTTTGAGATTATATTAAGAGGTAGAATGATTGAGATGAAAAAATAAAATTGTTGAGCCTGCCAGGAATACAGCGACGAAATCAGGCGAAGATCGCATGCCATAAACACTTGCGAGAGAGGATAGAGGAGGTAATTAGATAATCATGATAGAACATCTGTCAGACAACCTCGGATGTTTATTACCTAGACTTGATAAGTTTGATCATGTATGATACAACTTCATAAGCAATCATTCCCTTCGTAACAGCCTGTGTTTCAATGTCAATAGACGCAAGCGAAAAAGCTAAAAGCTGTACAGCCACAACCCAACATCTCCATTAAGCTCTCACGCTCTAAAAACAAGAAAAATTCTTGATCAGAGAAATCAATTTATGAAGATTTCAGCTGCGAAATCAGTCATCATGATCCCATTTCTAGCTACCTATACCAACTCATCATTTTAGCTTAGTCAAATGACTCAGCAAGCTCGAGCTGCTGGGGCCAGGTATTTGATGCCTGAGTATAAGATGGCCAGTGCTTGAACTTTATCATCTACTATAGAACAATCTTATTGCCCCGAAACACGTTTTAGGCAGATACAAGCTCTCCTGAAAACCAATAATCCAGAAGGGTGGAGCCATGTCATGTAATCAGCCGTGACGCTTCAACTGCCCCGCGTCAAGGCGCGTTCTTTTTCTCCTCATCAATCAACCTCGGCAGCTGAACACCAGAAGCACACAAGCCACCATGCAACAGTCGTGGCCAGTTGTCAGAAGCTGAGGGTGTCTACTTACCCATCATGCAACATCACCGAGAGGATTGGGACCCATACTGTGTAGTTGGTCCTGCAAAACGCTCCATTCTGACGGGAAGTATAGAGGAGGTCAGAAGCGTCACGGAATTGCCTCTCGACGAGCGAACCAATTCAGTTCTGGCGAAGAGTACAATAGGACTTGATGGCGACTGGGTTTGCAGTTTCCTCTTTCGCTTTCATTCTTTCTTATATTCGGGTATATCTCTTCTACATCCTGCTTTTCTATTTCTATTTGAATCACCAAAGAGCTCCACCAAGTTTGGCTATGCTACATATTGACAGATTAGAACCAGAAATCCCAATATCTCTTCCACGCTGGCCATGTTGCCTTCTCCGTTCGCTCTGCATCCAACTCGGCCCTGAATGCGACAAAGTCGATTTCACGTCTGCCAGCATCGACATCAATATCAGCAAGCTTGACGCCAAGCTTCCAATCCCTAGTATACAGCTTGTATCCGAGGAAGAATGCGATCACAATTGGAGCGGCAAGATAACTTTGGAAGAATGCCTGGGCATCCGGTTTGCCTCCAATAGGCCACAAAGCGACATAAAATTGGGCGATTAGGCAGAGGATGTTGAGGCCAAGACCGATCCAAGAACCGATTGTTCCAAACATCGCGGCAAAAGGCAGGTCGTCTGTAGTACGCCCAGCGGCTGTCCAAGCCTGTCTGAACCGGATATGGGCAAAACAGACGCTCCCCCAAGTAAAGAAGTTGGACAGACCAGAAAGAGAGAGAAGCCAAGTGAAGATAGTTCCTCCATCCTTTGCCTCGTTGATGTATGCGAGGCAGCCAAAAAGGAGGACAACAATCAATACGACCCAGGGACGACCCTTTCTGTCAACCTTAGCACCAATTGCTGGTCCCATACCATTGGCGCAAAGAGCCTGGATAGTACGAGTGGAGGCGAAAGTGCAGGAGTTTGCAACTGAGATAACGGAGATCGTGATCACAGCGTTGAAAATGGATGGGAGAACTTTGATTCCTGCGAGTTGGAAGGACAAGACAAATGGAGAATAACGAGTGTTTCCTCCAGAAGCCGATGAAAGGTTCTCGTTATCGGATGGGACAATGAGTCCAAGGATGAACAAGGAGATGATATAGAAGAGGGCAATTCTCCAGAACACCTGCTTAGTGGCTTTTGGAATGGACTTGCGAGGATTGGCGGCTTCGGCTGCTGCCAAACCAACAAGTTCAGTTCCACCGAACGCGAAGGAGGCAGTGACGAAGACGGAACAAAAGCCCTTGAATCCGTTCTTGAAAGCTGCTGGATGGTGCCAGTATTTGGCTCCAATATAACCACGAGTGTCAGTTGGCACACCCCCGCAGTCAATGATTACACCGAGAATAATAAAGCCAATAATAGCGATGACTTTGATGCATCCGAGAACGAACTCGACTTCTCCGTATCCCTTGACACCGAAGAAGTTGATGGCACAAACTAGCACCAGGAAGACGGTTATCCAAACCCCGACGTCGATCGATGGGTTGCCCGAGCCATCCTTATCAGTCCAGAAGGCAATGGTGACACCAGCTACGGTCAACTCGAATGGCAAAACGACAAGCCAGTTCATCGCATAGTTCCAGCCCATGGCGAATCCCCAGGCAGGGTCGATAAATCGAATAGAGTAATTGTAGAAAGATCCAGCGACAGGGTAAAGGGCTACAACGAGTTAGTATGGAGCCGCTGTTACGAAAGGGTTGGGAACATACAAGCAAGTTCTCCGAGAGCATTTACAGTAAACAACAACATGAGTCCAGTGATCATGAAGTCGATGACAAGCGAACCAGGTCCTCCAGAGTTTAAGGCACTACCAGCTCCAACAAACAATCCCGCGCCGATGGAACCTCCAATAGCGATCATCTGCATGTGTCGACCCTTGAGGTTTCTCTTCAGCCCATGCTCGCCGACTTGGACATCTGGATGAGGGGAGGTAACAGATCCTGGGGATCCGCTCTCCAAGTCGGAGCCAATCTTCTCGTTGACGCCCATGTCTGTTAACCTTGTGTTTGCAACACAAGTATAGAGAAGTATATATAAGGAGGGTCGTCGACTCTGCACGCGCGGTGAGAGGAAGTGGTGAATTGATGGAGTTACACACGAGGCTTACTTTCCAGGTCCCAGGGAGGACATTCAGCCGGTTAAGTACTTCTCAGATGTTGCCTTATGCCACAGAACTCACCTCCCTTTAGTTGTCTAGCGGAGTCTTAGAGGAGACCCTGGGTATGGCCATATCAGCCCCGGCTAGCCGAAGATTGATGTCGCAGGTCTGCATGGGATCCGAGATACGGCCAAGACTTTTAATTGGCTGTCACGATCATTAGTGTTTCTCGCACGGCATGGCCGTCGCGACACAGGCACTAAACTATTTCAAAACCGCTCAGAAGGACAGGCTTACACGAGGGATGCCAGGATTTCTTGGACGATAATAAGCTTCCTTGGGGGCGCGAACCCGCTTTACCATCGGGCACAATAATCTAGCCTGTGGCCTGTCGGTATCCACCTGTCCCCAGTGGCGAATCCATAGATAAGGCTAGTGCCCGCTGTCGACGAGACCTCTGAGCCAACCAAGAATCGAATTGGCAAGGGCTACGAAGGAATTAGGCTTTAACTCAGGCCTTCGTTGGAATATCTAGCCAAGCTCGGGGGAGATTCTCAACACGCCAAACCCTCCGAATGTAACCTCAAAACCAAGTTGGTTGTATGCGAAACGGTACACAGAGATCAAAAGCATAACAAATTCTCACACAAGTTGACCTGACAGACCGAAAAGTTGATTCCTTCGATGGCAGCTCGATTTTGGATCCATTAACGTGGGTTTCAATGAGGGAGCATGGGGACTTGCGCGATAAGCCTCGACGTTCTGGCTTACCACAATAATATTTTAATCTGTTCCAGGGTCTGACATGTCGACTTTCCGAACGAGGAAAGCTTCTCGAAAAGGAACTCGTCGGGGTTTGAGAGTCAAGGTTCGAGACTGCGTCAGCCAACAGATCTCAAATGCTTAATCGGGCCGGATGCAGACCGAAATTGCACTTTCATTTTATTATTCACATATAATAGGCTGCTTATAATTTGGCGGAGAACGTCTATGGAATTATAGGCATGCGACTCGCGAGGTGCCGGGGAATTGGATGGGTCTCTGGAGAACCCTGTCAGTGTCATCAATGGTGAGACAGAGGAGGGGCTAGAGAGATATGCTCCACATATTGACCGGATTTCAAACACTTTGGGATGCTGTGCCATAAGTCGCATGGAATGACTTGCCTGACAGCTACAATAATCCATCGGAAGGTTTTGGCCGAATCAATTATCAAAAGCCAAAGACAGGCCGGAGCATCAACTGTGACTGGTTTTGTTGAATACTTACGACCATCCACACAACTAAAATATGCAGTCCTGGGGTCAAGACGCGCCACGAATCCCTTACATGGTGGACTATCTAGTGGCGAATATGCTACTTTGCGCATCTAGCCAACGAGAAGCCTGTCTCGACGCTTATGGCGCGAACCATCAAGAAGTTCCTGCAAAGAAGGAAGAAAAGCTTTCCGGAAAATTGCCTCATCTATCAAGGCGCTGTGCAACCATCTAGATTTGAAATTCTCAGCATCCCAAACGAGCGTCAAATAAGCCACGGCTTAATTCCGTATCTTTGCTATATTCGCTTTTCCTTGCTCGTGCAGGAACTGTTTCATCTTTCAACTTAACTCACTCTGGATATCTTCGGTTCAGCAATACACGGCTTTCTGAAGACGAGATACTCTTCGGAACTGGCAGTTCAGACGATTCCATTGCGAAATTTGCTGGTCTCTTCTCATTGGTACACTTGTCACCTTATCTCTGGGAAATTTAGGTGCTGACTTGCTTCCAAATTCTCTCCCGCCATCCGGTCAAAACGATGAGCCGTCCATCCTCCGGACGTCCCGCACCACTCAGACCAATAGCCAATCTATCGCCTCACGGGGGTGTCATATTCCTAATCGCAATCATCATCACGCGGTCGCTCATAATTACGGACTCCCCAATCAGTAAACATTCTGAGTGCTTTTTCTGCGACGAGAAATCGTCGATGCCGATTTATGATCAACCTAACGGAGGTAAGAGTGTCGTTGGAACGAAGCTTTGCCAACACCAATCGTCGCCGCCATGGCGCGGGCTCTTGGGCCTTGGCTACAGCGTTGCGCACTTGGCGGCTTCCAGACGCCTGGGGGCGGACGTGAATCCGTGCCGCTGTTGACAAGGTCATGCATACTCCACGGCGACTGTTTACCAGAACAGGCAGGTGTGTGACCGTTACTTCTGCGAGATCCTGTGCCGCATCTGCTATGATTAGGGACCTGGTACGAAGACGCCGATGGATGGATTTGTGTCTGGTGCACTGTTGTGGCATGTGTAGCTGTTTGGACTGCGCTCGTCCAACACTGTGTCGCCCCATGGGGTTTCATTCTAAACTCCCACGAGTCGCATTCGGTTTAAGGGCACTCCTGATACTTCGACGATAGATTCCATCGTCTCTGAAGGTTTGCACATCCCAGATATAGTTAGTGGATTATCAATCCCCTTCAAGCGCCCAAGGGTTCAGCAAATGCGCGGTTCCATTTCCTGCGCCATTATTCAATCCTCGAGCTCCTCCCTCTTTATCAGTCTTCTCTGACGGCTTCTGGGACTTCACGCCGTAGAAATATTTGTACCGACAATGCCTCAAAGATATATCCTCCAGGTGACTCAACCGCCAAGCTCTATTCGCTGAACAATTCCTACCAGATGTTCAGCAAACGATTCCGTTCGGGAAGACCCTGCCGCTACCATAATCAAGGCACATATACAAAAGACAAGGACGTTGTCCTACAATCAGGATTTCCAGGATGTGTCTGCGAACGATGTGATGCGACGGTACAACAGGATATTTATAACTGGCTTCGTAACTTGCCCGGACGTCCAGGTCAGATAGTAGTGCGAGTGCTGAAGTATTGCCGTTCCTGTATCTGCGATTGGAAATTCGGATTCTTCGAAGACATGCGGATGCTGGAAAGATGAATGAGCAAGAACATATCCACGTCAAGATTACTGATGATGTTGTGATAGTGGCATACACCTGCATGTTTCGGTATAACAAGATTCGAAACATCTCGGATGGGCATGAGGGCATCAGGGCAGGGTTCGCGATACCTTGTGCGGCAAGTTCAATATCTATCTTCGAGATTAGAATCTAGATTCATACCGGTTCTCACCAATTGAAGGCTCGATACCGAAGGATACGAGTGAACTTCCAGCAACGGATGGGATTTCGAGATACAGTAGTTTTCTTGTTTACGTGCTGTGTGAATGGTGGGAGTGCGCAGTCGAATGCTGGAGAGGCTACGTGGAGGATCCTGTTTGGATACGGTAATTCTCGCTCATCCTATGTTCTCTGTCTTCAGCAGCTTTCCCTTTCGCTTCTCGCAAATATTTTGCATTGTCCTCTTGCTTGTTGAGTGTCGTGGACAAGAAAACGCACTTTCAAACAAATACTGAGAGGTGCCAAGTTTAAATACGTGTGGAATAGATCAAGACGAATGTTTCGGAAAGAACTCGTGAGGCCAAACTACCAGGTCATATCTTCGTTTCCTTTGGTCGACTGGGGGTGGAGCAAAGTTTAAGTTGGTGTTGTAGACAAGAAATGCTTTTATTTCCATCTCCAGCTTCAGTTCCAGATCTTCTCATCAATTTCGTTGGGGAGAACCACTGCAGACACTCTAGGTGACCAGCAAAATGCTGTGAGCAGTCAGTTCTGCGGAGTTTAGCGAGCTTCTTTTACACTCCTTTGACACGTTAGCAAATCTCGGGATCGAAGGAGACACACTCTCAGTTCCTTTAAATTGCATGTTCGATATCCGTGTCGGGATTCATGTGTACAATGTGCGTGTTTGGATGAGGTGGGGAGTTTGATTATGCTGGACATTCTCCGAATCGAGATACTGCGACTCGCACTGAGCATCGAGGATCGATTTATTTTATGCTGACGGGGAAGCCTGCGAGCGGACTATGGAATGACATAGGCAGGTGATGTGAAAACGTCTCTCTCGACATGAGATCTGCTACGGGTTTGGGGATGCGGATTGGGGATGAAAGTGATTATGGGGAGTTGAGTTTATGATATGGTACGGTGAACGTTGTCCCTGCTAGCAGATTATGTTGGGGTCGGATCTGACAGTTCAGTCAGAGCCAGGTAGTGAATCTGGGGAGTGCTTGCCTGGGGTCAGCAAGCGTCGACGTTGAGGAATAATTGCTGGAATAGGTATGTTATTGACTGGTGGTACAGGCACTTTGTGGGGGGTTCAGAATCACGAAGCAAAGTTATGATTCCATGCGGAGGGAAGCCTATAGCAGAACTACAAAGAACATAGTTGTACGAGCTTCTAGGTGTTCTATATTAACACCGCATAAGAAATTCTCAAGCATATAAGTCGCTTCCAGGATGTTTGAAGGAAAACTACCAACTTGATGTCAACGGCGGACACCCAGAGTTGGGTGGGTATTCTTCTCACAGAAGAAAAGACTATCCTGGAGCCATCTGGCACTTTCAGCAGTAAAGATAAGAAGACTGTAAAGAAATGATAACACATGAGGTCGTCTGTACGTCAACTCATTGCCAGATTTGGCTCGCGTCCCTCAGTGGGGGCAAATCCACCATGTAGGGCTGATGGCGGGGTACATCTTGGCGATCTTCTTCCTGCCGCGACCCCACCATGGAATGCCTCAAGATCAACAACGTTCACGATTTTCATCTTCCGTCAAAGGCATTGATCCTGTTCTGATCTTATATTTATATTGATCACAACATTCAGGAATTAATCATCAGAAATCTCCAGAACACATCAACACGAACCATTAGCACGATCATCATGGCAACCATGAAAGCAGCAGTCATCTCCCAACCAGGCGGCCCCGAAGTCCTCAAAATCACAGAACTCCCCATACCAACTCCATCACCAGGCCAAGTCCTCATCCAAATCAAAGCCTTCGGACTAAACCGCTCCGAGCTCTTCACCCGCCAAGGCCACTCACCCAACGTCAAGTTCCCCCGCGTCCTCGGCATCGAAGCCACCGGCATCGTCGCCTCCTGCCCTGGCAAAGAGTTCTCCAAAGGCGACATCGTAGTCACAGCCATGGGTGGCATGGGCCGTGATTTTGATGGCGGCTACGCGGAATATACCTGTGTATCAGCTGGAAACGTTCAAGTCATCAAAACGGAATTACCGTGGGAAGTGCTTGGTGCGATGCCGGAGATGATGCAGACTGCTTGGGGGGCGCTGTTTAAGAGTTTGAGGCTGGGGAGGGGAGAGAGATTGCTTGTTAGGGGTGGGACGTCGAGTGTTGGGCTGGCGGCGGCGGCGATTGCGAAGGTGCATGGTGCGTATGTGGCGTCTACGAGTCGGAGGGGGGATAGAGAGGAGTTTCTTAAGGCGAGTGGTGCGGATGAGGTGATTGTTGATGATGGAAATGTTGCGAATAAGATTAAGAAAGGGGAAAGATTCGATAAAGTCCTCGAACTCATTGGGACAACCACACTTAGAGATTCTCTTAGATGTGCTGAAGAAGGAGGAACTGTCTGTATGGCGGGCATTGTGGGTAATCAGTGGACTTTTGAGAAATTCAGCCCCATGGAGGAGATTCCCATGGCGGTTAATTTGACGACTTATTCTGGAGGTCCGGAGGAATTTATGGCTACACCGTTGGAAGAGTTGGCGAGGCAGGTGAAGGAGGAAAAGTTGAAGGTACAGGTTGGGAGGGTGTTCAAGCTGGATGAGATTGTCGAGGCGCATAGGGTAATGGAGGAGAATAGTGCGGGTGGGAAGATTGTTGTTTTGACTTGAAGGATATTTTTCGATGTGGTTGGAAGGACCTTACTCCAGCTGTGATCCAAAACCAGTGAAGGAGAAGTTTGATAGTGTAAGTATTGTCCGCCAACGAGAAGTTATGAAAACAAAACTTTCAGTCCACCGTTCCAAGGGACTTCCTGAATCATCAAGCTGCATTCAGCTCTGCAGGCTGAATGGTCTCGATATCGATGTCAGTGGCTGGAAGTCCATGCATTTCCATGTTAGGTAAGATGGAAAGTTGCTCGCACAGGATACTGAAAGGAGACATCGTGCCGTCTGGCTGAGAAGCGAACCTGTGAGTGGACGAATAATGAGACGACAGGGGATGAAGTACAGGGCTGTGCTAAGCTTTCAGGATATCCTTGGCTGGCATGTGGAGCGGCTGTCAGCACTACTACCCCTCCATCAATTAACATTTCGGCAACAAACACCTTTTGCGCAGCTTCACCACAGCCAGACATCGCTCTAACCCACTCCGGTATACCAGAACGTTAGCCATTGAACGAAGAAGGGGGAGGCACAGATGGAATATATAACGGACGTTGGGCAGTCGCTCAACGCAATTCAAATCATTCCAACAATCCATCATATCCCTTGACGACAGAACCTCAATCATCCTTCTACCAATACCAACATGGTCCTCTTCATCAAGCTGATCACCAAAGGCATTGGATCTGGCATTGGTCTAGCTTCGGAATCCATCAAACACCATAAGGCGAAGAAGGCAGAGAAAAAGCATTATCAAACGCTGGCGAAGGCAGCAGCAACGCCGCATCTCGAGAACCCCAGTTCGACGAGCCTCCTCCCGAATACCTCGAAGTATCCGACGAACATGGCGAACAACTCATCGCAGAAGGCAAAGCTGTGCTGGTAGACCCCAAACATGTCGAGAAACATACACCTGAGGACGAGGACGATTCATCGTCATCCGACGAAGAAGGCGACGAAGAAGCATGGCAACTCGACGAAGCTACTGCTCCTTTCGAAGAATCCGAGTCCGAAGGCCCTCACAAAGATGTCATTACCCTCACAACCGAGTTTCTACAAAATCAGCCTCCTCCAGCATACACACAAATACGAGCACAGCTGCCATGTCCTGTGATTCTCCCACAGCGCAGACCGAGAGACAAGAAGCGGGGGTTTGTGAGGGCCTATGCACCTGTTCTTGAAGATGTTGGGATTGATCAGGCTACCTTCTTGGACTTCCTCAAGACGTTCAAGAAAGCTTGCGAGGCAGATGGGTGGTTACAAGCTGTCAATCTGGCAGCTTTCGCGGCAGGATTCGTCCCAAATCCTATCGCAATGGGTGTTACCACAGCAGTACAATTCGCCGTGGGGGTAGCCATGGAGGTACAGAGACTCACGAGGTATGCAATACTCAACTGTAACTTAAAACACAAACTGATAGTCCTTTAGAACAAACTCATTCCTTGATCGAATGAACGAGGAGTTTTTCAAACCCCGTGGTCTCTACTGCCTAATCATGACCTACAAGCCCGACTCAACAGCATCACACACCCGCGTCGACATCAACCAAACAATCGCCACATACTCCACACCCGCCTCAAACACCGCTCGTCAAACCCTCCGCAACCTACGCACCTCCTCCGGCAAAACCTACGGAGAGCTCGAGCTCCCCGAATCCGCACCCCTGATCTTCCCCGCCCTCGAAAAAGTCGCCAAGACACCAGCGAAGAAGGTATCAAGAAACAAAGCAAAATGCGCAGCACCGGCAAATTCCTCGACGACTATTTCGACCGCCGCGCACAAGCGAAATGGGCAGGCCAGAACCCAAACAGCAAACTTGTTGTCCCAGGCTCGAAACCGGAATTCATGAGTAGATACTCGGACCCGAATCACGCTGCTAATAATGGGAGTATTGTATCGCTTTTGACGGGCGGGAAGGTTAATCCTTGGGCGCATAAGGAGGAGAAGAGGTTGGCGAGGAGGCAGAGGAGGGCAATGAAAAGGGGGGAGCCGATGCCTACTTCTGGGGCGAGGAGGCAGCGGAAGGGGGGTTTGGTGAAGAGGGTTTTGACGAAGGTGAGTTGTTAGACTTGTGCGATTGAATACTAGAGAGCATGGCTAATTATTGAATAGGATGTGTTGTATTTGATGATTGTGAATTTGCCGACTGAGGCAGAGACGGCTGCTGGAAGACAGGCTGTTGCGAACGAGGCGAAGCAGTAGTAGTCAGGTCTTTGCCCAATGCCCATGGGCTTTCTTAACCTTTCCAATTTGATCCCGAATAGTGTTCTTCACTGCTTCTCTTTTCGAGTAAGTATCCAAGTTAATATCCTACGAGTACAAATGTATGGAGCCGCACACAGAATTGAAGTAATTATCGAAGTAGAATATCTCATTATTCTTTAGGCGGGAAGGTATACAACAACTTCTTAAGTTCCTGTGTTTGTTAGCTTATTGTAAAGAAGTGTCTGTAAAAATAACGGTGCATTGCAGTCAATGGGTGGATAGGTAGCTTACACTAGACTTCTATTTGTTGATCCTAAATATCTCTTGTGGACAAGTATATGGAATACTAGACGCGACGCGTTGATATCTGGTACCTTAGCTCTCATAGAGCCGATTCAAATAGATCAAATCCTATTGTTTTGCGAAAAGTCTCGCTTAGCAATATCTACACCAAAGCAGGCAAGCGAATAATGGCTATCTAGTCTGGAAAAGACCTCCAGAACTCAATGAAGTATAAGTCAGATTGCGGAAGATGCTTCAAACAATGACTACTATATAAGCACACAAGCTGGTGAGATATATACAGATATTCGGGTATCCGCCTCATTCTCGCCCGAAGTCGCCTATCACTTCCTCCGTTCTCTCCTTATTTCCCCTTCCGCACTCCCAATTCCTTTGTTCTCCTCCATTGGATTACGAACGAATCCTTCAACTACATCGCTGAACAGCCTCCTCAGTCGAAGCAGCGCTACTGGCTGCTGAAGTAGAACTGACAGTCGCAAATCCAATTGACCCCACGCTACTCGGAGCCGTACCATTCCCTTCCATCGTTCCAATGAAATCCCCACCACCGCTCCCCCCAGTAAAAGTGCTCTCAGTATTCTGATGTCCGCCATCAGCCTGTAAAGTAGCCGCAACAGCATAGTACGACGAGTCCGACTGATCAGCAGTAACGTTGATCCCGATCTGGATCCAAGCAAACAATCCATCCTCGATGCTATCTCCGAGATACAGATACTCCGGGAATGGATCAAAGTCATTCTCAGCCTGCACAATGGACCACATATCATCTGCGTTGGACGTGATATCCTGTGTGTTGGTGTTATACGGGTATGTGGCTTCGACTGCAGAGCGGAGTGTCTCTTGGTAGAACAGCTGCCCGATGTGCGAGACGGAGCCGCCTTGGATGGTACCGTTGGCGAGGACGGTTACGTTGTTGTGCGACAGCAGATGTGTATGGATGGCGCGGCCGCTGTAGTGGCCTGGGAAAATTGTCTCGAAGGAGGCGACACCGTCGGAGTCTGTGGGTTGGATACCACGAAGGAAGGTTGTGTCCCAGCCAACTTCATTGCCGGTTACGACAACACCGCTGAACCAATGGAAAGTCAGTAATGGGATCACTGTGTTTGAAAGGAAAAATGACGAAGCAGCGTACCTGTAGTATCCGGTGGAGTTGCAGTTCCAAATGTCGACGTAGACTTCGGGGACGGGCTCGCAGGTTGTGATGTCGATATATTGAACCTCGAGGTAGAGTGGGATTCCAGGCTCGCCTTCAGTCACGTTCTTGCGGATAAACTCACCAGTCACATAGTATGGGCCGTCTGTGTTCTCGGGAGACATTATGCAGCTGGTGTTGGCAGCGAATATGGTAGACTCTGCAGTCTCGGAAGTGTAATCGTCAACGCCGGTCATATTGTGGTTAACAGCCTCGAAAGTCTCGAGAGTTTCGAGATCGCGGCGATACTTCTTAGGCTCTGAGAGAAGAAGTCAGTGCACGGTCAATGATCAGAAAGAGGTTCAGATGTTGGAACTTACTGGTAGCGATTCCACGCTTTTGGCGGAGCTCGTTAAGAACCTCAGCACGGCGAGCGAGAGATCGAGCTGTGAGTTCACGGTGCTTGAGCGAGCTAGAACAAGTATCGAGAGATCTCTTTGCAGCAGTGGCCATTTGATCGCGAGCTTTGACTTGGCGTTTGATCTCGGCATGATCGTGGTGCTCGCCTGGATGGGCAATAATTGTGCTTGCAAAGCAGACAGCTGCAACTGCACCGACGAGCTTGGGAAAGTAGACCATTTTGAGATAATGGTATTCTAGTAAAGATTGAAAACGGCACAAAAGTGAGTGTGGTTTATGAAGAGAGGAAACGGAGGAGGGAAGAGACAGAAATGAGGATGTGGATGAGAGTGAAGAGAGAATCCCATTTGGAAGCAAAATAACGATATACTTATACTATAGTGTAAATCCCCTCCACTTCTGTTGTTTGCAAACAAATTGACGTCCACCTCAGCGTGTTCACGCTTCGTGGCTCAAGCTTCGTCAGCGGCTCCAGCCGAAATCGAAGAGTTTCGAAATAGACATCCATTAATTGGTTGCTCTCCCAAGTTCCACTTTACAATCGCCGTTTCTGAGGATCCCCCTCAGCCTCTCAATAGTTAAATAGACTGTGGAGAAACACATCGTGGCTGACGACTACGCCGGTAATTGTGGCCCATGCTCATCAAGCATTATTTTGTTTCATCGCTTCGAATGGCAAGCCCCTTCAAGCTTTGGCCAAGATGCAGTCGGAGAGTATGTTTATGGTGGAGATTGTGGGGGAAAAGACGCGCACGTCGCTTGTTCGTCCTCGAAGCTTTAAGTCTTGGCCCGAGACTTTTCGCCTCTGCTGGAAGAATCGGTAGGGGCCGGCTGATTATTATTGCATGGTCAGTACATACAATTTTCGTCATCATATAAAGAAATTCCGATTGCTTGGATCTGTGAAGAGTGACTGTGCTGTCTTGCCTCGTAGATCTGTTTTCTGCATTGATGGATTGGCCGCGTAAGCCTGTGTTTTCATTGCCCACGTGACCATCAGAAGCGAGCCCCTGAATGATTCGCGAGCTGATGCTGGCGGATCGGAGCTGTAACAAGCCAGTATGTAATGGCAGATGCTCATAGGATGGCGGACATTTCAGGAAGTAAATGCAAGCGTCTTTGGTTCTTCAAGAGACCGATGTTCTTCATGGACTAGATTAAGATCACAAAGAGCTAGCTGGCGTGCTTTGATTATCTATGTAATACTAAAGAACAGACAACACACCTTCAACTGTATAGGATAACTTCTGAGAACAAACTTGATGAGTCCTTATGACAACATTCGATTAATTAGTATCATATTAAGCTCTTCACCATCAAAGAAGGGAGAGAGCTCCTTGCAAACTGTTCCTGTTGCTTCCGATCCAGATCCCAAGAGTGGACCATGTCCAACCACAACAACTCCAATTTCTCTTTAGCAAATCCCTCCTGCCACAAAACAAGCCGCAGAGAGTCCCTCAAAGCATCCTTATCCCAAACTTGTAACTTCGTACAAACAACCACCATCTCTCTCACAAACGACAATCTCTCTAATCTACCCATGGCAGCAATACCGCCCACAAACAGAATCCATAACAGCCACAGCATCCTCTCTTTTGTCTTCATCCACCCCGTTGACAACTGTGTCACTATAGACTCCAGTAGCCTCTGGGCTATTATATGAACCAGTTCCGAGGATGGTGGTAGTTCGCGGATAGCTAGCCAAAGGTACAGGTGGGCTGCTGTCCTCAGCTGTACGGCTTCGAGGGTCAGAACAGAGTCCGATGGGCCTGAGGAGGTAGAGGGAGGTTTGCTGAGTAGTAATTCCAAGTTGTAGATTGCATTACTTGTTTCTATTCTGTCAGTGTTCATAATTCTTGCTGAGGATAGACTTCTAGACAGGAGTCGAAGAGTTTTGAAGATAGGCACGAGTGGTGAGTTTGCGCAGAAGAGATGGCGGAGGTTGAGGAGGGCGGGCTTCGTATCGGCGGAGGTGAGGTGATGATATTGACGTGAACGTGGGAAGAGGCGCGAGGAGGAGGGTTGACATGCCCAGACGGTTGCGTTACATAAGTCTGACCTAGCATTGAGCTTAAAACAATGGATCTCGGGCAACAAAGGCGGCTGCGTACCATGCCACTATTCGTCGGAAAACACCCTGGAGTGCATAAACTCCTCCTCGCAGATGGATCATCTTTTCTAAACCATTCTTATGTATCTCTGATAATCGATATCTTCCATTGAGATTCTGCGAATCTTCTCATTAGTAGTTGCGAGAAACGAAATGCGCAAGGAAGCTCGCCTCCTTCTTTACGAGCATTGCCACCGCGGCGATCGTCGCATCGCTGAGCATAAGATTGCTGTCTTAAGTCTTTCATTGACTGTGCTGAATGCTTGACTACCGTGGTGTAAAGATATGGGTGAGTCTACAAGGCCACATTTAAGATCGTAATGAAGTGACACAAGGTAGAGGATGGAGTGAAGTAAAGCGGGGTCCGCGTGAGAGAAGAAATCACCTTCAGGGTTGATGGCAATCGAGTTCATTTTATAGGTTGTATTATCTATAGTATGCCGTTAGCATATTCAAGGTTTATTCTGAAGTCATCATCTTGACTGGAAGATATTATGTAGAAAGGGTTTCAAGGCTGAAAGCCGTGGTGGATGAAAGGAAAAGCACTTTGAGACGATACAAAAGAACCACAATGGACAAGAAGCCTTTCACTCGCAGGGGTAAGTTCAATTGCGAGTGTGTTGAACGTATCTAGAGTCCTGAAACTAATGGCGAAGTCCAAGGTAAATGGTTGAGACGGCTGCCAGGCGTTCTGGTTAACAGTCGAGTTCACCTCCTCGCCAGCGACTTGATTTCTTTGGATGGGACCACATTTGCACCCAGTAATTTATCTCGATCGACTACTATCGTTTTCTCTTTAGACTTGTGTGTCCAAGTGTTCAATTTGAATTTGCCCTTGTACCGTCCAGGGTCTTCCGGATTTATGCTTTGGAGCGGCTCAACGACCCCGGAAATAGCGTGGCGGGTTTGCTTCCTCAGGTAGTCTTTCATGGCCTGGGTGCGTACTCTTCTGGAATTGATGCTTCTTGTTGTAGCTGATGGTGGCTGGTAATGCCGACGAATTCAAAGACTCGCTTTTCAAGACATATATCCATGTTGTCGTTTCAACCCAGCTGGTTGTCGTAACTTAGTGCTTCGACCTAGTTCCTGCATCTGTGTTAGATTTCACACGGAATCTCAATCATGTAGTAGTATTGTGGCGGGCCGCGACCCGAACACCCACACAACAAGAGAGGTAGCAATTCAAGGCACAAGGAGTACTTTGATACAAAGAAGCGGATCGGACAAATCTCGAGATATCTCATATCTAAAGTACGGGATTTGTCAAATAAGGGGTGGAGAAGAGAATGGATTAGATAGAATCTCTATAAAGAGTGTAATAATTGTGATAATTCCAAGTGGTGTGTTGATGATGATGTTGTAAAGGAGTGACAGTTCAGAATCTCCACGTACCACCGCACAGCTGCACTGGTAACGTGACCTCCCCCCACTAGGTACGCCAAGCATCAAAATCAGGTGGCCCTGCCACAGTATTCTCAGATAACGTACTTATTTCCAAGTCCAATTTTGATTGTGTGACGAATTCCGTGACTAGAACGTCAACAAGTCGGACAAAATTTTTCAATACATCCTCTGGCTATTTATCCCCGCCATTGTGACGAAGCACGGTAATAACTAGGACTACTTATATATAACGTTCAACTCTATTTAAGATAGAATAGATGATAGCTTGAGACACGTGGGTATGCAGACTGATTACAAATGCGCTTGCTTGATAGGAACGTTTGGTAGTGGCGGGCATCTACTCTAAGCGAGAACTGCGTGCGAAAGACCACCGGATGAGGAGTCATCTGTATAGGTAACGAGTCAGCTTAAAATCACATGCAAACAGGGTTGGAACTTGTTCATGACAACACCTTTGTCTTTATAAATGTAGCTAGTGACCCTTACAGCATTTTTTATGCCATTCGGCCGTGGTGGCCCTTTGTGCCATCACGTGTAATGCACACTTCACCATCAAGGCTGACAGACAGAGAGTACCTCAGATCTTGTCCATCATTCAATCAATGTTGACCCACCCTTGCTCATTATCCACTCGTTCGCCCCGTCGACGCCTGTGTAAGTAACCAACATTAACCACGCAATCTCATCAAGATCCTCTACGAGACCTTTTTCCATTATCTCATCCAGATCCATCTTCTCCACCCAAAGGCATCTCGTTTCTTTGCAAGCTTTCACAAAATACGAAGCACTCGGCGCTGCCCAAAGCCTACGTTGTGCAGTGAACGGGATCTCAGTCACAGCACCGACCATGGTGCAGAATCCCTGGCGCTGGATGGCGAACATTGATTGTGCCGTTCTCGACACTATGATTGTGCGGCGAATTGCTTCCTCGAACGTCCAGGTCTCCCAACCGCGATCAATTGAATTCAACGAGGACGACGTGACTCCTGTTCTTGCGGCGAGGCTGTCAGTCCAGGAGGTAAGGAGTTCTTCTTGCTGTTCCGCATCAGACCGTTGTTTGATATCTCCGTCGAACAAGCTGATGATCTGGAATATGACGAAAGCTTGCACGCATGCCAAGTGTTCTGCAACAGTCCAATATGGCTTCGGTTCTGTGAGTTGGGTCACCTTGGTAGTAATGATCTCCCATACCATGGCCTCATTCAACTCATTTTTGTTAATGTAGAGAGAAGACGCTGATATAGCATCTTGGAGAGATTTTGGCATCGTTGGTCGATAATTCTGCGGGTGTATGAATGTAGTCCTTCCGGTGTGAGCCAGCGATAATGGGTAAGATTTCAAACATCGAACACAATATGCAATACGTTCTCGATCCATGACACCGATTTCCAGGTAAGTATCAGCGAGGCCTCGATTGTCGAAGGCCATGAAGAAAGAATCGTCAATGATCGTGCCAGGACTGGGGTCCGCGACTCCAGTGGTGTCCAACAGAGCCAACGACAACGTACGATCAGTATTTGTGTCTGTTTCTAAGTGGTGTGTAAGCGGAGACCTCAAATCCATTGGCGTGTCGCTGAGAATGATCTCGGATGGCAATGGAACTTCCCGGACTCCCCTCGTTTGTCGGCGACGACCCGGCTTGTATTCGCATGCCATGGACTTCGATACACATCGAGCACATGGTGAGCTTTGATCACATTTCCTCTTCGCCGCAACACATGCTACGCAAGACTTTTGCCTCGTCCTAGGTACACCAGTTGTCATTGTGGAAATGGTGGAGATCATCTGGTAGGAGCTGGCATTGCGGAGTTGAAGGCTTAAATGATATAGGCATTAGACTGCTACGTACGTGAAGTCTAAGCACTCTCCGTGGGATAACCTCTTCTTTTAGAATCACATAATCTACCGGGAAGAAAGTGGCACTTGATTTGAGACAAACGTGGGAATTGTGAGGTGGTGGAGTTCCGCGGAGTTTGCGCTTGGCAGCTGACAAAGCGGCTGAACTCGAAGAATTCTCCCAAACTCCGCCCTCGACTCCATCTTTCCACGCCAACTTTAATCAAAGTCCGACGCAAGATACCTGGAAATACATACCAAACTGGGTCATATATGGAGTATCATCCTACTATGTGCTTTCAAACTGCCAGAAATCCGCCAGGATGGCCAGCTTGGCACAGTTATCAATGCTGGCGGGATTGCGGAGAATTCTCTTCTAATAATCTGGTCTGACTTGGTGAATGTTTTCTATCACGTCCGTTCACATATATACCTCTCCACATGCTTTGAGTGTCTTCTAATTTCCCGTCTCAATAAACAAATCCAACTTGCCTTTCATCACAACCAATTCGAACACCAAATCAACCCCGCAATATGTTTGCTCTTTCTACACTCCCTGCTCCAGTGGCTGCTTGTCTGGATGCTATAACGCAAAAGTCAACCCATGATTTTGTAGCCAGCTTCTCCGAAAATATCGTGTTCAACGATGAAGGAACATTCCAGTCAGGCATTGAAGCTCTCAGAAAATGGCACGACGATGGCGTCGTGGGCCACGGTGCCACAATTGACATCCAGAGCGGAGTGACCCTCGGAGAACATACAATCATACACTTGATCATGGACGGAGATTTTGAAGCAGATTACAACATCACGGATCCATTCCCTCTCTACTTCGACTTCACCCTCACAGACAACCTCATCACCGCCCTCACCATCACATCCCACAACCCAATCATGAACACCGTCTCGATCTCCAAACCAAATGATCAAGACCCAATCTCAGCAATCCATCTCTCCCAACGACCACAGAAGCCGGTCCCAGAAGGCTGGCTCAAAGTCAAGCTCCAAGCCGTCGGGCTCAACTACCACGACATCTTCACCATGCGCGGCTTCATCTCACAGCCCCTCACCCAACCTCTCATCCTCGGATGCGAAGGCACGGGTACACTTCCCGACGGCACTGAAGTCCTCATCTTCCCTCTCATGGGCGATGCAGATTTCAAAGGCGACGAGACACTCGATCCTCAACGACATGTCTTCAGTGAGAAAGTCAACGGCACTTTGGCTGAGTACGTGAATGTCCCGAAACGCAATGTCGTGATTAAGCCGAAGGAGATGGGCACGGAAGCTGCTGCTGTGATGGGTATTGCGTGGCTGACGGCTTACCGTATGCTGTTTACTAAGTCTGGATTGAGGGCTGGACAGACGATGTTGGTCCAAGGCTCATCTGGAGGCGTCACTACGGCGTTGATTCAGCTTGGGTCCGCGGCTGGTATGAGGGTTTGGTGTACTGGTCGAACAGCCGCCAAGCGAGAACTAGGATTGAAGCTTGGAGCTGAGAAAGCTTTTGAGTCGGGCGAGACACTACCTGAGAAGGTGGATGCGGTATTTGATACAAGCGGTGAGGTGACTTGGAAGCACAGTATCAACTCTGTAAAGAGTGGCGGTACTGTTGTTACATGCGGTGGCCACTCTGGAATGTCCGTTCCTATGGAATTATCGCATGTTTTCGTTGAGCAATTGACCGTCAAGGGAGCGTACCTGGGCACGTTGGAAGAGTACAAGGATTTGATTGCCTTTGTGGTGGCCAAGTCTATCAAGCCGCATATTGGGATTGTTTTGCCCATGGCGCAGACGGCTGAGGGTTTTCAAATGATGATTGAAGGGAAGACAGACGGGAAGGTCGTTGTCAGAATGTGAATTGTGTTGACGTACAGCTAGCGATGGATGAATATCATGGACCAAGATGACCGGTTGGTGTAATTCGCAGTATGTTCTTACAAGTCGCGATATAGAAATCAGAAAAAGTTGTGGGCAATGATATACACATCGAAAGTAACGAGAGCTTCGAGGGCATATCGGTCAGAGATGACAAGCTTGTTTGATTCCCGCAATCTATTTCATGCATGTATGTATGTGTGTGTAACCTCTATGGCCAATTTTCTATCTATTCATGGAAACGTCCCCAACAATGCATTCATGCAAATAGATCCATGCAGATGTCGGATCCCAAGACAAAAGAAAGACATTTCTCATACCATACGCATCCAATCTATGCCACAACACTTGCTCATTTTGTTTCTCCAAGGATTTAACTCCAACGCATTCGCCCATCCAGAAGAATAAACAAGAAGCAAGATATCTATGCCCAGATGACTCTGAACTTCTCATCAAACTCAGTTTTCAACTTTCTGAACGCCTTGTAGACATTCATCAATTTATCATACTCTTCATCGTCCGTCGCACCTGTCCCATTCAGGCCCTCGCCCTTGAGGTACTCCTCCTCAGCAACAAGCGCATCCTCTCCCGCATCCCAATCATCAACGACCTTCTTCTTCTTCACGAAAGTAGGCTGAGCGGGTGCTGAGTTGTACGCATTGTTGACGGTCGGTTCGGCGACTGTTGCGGCGGCTACTTCGGCATCCTCGTCGTTCTCGGCGGCATCACCGGAGCCCATCACGTCGAGCATTTCGGGGTCAGCGTCGCTGCCGAGACCGAGATGGAGGGCGAGGGATGTGGCGATGGTTGCGAGGACCATGGAGAAGTCATTTAGGACGAACCAGACCTAGAAATTTCGTCAGTATACAGTCGTAAAAAGATTGAGGCCAAGGCGTGAAGGACTTACATCAGACTTGCGAATTCCATTTGCCTCTTCGAGAGGAACGATAGACCCATGCATAAAGAAATCCAACAGATACGCATTCAACGGAGTTCGTGTCTCGTCTGGATGAAGCTCGAGATGGGGAATGACAGCCGATTCAAGGAACACGCCTTCGCGCGTGGAAGTACAGAGATCCTCGATGGTTGTGAAGTCATCACCTAATCCAGAAAGAGCCACGAAAGCTGAACGAGCATGAGGAGTGGGTAGGGTTGGAAGGAAACCAACAACAGATTCCTCGGCCTTGACGCCGTTGGTCTTGCCATTGGCGACTGCCTTTCCGTTTGCTCCGTTGACAGGAGGAGGTGCAAGACCGACATGTGTATGGGTAAGTGGCAAGTATCGCTCATCGTCCTTGACGTGCTGGGCAGCAAAGGTCTTGACGTAGGTCGTGAAGATGTCAAGTGTGTCCTTGTTGTGCTTTCGGAGAATGGTGGCGGCATCTTCTGGCATGGGTGGAAGGTAGACAATTGAGGGCGAACGCTTGATCTTCTCAGCTTCTTCGGGGTCGTCAACTTCGCGAGTTACACGACGACCGAAAAGGTGACTGAGCACAAGAATCATTGTCTGCAAAACCACATCCGTCTTGGTATCGATGTCGGCGCACAGAACGTGGAAGTAGCCGCCTTTCAGGAGTGCTGTGAGATAGTTAGCGTTGTTCCTGATTAATTTTGGAGAACATAGGTACCATGGAAAGCAAAACTTGAGTTCTCTGTAAAGTACAGATGAGACACACAGCTCGTAAAGTTGACTGGCTCTCCCTTTGGACCCAAAAGCTCGTTGCGACGCAAGTACTCGATAGAGAATCGCAAGTGATGAAGAACCTGCTCCTTGAAGCTCTGTCCACCCATGTATAATCGCGGCTGTGATAGAAGAGAATTGATGGCCTTGACAGCATATGGTGAGCTCTTGGAATCGTTCAAGAGAGTGAAGAGTCGAAGAACAAGAGTCGTGGTAATCGGGAAATGGCCTGTCATCTCGGGAAGTCTGGAGCTCAAAAGACGGCTAGCTCGCTCCTCGGACAAACCTTGGAACACAACATTACCTAGGAGATCGAAACCACGACGACCAGATCTACCGGCTGCTTGACGGAAATTCAAAGCAGTCAAGAACACTGAGTCTCCACTGAAAACAACTGTCGCACAAGGCATGTTGATACCTAAACTGAGAGTTCCGGTGGCGATGACAACTCGCAAGAAACCCTTGCGGAACAGCATCTCAACACACTGTCTGTACTTTCTGTTCATACCAGCGTGATGAACTCCGATTCCTCTCTTCAGCAAGTCAATGAGCTCTTCTCGAATGTGCTTCCAACGAAGAGAGCGCACATATTCGTCCAACTCTGCCTTTTGAAGCTGCTTTGGGTTGGCGAAGGAGAATTCGGGCTGTGGTGCCTCAGGATCGAATAGATCATAGATGGACGCACCGTCCGAGGACTCTTCACGCATTCGATCGGTCTTGGATCCGCCCTCATCGTCATCATTCTTGGCCTTCTTTACTGGCTTCGCAGGCTTTCTGGACTTCTTGTCCTTCAACTCTTGGTACTTTTCGTAACCTTCCATCAACTTCTTCCACGCTGGGCCCTCTTTCCATTTCGTTTCTGCGTCGACGAGCTGCTTCAACACTGATTCTGCGATCTCCTCACACTGATTTCTATCGTAGTTGAAGAGGATGGCTGGGAGAGCGCGACGCTTGTGTAGTTGATAAAGCAACGGTAGGGTGGTACACTTCAAGTCTAGGGTATCGAAATTGTCACTATCCGTGATAGACGATGCGGTGGAGGATGGAACTTGATCTACCGCCTCCTCGATCGGAGCTGGAATGCTCAATACTTGAACAACTTTGTCGAAGGGTGAATTCCCATCTGCCATCCACTGCATCAAGACTTTCTTCAATGCCTTCTCCCAAGCAAAGATATCAGCTTTGCGGACACAGGGCGGAAGAGCCTTCTCTGGATTCAAAGATTCTGGCACTTTGTAATCTGCAGTTTGAAATTTGACCATAGCTTTCCACAAAGTCAAGCAGTCACGAGGTTCGAAAGCCAAATCGTCTGGCATCCCACGAGATTTGTCAACAAGACTGGCCACGGGATGGAAGGCATTAAATCCAACCAAACCATCAAGACCAAGCCCAACGCCGAAAGATTTGCCAAGTCCAGAGAACTTGAAACTCTTGGGAGGATCGTACATGTATTTTCGCAGATCGGAGTATCGAGTACCATGTTGAATCATCTTCAACTCTGATCCAGAAGCCTTTTGTGTTTCAGTAAGCCATTCATTGAACTCTCCTGGGTTTCCGACTGTCGCTGAAAGGGCGATAATTGGACATGGAGCCAGCAGAAGAAGCTGCTCCCAGACAACACCGTCTTCGGCATTTCCAATGGAGTGGATTTCATCAAAGATGATTCGACGAACTCTTGGTGCCCACGATTTTGCGTTGGATGGAGACAGCAGCATGATCTGGAGAATATGTGGAACAGTGACGAGAATCTGGCATCCGGTAGAGTTATTGACACGGTAGTCACGAGTGTGGATTGCCCACACACCCTTACCAGGGACAGGAAATTTCTTGGAGAATCGACCTTTATTATGTTAGCCAGCTGGTTGATGGCGTCGGGGAAGAACATACCTTGAACTTCAGCAGCAATTTGATTCACCAATGCCTTAGTTGGTGCAACATAAACAAGGACACTGTCGTTGTCCGCTCTCAAGACTTGCTCCATTGCGTAGAAACTGATGAATGTCTTTCCAGCGGAAGTAGGAGCAACAACGAAGACGCTCTTATTCGAGTCAAGCTGATCAAGAACGTCTCTCTGCCATCCATCAGGGACGAAACTGGACACGCGTGGGTCAGGCTTGGCATCGAGCATACGGTCCATATACGGTCCACAGTAGTTCAGTTGAAACTCTGCCTGGGTCCCGACAATTCGCAGGTTCTGCTGCAGCGGAAATTTGAAATTGAAGGACAACTTTCGATCAACTGGAGTGGGGTTGAAGCCTGTCAATGCATCTGTGATGCCCAGTAAAGTGCAGATCTTGGTCATGATTTGGACGATTTCTTTCGAGACTGGTGCCTTCGACGTACACAACGACCGAATTGTAGTCCAGATGAGGGCCACAACGTGGTATCCTTGCGGCTTCTTTTCTGCCTTGCAATATGTTGACCACCAGGTAAGCAAAGACTGCAGAATATACGTGTAGACTTCCGCTTCGAGATAAGTCGACTTCGCGGAGTCCAGGCCGTTGAGATACTCCATGGTCTTGATGTACCGATCTTGGTCATCTGATATGACTTCAATACCCTTCATAACAGTTGTCCAGGCATTGAGAGCCTTTTCTGCTTCGTTCCCTCCCTTTCGCTCCTTATTATCTGCGATCATCTGGTCTTTCTTCGATAGTCCCGCGGCTGCAGCCTTGGTACCCTTCTTCGCGGCGCCCTTCTTGTTTAGCGCCTTAGGCTCCGGCTCCTCTTTCTTCGACTTCGCAGAAGGCTTTTCGGGTTTCTCCTCAGCAATCTTGACAAGCACCTTCGGTCCCACTGTAATAGTTTCAGCGTCCAACGCTTTGCCCTTGGCTCCTGTCAGACTGGCTGCGTATGAGGTCATCTCGTTCATGTAGAACTGGTTTGTACGGAGAGGGTTGCTATCAATCATTAGCAGCGCTAGAAAACAAGGAAGCTTAGACAATTCTCAATTATCCATAACTCACCGCCATTTTGATACCTTCGCTGCAGGGGCGTACTTTGGATTTAGAGGTTTTCGGTGATTATGCCAGTGAGAAGTCTCATGGTAGATCTTCAGAGCGCCAAGACGAGCAGGGAGCGATGCATCTGCCTTGACATGAATGCACTCCAGATGCTTGTCAAACACAGGGTTTGAGAATGACAAAACTGCGAGATCTTCGGATGTTGATTGAAAGTCGTCTGGCGTTGCCGTAGTTTCGGAAGACTCGGGATCCTCGCTTCCTTCTAAAGACAGATCGGCTCCTGCCAGTTCCTTCACCAGAGCCGATACAGCCTTCCAATCTGCCTGGAGTGGCTTGGGCAGAGCACGGTCAAAAGACTTGTCGCACATTGCTTGGATCACTGCTCGGAGCAAACGGCCGTCAATCAAGTCTATGGCATCTGTCTCGACTTCTTCCTCGTCCATCAACTCGTTCAATTTTGGACTTTCTACAGCGAACCTGAAAATATTCGAGATTCTGGTAATGTACTCGTCAACTTCTTCTTCAAACTCCTCATCGAACGTGACCAATGGCAGTCTTCTCTGTGACAATGGAATATGCTTCAAGACAATGCTGTGAAGTATGAACGCAGAAGCCATGAAAATGTCCGAATCCCCCTGCCGAAGAATCTTCGAGACACCGTAAATAGCAAGGAAATAACTTTCGCTCAAATCTTCATCTGAGAAAGCATCACTGAGCTTTGCCACGACTGATGGCTCCAGCGTTGATTTTGCGTCTAAGGCTTCGGTCACACTCGATCCCTTGAGCAACGTCTTGGCTGCTTGGGCCCCTTTGACGAGGTCTGCTGCCATGGCTAGCTTCAATTTGCTTGAGGCAGTGAAACTCTCAACAATCATCGTGAAGACCTTCGAGTCTCGGAATTCAATCCGGTTGATGAGCGCAACATTCAGCTTGTGTGTGTTGAACCACCAAATGATCGTGCGTAAAGAGCCTTTGGCTACCTTCTCGTTCCGGTTGTTCCCAGTAACTTCAGCCTTCGACTCTCTTCGAGATCCATCATGTGCCATGACAAAATGAACTGGCGATGAATGTAAGTATTCTTGGAACGATTCGGACTCTAGAGCTGGGAAAGTGTTGATAACTACATTTGGACATTCAGAAGGGAGATGTCGGGTCAAGTGACGTTTGATGACTGATCTGGCGAGAAGGTACCGTGCTTCATTTTCTGCTGGAACACCTGGTGGGATACACAATTGTGCATTTTCTACCGATGATGTTAGTTAGGATTCGGGTATTGAAGTAAAGAGGTAAGGCTTACCTTCAAAGAATGCAATGTGGAACTGGCAATGTCTCTTGATCAAGTCTGCGAGAAATCGTTCGACGACATACACCGCATGTAATATCTGAAATCCACCTGGAAAACCGATTAGCTGGCTTATACCATTTGAGATAGACTATCCGATGTGTTGAGCTGCTCAAGACTCCAAAACGCCATGCCCCAAAACAATTCAGTCATGTGATGACCCAAGAAAGATGTCCCAACAACATCCCACCCTATCGTAACCTTCTTGTGAGGAAGAAGCTCCCATCACCACATCGAAGCTTGGATGACGGCCAGAAAGCATGTGGCGAAGCTGAGGCATGAAGTAACCAAATTGGAGATCTGGGGCCTGGCTAGGTATGTTGGAACGCGAGTCACCAAGAACTTACCAGCGAAGTCTATTCTCTCGTCCTCGAAACACTCTCGAAGTAATGAGTCTCCTTCGACCAGAAAGAGTTCTTTTCCAGCGTAATCCCCAACCAGGTCGATCCACATAGGTCTAGTGCGGTCATACCAGCTCAGGATGCCGTCGTTGGGCACCTCCTGGCGCTCCAATTCCCCCGCCATCGTCACGGCGCGTGCCTAGACGCGTTTCTGCTCTTCTCGCCTTGCTGTCGTTAATCTTCTCAAATTAGTCCCCGAAATGAAGTGATATTGCCCGGTGGTCCTGGTTCTTCAGGATCGCGGCGAAATTTCTCTGTCAACGGTGTTGGTACAATCTTAGGAATTGTTTGTGGTTTTATGGTGTTTCTTGTCAAAATTTCGAAACAGGCAAACAGACAGACAGATAAATAACCCCGCTAACCTTATCGACATGTGATGGCCGCGCTAGACTTGGTTGGGCTAGTGGGCTGTAAGCGAGTGGTTTAAAGTCTTGGCAAGGGTCTGTCCGTCCCGCAGCTTTCCCCACAGCATGACCTTCGTTTTCTCTTCTGCAAGCCAATTTGACAATACCCATGTAATAATCCAAATCTGCTCCTTTACTCTACTCTTGACATAGAATCAAGAATTCTAGAGTCATGTACTGTCATCATCAAATCGCTCAATTATGCCTCAATTCATATATTTTTTGTATTGCCTCGTAACCAACATAGTTCGGAAATTTCTTTCGCAACTATAAACGGACCTGTCATATACACATCAGTTACCCAGTATCGCTCGCGCATCTCAGAGAGGTCTTGGAAGGGCTATTAAGGCATCCCAAGAATATTATCTTCATGAGACAAATCTGGTCTCACAGTCCTACAATTCACGGTCTATTATCGCGTCTCCAGGTTCGGAACTTCAGTTGAATCTCTTGGGTGCATTAATTTATCGTAGCGTTCTTAATAGAGACATTTATCTCTATATTTTCAATTCATCAAGAAATGTATGTGCTCGATCTATCTCCTCCGAAGAATCCTCTGCCAACCTCAACTCCTGAACGACACTCTCACCCCACATCCTCGCCCTTTCCAAATTTCCCGCCCTCTCCTCAAAAACAGCTATAAACCTGTACGCCTTCGCCCAATAATCAACTAATCCCTCTTCCCCCAGCATTCCCACCAACTTCTCGGCTCTCCTCGCCAATCTCTCATTAACTTCCGCCTTCTGGCTTCCAACCTCTACCTTCCCCTCCAAAACCTCCATCAAATCCGCAATCTTCCCCCTCCTCTTGCCACTCCCCGCACTCTCATCTTTACACGCCTCACAACCACACACAAACCCATACTGCGCCAGCCTAGCCTGTCTCTCTTTCAAAGTTTTCAACAGCGGAATATACGCCACCGTAATCTCCTCCCCAACCTCAATATCCCTCCCCGCATAAATAACCCTCTTCCCCAACCTCTCACTCCAATAATTCACCGAGTTCGGTCTACAAGAATGATTGATCCTTGCAATGAGCGGGAAAAGTCCTACTTCTGACGTACCAGTGTTGTACGCGTTACTGCGGAATATGGTGAGGAGGTGAGATTGGTTGGCTTCTTCGTCGCCCGGGAAGCGGTGATCGTGTAGGGAGAGGAATGTGGTTTGGGAGGCGGGCGAGAGGGAAGAGAAGGATGTGGTCAGGGAGGTGAGCATAGATGCTAGAGGGAAACCTTGGCCGGGGATGAGAGAGGGCATTGGGACTGTGACGAGAGAGGCTTCGATGATGATTTTCGTGCCGCGGGGAATGGGGACTTTGGCGATTACCCCGAGGCCTTTACCAGGGAGAGGAACTACATCATAGAGTGGTGAGGAGGCTACATAAGTGTTAGAAGTTTGTATAGGGGGATTCTTCTCGAACGGGAATACTCACGTGTTGCTGAATCTTCTTCCGTATGTTGTAACCCGACCCCGAAAGGTATCTGGTCTCTAGTGACACTAGCATTCTCGCCAAAACCGAGCTTTGGTCCTTGCTAGCAGCAGGGTTAGCTACCAAGGCACAATTCGACGCGCGAAAACTTACAGATAGACACATATGTCCAGCACTAAACATTGAAGCATCAACTGCGCAGGAGTCGCGTCGCAGAAGCTCGGGATTGTGGCTGGCGGTCCCACAAGCGAGGATTGCCCCTCCAAAAGTCAACATTAGTAGCGAGATGTACAGCGTAGAGTGTGAGACCGCCATGCTTGGCAGGTAGGTAGCTATATTGGTCAAGAGAACATGAATAGCGGATACAGAACGATGAGGATGTGGTTCTGAGAGAGGAGGCTCTTCTGGGACCTGGGACAGGCTTGAAACAAGAGGCGTTTCATTGTGAGCAGCAAGGCACGTGATCAACCCCACCCCCTCTTCAGCTTCTTCTCCTGCTAGGTACGCTCCATGGAGGAGATGTTTCATTGCTGACACTTGATTGGACTCACATCGTTTTCACCATACTATAACAGGTACCATGGATGGCGATATTTATGTCGAAGCTTGGTTTCCTGACGGGGTGCAGCATATCATCACAACTGGAGGTAGCCATTACATCGGGTCAATCAACGATTCCACAGTCCTGAAATATCCACACATCAAGGGAACTGGCTGCGAAGCACTCGATGTAGAAGCCCAAATTTTAGAGCATCTTGGCAAACATCACCGGATCATCGCATTCAAAGGTCGGCACAAGGATGGTTTGCTTCTAGAATATGCGCCGAACGGAACGCTCGAGAGACATCTTCAACAAGTAGATTTGCCAGTGAAGGAGAGAATCCGGCTTGCACGAGAAACTGCTGAAGGGGTTGTGTATGTCCATAAGAAGAACGTTCTGATCTGTGACATCAACGTTCGGAACGTTCTTCTGGACGCTGAATTTCATGTCAAGTTGTGCGATTTCCAAGGTCGGCTGTTGAGTCCGAATGGAGAGGTCCTTGTATCTGGAGGAGCCTCAGAAAATGCCGAATCCTATAAGCCTCGATGTGACAAGGACTACGCAGACACGAAGACAGACATCTTCGCTCTCGGGTCAACGATCTATTTCATTATGACTGGACACAGACCATACCCAGAGTACGATACTATCGACGACGAAGCCATATTTGAAGAGCTGTATCGCAAGGCCAAGTTTCCTCTATTAAATGCATCTCTAGGCGGAAACGTGGTTCAAAACTGTTGGACTGGCAAATATCAGTCAGCAGAGGAGGCAGTGAGCGATCTCTTGCTCTTGGAACATGCCATGTGATCAGCATATCCGTTTCGAGGCCCAAGCACTTTCAATCATCTCCGTTGGTTCACAGGGTGTATATTGGAAGACAGAGATTGTAGAGAAAGTTTGCCTAGATCTTTTGAGGCAGTAATTGAATGCCCAGGAAGCGTGGCAAAATAGTGGACAGTATTTTGAGCAGCTTGTAGAAGAATGTATCTTCTAGCATTGCTACTTCAACCGAGTTGAAACCCTCAAGGTGTTGTTCGCGCTGTCTAATCAGCACTGTATTCATTCAATGACTATGAGTATGATCATGACTATGCCCGTGCTCATGGTGATGATCATGGTCAGGTAAATTCGCATGTGTAGGATCAATCCACTTCACACTCTCCGGAGTCTCAACCGGCTTCAAATCCGGTAAATTAACCGCGATCGCCTCCCCATCACTCCTACACACACGTCAGTATTCCACTTCCCGCAATTCCTTCCACTCGCAGACCCCAGCTCAACCTACCTCATCAAAACACACTCCAGCTTCTCATCCTCCAAGGCGTTGATCTCCTGATGCGGCACATACGGCGGCACGAAAATGAAATCTCCCGGCCCAGCCTCAGCCGTAAACTCCAATTTCTCGCCCCGCCGCATCCTCGCTTTGCCTTTCAAGACGTAAATCACGCTCTCGAGATGTCCGTGGTGATGGGCCCCTGTCTTGGCGTTTGCGTCGATGGTTACGGTGCCGGCCCAGAGTTTCTGGGCGCCTACTCGCGCGAAGTTTATTGCTGCTGCGCGGGACATGCCTGGGTGGCGTTAGTGGTTGGCTGTGTGTTATCTTGGAATGATTGGATTGTAGTATGGTGGTAATTGAGGAGGAGGAGGGGTGAGAGGGAGGAAGTACCAGGTGTTTGTGCTGTGTTGGAGTCTAAGCTGTCAGCTGGTATGACTCGTACGCCTGTATGTTTCCAATCGTCTGATGGAGGAGCTGTTGGAGCTCCTGATTCTGCCATCTTGAATGTTTGATTTTGAATGTTGATCGGCTATCGGACCCAGGATGAGTGAAGTTCTATAGATGGACGAGATCAAAGGCTGAAGAGAAGATTGAAATCATGGATTGTGTATGAGACCGAGGAGCATCTGAGCCTTCGCCGCCAGATTGTAATTAGACACAAAAAGAGCAATTACAATATGAAATCGCGTGCTTAGGAAGTGGAGTTGTGAAGATGGAGGGAAGTGTTTACCCCACTTTGGAAATACCCCGCCATGGCACGTGATGTAATTAATTCTCACTTACAAACAAGTCAGACCTAAGGTAGCACAGAAGTTTCAAAGCATTATGTGTACTCTTTGATTGTTTCTCGGTTCTTAATATGCCGCCCAACATTTTTCATAATTGACGTTCCTCGGAATCCTAATCCCACGCGCAGTCGCTAAGAGCTGTGCTGCATGTCAACATTCGCTTCACATCGCTTTTCATCTCCACCACAATAGTCCGTATCTTACACTCAAATCCTCAACCTCCCCGCACCGGTAAGAATAACCTGATAACTATCCTCCCTAAAGTCATCCCTTAAAATCTCATTACTCAACGCCTTAAAATGCATCAACTCCCTCCCCTCTTTCCACTGCGGCCACTTCGGCAATCCCACAGTCCCAACATTCGGATCCAAAGTATTAATAAACGAAATATAGAACGCTTGAATCGAGCTCGACGGAATACCAGGAGCGATCCCATAAGTAGTCAGGATATCGGATGCGTGGAACGTGCCCAGGACTGGCGTACCGTAGAAATATGAGGCGAGGTACGACCATGTCGGTACGTCGGGATTGACCTGGCTTGCGACTTGGAGGAAGACACGACGGGTGAGCGTAAAGACTAGATCGCCGAGTATGGCAGCCACGCGCTTGTATTGTGGATAGACGTTATTGAGTGGTCCGGTGTTGAAGGGTGAACCGGCGGAGGGATCATCGGGGTATGTAGCGACTAGAGCCTCGACTTCAGCGCGGTCTGCGTCGTAGAAGAAGACGTCGACGAGGTAGTCGACTAGTTGTTCTGTTGTTGTGATGTTGGATTGTACGAGTGAGAATAGAGTTCCTTCGTCTTCTTGGTCGCCGATTATGAAGGGGACTTTGGCGTATTGACCGTTCAACGCCAGGATCTCGGGAGACGCGGCGAGGACTTTCCCATCTGGCCTTGGGACGTAGGAAAGCGCTACGGATTGATAATCAAATGCACCGGGGACGGATGTCGTGGCGCGGAGGAAGGTCAGGTAGTCGACACTGCGGAGACAGGCAAGTGTGTCTGCGGAGCCTGAGCATCCTGCTTCCTTGACGACTGCGTCGTAGACGCCTTGGGGTCTAGGACCGTCGACTGCATCGGCAGGTGTAATACTACCACTGTTCATGATTCCTCCTCGGAAGAGTGGCTTGCCCTTGTAAGTGTTGTCGCCGCTGTAAAGAGCCATTTGTCCGAACACTGAGATACTGCCTGCTGACTCTCCCCAGATAGTGACTTTGTCAGGATCACCTCCAAATTGAGCAATGTTGTCTGCAACCCATTGCAAGCCTGCACGTTGATCAAGGAAACCTAGGTTGGAAGACCCGTCGGCTTTGATTTCCTTGCCTCCAAGCCAGCCGAAACCTCCTACGCGGTAGTTGACTGAGACGTAGATGATGGGTTTCTGCTGTGCGATCGATGTCAAGATCAATTCGCTCGCATCGTATGTCTGTGTCGACCCGAACTCAAAAGCACCTCCGTACATCCAGAACACAACCGGGAGCTTCGAGCCTGCTTTCGCGGAAGATGGTCGCTGAACATTGACTGTTAAACAGTCTTCGCCAGCATTGGAGACAGCTTGAAAGAATCCCGTGTTTTGCAACTCAGTCAAGACATCGAAAGGAATGGAGGATGAGTTCGTCGAAGTGAGAAATTGGGGGCAAGCTCGTGGAATTCCAGTTGCTTGGACTGTTCCCAGGTTCTTGGTAAGAGGTTGTGGAGGCTTGAGACGGAGCTGTCCTACAGGAGGTTGAGCGTACGGAATTCCTTTGAACGAGTCGACGCCGAGAAAGCTGGATCCAACCACTCTTGCAGACTCAAGCTGTACAACCGGTGGTAGCAATTGACGCTTCTCCTCTGCTGGAGCCGCAAGAGTGAAAGGTAGGAGGCATGTTGCCAAGCTGATGAGGGACAACATGTTGTGGAACAAAGAAGATCGTCCGTTCACCTACGAATCGGAAGTCGCTGGAGGAATCTGGGGAAACCTTGCATTCCCTAAACATATTGCAGATGACTGGTACATATATATCTCAGGGTTGAAGAACCGTCTCCACACCAAGGGGTGGATATTCCCCAGACATTTTCTGGCTCGGTCGGTGTTGACCTCCCAGAACGAGGTCAGATCGACAGACTAGATAGAAGCCGAAGCTTGACAAGCCATGTACTTCAACTAGTCTCGCACACTTGTGGGAACGAATCAATTTTCATGTGCTCCACATGCAATTACCATGGTCCAAAAAGGGACACCTGGAGTGACATCACTGAGTCCAAGCTCAAGGTCTTGGTAAATGTGTTTTGCTGCCAAGCAACTGGACATCGTTAATCATCAGACAACCAAAAATCAACTTGAACGAAACAGCAGGACTCCCGGCTCAGGTTACACAACTGATGTCAAGACTGGAATAATACAAATCCTGGCAGGAGATCCCTAGGCACAACAGAGGCGGCCAACTCGCCGAGGTATCCACCCCGCACTTTTCATCAACACTAAATGAGTGCCGATCCCGTTCCCACACCTCTTCGGGTAATCCTCGTCCCTCAGGTAGTGCGAATGTCAATACTTGGATTTTCAGGAACTCTTGCAGATCCAGAGAGGCCCAAAGCTAGGTAGGCGGGATACGATTTTGTGGCGGAATAAATGCAGGCCGATTCCGAGGTATGTGTGAAGCAGAGGAAGGAGTAGCATGTGAGCTTTGAATTACCATTACATGTGTCTCAAAGGATACTATGAGGTATTTTGAGATCATCTTACACTGTACTACATGTCTTGCAACCTCCTCTCGAACACTTCCCGTGGTTTCAACTCTCTTGAGATCTGTGTCTGAATTTGTTCAAATTTTCTCAAAAACTTCTACCAGCTCGGTATAATTCAAAGTCTAGGCCACGCAAACTATGCTTTTGGCTTCTTGACTGGAACTTTGACCATCCAATGCAGGATTTCAAAAATGATCTGTCCGACCATGATGCCTGTCGATTCAGCAGCGTTGTCATATATCGGCGTATATTCAACAACATCAGATCCAATGATCTTCAAACCAGCGTTCGAGAGTCCATTGATGATTGCCAGCAACTATTTGATTAGTCTTTAACATCGCGACATAATCGCAGAAGAACTCACCTCTCTAGTCGTCCATCCACCGGGCTCAATCGTCCCTGTTGCAGGAGCAAAAGCAGGATCCAGCACATCAATATCAACACTCAGATAGACAAACTCATCACCAACTCTCTCAACGATCTTCTTGACGACTGCGTCTACTCCAAGCTTATCGAGTTCCCGAGCACGGATGTAGCTGAACCCGCAGCGGAGATCGTTGTTTAAATCGTAGTGCTTGTCGACCAGCGTACAGCGAGAGCCAAGATGCATATTGCTGTTGTTTGAAAGCAGACCTTCTCCATGTGCTATGTGAAGCATAGTGCCATGATTGACCTCAGATTGCTTGGTTAAGCCTCCACCAAGCTGTTTTGGATCCCAAGTATCGAGGTGGCTGTCGAAGTGCAGGACTGCAACACGACCCCATGTTGAGTGGAGAGCTCTAAGGATGGGTAAAGCTTGTTCCATCAGCATGTGAGATATGTTGCACGATTTGAGTCTTACTGATAGTATGGTCTCCTCCAATGGTAATAAGTCTCACTGCATCTCCAGCAGATTCGTTCTTTGGCTTAAGATCGTTGATCGCCTTCATCCCCTTTTCAAGTTCATGAATTGCCACCAGCTTATCAAATGGCGTGTTTGATATATCGCCGCAATCAACCACTTTAGCCCAATTCCTGAATGGATTGATTCCAGGGTGATCCATACTATCAAGAATCAGTCTCCCATGCCACACCAAAACAAGAAACCACACGTGACGTACTCATAGCCAACTTCTGGTGACAGCCTCCGTGCTCCTTGTCTTGCTCCATTAGGTCCGAACCGCGCTCCAGGTCGATAGGTCACACCTAGATCGAACGGATGGCCTACTATTCCAATGTCAAATGTCCCACTGTTCTCGAGTTTCGTGCATTCTGTGAAGTCGAGATGGGCAAAAGTGTTGATACCACCAAATAAACTATCATCTTGCTCCCGGTATTGATATGAGGGCGGTAAAGTGACTGGCTCTGAAAGCGACGAGATATCAATGTTACGACCGTATATTGAGGATTTTATGAAGTTGGATGATGGGTCATTGCCGAGTGGCTTCTGCTTGGATGCTGTGGCAAGCGAGCTCAACGCCGCGATTTGGATTAATAGATAACGCATTATGTCTAAAATATGGTGAAAGTATCAATTGGAATGATTGTGAGGATTGAAACAGAACATGATCAGGGAGAAGGTTTAAATATCCATCAAGTTCCTTGGTTGAGATGTTATCAAGTCCCAGATGGCTACCGCCAGAGGAGAGTGGGGTTTAGGGTGAACCGCTTCCGGAAAGTCCAACCGAGCCCATACATATCTTCACCTCCACAGTAGTTCCAAGCAAGGCCATTATCAATACCTCATCAACAACAGCATCGCCACTCTGCGTGGAATTCAATCTCAGATATGCAAGTTGACAGCTTTGTGTTGCCAGAAGTCGTTCTGCTTTGGGCTTTCGGTCTTGGGTTTACATGTCCTGGACCAGGCATGTCCTTCATCGAAGCGCTTCGCTTCCAGAGCCCTTCCCCCATGGCACACAAGTCAAGGGTATATCGAGGACACGAGAATCTGTGATCTAGACCCAGGTCGCATAGCGAAGGCGAAATGGGCTAACAACGCATTTCTTTGTAAATGAATATTCATTGCTGACACTCTTCAGGCAGAGCGACATTCATACCATCCCCTTCGCATACATTTCCCCATAATCCCATAGCTCTTCCAAATACCATCTCATATAATAACCTATCTATCAGCCTTGATTAACCAAGCTCAACTGAAAAATCGGGCCTGAAGAGGCTAACAAAGTGATGTTCAAATCAAACCGGTGGCCATATTCAACGAGACCAGATCCACAGCTCACACACCACTACTTCCAGGCACAGCATCTCTACGTGTGGACGAGAACCTGCCGATGTCTGGGAAACAAAAACACCTAAACCCAACATCCCTCAGGGCTTCACTCTCTTCGCAAAGAAAATAAAAATCCATTGGAAAGAAGTTGAAAGCTATTTTGAATCTAGTTGAATGCCTTATCAGTTTTCATACCCATACAAGAGATCAACGGTACTTGGATTGAGGTTCTGCCAAAAATCAGCAGCTTCTAGGGGGGAACTACCTATGTATGTGCTCATTAAATCACAGGGCAGGCCAAGTGTTACGATTCGGCATAATGGAATGGAAGAGAGCAAGTACATGAATTGGATACGCAGACAGAAAACGCCTGATATCTTCAGATCTCTAGCTACGCTATGCAAACAATTATACACCTACAATTATGAGCTCCTACACCTTGACATCCAGACAGAGCCATGCAGAAGCACCCAGCCCAGCAAGACTCTGTATATACCACTCCATACATCCTTTTCTTTGAACAATCCCACCAATGTCACCGTCACCTCCCCGCATTCTCATTCTCCTTATCCGAACCACTCTCTCCCCTCCCCCCATCAAGCTCCTTAACCTTCCTCATAAACCCCTCATTCGCACCCGCATTATTCGTAGCACCACCATCCACGCTCCTCGAGCTTAACCCCGTCCCCTTCCTCTCCACCAGCGCCTTCGTCCACCTCTTCTTATTCTTTCCCAGAACCCCCTCCCCATCCAACCCCAGCACCTCCCTCAGCTCTGGAATCTCAGCATGATCCCGGGTGTTGCGCATACGGTGACACCACGTCACGCGCTTCGCTTCCACAGGACCATGTTCCAACATGCCGCTCTCCCCCTTCGCAGCCCCTCCCAGATTCGCATTCGTGTTTTCGTTGGGAGTTGTCTTCTCGTCGGTGTCGTGACCCCCACCCCCACTTAGCATCTTCTCCAGCTCGCCCTCAGGTGTACCGACTGGACTTCCGTCATCGACAGGCTCGAACATGAACTCTCCGCCAACCTGGTACATATCACCGCCTTTGAGCGTCTGCCCGCTCTTCATCATCTTCATACTCTGCACGAAACCCGCGACCATGATGCTGAGGAGTTCCTTGCGCTGGTATTCGGGGCGGGCGCCGAGGTTGAGCGTTCGCAGCATACCGAGCTCGCTGTAGAGTTTCTTGGTGGGGTCGGCGTAGATGGGGAACGGGCAGGACGTCGCGGATTGGTACATGGATATCAGGGAGGGGGAGCCGCAGCCGACTATGGCGATGAAGGTTGGTGTTGGGAGGGAGAGGAGGGAGGCCGGGGTGATGGAGGCTGTGAGGGAGCGGATGTATTCTTGACAGTTCTGTTGGACGGATATTGTCAGTCTTTGTTCTTGGTAGGCTTTTCGCACCTTGGTGTGCTGCTGGTTTCAATTGGGGGTTATTCAAGGGGACGTACACCGCAGTAGAAATGCCGTACGAAAATAACCAATACCCTCCTCGTTACGTTCGGCCCAGTATATAAATTCTTGAAAGGTATCGATCTGCCATCCTGATCTAGAATTGGAAGGTTCTCGACGCGCTTCAATGTTTCTTGAGAGGGGATGTTGTTATTCGTGTTGACCTCACCGGAGAAGTCTGCGCTTGCGTCGTGGGAGGAGAGGCTGTCGGAGGAGTCTTTGGCGCACGCCATGTCGGGGGATGTGTTGACGTTCGTGGAGAGAGGTGGTGGTTTGTTTTGGGAGAAGAGGGAGGATGTTGATATCGCCATTGCGGCTTCTAAGGATATTTGATATAATACTGTCGCGGTGCAGTGGGCGTGTCCGATTGAGTCCTATGTCGGCAGATACAATTGTCTTTATTGTCCTAATCAGGATTTGTCCCTTCTCTCTTGTGGCAACCGTCTCTTTCCCAGCAGTCGAGAAGTCCGGTCACGGATCAGTGAAGGTCCAAGTCGTCCTGATTGCGATCCGATGAACAATGCTGCTTCCTATTTCGATTCGAGAGTCGAGTTCGGTCTTGAGGAGAGATACGCGCGCGAAGTCGGATTGAAGCTGTCGTCGCCACACAGAAGGACTGTCTTGTAGGTCGGAAGTGCCGGTGCCAATGGTGTTCCTTGAATCCAAGTATATTCTTGCTTCCCTGTACAAGGTTCGTTCTCGTATCTGCAAAAGCCGGGAATACCAACAAGATCTGATGCGCAATACCAAGGAGATGCAAACCTAAATCAAGTCGAGTCCTGCCTATCCCAGTCCAAGTCCCGGGTACAGGTCAAAATCAGAATCCAGGTACAAAAGTCAAGTTCAAGAAACGACAGCAAAGAAGAGAGCATAGCATCTGCGGGTCTGCTCCCCTGGCCACCAACCATACCGCACCAACCACCTCCCGGCAGAGGCAAAGACAACAACAAGCTCCACTCCATCTTCATCCTACCTATCAACATCGTTTGCCTGTGTCGGATATGGTCCAGGCTAGGGGTCTTTTGCCTCTCTTGTTGCTCTTTTCTGCTCCTGTCTGGCTCTGGCACCGTTTGCGTATCAGTTGGCAGAGACCATCCTGTTTGAAGTTGGTTTGAGGGACTAATGCTGGCGCTGGTGCGTGGGTGGCGCTTTGCAGACGCCGTGAGAGGTTCGCTTGGCCGGCTACTTTTAAGGTTAATCGCTGGCGCTTCAAGCCGAGGTTGAGTCCCAGCCAGTTTGATTTAGTCGTGGAGTACTGTATGGGAATTGCCCTCTGCTGGGTTTATTATTGTCTACTGTGGTGGATTTCTTCGGCCAAGTGTACCTCGTAGAGAAAATTGCTCTGTTTATATCCCCAAGAGAGGCCTACGTGGGCTTGCAATCCAATGCTGTTCTGAGATCTCGATTTCGAAACCCCGACACGCTCCTGACATTTTCTGTTACGGCTCAGGGATGCCAGGAGCGATCACCGCGGACCTGAATCAGAGTTGGTCAGCAGAATCGACATCACTACTCATGTCGGACTAGATATCCAATTGTCCCATCTTCCCAGAACACCATATAATTCAGCCTCGGACCTAGAGATATTGGAACCCAAGTTGAACCTTGGTTTGTCTTTGCTTTGACCAAAATTTAAATGCCAATCCGCGTTCTCGTGAAGCATTCCTTTCGTTCACATTGCCAGCGTTCAAGCTGCTTGGTACTCATCATAGAAACCTGTGTAGCAGAAGGCACTGCGGAAAACTGCTCGTCCGAAAGCAGAAGTGGTGTGGCTTTCCTTTCCACGTGTCACTTTACCCAGCTAGTGGCGGGAGGGTGGTGTTGAAAGGCATCGACGCCATTTCCGTTGATGATTGGGTATGGTCAATCCTTTCAATCAAGTGGCGACATGATGCGATCAAGTGGCGACATGATGCGATGGTTCAGTGGGATAGTGAGCAGCGTGACAGGCGGATTTCGTTATTTGTACGATGTGTCGTTCAGAGTTGGTTCAGTATCCCGAAACGTGGTCCAAAGTAATAACTTCGAAGTAGCATTTGTGTTGACTTGCCTTACAGATAATGTCAACCAAGTCTCATGGCCCAAAACGTATCTTTGTTCAAGTATAATAGATCTTGCCATAATATGGCATAGCTGTGGCATGGAGGGCCAGAGTTTCGTATAGAATAATCCCTCGTTGGGTATCTGTAGCTTAGTCATCCATTCTGTCCTGTTACGCATGCCGCAGCTGGTATATATTCTTATGCGAGTGCGAAGTTGCACAACGTCCTGTCAGAAGTTTAGATGGCCTTGTGTTGCCCTTTGGGCTGTGCCGCAGTGCTTGCGTGGTTGTTGGAGGTGATGGACAGGCAACTCCTGCAAGTCGTCGGACGGCGATAAGGTGAGCTAATTTTGGCGCACCTTTACAATATTCTCAATTTGTTTTTGGAACATGACTGTGTCAAATAAAGGGGCAACGAGAGATATCTCAGAGGGGGAAGAATGAAGCAAGGAAAAAAATAGTCTGCTATCAGAATAGAAGGTTTCCCACTGGTATGTTTTGATACTTGGAGGCTGGGACATTACGGGGTTTGCTCCGGCTATTTAGTGCACTCGAGACTCGATGTTCAATGTATGGCAGCAGCCAGCTTTCCTTCCCTCACAGCACCATCGCAACCACATCCAAACATAGCCATCAATGACCGCTTCGAGGCATATCAATTTGAAACGCAGATGCTACTGTATCACTTGCGAACTCCTATTGTTCTTGGCCCAGGGCTTTCGTCCGTCTGTCCCACGCACGATGTGAATTGGCGGCATATCGCCATTTAAATTGCCATGCTTCCAGCGGTCAGCCCCCACGAGTCTCGACCACGCCAACCCACGCCAACCTCCCAGCTGCCAACAAGCCTGTCAACAGGACATGGGGAACACTATCTACAGGGCTTCAAACGGCGAAGCACTAGAATCTTTCAGACGAGCCGCAGATGCATTTGGTCCAAGTTAGATTGCTCCTGGCTTGCCATACGGACTCCCAGCCAAACTGGGACAATTGAACCAACATATGGAGATATTTTCGGGGATTAATTCAAAAAGTGGATGGGCTTTGCAGTTGGAAAGCGTTGGCAAAGAGCTTGACGACTATCCTCTTTCCTCGCATTTGACGATCACTGGGAACATGTCTGGGCTTTATCTTTCAATTCTCGGCTCGATATGGCCTCATCACTGCTTCTCCATACTCGAACGCCTGAATATTGCTCACCTGTAGCGCTGTTCTCCAGGAGTGATCAATAGTGTCGTATCTACGAATCAGCAATACAAAATTTCGCCATTGAAAACGCCCGATTAGCACTATTCTTGAAGCCTTGCCCAGATAGGATGTCCCAAGTATTGGGCGATAAGGAACCCTGTTGGCTGCACTGTGTTTGTTAGGTTACCGAACATTCAGCTCCCCTGCTGGCTCCAGGAACGAACAACAAATCTGACAGCCTGACAGGACACTGTCAGCCTGACGGAGAGATCTGATCTCCCCGACTTTCTCGTCATCCATACTTTTTCGAAACGCCAAAAGAAATCCTTTCGTCAATTTTGTTGATCCTCAGTCTTCTTGACTTCGTTGTGGCGATTCCTCCCTGAATGCACTCCCCGAGCCTTGGCCACGCCGAATAAGCAATTAGACTTCTCGTCTCATCTGCACCACAACACTATTTGGGAGCTCGGCTCTTACTCTAGTAAGACATTGTGCAAGCCACAGGGCAGACCACGAAAACGTATCGATTTCTCAATAAATCGTTCAGCTTCCCATCTTTTTTCCAAAATTTGCCATGAGCAGGATCGCCGGCGGAAACCTTCGTCGACGATAGAGGGTTCTCGTTGGCCTGAGTCGCCATTATCAATCTTGTCTCAACACATATCTTCAGCGGCCAGCCTTGCGGAACCATTGATTTCCTGGAGATCTGAGCCGATCCGGAACTCACCAAGCACGAAAACAACCAATTGCTGCTGAGACATATTAGTAAGGAAGAGAAAGACAAAAGAAACCCCCGAAATTGTCTTCTGTGGAAATCAAAACACAGCTCGCCAGACAGCCTACAGCAGAACCCTCAATTTAAACGTCCGAAAAATCCAGATGCGGCCAGTTATTCTGTGACGGATATCTTTGACCATTTGCAGTTGTATATTCTTTGAGAATTGGGAAAGGCCGCGAGTTCAATTGATCGGGTATGAAAGTTGTCGAGACCGCGAACGGCAGCGTTCTATTTCGGAGGAGAGTGCTGATAGAGGAGTTGATTGCTGAGGGAGATTTATGAAGTACCGTGCTTGGATTGGGCAAGCCGTGTCGGCATTGTGAGGATCCCCCACTATTTCGACAGGACATGCTAACAATATCCAAGTACTGATGGAAACGGAAGTCGAAGAAAAGATGGAAATAAGAAGCGGAATACCCAGTCTGGCAAGTGGACAGGGGAGGAGGTGGCAGCAGAAGTACCAAGACTACCTATTGCCGAACAATTTTCATCCGAGAACTGGAAGTTGAGACTGGAAAGCTCCAAGCCAGTAGTCATTGAAAGCAGGAAAGCAGTGCCGATACAAATACCGGGAAAATCCATTCCCAAATTAGAAGAAGAGGAGGTGGAATGGAGTATATCCGGATCTACTTCTTCAGATACACTGCCTATGAGAGCAGACAGCCAAGCTTCGACTTCAAGTTCCTCGTCGGTTACGCTTTCAACTATCACGGAGTCGGCTCATGGATCGATTCCCTATGAACATGCTGAGCTCGACGGCTTAGCTTCTACATCATCAGCAACTCCTGCTTCCTTGTACGGGTCTTCAACTCAAGCCTTAATCAAAACTCAAGCTCCCACTCGTCCCTCGCTCCGATACCGAACGAAAAGCTTCTCATCAGTAATACTCGAACAGTCTCCATCAGCGCCAATAACCATCATACTTACAACACCGGACTCAGATCCACCATCACCAGATTACTCTTCACCACCCCCGTCATATTTCTCCAGCCAACACCAAGGTCATTTCTCACCAAGCTTTCATGGACCTTCATTGTCCAAGACAAAATACTACACAGCAGCTCGCCCGATACGCTCATTCTCCAGTCCATCCATACCCACTCTTGCGTCGTCTCCAGGCCTTCTCTCCCCCAACTGGTCCACAACCTCTCTCCCATCCACCTACATATCCCCCTTCCCAGATCCAAACAAACTCATAGCCCCATCTGAACAAGCCCTCGACATCAGCCGTCTCCGAAAAGCTCAAGAGTTCCGCCAAGTCAGAAAATTCATGATCGATTTCCTCAACGCAAAAGGCCATACCTTCCCACCTAAACTTCGCCTACGGATCTTAGCCGGGTATGGTATCGAAGAGAAAGAACTGCATCCTGAGACAGTAAAGCGATTTGCAATATCGGACTCAGTAGCCGAGACAGACGAAGGCGTCGCACTCGATGGAGTCTGCTTGGAGGACAGCAAAGCGAAGGGAATAAGTAATGCCGAGAATCTACGTATCCTCTCCATGGCATTCCAGAGCCAGATCCCCCTCGTGACGCCGCACCTCGAAGAGGCATACTTGAAAGCTACTCCTGGACGACTGCCTATGCATCGTCCAAGAACTCTGCTCGAGGAACGGGAGATGCGCTTATTGGGGAGAACCCTATCGACGTCTGATTTACCGCTTCGCCAATCGACATCTCAATCAAAGACTAGGAGCAGCATTTCTGAGTACGGATCTCTTAAAGCCAGTGCCTCCCCTCCAGACCTCTCGCGTCGATATCCTGTTACTCCCGATACCGCGAGCATGCCAAGGTCAGTCTCGGGGCGAACAGGCGAAAAGACTAAAATGCATGTTGTGGGCGATCGAAAACAAATGGGCATTGTGGAGCAGCAGACGAGGATTAAGAGACAGAGTATCATCTCTGGGGCTTTTGGGGCTGTGAGGGAAGCTATGGGAGGAGGGAGTGTAGGGAAGGAGAGGGAGAGGAGGAGGATTGCTGGTAGCTGGCGGTGAGGGGAGAAGCATCGAGTGGTTTACTTAATTTCCTGGACATTTGGAATTGTTCTTTCGGCGGTGGAGTTTGGTATATTACATGCGATGTACTGCAGTCAGGAGAGGAGACCTGGGACTCATGCTTCTACAGCTTTTCTTTTGTGGGACCTGGATATTATTTTTCTCGTAGCATGTTTGGCGTTCGGGTGAATAGATATTTTAAGTATATCCTGGAGTTATTACCAGCATATTCATTGTTCATGCAGCTTTTCTTGTTCGTCGGATCTTCCGTTTTTCAGAATACCGAGTTCTTTGACCACACTACCTCACGCTGCGATTACTCTCAATCACGACTTTCAAACTTCCCAACAAGCTAAGTTCGTCACCCCAACTTCTCCGAAAATCACAACGAGATGCAAGATGGAGGATATCTAGATTAATGGTATGTTTTTACATTTTCCCCCTTCCTTCCTTCCTTCTTCCTTGCTTTGTCTCTACCCGCCCTCCAATCTGCTGGACTGCTTTTCATTTATTCTCCACTCCAAAATCCAAGATACAGAAACGAACAAAACAAACAAAATAATCCGCATCCAAGCGAAAATGAGTATATCGCCGCAACCCCACCCATGCTTCCCTTACCACCCAGAACGCCTACACAATGCAGTTCAACGCAGTACAATGCAATATTTCCTACCCTCTCACATATACATATCTTCCTCCCCCCCCCTCCCTGCCCTTCCTTCCCTTCCCCGATTCGATTCTTTATGCAGCAACGCACCACCAAATATCCCATAAAATGGAATCGGCATTTGGCATTTGGCATTTGGCAGCGATGCAACGCGATAAGGCAGGTAGGCACGCATCTGCATCCACCCTACCTCATCTTCCCATCCAGAAACTGCTCAGCGATAACCGGCCACGAGAGGACGAGACCCATGAATGGGAAATAGCTGTTTACCCAGTCAGTCAGTTCAATTCCACGTTTGATACATACAACCACCACAAAATGTAATAAAAGGAAAATCAAATAAAGAAAAAGACAAAACTCACAACATCGCACTATCACCCACCCGTCTAGCCTGCCTCCCCCAATCGCCCCTCGCGGGTTTCTGTGTCGTGGGCATGCGCTCGAAGGGGTGAGGCTCGAAGGAGCGGGCGAGGGTGCGGACGCGGGTGGCGATGCTGAAGGCGCGGCGGGGGGTGGTGAGGTGGAGGAGGCGGATGGGGATTGGGGACATGGTTTTAGATTAGTTTGGGTTTGAGGTGGGGTGAATAATGGAGATAGTGGTTGATGGATAAACGGAGGTGAGGTGTGGTGTGTGAGCGAGATGAGATGAGGTGAGATGAGGTGAGGTGAGATGAGATTTTGTGTAGTGTAAAGTGTGTGATGAGGAGAGTTGGATGATTTTTTTTGTATTGTGTGAGGGGAGTTTTGAATTAGAGGACTGAGAGGAGTTGGAGTTGGTTGTTGAGTAGAGATGAGATGAGACGAGATGAGATTGTCTGTCTGTTTTCGTGTGGTACGAAGCTGATGATACTTCCAAAAAATCCTTCTGAGAAACAGGAGACCTTCCAAGATATATACCGTCCCCTGGACTCTTCTCTCCATCCTTTCCTCTACCACGTATCCTCACCTCATCCCCTGACAAAAATCCATATAATCACACAAAATACATGCAAAATGACCCGTAAATGACGTCCCTCTCACCACGCATCGTACGAAAGCGCACACCATTTCCCTCTCCTATCAGACGACAGCAAACAAAACCTACCAATAAGAAACAAGGTAATCAGCAGCGGAGAATGGGGAAACATGCGATGCGATATTCTTACGGAGGTTAAGAACTGCAGACTGCGGATACTGTGAGCTGAGATGGGAGTGGTGCAGATGATATGTGGTGTGAGGTTGTTTGGGTGTGGGCTGATTTTCTTTTGGTGGAGCGTTTTTCTGGGCAGGGGGTTGAGTAGTGTGCAACAGTGTGCAGGTGGTGTTGTTTTGACTGGGGCGGGGCGGGGAACTCCGATGAGAGGAACAGGGAGGGAGGGAGGGACGTGACTTGGAATATTGGTGTGGAGCATGGTACCTGAGAAAACGGACCAGATTATACTAGACTAGATTATTAGTTGGTATAGAAGTCAATCTGGAACAATTTCGAGACATATGGAGGGCCGATTGTTTCCAATGCCTCGACTTTTCTGAAACATTATTTTACATGCCTCACGACTTGAATATGTATGCCGCTTTATATAGCCTCTTTTAAACCTGTTTATACTTAAATAGAAGCGCGAAAGGAAAGGATTTTAGAGGGAAGGAATAAAGGTATACTTAAATAGAGGTATAAGGGCACAGTCAAATAGAGGCACACCTGTGGAGGCACACTTGTAGAGGCACACTTGTGGAGACATACTCGTGGAGGTATACTCGTGGAGGTATACTCGTAGAGGCATACTTGAAGGGAGGCACACTCGAATGGATGCACACTTAAATGGATGCACATTTGAATGAATACACACTTGAATAGATGCACACTTGTAGAGGCATACTTAAAGGGAGGCACACTCGAATAGATGCACATTCGAATGGATGCACACTCGGATGGATGCACACTTGTGGAGGCACACTTAAACAGAGGCACTCTCAAATAGAGGCACAATTGATAGGCAGTTCACTTGAAAAGTGTCAATTGTGTGAATAGCTTCATTTTTGTCCTAATATTATTCTACCTTCTCACGTCGTGTACATCACGTTACATAAAGCGGCATACAAATTTAGGTAGTGAGGCATGCAAAATAATGTTCTAGAAAAGTCGAGGCCTTTGAAACAATCGGCCCATATGGAGACTAACCATGTGTATCAGATCAAGAATCAAGTAATGGCTATGTCACGTGGAAAATGTAGCCCTCCTCCATCAGGCGAAGGCGTATCGTATCCTCATCAAAATAAGTTTCGTTTTCATTGGTGATATCAAGCATTTCCTGCTTGATGAAATGTCTACCGGCTTGCTTGACTCGATGATTCCAGATTGCAATTCGCCCACCACAGAAACCATTCAAAACTCCCAACTCCCAACTCCCAACTCCCAACTCCCAACTCCCAACTCCCAACTCCCAACTCCAACTTCCAACTTCCAACTCCAAACACTCCAATAGTTCCACTTAACCAGGGAGTGGCTTGCAGCTCCCCTGACGAAGTTCAGTACGCAGCTTTTCCACGAGCAAGGCTTTTAATGACTCGTCCTCTCGGAACATGAGGTGTCCCGTTTTCGTCAAACATGTACCGCTTAGGGCTAATGAGCGTCGTCTCCCAACCCTCTAAACACCAATTAGCATCCTAGCAACCCGATGTTTTACTATTTATCTTACCATCAGCATCCCAATATTGTAGGAAACTGGAATGGCTAACGATAGCGACAGCAACTGGCTTAGATGATTCCCCAGCAATTCGATTCACCAAACGCTTAACGAACCTGACATTCTCCTCTCCATCAGCATATCTTCCCTTGAATTCAATAAACTTCAAGTTCTCATTGTTCCAATATGCTGGTAACATGGTCAGATCAACTGAATCTCCATACCGCGCAGCACACAATTCCTCTAATGCAATGAGATTAAGCCCCGTCCCGTTGGGACCAATTGCTAATGTTTGGAGCTCTGCAACAGCCAAAACTTTTATACCAGATTAGATAGCTGTCTTGAAAACGATAGCTGCCGTCTCTAGTGTGCGTGACATTGGTGAAACCAGGAGGTGGGTGATGTTGACATTGTGCTTCGCTAAGCCAGTCTGCAGGACTTTTGCGGTTTCTCGGCTCTGCATCTCCCCGTTCAGGGTCAGACCTGGATCGTGGATATCGTTGAATATGTCATCTTTTTTTGTCAATCTATTGTAGACTTTGGATGTGGCCTGTGTTAAAGAACTTTTGTTAGATTCGCTGAGCTCTCGAGAGAATGTTTGGATGGTGCAGTTACATACCTCTGCATGTCTGCATAGGTACACTCTTCGAGGCACATTGGTGCTCCCAGTCAAAGGCAAGATTGGACTTTCCACACTGTCTTGACGGTTTGCGACATCTTGAGTAACAACTTGAGTCGCCAATGGCATGTCTGTGGCTTGTTGGCTCATTGTTATGTATGGTGTTGTTCGTTGTTGTTGATGCTCTCGATCTGGATCTCAATGCAAGACCCCAGATATGTAGGAGACACAATCTGCCTGATTGTGGGGAGATCTAAGCGTATGTTCTATTTGGAAAGCCATTGTAATCAGGCAGAGACTTGTTTTCAGTCTCAAGAAGATATCATTCTTCGAAGTGGGCCCTGAAGAAAAAGTCTAACCTCGAAGGCCACCCTGGAAGTCAAGTCTTTAGCCTCTAAACGACATAGCCTTAAGCACTTAGACAGTACAGCAATTTATCATTTACAGTCGTACTTGCAATGTCATCGGCTTTTTATGAGCGATCTACTACTCATGTTTACTTTCGTTCCCTGCACGCCGCTTATACCCCTAACACGCGAGGACTGGTCAAGACAAGTACATCTAAATCCAGTTAAATATCATCAAAACATCTTACCATATAGAATCATAGACCATAAATTTGAGTGAAAAAGCAGGTAAGTGATTACCAGGGCTCGTCCGTAATCATCAATGGCAACGGCAATAAAACAACCCCACCACTGTCTTCCCTCCCCTTCCCTTCCCTCCCCTCAAACCATATTCGCACCTCCCCGCCCCATCACTTTCGACAATGACAAAAGACAAACATGCATACACCTCCCTGGTGTCAATCAGCCTTTGAAATCAGAAAAAGCAGATACACCAAAGTCATCGCCTCCTGACAAAGATAATCGATAAGCCAGCCAGCCGCTCTCCCACATGGACGACGAGGCAACAACCCCGCTCGTAGCTTCAGCTTCTCACACCCCGTCTTCCAAGCCACAGGAATCAGATTCAGGCCCGAGCTTATTCATCCTCACCCTCTCGAAGGGCAAAATCACTACCGAGCCCCTGACAAGCACGCGGACTCGTCTCAGTAATCACAAGGTCATCGCCTCCTACTGTGAGGACTTTGTGAGCGACCCGAAAGAAATAGTTGAGCAGGTCAATCTAGACACGTTGAAAGAGAGGTAATAGTATCGGGACTTATATGAGAACATACTTATCTTTGTGCAACAATAAGGAAAAAACACGAAGCATTCAGTCATCTCATCATTCCATTGTTATTTTCCCCCTTGAACCGAACCGCCCATTTCGTACTTTCTTTCCAACAGAAAAACCAATCATTCGACTTCCCCAGCTCTCGTGCCACTTGTTGTTGTCAGCAGCGAAGCGAAACATCTCATCATTTTTCTATCATCATAATTCCCTGCATGAATCTCTCCCTACTCATCTACCTCGCCCCCAGACCAAAGAACCGACAATCCCTAGCCATATGTCCCCCACCACGACATAACCCACAATTCCCCTCACACTCCTCAATAACATGTCCCTGCGATCTGCAATTCACACAATATCCTCCGGTATCCCAACCAGGAGGAGGTAGACCTTGACCTGCCGCATTACCCTTGACCTGGTATCCGTCTTGCTGTACTTGTGGTGCCTGTGCCTGATGCGGTCCGGACCCATGTCCTATTGAAGCCTTGAACTGTTGATTCCCCTGCCCACCACTTTGGATACTCTGTCTTGGATAACCTTTCTTGTGACCTTGACTTTGACCTCGCGAAGCAATGATATCGCCAATTCTCGCACTGATAGGACCGTCAGGAACTCCTGGAGGAGTACCTCCAACACCCTGCTGAACACGGAAGCCATTGGAATTGACTTGCATACCCGAACGACCCATCGACTGAGCAGGAGGCAAGGCATCAGCTCTAAAATCGAACATTCTCTGCATCATTTTCTGAGGACCTTTTGGGAACCTATCATCCTGATAATTGAAATTGCCTCTTCCCCCTCCTTGTCTGCCATCATGAAATCTTCCATTCATCCTTTGCTGAGCTTCATTCTGCTGTTGGCGCTGAAACCCTCCCCTGACGTTATTCTGCGAGAACTTCGTATAACCATTGCCAGTCTCGCTTCTCATATATGTATTGCGAGGTTTCCAGCCAGGTAAAGGTCCCAGCTTAGCACGAGCTTCGTTGGCTTTTTGTCTTCCGTATTCTCGTGAGGTCATGCCATTTGGTAGGACGTGTCGCCGTGGGCCGATTGGTGGGGATGGATTGTTGTTGTTGGTGAATGGACCACCGAATCTTTGCTGGGAGTCTTGCGGACCTGCCATTTGAGGAGGAATCGGGTGGTGAGTTTGACCATTATTGTAGCCGTTTACGGCTTGATGACCTGGTGTTGGAGAATGAGATGAGATACTTCCATGGTTAGATCGTGCTCTCTGCTGCTGATAATCAAGTTTTGGTACTTGCGGCTTATCATGATGTCGACCTTCGTGGCTGCCATGACCTGAATTCGGCTGATGGACTAGTCCACCTTGGTTTTGTTGATCCATCGATTGATCCTCGAGTCGTCTCTTCTTCCATGATCTCTCATCCAGGCAGACTGGTCCTCGACTATACCTCGACCAAGGCTTCATCGTAGATTTCTGCGGTTCTTTCTGCATTTCCCCATCTCCATTAGAGCCTCGCTGAAGTTCTTGAACTGATCCATCGACTGCGGACACACCGTGCGTCTCCTCTCCCCTCAGTCTCCCATACTCATCAACTCCCCCCTCCGCAGCAGCTCTCTTCCCCTTCCATTTTCCCGAGCCACACCCACCACCAACAACCCCATCCTCATCACCACTCAAATCCACAACCTGCCTCCTATACGGACCCACCAGCTCCCTATCCAACGGATGAACCATCTTACCCACATTCGTCGTCCAATCCGTCCTCCCATACCAAATAGGATCAAGCACAATCTCATTCCAGCTCTGCACTACCCCCCTATCCCTCCTCTCCTTCGCAAACGCCGCAGTCTGCGGACGCATCGCGTTCGTATCATCCTGATACACACAATCCTTGAACTCCTTCCAATATCCGAGTCGAAAGTCCCAGCGGCATCTGAGAGGTGGTTTGCCGTGGCGTTTGGTGATCAGGTAGTGGTAGTCGTCGTGGGGGAGCTTTGGGCAGGGGCAGTCGGCGTAGTTGTGTTGGAGGGTGTTACATCGTGGACAGCCGTTGAGGTAGCCGTATTCGTCGATGTTGTAGGTGCAGTCTGCGAGGGAGTGGCCGGCTTGTGAACAGTTGCCGCAGATTACGGTTTCGGAATTCAGAGCACATTTATTTGCAGGGGTAGATGGAGATGTGGACATGTGTGTTGAGCAATCATCGTCTGTGTTTCTTCTGTCTTTCGATGGCTGTTCTCTGCTTCTTCCCTGGTGCCGGTTTTCCTTGTGGCTATGTTGACCCTTGGCGAGCTCCTCCTCGTCTTCAATGTTGCGATTATGGCCTCCATTGGCGTCTATCGAGGATTGCGTTGTATTTGGGGTCGCAGGTTGAGACTCATTATTTAGCTGGATACGTGGACTAGACTGCATAGAAATCTCCTTCATTATTGTAGAGCTGATCGTAACCTCTGGCTGAGCAACCACATCAGCAGGAAATGTTGCTGGGCTGGCTGCAGCGGGTGTTGTAGCCTGGACCTGACTTCGAGGATCAACACCTGGAAACACCTCTCCGGGCCCTGTCATGACAATAAGTAAGATATAACAGTAGAATTGAAGTTAACATACAATACGAAGCCCAAGTCTGGTGCTCAGCAACATACTGCTGACCATCTAGGTCGAGGTCAAGTCTGACCTGCGCGCGGAGGAGAGATACTCGATAGTACTTCAATATTTCATTGACTGCAATACCGTCATCTGCGGCTCGAGCGCGCATCAGTGGCATCTGTGAAATGTACGACATGGTGATGGGCGGCGGTGCTGCTTGGTGGAAGTGTCGTTGTGTGGTTGGTATGGGAATTTACGGATGGCAGAGCGCGTTTGATATAGATAGAAGGCAAATGAATATTACTCTTGAGGCTAGTTGATTACTAGTGTTTTTCTCGAGCCTATCATGGCGGAGCGCGTCGATGTCGCAGCTGAAAAGTGAAGGGCTGGGCCCTCCATCGACTGGTTGTTCGCTCCCGGCTGTCCAGCAACAACATCTTGGAGCAGTTGCATAGATTCATACATGTACGTTCGTATATACACTGGCCATGAAATATTAAAAAGACTTCGCCCAGTTCAGCGTGCGATTTGCTCTTGAAAACGAGCAAACTTGCCAATGTTGACATTCTTATCTTTCTCGCTTAGCTGAGGTGGGGCTTCCGTCACCATCTCTCCGACCCAGCACCTCTTTGGTTGTCGTCCAACGTGATCACTCGCAACCAAAATACAAAGCCATTGGAAGACAGTTCGAGTTAATAGAGAATATACAGAACGCTATCTGGGTTTGCCTCGCCCCTCCAACTTTAACATTCACATCTGTGCTCCACTGTACCAACCACAGATCCTACAGACCACCACGAAAGCGTACTCCAAAAGCCGGCTTGATAGTATTCAAAGGACCTTCTTACATGCCCAGTTAATTGATAGCCTCTATTAATCTACTGATGGAACTCTCAAGTCGTATACCCGCAAGTCGCCGATAAATTCACCACTTTCAAGGAACGACTAAGAGTCGCTGGATCCCTCTGCATCAAGACGGCGCTGTGTGTCTGGTGTGAAGTAACGTGACGAACCGTCATTTCCGTGGTCAGAAAATGCTCCATTGTGTTGCTCATATACTGGGTCGGTACCTTCCAGGGCATGAGCACGATCGATGTTAGTGGAGTCAGTCTTCAACCAGCTATTGCCCTCAGTATTCACGTCTGAAGGATCTTTTTCTACTGTTTGCTGGTCATCGAAAGTTCCTCCAGCTTCACTTTTCATAAACTTCTCATACATTTCCCTGAGAGTTATTAACCCTCCGGGCTGTCCCATACTTCCTACTGGAGGGATCGATCGATCGAGTTGACTCTGTAAGATAGATTTCGCTTCTCTGTCAAGGTTCAGACGTCTGCGCTTCCTAGGTGGCGCATCGCCCCCTGGTTTTCGATCATTGTACACTTCACCATCCGTATCGCTTTCAGATACTGAGCTCAGCTTTGGGCGTTCATAACGAGGGTTTTCACATTGTGCTCTTTGGCTTTCAGGCTGACAGATTGGCGATGGAGAGTCGTCATTGGTCGTCTCTCCTTCCTCAAAATATGGGAAAGCCCTGCTAGCATATGTGCTTGCCGTGTTTCTATAGTCAAACCTGTGGGGTATATCCCCTGTTATTTCACCGGTAGGCGGCGGCCGCTGGTTGGGGTTCCTGGTCTCGCAGTATCCAGTAGCACTCTGTTGCATTCTTATTATCCTTCTATTGACTCTCGCTTGTAGGCTACGTATAGTTGGAAGAAGTGGCTCTCTCGGTATGCTTGATAGACACGCTGAACACTCATGTAGAGCGTTTTGACCGCTTCGATGGAAGTATGATCTAGATAGAGGTTGCGAGAACCCCAAACTCTGAGCCGTCTCCCTTGTAATGTGAGGACGACTTGAGTTGGCTTGTCGGGATGATCTCTCTGCTTCTTCTCTATTCTCAAGAATTTTCAGCCTTTTCTGCCGAGAAAACGTCCTACGGCTTGGCTCTGGCCCTTTCGTGCCTGTCCTCGAAGTCATTGGCGTTGATTGAGATGGAGGCAACACCGCGTCCTCATTGTCATCAGAAGATAAAACTACTGGCGACTCAGATGAACCCACTAATATAGGCCGGCTCTTCTCAGCCTCATTGATAGTAATCGGGGTGGATGCAGTGCCCGATGGCCGTATCCTATCCCGGCGCGATGACCGCCTGGAATCTCTCCGCGCACTCAATCTTTGTCGTTGGGTCTCCTCCAGGGATCTCGAAATGACTGTTCTGCCAAGCATTGAATTGGACCCATTGAATGGACCTCTCGATCTCGAAGCATTTATGCTCGTATTCCCATCGTCTCCTCCTGACACTGGAAACATGGTGTTTGCGCCAGATCCCGACATCTCACGCCGCTCGCGGAATCTAGCCGTGCGTTTTTGCTTCGTCAACGTATTCTTCCTCACCTCTTCCTTTACATCTTCTCCCATATTCTCGTTCAACCTGGCATTCCCACTCTCGATGCCTCTAGTGTTTCGGGCAGCATGTAAGCCAACAGCCGATGGGCGATCTCCATCACCCCTCGCAAGAAGTCCAAGGCCCCTTAGCGATGGCAAAGACCGCCCAAAACTGCCCAAAGGCTCGCTTCCTACTATACTTTCCCCTCTGAAGCTCGATACTGGGCGTAATGCATTATCTTGCACTGCTGTGGAATGTCGATTTGACTCCCTTGCCGATGGAGCACCTGGTTCGATAAAGGGCATGATCCGGTCCTGGGTTAAAACATTGACGTCGGAATCCTCGCTCCTCAGTAAAGGTGAGTTGAGGGTGGGGGTCTGATCTGCAGGAGATTCTTTCTTTGGTACGTCGAGAACAAGTGTGTTTCCTGGTGTGAGGTTCGAGAGGGATTGAGATTGAGATGCCATGGCACTGAGGGTCGATCGGTATGGTGCAAAATCCCTCTTGATAAATGTACTTCTCTGAGGGCAAAAGTTAATAATGTTGAGAATACCTCCATTGATTTGTTTTTCAAACTTCAATTTTTATCTTTGGGATCTGTTTGGTTGAAGACCAAAATGGAAAGACCCGCTTGTTTGCTCGCTCCTTCTGCCACCATTACTGCCACCTACTCAGCTAACAGCACAACGCGAATACGCCCCCGGCGATAAGTTGTTTCTTTAAGAAAATACACAAGTCTCTCAGAAGAGTCCATCTGAATTTGACACGCCAACTATCTCATCCTCCACCAAGCGTGTCACTCCCCATGGAAAAATGGTTCCTAAATACGATTCACACTCCTCAACTTCTTCTCTTCCTTCTCTTCCTTCTCTTCCTTCTCTTCCTTCTCTTCCTTCTCTTCCTTCTCTTCCTTCTCTTCCTTCTCTTCCTTCTCTTCCTTCTCTTCCTTCTCTTTCCCTTGCCCCCTGCCCCCTTCCAATTCCTCAACCTGCTTCCCATCATACATCTCCTCAGCCTCGTCCTCTGTTTCAGGAGATTTTATGCGATATCAGGCAGGTAGGCAGGCGAGAACGACATTGCATTTGATGATTTTTTATGTTCAAAGACAACGCCGTTCCTTTTCTAGGTATCATTGCATAATAGAGAACGACTCGTGACAACCGTGCTATTGAGGTTGCAATGCACTACACTATTGCAAGATTTAATGCGGACGCACGTTTTTGGGAATCAGGAAACAGATCCTACTGAAAATAAATCACACTGAGAATACTCAAGTTTTAATTATTCAATCAAACAAGCAATCCCGTCATGCCAAATCTCGTGCAATATTTTGAATGACTCTTTTCCCTGCCATCCTCCTCCCTAGCCCAACCCCTCCCCCAAAATAAAGCTTCCTCCCAACTCTCTACCCTTCCATTCCACACCAATTTTTCTTTCCATTTATATTTATCTTCACGTACTCTCCTTAACAACCTGCTCCAACGCCTTCACATAATCCCCCACCTCCTGCGCCCCCTGCACCGTAATATCCCTCCTCCTCCCCTCCACAACCACAAACGGCACACTATCAACGCCATTCCCCGCCTGCTCCCTAATCTTGCTCTTCACCTCCAGCAAGCCCTCATCCTCATCCTCCACGACCTTCTTCGCCTCCCCCTCATCAATACCCGCCTCTTTACACGCCGCGAGCAACGTCTCTTTACTGCTGGGGTGCTTCTCTTCTTCGAAGTACATCTTGTAGAGGGCGTTGATGAGGGAGTCTGTTACGGTGGGGCCGTGGGTTTCTTGCATGTGCTGGATTAGCCGGTGCGATTGGAGCGTGTTGGCTACGGTGCCGTGGAATTTGTAGGAGATGCCGGCGGAGGCGCCGTAGGCGGTCATGAGGGTGGTGTACATTTTCATTTTTTCCTCAGAGTCGCCATATCTAAGGTCTATTAGCTACATATCGACACATAACAGTGTGAGAGCAAATGATTTGAAGACTAACTTGGACTTCTTGTACCACTCATACTTATCCTCTCCTTCAACACTAGCTCCGGGATACAGTTGGTACGGGTGGTACACGACTGTGAATTTTACTTTTGAGGACGCATCTGTTTCTCTCACGCGTCGGAGAGCTAGGATTTATTAGCTTGCTGTTCCACACTTCCAAAATTGATCTTCTTAAATCCAGTGTGTTTTGCTTCCGTAAGTACCCAGATACCAGGTAAAACAAGATTGAAAATCGTCACGTGAAATCAGAGGAGTGTCACGTGGCATGGGGAGCTGGTTGGGAGGTAAAGTGGAGGCTGAGGTACAGAGAAAGCGCAGCAAGCCACACGGAGAACATCTCTCTCAAACATACCTTCGTCGAGTCTATGCAACGTTCCATCATGTGTTAGCAAGATGCTCTCTCACATCCCATCTCCTCGCCTCTCGTTCTATCCCCTTGTCGCCTCTCGCCCCATACGAAACCACAACCCGCAAACCCAAAGTCCGAAATTCAAAATCCAATAGCCTACTACTCACCTCTTCTTAGCCAGATACGTCCCTGGTTTCAATCAGCCAATATTCTTTCGTATTCGTCTGTAAACTGGGGCAGGGTTAAAACTCGATATGGTATGGGAAGGCGTGAATAAGCGTGTTGGATGGGGGGGAAGCTAAGGGGAATGAGGAAAACGCTTGCTTGCTTGCTGGCTTGCTTACAGGGGCAGATAGTGTCGAGTGTGAAGTTTATGGTTGATTCGTACATGGTGGGTGAGTGAGTGGGTGGTAAATTACTGTGTAATGGGGGTGGGGATACGAGGTTGAGTCCGTACGTGGAATAATGATGGAGCCGAGGTGGGAGTAGGAGTGGCGGGCAAGTGACTGGCTTGATTTGGGTTGGGTGGTGGTGCGTGCGTGCTTACGAAGAGGATAGGTAAGGTTACCGTAGATGATGAGAGATGGTTGAGGAAGAGGTGGATTAAAGAAAGAGGGAGGAGATGAAGAGTAATGATTAGATCAAACAATGATTACACGTTGATTAATAATTGACGATGTGAGGAGATGCAAATCTCTCCACTTACTTGTGTCCATCTACCGTCTCCATTACCCCGCGGTTGGCTGCTGCTTGGTTGGTGCACGGAGGTGGTGGAGATCTCGATGGTTGTGGCGCTGATTTGTCATGGGGGACTGATTGGCTGCGGCATTAATTGGTCCAGTAGATTTACAACCTGCACCACAGTGAGGAAAGACCCCAATTCGCTGGAACCACCAGACACGAATGAAATTTCAGACGAAAAATGAAGGTGAAGCCACAATGATGTCGTTCGTGTTTGCTACGGCCTAAGTGAGTTCTCGCTCAATAGTGATGCACCGGGAGTTGTAAAGGGTTTTCCGACTTTGTCTTTTCTTCTCGGTTGATGTCGTGAAAGTGACAAGCTAGTACGGTAGGTACCGTTCTGGCGGGCTTCTTAAATAACTTTGCGATTAGAGTTGCATTGCATGCCAACTCTATTTATCCTCGAAGCGAGGAACTTTCTGCTTTCTTGGTATCGCCGTACGACCAACACTGCACTACTGTACTGTATACATCCCGTGACATGCCCTGCTCCTCGTATTCTCTCCCCCGGTCGCAATATATGGCTCACTCATGGTTGGTGAGTGATGACAGACCTCCTTGACAGTAAATTTACCTAGGTAAGTCAGTGAGCGCGAGATCAGACGACAAACCCCGACCGAGGGACACAACAGCGCCGCTCAATAATACTGTACGGTCCCGCACGGTGAGTCTTGCGGCGAAAACCTTAGTTGAGGCTCTGACTGGCACCAGACCAAAGAACGTAAATTAATACTTAGCAATAGCTAGCTAGCTACATGCTCAAAATAGATCTTCAGGTACCCCATTCCCATTCCCATTCCCATTCCCAGCCCTACCTATACGCTCTAAAATCGCGTGCGGAACAGCCGACCAGATTGGCATTGGCATTTGCATTTATCGCCAGTAGTAGTAGTCCCTTTTGCTCTTTCCCCCATCGTCTGCGGCTTCGTATTCGTCGGCTGCACCCCTGCTCGTGCAGCTCAGCCACACGGCCCACACGGCGACCCCTTGTTTGGACAGGCTCGCTTAAGTTTAGTGCTCGCCTTCCCCCGTCTGTTCCTGCCTGTTCCGGGAAGTTTCTTTCATCTTCGTCACGTTGTTGCGTGCATGACATGACAACCCCTACATCGCCTTCGCATGTCACCTAATGCAACCCAAATGTTGGTAAGGGCAGGTGGGTATTTTCCCGCCGAGCAGGATACGATGGGCATGGGCTGGTGGGTGAGACGGGAAGGCGCATGGTGGGGTGGGGTGAGGTGGGAAGATATAAAGTCATGCCTTCCTTCCATGCAGATCTCTCCTCATCACGTTCAACCAACACTCTGAATATACCTGCTTCCTCCAAGTATCTTTCTTGTCCCCCACTGTCGTTCACAGACCTCAACAACAACAACAACAGCAACAACAACAACAACAACAACAACAACAACAACAACAACAACAGTCACTCGCTCCTAGACTTTCGCTCAATAACCCGAAACAAAACAAACAACCTTCGAATACCTAGATACAATACAGACAAGATGAAGTACTCTGCTCTCCTCCTCGCCGCCACAGCTGCTTTTGCCAGCGCGCAAATCACCTAGTCAGTCCTATCATCTCCTCACTTTTCCATACCAACTAACACATCGCAGTGACGATGCTACAAGAAAGTTCATCTGCCCAGCAGACAAGCCCAACGGAGCCTTCTGCGCCGGCGATTCTCTCGACACAAACATCATCATCCGCTGCTCGAACGGTGTCGGCCAGCCAGGTAACTGCCACGACAACCTCGCTGGATACTTCCCATTCGGTGTCCAATCATCTCAATGCTGGCAATCATCCCCAACAAGTGGTATCGCCGCTTGCGCAAAGAACTGTATAGTTCAGGGTAGTTCGGGAACCTATAACGGCACATTCACTCTGCCAAATTGCACACCTATTCCTCAGTCTTCGAACTCTGCTAGCTCTACGGCCTCGTCAGGTTATCCTACGTACTCGCCTGAGCCGACCACGACCAAGACCGACATCAACCCTTACCCCACCAACGGCATTACCACAATCACTTCAACCGGCACCGTCACCACCACCTGCGTCACAGACGGCAAAACCACAACCAGCACAAGCACCTTCACAACCACCTACTGCCCGCCTACCAGCTCCCCTCATACCCTCTCAACCGGCCACCCCATCCCAAGTGGAAATGGCACAGTCCCAACTTCTACCAGGGGATCAGTAATAGCTACTCCAGTTGGTCCATCTGCATCTTCCACCACCGGCCCAGTCCTCGCCAATGGCGCAGCACTCAATACTGGTTCAAGCCTTGCTGCTTTGGGCTTGATTGTCGCTTACTTCCTGTAAATGGCCGTTTGATGAACTGCATATCTCGTCTTTCATTCCTTCAAGGAGGTAGCGATGGCGTTCTGGTCTTGGCGTTCTAATTCTACTTCGCTTCCTATACACCTGGCACTTTCACCTACAGCTTTTAATTCATGCAACTCGCAACACATTGGTATAATTTCGACCAACACGACGAAATGATTGCTCGAGACCGACGATTCACTCATTCACTCACGATACGCATACGTGCACGTACGATTTGCACGCGAAGTTATACATACTACTCTGCACTGGAAACTTTATCTCCTGAGATCGGGATTTGGATGGAGCGGAAATAGAATAGGGAAAAAAAACTTTGTAATGGACTTTCTGCGCTGACTTCCCAACCCTGAAGGTGGATATCAGGGTTTGTGACGGCGCTTTATTAGATTTTAATGGAAGACAGTTGATTGGGTTTGGGGCAGGATACCCTTGGTGGGTTTGGTTTGGTTTGGTTTGGTTTAGTGGGTTACCGGTGAGGAACGAAGAAAGAGGGAGAAGGAGAAGAAGCAGAAGAAGGAGAAGAAGACAATGGTGGTAATTAGATGAGATTAGTAATACTTAATTCATATTCAAATTCAAAAAGGCCATATTTTCAAATTGTCAGGATTTCTTTAACCCCCCCCCCCCCCCCCACTTTTTTTTTCTTTCCGAAAAAGTCTCGCGATCCTATCTTTAATTTGGCGGAAGTACCATGCCCATAGTGTGTGTGTGTGTGTGAATCTCCAATTCTTTTATAAATCAAATGATACCTTATCACAACAAATAAAAGTACGAGGTGGTGAGCATCAAAATTAAAAATTGAAGAATGCAAAGTACCTACCTACCTACCTACCTACCTAAATCTACTAGTAACCGGTTGAAGTAGCAAGTAGTAGCAAGTAGCAAGTAACAAGTATCAAGTATCAAGTATCAAGTATCAAGTGTTAAGTGTTAAGTGTTAAATGGGATGGAGGTGGAGATTATAAGGAAATATATATCATACATATATATCATATACTCAGTATGGCGTGCCGCGTTCTAGCCTGGCTCCTTTCTGGTTTGTTTACCTTACCTTACCTTTACCTTACCTTACCTTACCTTACCTTACCTTACCTTTACCTTACCTTACCTTACCTTACCTTACCTTACCTTTACCTTACCTGCCTATGTCAAGACTCAAGTCTCAAGAACGTACGGAGGTACGTATTCGGGTATGGGCATGGGTTGGGCTGGGTATGGTATGGTATGGTATGGTATGGTGTGGTATGGTGTTTGGTTGTGACTGAATGAACGAACGAACGAACCAACGAACGAACGAACGAATGAACGAACGAACGAACGAACGAATGGAGGTTCGGTTTGCTGGAGTCGGAAGTTGAATTTGACTCTTGTTAGTGGATGAAGGGGTGGGTAGATGAATGGATGGATGGATGGGTGGGTGGATGCAGGTGGAGAGGAGCGCCGGCGTGGGGTGGGATGGGGAGTGGGGGGAGAGGGGGGAGGAGGGAGGAGGGAGGAGGGGTGGGCTTGAAGGAATGGAATGAAATTTATGTATCTTTATTACCTATCTGTGGTAGAATAGATTGAGGGGGAGGGTAAGGCTAAGGGGAGTTTGAATGGGGTTGCAAGTTTGAGGGCTGAAGCTTGAAGGAGTGATCACGCAGGGAGGGAGAATTTTATATTTTATATATTTCAATAGAGATATTAGGGAGTTTGTATGAGATGAAATGGCCCTACAGGGGGTTTTTACAGATACTAACTGTACTTCCTACATATACTATTTGTAAATAGGCCTTTTAGATGTGTTTTTTATTTCTGTATTTTAGTTAATTATTTGTATTCTTTTTAGCTAGAAACTTTAATTTTAATTGATTGTTAGATATTTAGAATAGCAGTATAGATATTACCTGTAATTTAAAGTAAATACAACTACTATCTGTATTTCTTAATATTTTCTGACTAAAAAAGTTAACTTTTTCCCTATTTCCTACTCTGTTCCCCCCTCTCTCCCCCTCCCTCTCTCTCCCTCCCTCTCCCTCCCTTCAAAGTCTCCCTCTAAGGTAAGGTCTTCCTCTAAGGTAGGTCTCCCTCTTTCCCTTTCCAGGTAGGTCTACCCTCTCCCGTCTCCGAGTGTTCCAGAGATAAGTAGTAAGAGGTCTATGTTTAACTTTATACTAAAACATAAAAGTTCTAAGCTACTTAAACTCTTCTACCTACCTTTAATACACACTAATTTGTATGTGTTTTCTTTTTATTATATATTATAGCAGGCTTTATCTGAATTTTATCTGTAATATACTAATACAGAGAAAATGCAGATAAATTACAGTTATTATCTGTATAGAAACCCTTGTAGGGTGCCACGAAACTACAATTGCTACTGCCCTACAGGGGTTTTCATGCAGATAACATCTGTAAAGTGTTTATATTTTGTCTATGTTCCTAGTAGTAGTAAAATACAGATAAAATTCAGATAATATCTACTACAAGTATATCTAAAAAGTGCAGATAATATCTATAATAGACGTATTAAAAAGCACAGACAATTTAGTGTATATCACAGACTTTTTATGTTTTAATATAAAGTTAAACACAGACCTTTTACTACCTACCTCTAGAACACTCGGAAGGGAGACCACCTACCTTAGGAGGGAGGGTGGGAGACCTACCTTGGGAGGGAGGGTGGGAGACCTACCTTTGGAGGGAGACCTTAGAGGAGGGAGGGAGGGAGGGAGGGAGGGAGAGAGCAGGAAAAGGGAAGGAAAGGAAAGGGGGAGGGGAAATAGGAGAGGGGACATTAAACTTTATTAGTCAGGAAACTCTTAAAATACAGATAATAGCTGTGTTTTCCTTAGATTACAGGTAATATCTGTATTTTCAGTCTAAATCTTTAAAATTGATTAGAATTAGAGTTTCTAGCTGACAAAAATGCAGATAATTAACTAAAATACAGACAGAAAATCGGTCTAAAATGCCTATTTACAGATAGTATCTGTAAGAAGTGCAGTCAGTGTCTGTAAAAAAAACCCCCGTAGGGCTGCTATCAAGTGGACAGTCGCTGCCAATAATCTTAAGTACACTGTCAACTTCATTTGATCTTCTGACTGGGGATGGTAGAGGATAAAAACAGCCTGAGAACATGAAATGGCACGTAATATCAAATCTGTGTGCGATTTATGAATGGAAATAGACGTTTTGTGCCGTGGCTGCTTGTTTGATGTGAGAGGGGGAGGGGAGCGATATTTATGCTTGAATGCGGCAAGACTTGTCGTTTGGAATCGTGGGTCAAGGTCTGTAGGAAACGAAGTGAATGGTGGGAAAAGAGTTCTTCGGAAGTCGTGCAAGTGGAGCAAGGGTTTTCTAGTGACGAGGAAGTGTGGAAAGTATATCGACACCTTCCAAGGGTATAAAAAGATATTGAATTTATTCCATCTTCAAATCATCGCGGGTAGTTCAGCTACATAGAAAATCTTCTACCTTTCCACGGATCTACACCTTTCAATATGCTCTGGATGTCCAAATCTACCGAACTGCCGCGTATTTCTAAAGGAGTATTTGCCCAGGGTAGTCGTGGTTGTGGCCAAGGTAGTGACCCTTGCGGATCAATAGACACGTCGATCACATACTCCTTGGTTCTGTGAAATAGTGACTGCTGCACTCCTCGACGTCTTCTCATCTGGTACGACACCGAAGCTCCCGAACTCAAAAGTCGAGATACCCGATCCAAACTTCGCTCGTGCTCGGAGTATTCCCATTCTCTCCCTACTGCCGGCAAACCATCCTCAGGACAAATCATCTCAACCAATGGTGATTGATGAGTGAAGACTAACACAAGAACAAAACTAGCAACAAATTCTCCTCTAAATGCTACAGCCACGCTCCCGTAGCAATTGGACTTAAAGCTGATTGTGCTTATAGGATCTTTGTATGTACGCCAGGACCTTTCGCCATGGACAATCGTGGCCATACCTTTAATACGATATTCCGGTTGAGATATCAAGTTCACCGTGATATAAATAACCTTGTGATCATACTCCTCCGATCTTTGTCGAAAGTACGCTTCTTCATTGCGAAGATTGGGTGGCCGCCATTCATCTTCACACAAGTACAGCAAGTCTCGGTCTGTAATCCTTATGGAGTGGTCACCCAAGTCTACAACATACAACACAAGCAGCTGAGAAGTGCTTCCAACTCTCGTACAATTGACGGGCATGAGATATATCCTCGAATGCCCTACCTGGTATTTCTCACTTGTAGGGAGAAAGGGACCCTGTATTCGAAGGCCTTTATTCGTCATCCCATACGATGGCCCGTCGCGGGAAATTCTTTTACACCTGATAATGTTCGAAGATTGTTTGAAACTTGCCGCGGATTTTGCCAACAGGCCACCAGTCTTCTCTCCTTCTATCTCTGACCTCCAGGCAAAGATCGTTTCATCATCAGATGTGCGAAGTATCTCAAGCTGAAGCCTAAGGAAGGCTTTATTTCCTTCGCCGTAGAGAGGTCGCATGTGGATACCAAAAAGACCCATCAGGCAATACGCCTGGTCTTCGATACGAGTAGTGTGCCTCGCAGAAGCCCAGGACATGATCTGTGCAACCGATGCTCCTTCAGGATCAGCCAAATATTGGGTTGAGATTCCAGTGATGGAACTAAGTTCTCCCAGTAATCGCAGCTTCGTGTCGATATCCTTCCAATTCTTGTCGAAAAATATCAAAAACTCCGGAGCCAGCAATTCTTGCAATGTCCAGCCTCGAGTGAACCACTGACTTCTCCCAAAGCCCGATCGGCACTTCACATCAGACAGATAAACATAGCAGACCTGCGAGTCCTTGTACCACTTAAACATCGAGTTGATCGCTTCTGATAGTTCTGCACTACTCGTTTTATCGATGCAGCATGAATCCACCCAGGCATATTTCCAACCATCTAGCCTCGCCTGCCGACAGCAACCTGTGATCTTGGAGTAGCCTGGCATGTTTGGACCACGACCTTCGCGTAAGTCTTGGAATGTGACTTCTTCATTCTCCCAGCGATGAGAGAGGATTGCGTAGCCGGGGATGTTGTCGCCGATGAATTCTTCAAGGAGAAGAGTTGTGGTGTTGAGGAGCCGCATGCTGGTTTGGGGATGAGGACAGAATTTCAGATGAGCATTCATACACACTTATAAGCATATATCGGGAACGGTAAGGAGTGGTTGTGACTTTGTAGGTCTTCGATGGTATGCTCCTGTCCTTGAGAGGTGTTTCCATGTCGTCGAGATGAGCTGAAGTGCATTGTGATGAGGCAATCATGCAGCTTCCTAAGCGAGCGTCTCTCATAGGCAGCCAGAGGGACTTGCAAGCCACTTTCTGGCCCTGGATATTATTCGCTGGAAGGCTGGATTTTTCGGACACAAATAGAGCCCGCGAGAGCGATGCACTTACTACACGCCCATTGCTTCCCTATTTTCATACTCCAATAAGAGAAGTTTATGAAGTGATATACGTGGGTAGGTCCAGAAGAACAAGCGAGACGGCTTTAGCAAAAATGGAATGTTGTCAGCAGTGCATCTTCAGCTTGCTGCACCCTGTAGCTTCAGCGTTTTGGACGCCTAAAACGCCGAAAGCTAGCATCATCATGGCTATCTTCAGTGACCAACCGCCTGAAATTTACCACGGCTGTGGGTTTCATTACCCCGCACTTACCCCGCCATTGGGAAATTGATGTAAGATCTTACTTACACTGTATATTGCTCCACGAGATCCATTATCTATATACAACGAACTGCAAAGTTTATAATAATATACTTGAACTTCAAGGATTCTTTATTTACAAAGCTAATTACGCGATTATCATTGGCTCCCCATCAATCCATCACATCCCAACCAAAGTCAACAATCCAACCGCAAACGCAAGCGACGACACCGAAACCAATACACCCGATGCAGCATTTCCAGTAACAACAGGAGGCGTCGAAGTCGTCGTAGCCGTCGAATTAGAACTCACAATCGCCTCACAAGTCGTGAAATTCTGACCACCCAAAAAATTCCCCACAGTCTGCGCATCCGTAAGATGAATCTCATGCAGCGCCGCCGCCGCAACAGTCGTATTCGTAGCACAGAAATTGATCGTGAAATTAATAATACTCGCTTTGCCATCACAAGTCGGCGTTACAGTCGTGCCGTCGTAGTCTCCGTAGAAGCTCACATTGGCGGAAGGCAGAGTGACGAGATCAAGAGTGTGGATTTCTTCGTAGGGTCCGTTAGGAGGTTTAGAATAAACCGTGATGGTCTCGACGACGTGGGCGCCTGCTATGTCGTATGTGCGTGCGGTTCCGACGGTGTTATCGGTGCCGTTGAGGGTGACTGAGCCTTCGGGAGATCCGCTCCAAGTGAGATTTTGGTAGGAGCCGATGATGGACATTACTTGAGAATAGGTGTATGGAGTTGTGTAGATTACGGTGTCGGTTCCGGGGAAGAAGCCATCATTGCAGCCGTTGGCAGTTGAGGCATTGTTTTGTGCGGCAATACTTGGGGCGCCGGCAGTGGCAGATAGGATGAGTGAGGATCTCATGATGAGGTTTTGGAAATATCGAGATCGAGATGAGAGTGAGACTTGAGGAACAGTGTGGGAGAACCGGTCTATTTTATGGAAACATGAGGTCCTGATCTACTGTTAGCTACATTAGTTTCTCTGTTCCTCTAGCAGATACCAGCACAAGCTTTGAGGCTATCCAGAACACAGTATGGACCAAGCCATCGCAATGGTTGCTGCCGTCGTGTGCGGGGTCGCGTCTCGGGTTTAATGCTTCATTGGCTTCGAAAATTGCAAATCCTCAATAGGTTGCAGACAAGTGTGTCGTTCCTGGCGCTAGACTAACAGCTTAAGTTGGAGTCTGGCCCAGCCCGCTGGCGTCCATTGGCAACCCTCTATTTGGGAGAACTTCATTCCTTCAATCTGACGAATGCCTTATTCAACAAAAATGCAGTGAACTCAGATTGCTGATTATCCGAAGATTCCTCCGGAACGTCCTCACGATTCGGGATTATCTTACTCTACTTTTTCGATAATTCTGCCCACCATCATCACTACTCCCGTATGCTTTGAAAGTAACGCATTTATTACCAGACAATACATCCTGCCGTTACCCACAAGGAAGAATGTATCAGGACAAATTGGAACCCCTAGCAGCCAAATGGAAAGGTCCAATCCCTCCACCGTCCTTTGCTGCTTCCATATTGGAATTGTATTTCTCGATGAGCTCTCATATTGTCTTGAATATGCGTTTCGGTACGATGAATCATGCTGGACCAGCCATGACTCCGACATTTCGATAAATCCCGCCGTATCTCTGCCATAGCGTTGTCACTGCTGTGCCAGTTCCCAACTGGGTATCAGATCTGTGGATTCCTGTGATCAGGACTCGATGAGTGTCTTTGATGAGTTGTTCCGATAGCAGTTCTCTATCATTGATAATAGCTGTGGTGATTTGAAGGGGCGCTTTGGTATGCTGTATGAACTCCCTTCGACAGTGAAGAACAAGTCATCGAGTCTAATTTCGCAAGATCGTACTTGTACGCCGAAACCATAGTCCATATTGTCGACTGTGGCATGGTAGTTTTTGAAATTTCCTGAATAGCGTCGGCCTGAACATCATCCCCTCTTATACGTTTAGTCCTCGATAACATATCTCTATCGTTTGTTGCATGCGCAATCCGGCCTTTTCAATTGCTACCATCCTGTGTTTTGCTGTCGATCACTGCCATTTGTTTTTCGTACTCGCAATCGTCGACTGGTGGCTTGCAGACACTTGATCTTCCATATCCTAATTATTGACGCTGCCAATCGTGAAAATTTGATTTCCTTATGGCTCGAGCCCCTACGTTGGCGGACTTACTCGTAGGTACCTAGGTAGGCTTTCATCCACACCTCTCGACTCCGCTGAGTCATTTGTGATATTGGATTTATCGATGCCATGTTTCCATAATACCTCATTATTAGACGTTATATACTGGCATCAGAGTTCAGAAATCAAGTTCAGTCATTTAGCTGCACGTGTGCCTGCAACTGGTCAGAGTCTGAGGTGAGTTTGGTATGCACTGAGACTTAGCCTAGTGAATGAAAGCAGCTCTAGTAAGCATTTCGTAGGTGAGCGTATCAGACGTGCAGTCACCTCCAAGATTGGTGGGAAAAAAATTCAACTATTCATAGTGTTTGGAATCAAACCTGTCCAAGGGATACAATGATATCCACTCGATTTCAGGAACTGGCCTGGACACGCTTTAGTTCGGCGTGTCGAATTCCTGAATTAAAAAATCGGAGATGAGTTCTTACGTCTGATCCAAAGGTGTATGCTCTCTCCGAAAATTCATTCTGTACTGTCGTTCGCGACTTTGCTGTCATCTCCAAGCGCTTGTTGACAAAACCAAGATTCTCACGTGTATACCAAGAATCTATTTCTGGTGCAGAAGACGGGTGAACATGATGCAGTCTTCGAAGCTAAAGTTTGGCAGTGAATCAATTCCATGAGTTTCGCTCTACCCATCTATACATGGGGTGTTTCTGTTCGGATTGAACTATCGTCTTGCCTGGAAGGAAAGTGTTGCACTCAGCTACCGGGACTAATTATCCCATTGTCGATTCACCAATCACCACACACAACAACTCCAAACGATCCATCAAACATCTCTGCAATCAACCAAGTTACACCTCCCACACCAACTTCCCTATTCATCAACCAATAGAAATAAATACCGAAAACGCAACTTCGCAACATCGCAACATCGCAACAACTCAAAACCAAAACCAATTCTCCAATTCCAAGCCGGTCCGGAGACAAACACCGCCGAACGCATCAATGAGCTTTATCTTCCCGAGCCCCGAAGTTCTGATAAGGTTAAAGTTGAATCATTGAGATGAGGTGAGGCGGGTAGGTGACTGGTTTGGTGTTTCGACGGTGTTTTGAAACGCGGGTGACGAATAAGCTTTGCCATGCACGAAAACAAGGGATATTGACGTTCCTGGGCGGCCGGGTGGCTGGGTGGTTTGCCGTCTCTGTTTTCTGTTGGTGGATGGAGGAAGTTTAGTGGGTTTGAATCGTTGAGGTTGGGCTGATAGGCTAAGGGCTGGTTTGTGTCTTCGATGGGAGAATGGCAAAGGTGGAAGACAAGAGGATAGAGATAGATTCATAGGGAGCGAGATTATTAGCAAGCATCTATTGTTTTAAGGAGTGTATTCAGTGAATTCGTCTATATAAATTTTTCCTCATCACCAAAAGAATGTCAGAATCTCAGATTCAGATCATCCCAACCACCTAGACAACTTCCCACAAACGACCCTGCTAAATATGTACTTTACTTGAGACATAAGAGAAAAAGCACTACCAACATCCATTATATACAATCACCCCCATCAATCATTAAACCGTCATCATCATTCTCATCCCGAGCAGCAAGTTTACTGCTGGTTGGCGAGCGAGCGTGCGAAGCGGCGCTTGCTGAGATTATACTCGATGGCACGCTTCTTGGCAGCAGCAGACTGTGTGAAGGCGATGGAGCCACCAAATGGGCCCGCAAGAGCAGCATTCTTGAGCCTAGCAATGCAGACGTTGCTGGCGCCTCCGACAGAGCCGGAGCAAGTCATGCCAGCTGGCATGGCGATAGCGACGGGGAAGTCCATGGTCTGAGCAGCGGAGAGACCCCCGATGCCGATACCTGGGACGTTCTGGGTGACCTCTGCATTTTGGAAGGCAGCTGGGTCGGTTCCGCCGGAGGAGGGGTCGATCGCGGCGGTCAATGGGCCGGCGCCATCTTGGTTGACTTGGTGGAAGGTCATGGTGACTGTGCCATCGTCGGAGGTGGTTGGGAGACCAGATGAGGCTCCTGCACCGGCTGCGGCCTTGACGCCTGTCTCCGTGGTGCCCTTGGGGGTCTTGGTACCGCCGTTGGCAGCACGCTCACCGAGAGAGCGGCGGAGAACGTTGGCAGTGTGGAGCTCACGAGCTTCGACGGCATCTGTGGAGTTTGCATCACCACCCATGAAGAGTGAGATCATCTTGGCGGCATCGACTGGTCCGCCTCCTTGAGTTCGGCCGAGAGCTGAGGCCTTGGCGGTACCAATCTCTCTGTCGCGGATAATGGAAGTGTCGGCCTCAGAGCCACAGGCTGGAGAAGCACAATCACGAGGGGTTCCATCGGCGACTAGGTAATGTTAGGTACGCTCAGATGATGGAGATGAACGTTGACGTACCTGAGAGACCTGGCATGGTTACTTTGTTGGCACCGACGATAGAGTCAACGACACCATGAGCGAAGACATTGGTGGCGGCGAAGGCCACAAGGAGGATTGCTGATGAGTATTGCATCTTGACTGTATGTGAAGTAGAAGATCGAAAGCAAAGATATTAAATGAAAGATAGTTGAAGTTGGAAAAACTGCGACCGGCACCTGGCTGGACTGAAAGAAGGCTTGAAGTAAGAAAGAAGAAGATGCTGAAGCTGCTGAGGATGAGAAGAGAAAAAGGTTGAGAGGGCTACTGAGAAGTACTTATACATGAATGCCAAGACACGTATCTAGGCAAAAGCTTAAACGAGAAAGACCGGATGCCGATGCTTGGTACAGCTTGGTACAGCTTGGCTCGGAGAGTAAGGCTTCTGACAGAGGAGTTAGATCTCTGACTTGTTTAGAAACTGTCTTACGGCGGATTTGTCAATGTCCGACTCGTTCTTGGACAAGCGCATCTTCCTATCGAGACGCCGTGTATGCTTGAAGATCCGACAAGAGATCCGAGCTGTATGATTGGGTCATGATAAGCAGTGGAAACGGGGCCCAGTGACGACAGATCTGAAGGAAGAACCGGCTGCGAACAAGAGTGTCCAATCGAAACTCTCTTTTGTATGTGCCTGCATGGATCATCCACTAATGAAGATCGTGGGGGATCATAGACTATCCATTATGGTGGCTGATTTCCAAGGGCTTGGAAGCTGAGGCTCTGCACGTTTGAGTCTTGGCCAGAATTTGACAGCTCGTCCCACATGAATAGATTCGATTGGAGTGCATCCTGTTTCTGGTGGACGTTTCTGGTAGACGAAGCGAGTGAAAAACAAACATGCCCGTAGGGCCTGACTCCAGATTTCCGTCTTGGATCTGAAGAAGTGGTCAGGGATCATGTAGATCTTCAAACGTTTCGTTCTTCACGTCGAAAGGGCTCGGACTCTGTGTACACCAATGATGTCCTCCGACATTCTTGAACTGGAGGCATTTGTCGCGACCTCACCCAATTGAGGCTCGGTTGAAGACTAAAAAGAAAGTCGTGGAGCAGAAGCTTGTATCAGAGTCTAGTAAAACTCTAACCCTTCGCATCGGGACGTTTGTAACGTCTTAGCGTCATGAAGATGCAACACCACTCTCAACACAGCCACGGCCAGGAATTGGGTTGTTTGGAGCCACATTTGGAGATTGAAGGCGATGCTTTTCGATTGACTCGTTCGATACGGTGACAGCAGCGAAAAGCGCATTTAAGGCTTAGATGGATGGAAGTATGCAATGAAGGACTTACCCAAACATGCCTTTGCATTTGGCACCGGAGAGGCACAGAAACTCATTCGATCTTTCTCGGATCGGGTTTTTGCTTCTCCCAAGTCCAATTCGGAGGCTCGGCCGTCCAGTCGTGAGCAGCTTGGGTTGTGCGCGGACAGACTGGAGCTTCATGTTTATCGTGATGGTGGTGTTGAGTGTTTCAAGTCGTCGAGCCATCATCGGAAACGATCCGAAGCAAGCAAAACGTGACACTAAGCAGCATCATGGGAAGCACTTCGTAGAACTTCGATTTTGTAACCATGAAAACGATTCAATGCATATATGAGTAAACCCGTAGTGACATGAACCCGACGTACCCGCTCCATCGTAGTGGTGCGGCCAAAGTCACATGAGCAAGCTCACTCGCTTAGCACAGTAGCGCCAGCCAGTCCAGTTGACCAAGCTACCTACCTTCCCAAAGCATCCCCAAAACCAACAACCTCACAATGCCCTCAAAAGCAAGTTCACACTCCCGCATCATGATACCCCTCTCAATCTCTCATCTCCAACTTTGCTATCCTTCGGAGGAACATGCTTCCGTCCTATCCTCAGCCTCGTTGAGGCTATTTAAGGCTTGGGCGTTCCTCGGCCGGGCCTGGACTTGTGTGGCGCAACCCTGACAGCGTCGTCCGCACAATTCGATCTAGATGCGTCAAGTGCAGTGTCCGAGTATATTTATATCTATAATCTATATGCTAAGTTCATAACAAGTTCATAATCAATAGTTTGATTAATGCCGTTATTCCATGAGATATTGGTTCTCGGGTTTTTGTTTCGGGGAGCTTTTCAGCTGTCAATTGTCTATGGGTCGAGCCGAGGTTTAGGGGGTTGGAGAGTCTGGTAGACTGTTCTAGGTAAACAATCCCATTGACTTGGGTATGCGGGATAGACGAAGCTTACCACAGAAGACTGTGTTACATGGGGCCAATTTCCGCCCTGGTTTCAGCCTCGTGATGTTGTGCTACCTTTTGCTCAAGATGCTCTTCGTCATACTTCAAGATCATATTGAAAACCAAACAGTTTTGGTCATTCAAGTCTCTATTCATTATGCAATATCTGATTTTCGCTCCTCAGCCACCCCACTCCATTCCAAGAATATGTACCCAATATCAACACCCAATAATCCAAAATCCATCTATGCGCCGTGTCCCAGAAATAAATGCACAAATACGCCATTGTCCCACCCCGCACCCGCCACAAGATCCCCAGTCTCATTTTCAGCGCCGTCCTCCCAAACCACATGTCGCAAGTCTCAGCCACTTTTGCTTGTTCGGCCCTTCCATCCACAGCACGTGACGTGTGCTTACACCACCTCGCTCCTTCATTGTCGATATCTGACCCTTCGTATCGGAATACCACATACCAAGCAATGTTTCAGATCGTATGCATTACCTGCTTACTCCCTCCTCAAAATTGAATGGCCATTTCTACTGCCAGCGCAGCAGGAGATGTCACACGTGGTTAGAATCAGGACGATTCTCTTCTCGCGCTCAATCCATCTCAAACCCTCTTGTCCAACCCCTCCCGTTCCTCCTCCTCCTTCTTCCGTGCTAGTCAGGCGGTCATCCGTCTCTCGGACTCCTCACACGCGATGCAGACTCCTCCTCCAAATACCCGGGTATGGCGTCTCCATCCCTCGGCCATCAATACCTCTCCCTGAACCTCCACTCCCCCCGCAGTAGTCTTCGTGTAGCTTCTCCGTCTTGGCAATTCCGTTCCTCCCGCCTCGAAGGAATCAAATGTAGAGATGATGGGAGAATCAGAGACGGGAGAATCGTAGTACGAAGCATTCTCACCCATGCCGAAATTGAGATCTTGTGTTGCAACCAGAGGCATAGGTGGTGTGAATGGCAGCGGCTGGGGAGGTCTCTGAATGCGAACTGTCGTATGCTCAACCACTGATGAGATGTCCCTCTCTGCTATGCTGTCCGTCCCGTCTCTGGATTGGGCAATTTCTACATCCTTTTCTGAGAATATAGGAGCCTGCGTTGGGGTCGCGCTTGATCGTCTTCTTCTCATGACGAAAGAGCATATACCGAGCAATGCGAAAGCGAGCAGGATATATGGTGCACCCATGGCCGCATGGGCATATGGTTCTGAAAGGACAGGCATGGCGACCGTATAGGTATGTGAAGAGAAGCGGGGAAGATATACACGGCTGGCCCGATGGAGGAAGTCGAGAAGGTAGGAGTACGTGAGATGAGAGATCAGGAGGACTCGGGTATCGTAATGAGGAGAGACAGGTAACCAAGCATGAGAATTAAATCGGGTCGAGGAGGGATTCCGAGGTGCTTATGTAGAGATGGCCATGGCATTCTGCCCCTCACCCGCGCTCATCTCATCCTAATCTTAAGCCCAGTACGACTTTGACGAGCGCCTCCAACGCCGCCAAAGTTCCAACCTGGGAACGAGGCCGGGGCAGGCCTTGGGCTTGCATGGTTTGGGATTTGAGTTGGGATGAGAAGACGAGAACGAGCAGGGGGCATGGCGAGTATGGTGGTTAGCGTGGTAGGGCAGACAACAGATGGATGGTGGATGGATGTCAGCCGTGATCTGACGCGCATGGCATGGATGTTGGATGGAACCCAGAGGCAAAGGCTTGGCAGGCCGAAGGCAAGCAGTAGTAGCGAACAACAGACGCTTATCTCACCTGAATGAGGAAAGCCATGCGCACAATTACCATTCTTTCATGTCAGGGCATGTGTAGTGCATTGCATGACATGGCATGTCAAATTCTCGACGTACATTTTTTGTCGCTCACCCAGCTCATGAGAGTCGGACCCGCCAATCCTGTGGAGACGCCTCGCTTGTGACAGGCCAACTAGCGAAGACTAGGGGGCAAACAGAACCCTGCAAGGCGTAAATTCAAGCTCCGAAGCAAAAAGATCGTCGATTAAACCTCCTCGTTAGCTGGCTTTCTTCAGCCCAGTATGGATCTCGAGTATGGAGAAAAATAGCAGTACTTGGCACGACATAACCTGAGACAAATCGGCACATGAGAGCCTTTCCTGCCGCCCCCTTTGAGGTAAAAAATACAAGCTGGCATCCCAGCTTAAATCTCTGTCCCGCTACACGGCAGTCCTCTCTCAACTTTCAATGGAACCAGTCAGCTCAACCAACAAAGTGGTCACGGCCTGGGAACCTTGAAAGGAAAGTGGTGTAGTGTGATCAGTCTGTAGGGCTGTCCTCAAACCAACACAAACACCAGGCTAGCAACTCATCTCCCTCTCATCAGCTCACGTCGATCTCCCGCCCCGCCTGTACGACGAGCGCTTCTCCCCCCTCGGAGACCTCGATTCAGTATGTCCGAATGAAGGGTACAGCTCACCTCGTTCTTCAAAGTCTCACCAGGAGACCAGGTAGATCTTAGTTCGGATCGCAATGAATGAATAATCAGATCTAGCTCCACGCCTCTCCACACGGAGATAAAATCAAGGGACAAAGGGATTCATCGAACTAGGCTGTACACCGCAAGACGGCCTGACAGACGCCTCGCTACTTACCGCCTCCTGGAAATAGAGTTATGTGGGAACTGTCAATCAGATCAATAATACCTGCAAAAGGAGGGGTAGGTAATACGGTACCTACTACCCACAAGAGGGTATCGCCCGGCCGAGCATGGTATGTACATACGAGGCGGCTACAGATTCGTTAGCGATGCGATGAGGGGTGAGAGCAACAAGTGACAGCCGGCCTCTTTTTTGACCTCGACTCTTGACTCCTGACTTTCTCACTCTACTCAGGCCCTGTGCCGCCGTAAACAAACCAATGGAAAGAAAGATGCAGCGCTTGCTGATATTCATGCTCATGCTCATCTTCAAGGTCAAGGAACATGGTCCGAAGAGGGAAACTCAGTCAGTTCATCAAGCAGTCGAGAACAGTATTCCCGTACGTACACGACGTCAGCAGGGTCAATCAAATTGCCGCGCGAGGCATGGCATGGCTGAAGGCAACGCAGCGAGTTTCGCACGCATGTACGTCGAACCGGCATGGCATCACAATTACCATACCCCTCGTCTACAATTGTCACATCACACGGAAGGAAAGTTACTTCAAGTCATCGGCTTACCATCCCAAATGTCCAGTACAAGTGAAATACACAAAAGTACCTAATCTTACCCATCACTACTGTATCATCAATATCACGCCACTCTATAGATATTTCCCCCTCTCCCCTCTCCTCTCCTCTCCTCTCCTCTACTCACTCCCAGCTCCAACTCTCTCGCCTTCCTCCCTCATACCTACGACTCAAGATCCCAACCCCAAAATTCCAACCCCCCCAAAAAGCCCCAAATCAAATCCTCCGGAAGCAGACAAGTCCCCCGATTTTCAGCTGACGTTGGAGAGCTCGGGCCAACTAGCGCCTCTAGACAGGGTTGCGAGTGGAGCGCCGCCCGGTGGGACATGCGCGGATTTACGGAGGGGGGACAGGGGGGGTTCAGCTCGCCTGTTCAGTTCCAAGTCCAAGTCCAAGTCCAAGTCCAAGTCCAAGGCCTGGGAAAAAGGGACAGGGAATTACTTGGTTTATGTTATGCGTAGTTATGATCAACCTGCGGCTGTTTTGATGGATTACAGGACAATTGATTGATTTGATTTTGCTCGGGCCTCATTTATGATTTCCCTTTGTTGTTTAAATCCCGCGTTGTGTTTATTTATTTTACTCTCTATTTCGAGGTGGAAACAAGAGATAATAATAGACGTAGGTAATAAGGGTATCCTGGTTCGGAAAAGGAGAGTAAGAGAGAGATCTGGTGTTCCTACACGACTTTCCTTTCCCATCCCATAACCAAGAGGCAAACAAACAAGCAAGCAACCTGTAACCAAATGCAGCTTTACACTATTCTATATTACCTTACAGATAGATGCACCTGTACATGCACATGCACATGTACTGTAAAGATGCCATGCAAGTCCGTCTCCGTCCACACACAACCCCGGAACACAAGCGCATATTCGCTTCGTGAGGCTATATCTCAGCACTCAGAATTCATCATCATCGGGATGTGGGAAAGGAAAGAAAAGGACAGGAAAAGACTTCCTAATTCTGTCGTGAGGCTTGAGGGGTTCGTGTATAATTGTGTGTGTGTGTGCGTGGATATTAATCAAATACCAAGTCCTCTGCATTTGAGCTGCAGTGTATTTGTTGGTGGCCAACTCCACCCTCATAGTAGTTAGGAATAAAGATTCGACGTTAATAGGCGCAAGGTACGAGTATATGGTCTTGCATCAGCTGTACATGTATCTGTATTTGTATTTGTATTTCTTCTCCGATTTCGGTCTCGTTTATCCCCTTTACTCCCTACTTTTTCAATGCCGATCTGCTCTCTGCCATCTTCTGATACTCGCCCATCAACACCCCAGAGCGAATATTACCTATGCACCGGCGCCTCACACCTCCAAATCCACCCCACCAGGTCAGAGTACCCGCGAGCACACTGGACGAGAATACGACACATCCCATTCAAGAACAATCTCCATCCTAGTCCTCAAATCCCCATCTCATCTCATCTCATCTCATCTCATCTCATCAAACAAGCGAATCCGATCGGATAAATGAACAGCGAGGCATGGTAAAGCAAGCCCAGGTGAGGCCAGGTGAGGAAGGAGGAAGGATTCAAGCTGACTCCATCAATCCTTCTAGAAGGATTATGGAAGGAGTCTATTTTTTGGTCTGAGTCTGACTGGCTGACAGGGGTAGGTAAGGTAGGTAGACATCGCCCCCCCCCCCCCCAGCCTGACCTCACCCCTCACCTCTCAAGTCCGTATACCACACGACGGATAGCTACGTATATGGCTGCATTATTGATTTAGTTAATTATAAGAGTCGTCACCACTTACAACGATTCTCATTCAATGCAACTACCGGACTTCGACAATCTAGCAAGTAAGCAAGCAAATCAGCACTTCCGTTTTGAGGCAAACTGAAAGAACCTACCTTACAGTAGTGAACTCAAAACTTAAATGCTCTCATCAGATCAAATCAAATCAAATCATATAAACGAACCAACCAACCACCCCCCTCAAATCGTGCATTAACCTTTCCCGAGGATCACCTCACCTCCCATCACACATCTTATCACATTGTCACCGTCTCACGCCGCACTTTACATTACTGCGAGGAACATTTTCACCCAATTTCTGCCGGTATGACTATGGATGGGACGAGCTTCTCACCTCGTGCGTGAATGGACTTCTTTGTACGAGAAGCGAATTTCTCGTGATTGCATTTTCGATTTATGTTGTCATTGATGGCGGGCAGGTAAGTGGCCTGCCTGCCTTTCCGTCGAGAGTGGAAAGTCGGGAGTGAAGCTCTCTGGTGCCTCGCTCGCTCTATCGAGCGATTGCTTAGTCGCAGTGTCATTTCGTAAATCCCAAATTCTAACTGACTGTGTCCATGTTCAATTCCCTCCTTGCCCTCCACATTTATTACTCGTTCCCTTCTTCCCTCGAATTTCACCTCCCCAGCGTAGTACGTAGTCCCGTCCAGCTTCGAGTTTAAATTTGGGTCTACATGTAGCCTTTGATAGGTAGGATTGATGCAGTACAGTCACACGAACATAATATACACATGACCCCCCCCCCCCCACCACCCAACGATATATCGGAGTTCCGTATTCTATATCTATATCTATACACATACACATACACATACACATACCTACACACCATAAGGCATCAATCAAGTCAGCGTCTCTCCCATTCCCTCCTTATCATATCATGTATTGACATGGATCACCTGCTTAACAAGCAGCAATAGCAGTAGCAGCCGAGGAAGTGGAGGAGGAAAAGGAAAAGGAAGGGAAAAAAAAAGAATTCTTCCTATCCTATTCATATAAATGAACAGAAAAATATCATCACACTACCCTGGCCCTCCATATCTGCTATAATATCGAATAATATAATATAATATAATATACTGTATATATCCCAATGTAATCCAATGAGTCCAATCCCATCCACTCTTACTCTTCAAACAAATCATGAAAAGTGTAAAGATGAGAATTTCAAACGACCATTCATTCGAGTATCAAGTATGTAAAAAAAACAAAGTTAGAAAAGAATGGACCTGGACCTGGACCTGGTCTCGCTAAGTGCATTTCACATCACAACACATCAATACAAAACCCAAAAAACACCTCCCATCCCACCAAACATCATATCTCCCGCCTCCCCCCTCTCCCCTCTCCCCTCTCCCTCTCCCCCAGCTCGGCTACTCAATCGCACTAACATTCCTCTCCAACCCCGCCAACCTCTGATTCCTCGCCGCAGCCTCCTGACTCTCCCTAAAATTCTCCCACGCTTCGGGATCCTGCTCCATAAGCCTCTGCCTAAGCACACTCGCCTCATCGCTCAGCTGCTCGAGCACCGCATCCGCCCCCTGGTTATTAATCTGATCCCTCATCTCCTCGCCGCCTAGACCCTCCACCATGGCTCGTAAAAGCTGCAGATGTCTAGGCTGGTCTTCGAGGCCAGTAGTGCCGTGCAGCTGGTCCTCTTGTTCGGGCTTGAGGATCTCGCGCCGGAACTGCTGCCCGAAGCGGTGCATGCGGCCTTCTTCCTGGGAGAGGGCGCGCGAAGCGAGAGACACGTCAGAGTTGTGCCGGGAGAGCATGGGGCGGATTTCGCCGCCGGGGGCGGCGTCGTCGTCTTCTGAGCCTGGGGCTTGCTCGTCGAAGGGGGTGGGGTCGGAGGTGTTGGTGTCGTTGCGGGAGAGAGATAATTCGAGGTCGTTGGGGCTGGCTTGGTCGGGTGGGAGCTGGTCGTTGTTGGGGAGGGGCGGTGAGGTGATGGTGGATGGGAGGCGGGTTTCGGGGTATTCGTCTTCGAATCGTTTGATCATTCCTTCTAGAGTTTGGTCTAGGAATTGTAGACGTCCTGTGGATATTGTTAGTCCTGTTCATCTTACGATTGGCGGGAAAGTATGGCACTTACGATACGCGTTCTGATCCACCGACCGCGACTCTTTCACCAAGGCAGGTTGTAACCGTGCTCGTATCTTGCGTGCACTTCCAAGTAAGTTCTTCGACATATCCTTGGCCTTGCCACCTTTGACAGGGGTTCTCGGAGTCACCGAACCACTACCGCCTTCTGTCAAATCGCAGAAGGGATCTGCAGATGCTCGTCTAGAGTCGTTGCCTCTATTTCGTAAACAAATACCCAGTGCCTTTACCACTCCTGTGCCACCAATGACATAGTCATCATCTGGCGCCGGTTCGTCATCGTCATGGTTATGCATTCCTTCGACATGACCAACGAGATGTAATAACACGTCTGGAACTGCAACTTCCTTCTCACCGCCATGAGGTTCCGATAGTGCTGCAGCTGCTTCGCCAATTTCAGCTACTGTGCCCTTCTCCATATTCCACAAGCAATAAGCAACAACCTGTTTAGCCAATGCCTTGACGACTTCACTCGAATCCGCTGATGGTACCTCAATATCAATGCAGATGATTGTCTGTGAGACACGGACAGCGGCCATTAGCGAGGCATACAGAGCGCATGCCTCTTCTTGGTTGGCTTCCTCCTTCGCATTGGCTAATGCCGCCAAACCAGGATTTTCCATAATGTTCACATGAGCCAGGTTCGGGCTTTCCGGTAGGATCTCTGCAAGAGCGATGGCCTGTTCGGGGGTCATTGACACATCTGTAAGATGTATCCGCTTGAGTGTTGGGATTCTAGGTAGATATCTAAGACATTGTTAGCGTGACTATTCCATATCACAAAACATGCAGATACATCACAGCTATTGGAAGCATTCATCCACGAATCGCTGATTAGATGTGATCATAGGGGCATAGGGCTGAGGTCATAGGGCTGATGTTCCAACAGAGACCTGTCAGCCGAGGCGGCTTGAGCCGCAAAATCAGCCGCACCAACAATCCCAGTTTGGGATGTGAATCGGCCGCGTCTAGGTCGCCCAATCGCTGACTGCACAAGAAAGATATCACGTACCTTCGGAGTAACGAAAGTGCACTAGGCTCCGACTCAAACAGACCATGGTTCTGAGAAAGGTCAATAAAACGGAAATTATTCAGCTTCGCCAGTGCCGGGAACAGGCTCCAAAGCGAATCCGGGGTAAGATTGCAGTCGGCTAAGCTCAAGGCGTAAAGCGCGTTATTATCGTTCAAAGCACTGGCTATTACTCCAAGTTGATCCTTCAGGTCGTTTCCACCAAGATCCAAACCTTCACATTTCCCTTCTCGGACATAGCGAGCAACGTGCTGGATACCTTCTGGCGAGATGTGATTTCCGGCGATGCCGAGACGTCGTAAACCAGACTTGATGACTCCATCAATGATGTCACCGAGTTGCACCATACTCATCCCACACTCAGCAAGGTTGATAAGCTCAAATTCTCTTCCAGCTAATCTTTCACCAATAGCCTTTCCGAGGATGGAAGAGATGTCGGGATTGGATGTCGTAGAACTTGTTGTTTTCGTGAGTTGGAATTGAGTTGCATGAGCTGGAGGTGTTGCAGGTGCCGGGGTCGGTTGAGGAAAGGGAACTTTCGACAAGTCCATCGATTTCAGAGACCGACACATGGTGATGAACGTTGATATGTATCGCCAACCATCTCTCCCTATCTTTGAGTTGTTTTTGAACACTATCCTCTCCACGAAGCCTCCTTGGGGAACTTCTCCCCATTTGCCCTTTTTCTGCTTTTTCCTTTCCCAGTCCGGATATTTCGCTGCCAGCAAACCGGCCAGGACAACTCGAACCCCTTCATCTGTAAGTCCGCAGTTTTCCATTATGACCTCTTTGACGGGGACAACTGCAAGATAATCTCCCAAAGTTATGAGATCAGGAAGCTGAAGCCAATAGCCTGTCAAATCCAGCTTTGAGACCACACCAGGTGACACCTGTCGTCCAGTTGGATTCGCCAGTTGTTCCGTTATCCTCTTCAATATAGGCGTTTCCCGTAACTGACAACACCTTCGGTATATCCGTACGGGGTCTGTCGTAGGTGAAGCCTGCGTCCTAGGCGTCCCTGTACTTGTTGGGGATCCAGGGCCAGAACTATCACTGGCATTCCTGACCACTTCAACCGGCACAGTTCCGTTCGCCTCAGCCAGTTTCCGCTTCTTCTCTTTCCTCGCTTTCCGCTCTTCTTCACTCCTCTTCTTCTTCTCCTTCTTCTTAGTATTCTCTCCTGATGGGGCTTCCACTTCCGTGGTTGTCGTTTCCAACCCATCTTTCCCATTCGCGGGAAGAACTTCTCCGGTATCTTCACCTTCGGCAGTGACCACGCCATCCGTCTCCTTTTCCTCTTTCACCATATTCGGATTCTTCAGCGCCTCAGCCTCGCCCTTCTCAACTATCCGTTTCTTCTCCTTCTTTTCCTCTTTCGGCTTTTCATCTGGCACTTTCTCATCCAGATACCTCGGCCCGGACGCAATCTCAACATCCACGCAGAATGCCACTCTGCGAAGTTTCGACTGATCCAATTCCGCAATATGACACCTCTCCCGATTCTTATCCACATTCAACACCTTCCGCTCGCATATCCCATGATTAAGTCCTTTCCCAGGCGGTGGCAATTGTCCTCCAGAACTCGATAACCTCCTCAAAGCACTCTGTAGAAAGTTCGGCTGTGTAGACTTCGGCGGCGCGGGAGTATACGGCACATCACCAGCAGGCTTGACCGCATGAGGCAGGATCGCATTCTTCGGCGCGCTGGGCCCAGTAGGTACAGGCGGCTCATCCGTTCCATTACTGGCTTGCGGTGAGGCTGTAGACTGCACGACATGAGGATGTGGGCTGGGCGACGAGGAGAATTTAGACGATATACTCGAGAGCCATGAATTCCGCCGCGAACTCGGGGAGGGCGACACGGATTTCGGGAGGCTGCCATTCAAAGTGGTCGTCTTTTCCGTCGAGGCAGTCCGCGAGAACTTTGGCCTGCTGGGTATGGCTTTCGGAGCGGTCGGTTGTTCTGCAGAAGGAGTGTGGCCGTTGCTTGTTCCATTCCCATTGTGTATGATCTTTGCCTTTTCGGGCGGGGAGGTGCTGCTGCGGGCTACGTGTGGACGGGTATCTAGATAGTAGAAGGAATTGATCAGTCTTTTGTCTTGCCTCTGTTCCTGTGCTGGCAGATCTTGGAATGGGTTGCACTGCGTTGCTGCCAACGATGCTATTCCATGCCATCATGCGAGACGGAAGTCTGCCTTTTGTTCTTCTTTCTGCCCACCTACCTTTTGGACTGTGCTTGCTCATCCAGCTCACATCGACGCCGTGTACACTCTCCATGATGTGCCGATTGTGATTGTACAGGAAATGTGCTTGCTGTCGTCCCTCTGCCTTGTCCCTTGGGCCTTGGGAAGAAAGAATTGTGGAAGGCCGGGATTATCAAAGGCTCCGGCTGCGGCTGAACACTCGCTGGATGTCGGTGACTTGGCCCTGATATCCTATCCTGCCCTATCCTATCCTTTCCAGTGCTCTCCTATCCGTCCTATCGTGGTCGTCCTTCTGGATGGCGACACTCAGCTGAGATAAGCAGGCCAGCAGTTCAGCGGCAGCTACCTTACTATTGATTCATACTGAGCCCTGCGCCACGTTGGTAATGCTGCGTCTGCGTTGTGCTGATCAAAGATGTTTCTTTCGTGAGAAGTGCTCGAAGATTGACGAGTCTGTGGTTGTAGCCAGCAAGCTTTCTTGTCTTGGGTCTGCCAATTCCGGTAGTAGAGTTCATGGCCTGGCCTGGGGAATTGATATTCGGTGGTTCGAGCGGGCGGGCAATGCGGGCGCTGGTCGAGCGAGAGAGACCGAAAGAGGGGAATGGCAGTAATAGAGGGTGGTGATTGGGTGTATTCATGCCAGCGTGGGGCCGGAAGGGGCGGGGATTTCCGTCATCGCACAGTGAGGACTGAGGACCGGGTCAGTCCCAGCGGGATGGCTCGGCTACTGTTCCTACCAGTGTTTTGCTGAAGAACAGAAAAGATTGTGTATCCTACGAGCTTGAAGGCATTAATAATCTCCTCTTTGACATCTTTCGAATTCTACATAATTCTGACACTATTGCCACCGTATGAATGTCAACACAGATGAGCCTCTTCCCCACACCCCCGCTCCAGCCTCCAGGAAAATTGAAACAGAAACAGACCAAGCCCAAGAGCCGTCAGTCTGTGCCGAAACCTGCCAACCCAACCCATGCCACAGTACAGACGAGTCGAGCGAGTAGTACAGTAGTGAGTGACGGGACATGCACATCGCTGAGTGTGCTGAATGATCGTAAATACTGGACACGGCACAAAAGGCCCATGACTGAGAAAGTGTAAAGAGTTGAATAGCATGTTTAACATTCCGTCCACACCCGACTGCTTGCTTGAGCAACAGGTGATTTGATAGGTAAGGGGGCAAGATCTACACACTTAATAACCCAACCTCTGCCTCAAATTCCTCGATATACCATTCCTCCCCTCCCCTCTTGGTCTACCAGCCTCTCAAAACTGAACTTACCTACAAATCAGACTTTCAGTAGGCCATGAGACCGAAAGCTGTATTCCTTCCGGCTATTGCTCATGAAAAAGGACCCTTCCATCTCATGATCAGCGAGACCTCGGAGCCCGGAGGCGTGCCTGTGGGTGTGCCGGGCTTGCTGTGTAAGCAATCCGAAGTCGGATGTCCCGAGATATATCCTTTCCTTCCTCGATAAACCCAGCTTCGCGCTCCGTCTGGCCGGCCTTTGACTTCAATATTTGAATATCATTTCATGCTGGTAAATTTAGAAAGGATGAATTGGCTTTTGGTGACGAAGTTGGGCCAGGGAATGTGTCACTAGAGCATTACTGGGAGTATAAAGAATGACAGGTTGAATATCGACTGGGAACAAGAATGCGGAATGGCCCGTTCATTATATGCTGGCGTGAGTACTGAGGATGGTGCTTCATGGTCCCACAATTGTAGAGAGGAAGCATCAACTTTATTTATGGACAGAAACAGTATTGCTTTAGGTCATTGCATTCAGGTTTATTCCTGTCGATATCGTATCAACTCCGCATGAACACGAGCATGCATTTTTGAAGAGCAGAGCGAGCCGAGCAAATCCCCCAGTCCAGAAAGACGCCAAGGAAGACAAGACAGCAAGCTTATTCCTTGAGCTCTGCAATCTTGGCCTTGACTCTCTCAACCTTCTCCTCCTTGGTGAGCTTGCGGCCCTTGTACTTGAGAGCCTCCTTCTTCCACTCCTCCTTGGTCTTCTTCTCACCGGCATCATCAACCTTCTTAAATGGGTCCTCACGGATAGCCTTATGGGCCTCGGTGTAGAGCTCCTCCAATCCATCAGCCTCAATCTCGTCGTCGATGTAGCCCTGGAATTGGGACTTGTATCGCTCCTCATCGTCGTCGGCGAGGGTCTCCATGTACTCAGCGACGTGGCCGCCGAAGATGTACTTGCGGAGGGTGTCGGAATCGAGCTCCTTGCTCTCGATATCGTAACCTGGGAAACGGTTCTCGGAGTGGGGGATGAGGATACCACCGTCGGAAGCACCCTTCATGGCACCGAAGATACGGGCACCAGTGGAAGTGCGGGCAAGACCAACATCAAGGAAAGCCTTGAATGGGCGTCTGGAGTCCTCGTCCTCACCAGCCTCGGTCAACTTGTACTCTCCATCAGCCTCCTCAACACCGGCGAAATCCTCGTCCATGCCGAGCTTCTTGAGAACACGACGGGCGATCAGGAGACCAGTGCAGTATGCGGCGGCCCAGTTGGTAAGACCGTGCTCAATGCCGTAGGCGCGGAGCTCGTGGGAGTAGGCAGCGCAGAAGACCTTGTCGCCAGTAATCTCGGAGGTGACGATCTGCATGACAATGTCGCGGTTGGTGAAGCGGACGACGAGACGGTACTTTGGCGCATTGTACTTGTTCTTGGCTTGGGTGATGAGGCGCTTGCGGGCATAGTAATCGGTCTTTCCGACACGACGGCGCTTGTACTTAGTCTGGTAGCGACTGGGAGAAGTTAGCATTGAAAGTGGAAAGATTGAAGTTGGACCTGGTTGTCGAGGATGGAGTCGAGGATTGCGCCTCGACCTCGAGAACTTAAGCTCCGCAGATGTAGAAAAGGAGATTGACTGACCTGTAGTACGCCGAGTTCTTCTGCAACTTGGTGAAAGGCTGTAATCACGCAAAATAATTAGCCCAAATTCCTCGTCCTCGAATCCGCAGTTGACATTTCAGGACCACTGCCCGAACATTCTGCAAGGACTCTCGCGGTCCTCGTTGGCATTCCTGCTCATTGGAGGGACTCTGTTCACAGAGCAGACTGTCGAACAGTCGGATCTGATCCGTCGTGGTAGAGACTCACCATCTTGAGAGATTGGCCGCACTGTTGCTGGTCGTTGAATTTGGATTGAAGGAGGAAGAAAACGAAGTCGCACGATAAGATTTTCGGATATCACAGTGTGCGGGCTCGCTAAAGCGAAAAGTTCCCCGCCAGCCGCAGAGTGGAGTTGGGGAAAAAGGTCGTCGACGAGCACGTTTTGAAGCGAAATAATCAGCAGGAGTGCACTAAAAAGCATGGGATTATTTCATATTGATTATCTACCTCTACTATCTCGTATAAATGCTCTTTCTCTTCCATCTCAGCCCTTCAACCACAATGATTTCTTTTTCTATAAGCACGTGACTCGCACTCATCGTCGAGAACAACGGCCCGATGATAATCCGGCCCATGTCCCACTATCCCGAAGCCTCGGCTTGAGATCAGTGATCCTTCTCCAGCATCTCCAGCAACAGCTTACTTTTGACTTATTTCGCCATTCATTTTCATGTCTCAACAGGACTATCCAACAGAATTTGTATTAGAGAGTATAGAAGCCATAATGTCAACATCTAAACAACCGAAAGTTCTGTAAGTCTTTTACCCCACTTCATGCAGAGGTGCTTCGGCTGATGAGAAACCTAGACTTTTTGATATTGGAGGAGTTTGTGTAAGAACATTTTGCTGTTCGAATTGAAACACCAAATGCGATGGCGATTTTCTAGTACTTTTCTTCTTTCTATTTCTTTTGACTTTTCTAGTTGCATATCCATCTCAAATCCACCAATACGGACAATCATCAAGTGGTTGCTTCAACACTTCGAGTTGACACAGCACTATGTCGCCTTCTGATACATGTCCATTTCTCCAATCGTCTTCAAGTTTGTGTCACAATACAAGTCTATGTTCATTATTCTGCATTGCAATATTTACAATTCTGTTGCAAGAAGTCTCCTTCACTGTGAGCTTCTGGGCCATCAAGAATTATCTTTCTCAGTCGGTCAACTCGATTTGTGTTTGATTTATTTACTTTTGATTTTGAAGATTGCACAACTACTGTTATTCATGCCAAAGCGTCCCTTTTCATACCAATGCCCTGCTCCAACTGCTTGTTTTACGTTGGCTATCCTCTCCAAATACTCCCTCGTATCATCCACTTCTCAACTCCACTCCCATCAACCAACTGACACAAGCACAACAGGTCCTCTCCCCAATGCAAGCCATCCTCAACTACGAACTCTCCCACTCTATACCACCAGGCTGGGTAAACCACAGCATATCCAAGACCTCTCCCCACGGATTCTGGCACCGTCTTGAACGCGGCGAGCTCCCCATGGACAGTAAATTCTTCGCCGGCTTCTCAGAAGACCTACATAATCCCTCGATATGGAGGAATTTCTACCTTGAGAAAGCACGGAAAGCAGATCCCAGTTTACCAAAGGAAGTGGTATGTGAAACTGCTCCCTGGCCCATGTGATATGTTATCTTAGTACCATGTCATATCATTTCTTCGTCAGCTAACAGCGTCTTTTCTCAGCCCCCCGTACCAAAAGTCGAAGCGGAATACCTCTTCTGGCAAATGATGGCCCATAGCCGTGATTTCGATCCTTGGATGTACCCAGCACTGCAAGCCCTCAAGAAAAGCGGGAAGTACATCCTCGCAGCACTAAGCAACACGGTGATCTTCCCCAGCGACCACCCGTACGCGAATCCACCAGAAGAGAAAGATATCAGGAGGATATTTGACGTTTTTGTCTCGAGTGCTCATGTCGGGTAAGATACTACACAATTTCCATTTCCAAATCAGACATCACCTTTCCTTCCACTCAGAGCGAAAGCTAATAACCCATCCCCTCTTTGCAGCCTCCGCAAACCCGACCCAGCAGTCTACGCCTACACCCTGAAAGAAATCGATTCCTACGCACGATCTCACGCTTCCTCAGCACGTGGTAAATCACTCGGCTGGGAAAATGGCATCCAACCTTCCGATATAGTGTTCTCCGATGACATCGGCGAGAACTTGAAAGCAGGTAAAGCGTTTGGCTTTCGTACTATCAAAGTCCACCTTGGCCGTGCGTATGAAGCTGTTGATCAATTGGAGGAGGTGACAGGTTTGAAGCTGGCGGGGAGTCATCCGAGGGTACCGATTACGCCTGTGATTAGGAAGCCTGGGGCGAAGCTGTAGTAAGATGTGGCTGGAGAGTGAGTGCGGTGTGTGATGCGAGGGCAGACTCTGAGTCTAGTTGGGTATGACTTGATATGTGATTAAATCGGATGGATTACGTGTAGGACTGGCTATAGACAGACATATGGTGAGCAGTTGGCGTTACGGCTACACAATACAGGCTTTAACATGAAAAGTATACATATCTCATTTTTAAAATTAGCCATGAACTTTCGAAATATCACATCTAAGTAAACCCTCAACCAAAACTCCAACCATAGAATACTGTACGTTAATTGGCAAGACCTACTTGTTCCAGAAACCTAGATTTACACTACATACATGCTACTCGTATTCACACACTCATTCCATTCCTCAAAATACCAATCTCGAGTTCCCAAGTTTCCAACTCAACACAAGTCAATACCTACAATTCCTCCATCGACTGCCACTCTCAACTCTCATCAGAACATCAAACGTATCAATCGTGTACCTCCAAACCCATACCCCATGTCTCCACTTCTCTCCATACCAGACCCTCCTCTATCCATCTATCCCTTCATCAAACCCCAAAGCAACCAAGGTGTGACTGCCACACTCACACAGAAGAAGTCCAGCACCATGAACTCGCAATGAGGTGGAAAACCCCGGTCTCTGTGGCTTCTTCCAATTCCATTGCATGGAGGGGGAAGGTGGTTTACCTTATATACTTACCCAGTTTCTCAAACGAGGCGGTGGAAAACGAGAAATCAGGGAGGGAGGGTGAAAATCTGTAGTGACTTAGTCAGTGAATCAACTGTGGGTTGACTTCAAGGTACAATGTCTGGAAGTATTGAGTATCAAAAGTGAAGCTTGGTCTGCCTGTGATAGCGTGTTCTGGTGAATGTGAATATGAATATGAAGAACATACTTCTATTCTCAGCCTACAATTACTCCTTACAAAAACTCTCACAAGACTCTAGATTTTCACAGCATCAAAGCACAAAGATTCAAATCAAAGAAGAAGAAGAAGGTCGAACAAAACAATGGTATTCATCACCCCCTCTCATCCCCTGTCTCCTACCCTCTCTCTACCTCCCAAATTAAATGTAATTCAATGCAATGCAGTATACAAGAAAGCGAAATCGCTTCTCATCAATCACAATTAAGTAGAATCATAAAATCATCACCCGCAATGTACAAGCATCCATCCAACAAACACAAAAGTGACTTGTCCCCTCCAAAAACGCTATAAAATACACCTTCCCACTCCCTCCACCTACATCCCCTCTCTGAACTCTCCCTCACTTCTCACTTCTCCGGACTCGCACCTCCCACCCCCGCACCCCCCAAAATCAAACTCTCCAACTCCCACGGACTAAGCGTGCTCCTCCTCCTACTCGCTCTCCCCTGCCCCTTATCCCTCCCTGTCCCTGTGCCCAACTCCCTCGCTTTCCGTTTCCTCGATCTAGCATCATTGTTGATATTCGAATTAACATTCTCGGCATCCATTTCTGTATCCCTATCTCTGCTCCGGGCTAGCTCCGCGTCATGAGATCGAGAATGAGACTGTGCGTCCTGAGACTGAGGTGGCTGAGCCGGTTGTGACCGTTTCGGCGTAGGCGGAGGCGGCATCAACTTCCTCTCCTCCTCACTCCTCTTCAAATCTCTCTCCGAAATCCCCCCAGCACCAGCAGCAGCTGTGTTCCTGGCCCCTCTAGACGAGGCTGTCACAGCAGCAGTAGCCACGCCGCCCTTCCCCCTCGCAGCCTTAATCTTGGCTCTCACCCTCGCTGCATCAGCCTCTCGTTCACTAGCCGCTAATTTCGCAGCGATACTAGCCATCGTGAGAGGACTCTGCATAGGGGGCTGTTCCCTTGGGCGAGGGAGTCTAGATTCTGCTCCTGTACCTCCAGACGCTGTATTGCTTAGTTTGAGTCTGGGTGTTGCTTGGGCTTGGTTGAGACGAGCGGATGAAGGTTTGGATGAATGCGAGGATTTCGTGGGCGATGAGGAGCCAGAGCGGGAATGTGGTTGTGGTTGTTGGAGGAGAGGTGGTGGGAATGAGGTTCGAAGGAGGGAGACCTCGTCTGGTGAGGATGAACTGGCCGCAGCTCTTCCAGTTGGCGTATTCTCTTTCTTTGCTCCTCTGTCTCTTCCTAGTGACTGTGGAGTGGATCTCGCAGATGCTTGTTTCTTAGGCGATGCCAATTGCAAGAGATCATATGTATTCTCCTCGACAATAGTCGTGAAACCGTCCAGCTCCCTATCCTTCCTTGGGAGATATGGTGGACTTGGAGCAGCTGCTCTGGCATTGCCACTGCTCTCTTTCAGAGGTGACAACTGTGGAGGTGGACCTGGTGACATAGACGATGCAGTGTGGATGGTATAGTTCGCCTCTTCATCCTCTTGCTCTTGGTCTTCCTCGACGTCGGCTTCATCCTCCAGAGGTTCTTCTTCGAATAGGCTCGACTCAGAATCCTCCATCTCATCATCGAAATCGCCAAGATCGGGATCAGGCATCTCTGAATCATCCATAGCATCGATATCAGCCTGGGTATCACCTTCTGCGTCCTCTTCAGCAACCATGCTCAAGCCAAAGCCATCTCCGTTGCCATTCGCAGCACCGTCATCCTTGTTCTTCAATGGGCTGAGCATCAATCCCATCTTCAGCTCCTCGAGGTTGACAGTTTGTCCACTCCTAGCCATGCGTTTCCTCCAGCCATCCATCATGCTAACCGCATCGCGCCAGCGGCTCTCCATCCTTTCCCAACCCTCTCTAAGTCTGATAATCTCCTCTTCCCTAATCTCCACCTCTTCCAACGGCACGAAACTCGGGTTCGTAAGCAGAGTCCTCACATGCTCAAGGACAGCCTCAGTCTCCTGAGCCAGGTTATCATATCCGCTCTCCGTCTGCACGATCATATCCCTCTGTCCTTCACTGGCAGACTCATGATGTTCCTTCTCCCAGCCACTCAGCGTCCTCAGGGTCTCGACAGTCCGTCTCGCCAACGCAGCAAGATGTTCATTCTCCTCTGACAGACCCCTCGCCAGCTCAGTGAGGAACTCATTCGTCTCACTCCTGAGATCATATCCATCTTCTCCAACACCCACACTGCCCATCACACCACCCCGCTCATCCACCTCTCCGATCCCAGCAACGACTGTAATCTCTCTACTTCCCACGACTTTCCCACCGCCTCTCACGCGACCATCGCCAACATGTTTCTTCAGTCCTTCGAGCGTCCGTTCGCGTTTCCGTACTTCAACAGCGCATTGACTTCTCGTCTGTTGTACTAAGACTTTCATCCGCGCCATCTCTTCTTTCAGGACTCGATTCGCTTGTTCCGCGCTCTTGAGTTGCAATTTCATCGCGCGTTCAGTGGATTCTGCGATGCCGAGTTTGCGCTGCGCTTCGGTGTGTTTGGTAGAAAGACGTTCCATATCTGTGGTATGGCGGAGTGTATCTGCGCGGAGGGTTCGTAGGGTTGTAGTGAGGGATTCGCGTTGTGTTGCGTCGCGCTGTTGTAGTTTCATCAGCTTGTATCCTAATTATTGCACCCATACGTTCTCCGTTTCCATCTCCATGTCTTCACCGTCCGCCCAATACCCTTCAATAATCCCCAAAGAATGTTGGGAAGTAAATACTCACATCTCTCCTCAAAATCAAATCATTAACCACACTCATCACCCTCCCCATCGTCTTTTCCAACCCCTCCCCACCATCAGCAACTGCCCTATCCGGACGCGCAAAATCGATATTCTGGCCATTGCGCAATAGGCCGCGCGATAGAAGCTGATTGTTGATGTAGAGGGACGCCGTGCGGAGGTTGTCAGGGTCCATGATTGGCTTGTGTTTGTATTACGAGAGCTCAACGAGCTCGAGGCGCTGAGGATGTTTGTGTTTGTGGTGCAAGTACGTAATGTTGTTGTTCGATCATGTAAGAACTCGATTGTCGGGGGGTGCGTATGCGCAAATCGAGACGCAAGATCCGTCTGCGCAGTCACCAATCCCAGGAATCAATCCTTTCTCTCTTATCCTACGTTTGCACCGGCTCGTCGTTCCAATTCTCTGTCTTGCCGCCTCGAATTCAGTCCATAGGTTCCAGTATAGATTGACCGTGTCGTAATTATCACAGCGTCTCAAAAAGTGATAGAGTTCCGGCGGGGTGGTGTGGTGCGGCTCTTCCTTATTATGCAGGGCTGTGATCGAATATTTTTGTCGCGATGTTGCGGTTGCCGTGTAAACAAAGCCAGCGCATGCTTGTGCAGGGATAACGCGAAACCTTATATTCACGTGACTGTGCAACCACAGCAAGCTTCCTAGGTTTGGTGAAGAGGAAGAATATACTTAGTTTAATGGGAGAATCATTAGGAGATTTGGTTCAATTATGGAAATAATGGCAGAAGGTGCTTCTTCGTGTTGAAAATATAAAAAGATATGTGCACTAATCATCTAAAAGCAGCAAGAAAAGGACCAGCTCCAATCTTCAACTTCCAGCCATCAGCATCTTCAACGTCCATTTACAAACCACCTATCATTTATTAAAAAAGCCGCAACAGTCACATCAAATCCAAGGTTCACAAATACAAAGTCAAAGTAATCCATTAAGCGATTCATCTCATTCTCTGCTCATCTCTCTTATTGGTATTTACTCTACGCTGCGTAGGTACCCCCAATCCATTTCTATCTCCTGAGACCTCAATGTTTTCTTACGTATGCAACCACTTCCATCCTCCCCCACCCTCTTCACTCGTCCTGCTCCCTCTACCAACCCACCACAAATCCCACCAGCACCAACACCAAAACAAAGCCCCTCCTCTACCTTCAAAACCTCCTCCAACTCCTTCCCAACCCAGCTAGCTAGCTAGCAAAAGCGAAGCCAGCCAACCAACCAACCAGCCAGCCCGGAAGAGGAGAACAAACCCCACCAAGACGAAGAAGCAGAAGAAGAAGAAAAGGGAATGAAGCAAGAGGAGCAGAAGAGAAGGAACAAAGGCACGGATATTAATATACATACATTCAATAAGGTAACTTATGAACCACCTCCCTCCACTCTTCCTCCGTCACAATACCTCACCCAATGCATATTAAACATCACCACCCCCCGCCAAAAATGAAGAGGAAAAAAAAATAACCCACAGGAAATCCGTTCTATGCGTGCCAGTTCTGCCTGCCAGTTGTGCTTGCATGCATGCTCATGTTGTATGCAATCCATTCCATTCCTTTTGCTTTACGTTTCTTTCATTTATGTAAGGGTAAACCATCTACCACCAACCTCGTCACTCTTCCTTGCTCACAAGGTAGGATGCTAGGAAGCCAAGCCGCTCAAAAAAACGCCAATCAATCAATCATCAACCACCCACCCCACCCCACACCCACACCCATCCCCATCCCCGTCTTGAAGAAGCAGCCCTTTCTATATCGAGAATCAGAGCAGCAGCAGCAGAAGAAGAAGGTAGAAGCACATTAAAAAAGTGTTCAAAAAAGCCCAGCTAGTTAGAGCTAAGCCAAAGCCAAGAGGCAAAAGTAGTTAAAAAGGGTATGTGTGAAGGAACGACTCGAACAACCAAGCAAAAACAAAAATGGTACGCCGCGCCGGAAAACAAAGACCAGATCAGACCAGACCACAATGCAACCATGCAGCCATGCATGCATGTACGCACATTTCGCCAGCTTTCATCTCATCTCATCGCGAGTCGAGTATAGCCAGCCCATACATCCGTCAATCCATCATTCTCATGCCAACCATGTCTATGCTCATGCTCATGCTCATTTCACATGTACCCAACCCAATCCATCCATCCATCCATCCATCGTGACATGATATAACAACATTCCTCATGAGCAGTTCGCCTATGCGTCTATGCGCGTTTATTCATAGCCGCACTCGCACCCGCAGAAGCCATACCGCCCCCGCCGCCGCCACCATCCAGCTTCCCACTAACACTCCTCGTAACCCTCGGCAGACCACTATTCCCCTGCGCCATATTCCCACCAGTACTCGTCCGCTTACTGCCCGTAGTCGAAGCAAGACCGTTAATATTCGACTGTCGTCGCGGCGGCGCGGCATTCTTGACAGGACTCGATCCAGAAGTCTCTCTCGATCTGACAGCCGTGCCATTCTTGAAGCTCGTAGCAGGCGGTTCAGGAAGAGGACGATGAGAACCAGATGGAGTTGTAGCTATGGTGTTGGTTCTCTTGATAGGCGATTCATTTCTGACTGCCATGCGGGGTAGAGGAGCAGCGGGTTTCTGACCAGTGAGGAATTCGTGGCGGATGGCTTCCTCTGGCTTCATGCGAGTGTCGGGATCCCAGCGGAGACAGCGTGCAAGGAAGTCGAGGAAAGCCTCGTCGTCGCACTTCAGGACTTGTTGGAGGGTCTTGGAAGATGGCTTGCGTCGGCGTCCCTTGGAGGAGACAGTCAGACGAGGCTTGCCCATTGAGTCAAAGAAGAGTTTCTTGCGGGTGCTCTTGTCGATCAGGTGCTTGCCAGGTGGACCAAAGACCTCCATGATACACGAAAGTTGCTCCTGCTCGTTTTCACCAGGGAATATGGGTACACCAGTATACAACTCTGCCAATATACATCCCAAACTCCACATATCGATAGGCATACCGTATGTCATTCCAAGGATAACTTCTGGGGAGCGGTAGAATCGTGATTGGATGTACGTATAGACCTTCTCATTCTCGAAGCAACTGGATCCGAAATCGATGACCTTAATCTCGGAGTGCATTGGGTGGGCAAGGAGGATATTCTCAGGCTTCAGATCGCAATGAATAACCTTGTGTTGTTTCAACAGTAACAAACTGCTGAGCATCTGCTTGGTGAAACGGCGGACAATCTTCAAGGAGAATCCTTTGAAGGCATTGGACTTTATAAACTCATAGAGATTCATGTCGAGAAGTTCGGTAGAGATACAAAGATGACCACGGAAGTAGAAGCTTTGAGTGAAGTTGACCATGCTGTGCTTGTTTTTGGGGTCCTAGAATCTGGTCAGTAATGCTTCTTTTGCACAACAGCGGCCAACATACCCATTCGCGCAGCTTTTGCAAGATGTTCACTTCTACCAAAGCTTGCTGATGGAAACGCTTCTTGTTGCGAATGATCTTCACAGCAACCAGTGTACCCAGCTTGTGATCAATGCATCGCACAACCTGTCCGAAACTTCCCTTGCCAAGCACATCAATGATCTCGTACCTGTAAGACAAGTGATCTCCAGGAATGATGCTGTAATCTCCTCTCTCATCATCGTAGCCAAAATTAGCCGTATCAGTAGCCAATTGCCCAACATGCTTGGCAGCGTTTGGTGTTCCAGCAAAGTATACATCTTTGTAGTCCACGATCTCTCCACGTTCAAAGATATTGAGATTGAGAACTTGCAAAGCTGATTGAGGTGATATGCGATCTTGGGGAACAGCACGTTGACGAAGCGCGTCCAGAATCGTAGCTGCTTGTTCGGTGTCTTTACGTCTCGTGGCGAGCTTCTTGACCTCAGACTCTGCAATCATGTCGTCTTTGTCCAGATCAGCGGTCCAACGATCTGTAGATCGAATTGTGTTGCTTGAAGCCTTTGAATTCAGCATCTTGTGCATAACAGATGACGTTGAACGTGAAGATGGAAGAGTTCTGTCGCTTTGTGTCGAGTGCTCTTTCTTTGGGCTGCCGTTGAGACCCCAAGAATCGCTGCGAGTTCTGTCGTGGCCGTTGAACATGGTCATGCTTGAAATTGAGCTCTTTCGACGCTTGGAGTCAAGATAGGTCGTGGACTTGACACTAGGGCTAGGGCTTGATACACTTTGGCTATTCGAAGTGCTGATGATTGCGGATGCAGGAAGACGTGGTGGAGGCATGTTGTCATGCTTTGGTGGTTGAGGAGGATACTCAGATTCTCGCTCGCTAGCTGCATGTGACGCGTTGATATTACTCTTCGAAGTGCTCCTCTTCCAGCCCAGGCTTAGCTTTCGACGGAGAGAAGTACCAGAAGATGGAGTTGAAGGCTCTTCAGGACTAGAGGCTCTAGTGGGCGTCTCATTCTTTACTGGCTTTGCTAACTTTTGAGCACGTGGTCCAGTCAATCTAGCAGGTCGTTGAGGCTCAGCAGTGGATGTATCTGGAGCGGAAACATCACCGCTAGTCTTAGATCTTGGCATGAATGAGTGTTCTCCGCCATTCTTCGGTAGAGAAGAAGAGATAAATGGCGATACAGCTTGCCTCGTTTGTCGAGAGCTGATTGGGATAGGCTTACTAGCCTCGGGTCCACTGCCACCAAGTTGAGACGAGGATTCCGATTGTAAGAAGTGAATTGAGCTACTGCTTCTCATATGAGAAAGAGTATCTTCCGCCTTGGAGTCTGTTCGTTTCCTAGAGAAGAACGAGGCCTTTGAAGCAGTCATAGGTGTACTTGGAGTTTTGGTATTTACACGTCGAGGAGGCGGGGTTGTTTGTCCATCCGAGTATGGGGTATCCTTGTCCTGAAGGGCTGCAATCTTCGCCGTTGTGGGAGTACTCAATGGCAGCAGATTTATAGGTGGGAGTCGTAGAGGTTGTAAATTCTTCTTCTTCACAGGTGTAGGGTTGTGCTGATCATCTGATATTGCCGTCGGACCGTACTTCCTGGCCTTTGGTTCTCGATCGTTCTTTGGCGGATCTCGAATCGAACCTCTCCCAGATAAACTATTGGTAGATGTACTATTGATACTGCTGGCATCAAATGGCATGCTCGACTTTCTCTTGAAGAATGGAGGATCTGCTGGAGAGTCTTTCGGCGATTCGTATGCTTTTGGTATCGCTGGTACAGGCGGCACTTCCTCCTCTTCGTTATTCCCAGTAGAACTATGCACATTTCTCGGCTTCGGCGTGGGTAATCTGGACGAGGAAGGTGGAAGTTGCATTCGCGGTTGTAATGAGCCTGTCGAAGTACGAGAAGTGTTATAGCTTGCATTGGAGGCATTCGAAAGACCAGAACTGTAAGACTTACGGTTAAGGTCCGGTGTAGTTCTAGAAGAAGAGGGAGTCGAGGCTTTTCTCGGTAGCATAGAAGGGGACCTCGAGGATGTTCGGATCGTGGATGTTTCGGGTTGTGGAGTTGGCGGGGTGTTTGGCATCGGAGGAGGGCCTTGTAGAACTGATAAACGCTTTGCTCTCCGTGCATCTGTGGGACTGACTGTTCGTGCACCGAGTCCAGTGGCATGAGACGACGAAGTTGGCATCCCTGGTATCACAGACATCCGCTTGTTCGAGGAAGATGGAGTAGTAGTGCCTCGTCCATTGGGTCGGCCTGGGGATCTGCCAGCAAAAGAGGATGATCTGGTGTGATCTGGAGTACCGGTCTTTGCTACCAGATGTGTCTGTCCTTGCCTGGAAGGCGGCTGGAGGGATTTGGTCTTTGCTGCTCTTGAAGCAGTAAGTCCACGAGCCCCATCGGTATATGTTGGTGCTCCTCCAATATTGACACGCGTAGACACTCCTCCTGCATCAGAGAGACCCTGTGAAGACACACTTGATGCCAGACTTGGCCGCCTTCTCTGTGTTGCCCGTGTATAATCCGGATCTGTACCTGTAACTCCTGGTCCTATAGATTTCCTCGGGGCTTTGGCAGCATTGGCCGTGGCACTACCAGATATTGGGGGATATTGACTTTGCCGCCGGGATCTCATAGCAAGGGGAGCACTTGGGGGATCCATAGTTCCAGTTGCCCCAGACGCAGTGGAGGATACGCTGCTCTGTCTCGTTGATGTACTCTGCCGCCGTAATATCGAACCTGCCCTCCCTGGCCTGGTTCCAGTGGAAGGAACACGCCCTGTCCCATTCGCTCTCACGTCTCCCGTAGATGTATTCATTGCTTCGTTTGTTCGTTTCCCTCCTATCACGCTGCTCTCTAACACACTTGATCGTTCGAAATTGAAATCATTAGACGCGGTTGCAATACTGCTCTGGAGGTCGTCGAAGCTTGGGGAGGGTAGGAATTCGTAAGATCCGCCTAGATTCTCATCTGCACCGGTCTGCCCGCCAAAAGAAAAGAGTGAATGGTTATTCCGAGTCGAGGCATGGAGGGTCGGTTCTCGCACAGATGCTGCAGGCGCTCTTGCGCCTGGATCGTAATTTTCTTGTCTGCCAGAGGGATAGAAGTCAGCAGGGCCCAGGGGCAGGTTCTCGACAGTGAGATTGGCGTACGCCTTGGACGGTGAGTAGTCCGGCCTTGGACCTGAGGGAGCTTTCTTTTCTCGAAGCATTGGAAGGGTCTCGAGTCGCCCGCCAGCACCAGCAATTGAACACAAGCAGCTTGATCAGGGTCCTCCCGTTCCGTTCCTTTGTCTGTCCTGATCGAAGCTCAGTCCGTCCAAGGGCCGAGGTGTTCGCCGGGCTATCTCATCTCAAGGGCAGGTCGGAAGGGTTCTCCTACAGGGTAGACGTTGTGAGGAAGAGCGGTGCCCCCAGGTTTTACTTCGAGGGTGGTCTGGTGAGCGTTCGAGTCGTGACGGTCGCTGCAGCTGAGGCTGCTCGGTCGCAGACAGTGCTGGGAGCAGATGCAGATGCAGCAGTCAGGCTGTCAAGACTGCGACTGTTCAGTGCGTCTGGTGTAGAAGAATCGAATATTGTGGTTCCTGCAGTCGGCCACGGCCGTCGGTCGTGAAATTGGATGCTGTCTGTGGTACTCTTACTTTCGATTCGACTACTGCACCGCTTCCCTACCGCTTTCGCGAGGCAGTCTGCCGTATCCGTAGAAACTAAACAGCACAGGGGTGTGGTAGGCTGCGCTGGACGCAGTGGAGCGGATAGTCACCCGTCAGGGCAAGGGGAGCGGGACAAGCGAGATGGACGGGGCATAGAGCGAATAGGAGCCCGCTAACGAGATATACCACAGTGTCAATAATGCCTGAATGTTATGATTATGGACGTGTTGCAGCTTGTTTACGGGGTAGATCAATAGATCAAGAGCGTGAGAGATGGCCAGTTTGACACGATACTCGCAGTAGTAGCGATTCTATTGCTGCACATGCCTTGTTTTCCCCCAGCTAGGTATGAAGCTGTTCGTCTCTCCTTGATTCCCTTGCCTCGCCTTTCATCCAGTCCAGTAAATTTACAATAGCATGGATATATCCAGGCATGTAAACTCACAGATGCCTCGGTTTCAACCAGCCACTGTGGCCAGAATCCGGATCTTTCACTCATCTCGTTGTACGATGTTGTCCTCCTGCTTCTTTCCATCTTCCCGCTCGCTCGCCGCCATGCTTCATTAGCACTACCGGTCCCCCTATTCTGCTCTTCTCGGCAACGGAAATTTTACCCCTGAACAGCCTTAACTACATCGCCCGCACCACACGCCTCTGTACTGTAGTCACTGATCTGCCCCTATCCGCTCGCGGGGGCGTTTGGCACGTCCACTACTAAACCAGATACTGCTGGACGCCGTCTGGTCTCTGTAGCGCGCTGTATCTAGCTAACGAATGACAGTCAGCAGCCCCTTTTATATTCCCTACCTTAGCAAAGGAGCAAACAAGATCTCCGCATCCCCTCCTCCCGTAATTCTGCCGTCATTTGTTCATGGGATTATTTGTTTATTTCGATTTCTTGGGATTTGTTTACAGTCCGTGCTATGCGATTCATGCAATCAATATTTCTTGCCTGGCGAGGCAGAATTGCTGGTAGAATTGGCGGGCTCGCGGGCCAAGGAACGTCTCGGCAATCGGGGGTTTTGCGGGAAATTGAATATCTTTTCTCCGAGATACAAACGTCAATATTACCCACAACTTCATTCTTCGCTCAGCCTCTGACTGCTAGATTTTGCTGCAAGGGCATTGACAGCCGACATGATGGCATGCCGAGGCATTTTCCAGCCAGACTTCGTATCAACAGTCGGCCTTCGTCGCTGGTTTTTCCTTTTCGTCACATTCTCGTTGTCATCTCCTCTCCCATTATTAAAGGTTACGCTTTTCAGTCGAGAATGGAAACAGAACGTACAAGAAACTTTCTGGAACACCCAGACACCTATTCCAGTTATTTGGTAGCCATTCTTAATTCAAGGTCACCAAATGCCATTAGTTACAAACAGCAAGACGGCCTCCTGTGTCTTCTCTTCTGAATCATCCGAATAAGAGTGCTGAGATCGACTTGTTCTCAAACCAGAAGACATATATACCTTAGGGACCGCCTTGGTTCTCCTTCCGTCTTGCTTCGATGCACTCGCGCCATAACCCAATGCCGCGGTCTATCACTCTATTGTATCTAACCAGCACTGCTGCCTTGTTTATCCTGTGGCCCGCCTCTCTAATTCAATCTCAAATCCCTTGCTTTCACGTTACCACTTCGCAAGGCTATAAAATCTTCCCATCTTCCACTTGAGGCTCACTAATCGTTGGGATGGAATTAACATTCAGCAGCAAATGCTCCTCCAGCTGACACCGTGAATGAATTTCCGATCACATTAAGCATGCAAAGGCTTATTGTACCAAACCAGAAAGAATTCTCTTCGATCTCGCCCTAGGTCATGGACCAGATTTGCTGTATCTGACTTGTTCCTTCGATTAATCAAATCATTGTTGTCACTCCTCTTATCACCATCAACACGTCCAATATTTCCTCCCTCTCATAATCCAGACCTTCATGTCTGGAACACGTTTTAGATTAACCTATCACCTTCATCGTATGAGTTGCCTATCACTCCCGCCACCCTGCAACAAATTTCCTCTCTTGACCCAGCAACGCCAAATCAGAGTTCATTACTCCGCATCGTTCTCAACTCGTGCACTTGTTAACCGCCCGACTTCTTCATGAGATCTTGACAGCCAAGTTCTCTATATACTGCAACATTCCTAGACATAACGGTCTCTTGCACTCCGAACAATTGTGAAGCAGAGTGATTGATTGAACGCGATAAAACCCTCATCCACCCTCAAAACACAACAACGATTCAGCCATGCTTGAGGGTCAGATCCTCCATTCACTACAATCACTTTATCTGCTCACTATAAAAGTTCTAAAGACATCCCTTTCTTCGGAGATATGCCACACTCATCTGGTTACACCCAGTCGGTATGGCTTGCTTTGGCAGTAGTCAAATATTTCCCCTGCTTTGCTCAGCCCCCGAGGCTTACGTATCTTTTCCAAAGTAAATCCTCCTAAAATCAAGAAGACTTTTCTGCTGCGGTCCCTTTCTTGATCGCCTCATGGTTTCGTTAACAAAACCATCGCTATCGACAACAACATATTCACCGATAATGGGTAGGGCTTTTCAATGACCTCAAAGTGCTCAAATTGCTAGCAGCTTCTCTAGTAACGTTTCATTGCTGACAGCAGTAACAAAAATATGAACAGCTCGAGACCTGGAGCTACAAACCATCGCAACCCAACCTGCCCTACTGCCACCACGGCTCCCCAATATCAAGCTGGTCTTGTAGGGTTTGGTTCCCCTGGAGGTACCATTCGGATCTCCATTCATTCTCCAATATATAGTTCTTGGAATCTCAGGTGATTGTCAGCACTAGTAGGATATCAAATATTTGCGAACCCGAATTTCACTGTATCGTTTGCTTTGCCTCAATTCGAAGAGTTCCAAGGCAGCGCTATCGTATGACGAGATAAATTGAATGCAAACCGGGGTTTGTGATTTTAGGACTCCTCATCACACTGGTTGCATACTTCCTAGCTATGTACCAATTCCACAGTATAAAACCAGCCAGTGTGAGTAACACCAGATCTCTTTCACACCAAAATCATTCTGGATCAAAGACGCTGATGGGCCGGACTGACTCCCAGGTATTTCAAAGACCAAGGCTCATTGAACGATACCTCAAATTTTTTCTTCAGCATGTAGCGCACATGTGCAGCATATCAGCTAGACAAAAACAAACATGAGCGCTATACAATCAATCCAAGGCTGGGAACGAGCCGTATCTAACATATGACGTTGTCAACTTCAATTTCGCCGTCAATTCCTATTAATTCAACGCCTTTGAATATCCGTTCCACTTTGTACAAGAGACACATAGGTTAGGATCCTGTTGTTGCCGTGGCAGGGTCTTGTATCCAAGCATATCGGATAAGTCGCACACTCCCATACAAAGACTGTAAGAATTTTGTTCTTGATGTGGCAGCTGCTTGGGGTGTCTCGGTTCAGGAGATGTGCTTTATTTTATATCTGTAAAAGAGGCCACCTGATATTCCATCGAGCTCCCAATTCCATCGAGACTTCCTCACTGCTTTACGGCCTTAGACTGCGCTCAAGTATTTTCAGTAAGCTTTTCTACCGCCAAGCCACAGCATTCGCCTTCGTAACTCACAGATTTACTTCAATAATCTCATTTTGAGAAATGTTGCCTTGAGGCTGCTCTACATAAAGGCACAGTGGTTTCCCAGCACATGAGAGTTTTTAATTTAGACCAAAACACACCGTACTGAGAGCTGTTCTATGGAGGCTTGCATACATTTCCAAGCCTTGCCTCCAAGCTTTGGAGCGCATTTTGAGTCGAATTTGCATCGGAGTATAATCCGATAAATTCAACACTCATTTGTACGGCCTTGTGTTCAATTTAGGTGTTCATGGGGTGACAGGTATTCCAGCAGCTTTCAAAAGCAGGTGATAGAACATCGACAACCGAAAGCAACATGACAGTAAGCAAATTCGTGACAACAAGCTAATGTGGACCCGATAAAAGTTCCACTTCTTAACAGGTTCTTGGCTTTTTTGTTCCAAAGCTGGAGCACTCATCATACCCATCAGGTGAACTTCTTCAAAGCCGACTCGCAAGAAAATATCAAAGATTCTTAGAGCACCACAAGAGATAGTCTGCTCGCAGCACCGGACTGCGTTCTTGAGGACTACGGATTGCGCGTCCTGGTTTTATTTATACCCTTCTCCACGAAGGTACACAAAATGTTTGGCTGCTTCATATTTTTCTCAAGGCGTTTGATTCCTAAAGTGATTTAATACTGAATACTCACCTTCTTCCTCATCGCCACAGGGCCTTGACCGCTGATAGAAGCAAACGAGGTTCACGAAGGTAGAGAATAGATTGAAGAAGTATTATGAAACATGGATTGAAGTGGAGACGCAAGATGTGCAGGTCCTGTTCGAGACTCATGTTATATTTTCACTATGCCTTAGAGTTTAAGTCAGCAATTGAGAATATGTCAAGCATTAATCGTTCATTGACTGTCTTGGTTTTATGTCTTTCGGTTCTGGAAGCTTGACATCTGGTATTCTCCAGGCTACGAAGCATGGTATTCAAGTAGATCTTACAGTGGTGACATATATGGTTGTATTTGGGACTCCAAGTGTAGGAACTGTGCAGGCTTTACTGATGATCTGAATTCGAGAACTGGATGAGAATGGAGGGGTAATTGCGGGGTAACTTTCAAGTCAACATTTGGGCTCGTAACTTCGTAAGCGAGTAAGTAATTCAGGGGCAGGTCGCCAAAATTTAGGCTTCTCGCCTGCTGAAGCTAACATTCTCTGTGAAGTCAACATGCCATAGATATTTTATTAACACATGATGATTACACCTCAGCATTCGTCCAAGATTAAATCTGCTTTGCAGCCGAGGTACTCAAACGCCTGTGGAGCAACCCACCTCGTTTCGACGAAAATCCTTACCAGCCAGCTTACTGTTAGAGCCAAGATGGGAAATGGTAATATTTACTGATGAATTTGAGCCCAATCGCATTCCCTACGAATGCATTTACACACTGTCGAGCTTAGCAGGATTCCCGATAAAATCGTAGTGTACTGAACCGATGCCATACCACCCAAGCTAGCTTAAATTGTATTCTTACAGCTAAATGCAGCTCGACCTGCTTACCTTTCATGTAACCCCACACCTGAATTTCGGATTCGGGTCACATCTCAACTTTTGGACGGACATGCTTGTTCCGGACGAATCGGACTGACGACCAATCAAAGCCGCGCCTGCTGGTAAGCGCTACCCTTGCATCAGCTTCGGGGGAGTTCTGATAGAACATAAATAATGAGTTGAGCCTCCTGAACTCTTCCCATCTTCTATTTTTTTTCTTCATAGTTCTACACATATACTCGTGAATTTTGAAAGATACGGCACAAGATGGACGTGGGCCCTTCCCTCAACGCCATGCCTGCTCACCCGGCAGACACTTCCTCGTCAGACAACCTCGCCGAACAATATGACTTTATCATCATCGGAGGCGGTACAGCAGGTCTAGTCCTCGCCGCCAGATTAACGGAAGATCCATCGGTGCAAGTCCTTGTCCTTGAAGCTGGATCAAACAGACAAGATGATCCCATGATCATGACTCCCGGCCTTGCTTTTGGCATGTACGAGAATCCCAATTATGATTGGTGTCTGCAAACCGTTCCTCAGGTAAGTTTTCCCTTCTATTTCTCTTTTTCATTGTAGCCAGGGACACAAGTTGACAACCCAGGCTGGTCTCAACAATCGCATCCTCCCCCAACAACGAGGCAAGGTCCTCGGAGGAAGCAGTTCCATCTTCCAAATGCAAATGGTCTACACCTCCGCACCAGCCTTCGACGCTTGGGAAAAACTCGGCAACCCAGGCTGGAATTGGGAAGCCATGCTTCCCTACCTCCGTAAATTCCACACTCACCACAATCCAAGTCCAGCCGAGGCAGCCAACGAGATTCTCAGCATCGCAAGTCACGACGACGCGTTGGAATCTAGTGAAGGACCTGTCCAGACGTCGTTTAGTGAGACCAGTGATGTGGATAAGGCTTGGTATGAGTCTTGGGGAAAGATTATGAGGGATTTGAAGTATGAAGGGAAGGATATTGGGGGACTTGCTCATCCTGCTTCAATTGATCCCAAGACGAGGACGAGAAGTTCAGCAACGTCGGCGTACTACGCCGCGGATGTTTCTTCAAGAACGAATCTGCGCGTGGTGACTGATGCATTGGTCTCAAAGATCGTGCTTGAGAGAAAAGATGAAGAGGTTATTGCAACAGGCGTGCAATTTGTGTCCAAATCTGGGAAAGCCATCATCGTCAAAGCAAAGAGAGAAGTCATCCTGTCAGCTGGGACTATGAAATCACCTCAGATCTTGGAACTTTCCGGGATTGGCGACACCAAATTGCTCGATCAGCACGGAATCGAGACATTCGTCCACAACCCAAACGTCGGCGAGAGCCTCCAAGATCATCTCATCGTATCCGTCTCATTCGAAGCAGAAGATGGAGTCCAAACGGGCGAAGTCATGATGCGCGACCCATCCGTCATGCCCGCCCTGATGGCAATGTACCAAAAAGACCACTCCGGCCCTCTCGCACACAACTTCGTGCCCATTGCACAATTCCGCCTCCCCGAAACATTCGCACCCAACGGACACGAGTACATCCCATCTCTCCTCCAGAAAATATCTCCCAAGCCCACCTCCGAGCATCAACAACTCAGAGATAAAATCACAGCAGATCTCCTCTCCTCAGCCACAATGCAGCAAATGCTCTCAAAAATGCAATTCAACATCTCCGCCGGCTCAAAACTCGCCGATATGGTCAAAGGCGATGTAGAAGGCAACTACATCTCCTTCATGTCTGTTCTCAACCACCCTTTCTCTCGCGGAAACATCCACATTGCATCATCCTCACCAACCGACGATCCACTCATCGACCCCAAATACCTCTCTCACCCCATGGACATCGAACTCCACGCCCGCCACGTGCAATTTCTCTCCACTCTCACCTGCACGCCTCCCTTATCGCAATACCTCAAGCGCAACGGGCGGAGAATTCCAGCTCATGCGTTTGCGGATGGTAAGCAGGAGATGGATCTCGAGACTGCGAAGAAGGTGGTTAGAGAGCATAGTATCTCGAATTATCATCCTGCAGGGACGTGTGGGATGGGGCCGAGGGAGAAGGGGGGAGTGGTGGACGCGGAATTGAAGGTTTATGGTGTGAGAGGATTGAGGGTCGTGGATGCGAGTGTGTTCCCGATTATGCCGAGAGGGAATATTATTACTAGTGTTTATGCGGTGGCGGAGAGGGCGGCGGACATGATTAAGGCTGAGTGGAAGGGGAAGTGAGATGGGGTTGTGATATTGTAGAGAGGCTATTCAAGGTAACCTTTGAAAGTGCTCCCGGCCCCTCACTGTGAGTGGGTGGTCGGTGATGAATAGGAAGTTGACATCTCTTCGCATGACTCACTCAAGACACATGAAGAAGAAACAAATATGAAATCTAGATGACATCAGGCTAATCAGGGATGGGATACTTATTATCCATTCTACCATCTACTCATCAAATCTATATACATCGAAAAAGAAGTATTCAAACCCATCGGGTCTACACACAATATGTTTTTATACAAGAAAACCCCTTCTCAGCACACCCCCAAAATCTAGCAATCATCCTCTCCCTCAGTCTCAGGAGCAGGTGTCGCAACAGGAGTAGCAATAGCAGTAGCCAAAGTAGTCGGCACAGCAGATAGAACCACACCAGTAGCAACAGGCACAGTTGAGTTACCAGCCGGGAATGGAGGAGAGACGGGGACAGCAGTCGAAGTCGCAACTGGAGCGGCAGCAGATGTAGCAACTGGCGTAGTCGTATTTCCAGATCCGGATCCTGATCCAGCGCCGAAAACAGCTGGGCCTGGAATGACATACTCGAGATCATTGGTGTAGATGTTGACGAGGATTCCTGGGTCGGTCTCCTTGTACAGAGCAGTTCCGAGCGTACCGACTGGGACATCGCTTCCGCCACCGGTGACTTCAAGGTTAAGGCAGAAGGGGTAGAGTTGTGCGCCGTTGGCGGATCCGGCACCGTGGAGGGCGATGATTTCGTGGCGGAGGACGTAGTTTCCTGGGGCGATGGTGGCGGGGATGGTTACTGCCCATGAAGCATTGTTGTTCATCAGCTCGTCGGACGCCCATGATCCAGCCTCGAGTCCCTTCTCGTCGATCTTGAAGAATCTATGGATGTTAATACGATATTACGAGGCGAGTCTGATCCAGAAAACTTACTCGAGAGCGGTCTTGTCGACGGTGGAGCAGTCACCCTTGCAAGATGCAAGGTAGTCAATGACTGGGCCCTTGTGGGAGTCGGGCCATCCGGACCAGAAAACCTCCATGGTGGTACCGGCAGCGATTTTTGCTGAGAGGGCACCGTTCTTGGCGCCCAAGTGGCAGATGATATCAGGCTCGGCGAGAGCAGCTGGGGAGACGAAGCCCAGATCTAGAGCAGTCTCAGACCAACCGAATGATTCGGGAGGGCTTGGGTTGTAGGCATAATCGACGAGCCAGCCAGTTTGACTGTAGATATTAGCGCTCGACCTACAACTGGGGATTGATATGTAGCTTACTAGACCCCATCGATAGAAACACCCTTCACGAAACCGTGAGCAGCGACAGAAGTGGCAGAGGCCAGAGCCAAAAGGGAGTTGGTAAGCATGGAAGGCATCTTGTAAAGAATGTGTATTTGTTGTTTGGTGGAACGAGTTTGAAGGTGGATAACGAGTGTAATGGTTCCAGACCAATCGATTGAAAAAAGAAGGTAATTTTCTGTAGAGAAAGAATTTCAGGCTGGCTGCGATGATGAGGAAACCTGAGAGAGGTAGACAGAGAAGTATATATACGCCATCTCCTGTGGCTCGCAAGAATGGTGCTCAGACATGATGAGGCTCGACTGATCCACCAGCATCCACTGTTGGCGCATGTACATCATGAAGTTTCAAGCAAACAGAAGACAGGACGAACGTCAAATGAGCGCCCAGCTCTTTTTGGGTTATCCCGCCAGTGACAATCCGGGTTTTCGGGCGGCCCTTGTTTCAACATCGATGTCGACGTGAGAAACAAATTGAATAACTGGGGTCTTTGGCGCAAGGAGCTTAGATGAGGCGCAAGGAGATGCGGCGTTCCTGCATTTTGATCTTGGCAGTGCTCAAATAAAGTGTGCTCGGGGCGCCTTGCTGGGATGGGTAAGTGGGGCCGAAGATGAGATGGGATGAATTGTTTCAAAACAAACGACCAACGACCAGCAAGGGGAAGAAGGAGAAGCATAACTAGATGCTTAAATCTGTACTGATCAGAAGAAGTGCGATGGAAGTATAAATTCAGCCTCAATAATTGCTTCAGAAAACAAGAAGAACAGACGAGTCAACAAATGATAGCATTCTCATCCTCAAGCAGACGCCTCTCTTGCAAGCGCTTCCCGTCGTCCCGTACTTTGTGGATCTAGATATGGCCGCTCACCGAGACTAACAGCTCGCTGTCCGGTCCTCTCACCAAGATTAAGATCTATATAGTCTGGAGTTGCAGCATGATAGACGCTCCTGTTGTCCCAGATTGCTAGGTCATTAGGATTCTGCCATCTGTGGCGCACCTGCAAATCGTGGTTGTCAACAATCAGTCGAACGAACCAGTCAAGCAAGGCTTTGCTCTCCTCAGGAGCTACATCGTTTATGTGTTGGACGTGGTGTCCGACTGCGAAAATGGACTTCCATCCAGTCACGGGATTTGTTCGAATGACTGGGTGGATGGCTTCCAGCTTCTCGCCCACGTTTTCGGGAGCACCACGTGGTTCTACAATTAATCAGTCTCTAGGACAAGCCATTGAAGTTTGGCTGCGCTTACCTGAGTAGATCTTGAAGCCATTCTTGTCAGCCGCCTCGTTAAATCTGGGCTGAGCGTATGTTGCTGTAAGCGACTCAAGGAATTTCTGGTATGGAGCCGACAGGCGGTCGTAGACTTCATATCCAGATGCCCATAGTGTGTCTAGTGCTGCGGGTCAGACCTATCATATTGTGGAATGGGAAACCTCGACTTACCACCGCCAGTCTTTGGCAGTTGAGTCAACCGCAACAAAGCGTAGTCACTGGGGATTGGCTCAAAGGTGATATCTGAATGCCACTGTTCCTTGCTACTCTGCTTCTTCTCTGATTGGAAGAGTATTCTATCTTTGTAGATCTTCTTGGCTTGCTCAGAAGAGATCACGCTGATCTCATCATCCTTTCCTCCCAGCTCACGACCGGAGTTCGAAACTGGATGGATGTGAAGCTTCGAGGTAGCTGGCTTGCCGGAGAGTTCTCCAAGACGCTGGACAAGCTCCTTTTGAAGCTCATTTGTGATATCATCCTGCTTGCGGAAGAACACAACTCCACGTCGAGAAACTGATACACTTTGTGAGCACAAGAACCCGTGTAGGAGGGCAGTATACTTACTGGTGATAGCTAGATCCCTGATCAGTTCATCTGAGTTTGGTGCCCGGAGCCAATTTGCAAGATTCACGTTGACAAATTCCCGGCCTATAGTTGGTGTCACGTCGAAGCTCTCGAAATGATCAAGAGCTCCTGAGAGCTTGAGTGGCTCCTTGTGCTGAGCTTCTTGAGAAGGGGCTTGAACGGCGGGAGCTGGACCGTCCTCTTTTTGATTCTCCGCAGGTTTATTGCCATTTCCCAGGGAAACATTTGCGAGCTTCTTCTGAATCGCATCCGAGGTTTGAGAAACAGTTTCGGTGATTGAGGGAGCCATTTCGCGAAAGCCTTGGAATGTTCAGGTTCTGAATGTATTTGGTGTTCCACCAAGAGATACGTGTGGATCTGTTTGAAAAGTAATGGGGGCTGGGATTGAAGAATCTTTCGATGGTCATTACCCCGCCATATGTAAGGTCCAAAAGATGACCCCTCCTGTTGTGCTCCCCAAGGAAGAGAATTGCATCAGACTTCCATTACTGACACCATACTTCTAGACCTGTTACTATTGACGGAAGTAATCAATTAACACCGGCCGCCAAAGATCAGTTGAAGGACAAAGTCGCACCATGGCTGGTGGTGTTGACCTCCTGTCGAATGAAATGAACTGAACATGGGATGACGAAGAAAGACGCGGGATTATGAGAAGAGGCTTGGAGGTGCGGGGTGTGGGTTAATGATATGAGAGATACCATGAACATGTTCGACAATCATGCATAAATGATACAAATCGCCCTGTCTCTTGCGTGCGAGCGATCACAGCCATTTTGGACAGGAACCACTGGGCTCCAAGGTCTTCCAATGATATCTTTTGAAGTCTTATCAGGACCCTAGTAATTATGCGAACTGATTACGACGAAGCGAGAAATGGTCGACGACGATCGTTGTCGTGTTGTTGAATACCTTGGGGAGGTTGAGCAAGAAGGAGGAGAAGTTGCGTCAACATGGGGGAAATGGCGCGGTCGTGGAGCAGCACACGTGACCAGTCCGCGAACCCCCATTTCCTTGTGAAACAATTGCAAGCGACGACCAACCTGCTCAGCTCCATCGATATCCATCAACAACGAGGGAGAAACGAAGCCCAGACAAGCATCCGAAGCAATATTGGCAGAGTTCTTGATGTTTCTCGATCACAAGGAAGATGCGGTCGACCAAGGCTGGTGCGAAGTCAATGCTTGGACCACAACCACTTCGATATATTGAATGATGGCAAAAAGCTCTGGACCACGACGAACGCCATGACTGGGTACCAGACACCCTTCTTATCTTGCCGAATGCCTTCTTTCCTTTTTGTCCCCCATCATTGGTAGGCTGGCTTGACGTGAAGGAGGAGGCAGGCGTTAGGTTTGGGGGTCCATGGCCACTTAGCCTCCTTGTATCCTGTCCCGGCCACATTTTCTACCCAAGTGGTGAGGGTCCAGATCCGTCAGCAGCCTGGTTCCTGCTGCTACTTCGACCAATCAAGTCGATTTAGTTTGCATTGTACTTTGAACAGACCTCTTGTCCATGAAAGACCAGACGGCGATCAGTATTCTCGAGCTAATGACGCGAAGCTCGCTTCACAAGTCGCGATTTCTTGGCTGGAAAACACTGTTATCTTGTTATCTCTACGATTCGTCCAGAAGCTGGAAAGTTTGTCCTAGAGAAGGCATGGCTTTACTGTACTGTTGGTCTGGGATAGATGGAGCAAGTCTGGACCCAGAAAACGTCCCAGTGGCGCCTTTGGGACCATCCAGAGACTCGGGACGCTCATCCAGTGGCACAAGGAATGGTACAGTCGCATGGTGATGAAATATCTGCCGCTGATCACGACCATATGGAGGCTTACTTTCCACCCCTCATGAGTCCTGGTCCGGTTTCCCACACCATGGGAGCGGGTCTGACAGTCCTGGACATGCGAATGGGCTGTATATAAGTATATACTCAAGCTCACCCAAGATTATCCAAGCAGTTACCAAGAAGAAATCATTTCCTTCACAACCCAGTTGCCTCTTGGAAAGAATAGCAAGCCATGTCCACCGCTCTTGCAAAAGAGATTGACCTCCGGGCTCCCGCTGGCGGGGTCATCTCTTCTGACACCTCGTCCTCACAAGCATCTTCTGACGACCTAGGAAATGTCAGACCAAGCGAGAAAACTGCAGGTGTCAGAAGCAACGAGGTCTCAACCGCACTTCCTCTTGGAGTCCCAGCCCAGGAGAAACGGTTCTGGTTTCAACGCAACAAGACAAACTACGACCCAAATGCTATTGCTACACAGCCGTCAGTTTTCGATGATCCAGATACCGCAAAAGAGTATCAGCCTCCGGCAAGTTGGGAAAACATCCATCGATTTGACCCCTCCGCACGATGGACTTGGGGCGAAGAATACAGCCTGGTGCGAAAAATTGACTGGAAAATCATGGTATGCCTAGCAAGCGCATAGCAAACTTATTTTACTGATACCCGAATAAGATCTGGGCTTGCGTTATGTTCATGGCACTTGAACTAGATCGTGCCAATATCCAACAAGCCGTTACCGATAACTTCTTGAAGGAGCTACATTTAGACACCAATGGTATGTGAAAAAGTGAAAGCCTTACACGGGAACTGGGCAGAACTATGACTGATTCTATGTCACAGACTTCAATCTTGGAAACACAGTCTTCAAATTGTCTTTCCTCTGTGCCGAACTCCCATCGCAGCTAGTATCGAAGTGGATCGGTCCCGATCGCTGGATCCCAGCTCAAATGGTTCTCTGGTCAATCGTTGCGTCGTGCCAATTCTGGTTGAGTGGAAGACGAAGCTTTTTGGTTTGCCGCTCCTTGTTGGGTATCCTCCAGGGTGGATTCATCCCAGATGTAGGTCATCAAACATAATGGATGGACAGGTCTAACACTTGACAGATCATTCTGTATCTTTCATATTTCTACAAGCATCATGAGCTTTCTCTCAGACTCGGGTTCTTCTGGACGGCTATGTCCATTGCAGATGTGATTGCTGCATTCTTGGCATTCGGCTTACTTCACCTTCGTGGTCTCCATGGCTACTCCGGCTGGAGATGGCTATTTCTCATTGAAGTATGCTTGCTCTGCATACTTCAAACTATGTTCAGCCGCTAATAGTGATAGGGACTTATCACACTCGTCCTCGGTCTCATCGCGTTTATCCTCATGCCGCCCAGCCCAACGCAGACAGCAAGCAAGCTGCGCGGGAAGAAGGGTTGGTTTACTGAAAGGTATGCGACATTCCATTCAATGCAGTAGACAGTTCTCTAATCAAGCTTGCAGGGAAGAAATCATCATCATTAACCGCGTCATCCGAGAAGATCCAACAAAGAGCGGGATGCACAACAGAGAACCCATCACGCCAAAGCTATTGTGGAAGAGCATAAAAGATTACGACCTCTGGCCCCTCTACATCCTCGGCCTCATGTTCCAAATTCCCGAAACCACTCCCACCCAATACTTGACACAAACCCTGAAAGGCCTCGGCTTCGACACCTTCAAGACCAATCTCCTCGTCATCCCATCGACAGTTGCGCACATGATCACCATGATGGCACTCACCTACATCGCCGAGATCTGGGGCGAGCTGACCTTCACATCTATGATTGGACAGATCTGGGCCTTCCCTTTCCTAGTCTACATCTACATGGTGGACATCACCAAAATCCACAAATGGACAGCCTTCGGCATCATGACCTTACTCCTCAGCTACCCCAGCGCGCACCCCATTCAAGTCGCCTGGAACTCTCGCAACTCAAACGCAGTCCGCTCTCGAACAGTCTCAGCCGCTTTGTACAACATGTTTGTGCAAGCATCCGGAATCATCGCTTCCAATGTCTACAGAAAAGATGATGCGCCGCGATATAAGAGGGGTAATCGTGTTTTGCTGTCTATATGTATTGTTAATATGGGTTTGTATACTTTCACGAAATTCTACTATTTGAAGCGCAATGCGTATCGGGAGAAGAAGTGGGGAGCTATGACTGAGGATGAGAGAATTCATTATTTGGCTACGACGACGGATGAAGGTAACAAGAGACTGGATTTCAGGTTTGCTCACTAGAATTACGACTTTATGACGGAGAGGCTGGGTAGAGGCTGGGTAGGCGGAACGCATGTTGGCCTGAATTAAAAATAGTTGGGTCATGTTGTCAAATGGTGTAGAGCTTAGAGTGAATAAGTTCATGCTTGTTAGGGACGGAATAAACCACTTCGCAGATTCTTTGTTCCTAAATCAGTCTATTATCCCTTGAATGTTCTCACAAATGGAGCTATATGTCCACGATCTATCTCGAATGTGCCAAGTGCTTGTTCCAACCTCGCCTCTACATCTCAGCCTATCTCAAACCCTTTCTGAAATGGATGAGAAAATAATATCCTCTTCAAACATATCCTAGGTCACACCGAAAGACCAGTCGCAGTCGTTCTCGCCTCCTTAGAATCAGCATCCGAAGACGACCTCCCACCTTTCTCATCCTGCGATCCCGAACCATTTACACCAACACCTCTATTCCGCAGCCTCCCAACCGCATCGTGTTTCTCATCCCACGCCGGAATATCCTGTAGCGGAACCTTCGAAACCCGATGACTCTCGGCTCTACCGCCCAACTCAACAAGTTCCTGTCGGAGTTCATAACCCCTCCATTTTGGAATGAGTTTGGCCCAGAGGAAGTAGTAGATGCCGCATAGCGCCAAACTATACAAAAAGAGAAGATCAGCATGAGTCAATGGGAATGCTGTAAATGCGTGAGGGGGGTCTTACAAGCCAACTCCAGTGACACAATACGTCCCATACCAGAAACTGACATCTGCCTTTCCTTTTGGAGGAGGATACCAAGGCATAACCAAAAGGTACAGCTGTACGCAAATATTGAATATCACAAGTGCATCCCAAGCCTTGAACTCCGGCTTTGGCAGATTCGCTCTCTTGCGACGCCATCGCACAACATAGAGACCAAATGCCATAGCGAAATTGAACGCAGCAGATGGAACGACAGACAGATCAGCAACTGTTCACCAAACCATTAGCACGACATTCATTCTCAGGTAGTAGATTTTCAAGGACAGCACAAACCAAAATTAAACGCATCCCCCGTCGGAATCGCCAAAATCATCAACGCCGTGATCGCCCACATAAACAAATACGGCCCCAACGGCGTCCCAAACGGCCTCGTCCCCGCCCAAAACCCCGTAAACGGCAGAACACCCTGTCGTCCACACTCTCTAATCATTCTGGATCTGCCAAGTGCGACGGAAACCATATTTCCAAACGAGCTGAGTGCGATGAGGAAGTTGAGGCCGCGGACTTTGCTGCTTGAGCCGAGGACGTTGGTGAACCAGAGACTGGCAGTGGTGAGCTTCGAGTGCGAGAGGTCGTACTTGGAAACGGCGGCGAACCAGGATACGTTAGTGAGCATGTAGAGAATGTAGACCGTCAAGAGAGCGAGGGAGGCGTTTTTCTTGAGGGATTTGACGGGGTTCTGGGAGAAGGGTAGGATCAGCAAACGTCACGATGTTGGGGTTGGAGTTTTAAACTGAGGTGGGGATTGACTGACCTTGATCTCGTTCGCAACATTGAATGCATTGTTGTACCCTCCATACGAAAATATGATTCGATACAGTGCATTCGTCAAGCCATAAGCTGAAGCATCTTGCGTTCCTCCGAAAGAGTTCCTGAAGTTTGCTTTTGGATCCTTGACTCTTGTCCCACCGCCGAGCACAACGAAGCCTGCAATGATAATAAAGAGCAGAGTGAAGACCTTGACGACACCAATAGCGTTGGATAGATGGTATGATACTTTGGTGTGGAAGATCACGACTGTTCTTGGTCAGCTTAAGGGCAGCCTGAGATGGGTGGGAGGGATCTAAGTAAGCGAATGCTTACCCAATATTACGATAGTGTATCCTGCAAGTGCAACACCCTTAACTTGCCAATCCGTGCCCGTTTTCCCAGCACACTTGAACATGTAATTCGACAGGACTACAAAACGAAGTCAGTCTCTGTCAACTACTGGAGTGAAGGAAAGCTACCAATTGCATTACTGCTGCTAAACGAGAATATTACGTTCTGAGCAGCGAAGACCGTCGGGAAGAACCACGCAGGCCGAGGATATGCTTGTTCGAGAAACACAACTTCTGATCCTGATCTGCTGGGAAAGTAGGCTGTGAATTCAAGGTACACAGAACCCATAGCAATACATAGAATGAAACCCCTGTGAACAGCCATTAGCACAAATAAACTCACGGGGGGGGGGGGGGGGGGGGGGGGGGTGGGGGGGGAGGCTAGAGCCTACAAAGTCCAATAAATGAAACTCAATCCAACCGAGCCAGTACCCGTAAGAATCGCAGATGCTAGAAAGTATCAGCACTCATTCTTTCAAGCCAAGCCGAAGATTCTGCGGATCAAACATACGAGTCGAAAATATCCCCGTCCCAATCATCATATTGATGTTCAAGAACAAAATCGTAAACGAATTGACCGAATATCCCATTGGCGACTTGCTCTCCACTGGGGCTCCAGACGCTTCCTGGAATGTTGCACCAGCATTATTACCCCCTTTATTTCCAACATAAGTGAGACTGCCATCTGATATCTCGGAGGCAGTGTCATGTCCGAAATCGTCTGAGGAATCGGAGCCGTCATGACGGCTGAAGAGATTTCGCCAGAACGACATGGTCTTGTGGCTTGACGGCTGTGAAGCTTGAATGAATAGCGTTGCTTGTCTTGAGGCTCAGAAAACCAAGAAAGACTGTTTCTTAAGTACTTTTAAACATGATTTCTCTTCCCACACCCCACTGTTGTCATTCTCCAGAAGCATTGGTATAGCACGTCTGCGGAGGGATCTATGAGATCACCCAAATGGTTCCACCGTTACCCGGACGGCAGAGGACATCCGGACGACTCGCAAAACGGTTGATGGTCGGGTTGTCATGCATAAGTTCACGTTTATCAACATGTTACGTACTGTGGGGTAATTCCTTGATTCTATTATAAATGTAACTTCTGAATGTTTTATTGCTTTCGAAAAACAGGAAAGGAGGATATGCATTCAGATCCAATCAATCCCCCCACGAACTTCTCCTTCTGATCTCCCCAATGTCAAAAAGATGCTATACTTGGCCTTCAATGGAACAGGCATAACTAAATCACCGTCTTGAATCTTGTCGGAGTTATAAAGTGCACATAATATCATACCATTCGGCTCGGCCCGGGCTGGCAGCATTGGCAGGGACGTGCATGATTGCAAATGGCGACGAAATGGCGCAATAAGACGACCCTATGCAAGTCGCCACCTCGCCATTTCTACCAGCAAAACAGGCTCGATCATGTTTAAGAGCCATGTTTGAGTTAAGGAACCCCCGCCTTTGTAATGCCCAGCTGACTCTTGGTATAGGCTTCGGCACGACCCAATTTGTGTTTTTACATCCACGTGATGTGCCGATCTGTGAACAAGCGAAAGTCAACAAAAGCTCTGAACACGCGCCAGGTCTGTCAAGAGAAGCCCAATGTTTGACGGCGTGATGTCGGATATCTCGGAATAATGGCTTTAGATCCATACCATTTGCTCAAGCACTTATCACTGAGATGAATACTCCCTCTTGTGCTCGAGACAAGTTTCGATGTCAGAGATCATTGAGTGGAGGTGGTTGAACTTGAATAGAGCAAAATTTCGAGTTATCAGTTGCGTCAATTGCACCGCTTTAATTCATTCGCTGTGATGGCTATGTAGATACAGAGCCGTGGCAGAATCGCGTGCCACTCATAATCGCATACTGTGATCATTTTCGCTTGGCTCCTTTGCGCCAACTCCCCAAGCAATACCTTCATCTTCCTCTTCATCCATTGTGAGCATGACAACGCCCGAAGGCCTCTTCAAATCTCTAAATGGAGTATGTGCTGTTGATTGAGCCTCCTTTTCCAAGGAATCGACTCTGATTCCATGGCCAATCTCGATACTTTCCTTGAAGAGGTGCGGCAGCGATTCGTCGATGACCTCCCATACATCAACCACCGATTCTTTCCCATTATCCTGGTGACTTATGTTCTCTACTTGTGGATATCCTCCGGAATCGCTGTGGAAGTATCCTAGAAGCGCATCAAAATCCTTCACAATAGTGCCAGCCTCCTCGACCTCAGCTATAGCACTCGTGACAGCATCGATTTCCCCACCAGCCTGGCGGGTCATAAGATCATCTTCTGCCAAAGCCATTTCGTAGTTGGCTTTTCTATTGAACTCTGTCGCTTGATACCATCCTGTCCATCCAATGAGCTTCCTCGTCCGTGATAACTTCTTCACATAGGAGTTCAACATGTCCTTTCCAATCACAAGCATCTTGGAGGAAGGGGCGTCCGCTTCAATAACTTCAGTGTCTTCAAGCAGTAACTCTGCCATTTCCAGTGGCCTAATAGGGCTATTCGTGCTTTTGTTTTTGACAATTCGTGCCAAGATGATTAGATTGTTGGAGATTGGAAAGGCGGCATATGATGCGTTCCTTTGAATACTAACCAATACACGCGAAAACTTGGATGTATACTGCATAGCGGACATCATACGGTGCCTAGCCTGATCTGGGTGTAGAGTCTCGTCTGGCGCCGTGATCGCAGCGGTGTAGTCTCTTGGATCACCAAACTTGAGGATATCCAGCAGTTCGTTCTCCAATTCGTGGAACTGAGCTATCAAGCCACAGAGAACTTCCATTTTATGAGACTCCTGGAACAACTCTGCGGCATTTTGCAATGCTAACCTGACAAGGTCCCGTATCATTTCCTGCGAATGTACAGTACGGTTAAGGCTTCGAGCACCAACAGGCAATCCTGAGCTTCCAATTTCACTCTCCAGTGTAAACTCGGGTACCAAAGGGTTGAGTTTGGGCGAAGGTGGAGCAAAGCTGGGGCGAGCTTGTGCTTGTGGGACGAATGGCTTTGCACTGCCTTGAAGAGGAGTTGGCGCAGGCTTCATTACATTGGAATTATGTTCCATATTCTGTGAGACCGTGTTGGGAGACATTGGGGGCCACGGGGTAATCTTTGGTAGATCCTTGAGCTGCGGTAGATGTTCGAAAAGAGTGTGGCGCACTGGCGAGGGGTTGCTGACTGACGCCGAAACTTTTCTGGTCTTAAGGGTGGGAGCTTTTAAGACTTCGCAACTGTCCGCGAAGAAGTGTGTATTTGGACTAATGGAATATATGGTAAAACTGCGTGGGAGTGATTGTGTGTTGTCGCTTCCGCCGATGACGATCGGAACTGGTGGTTGATTTGCGAGGTAATGATGATTGACGTTCAGAAAAGAGATCTTGATAGTTAAATATTTGATGATTGTTAGAAAAACCAAATGCATGTCAGGCGGCGAGCTTTGAGGACTGAAGGAAAACAGATGTCGAGGAAGTCACGTCAGGAGTTATGATCAAGCTGTGTTGTTGACGAGGAAAGCACGAAGCTCCAACCACACCACAAAATGAATGCACTCTCCGCTAGGGAAGAAAGCCATTGAACGATCGAATACACGATCCAAGTATTAGACTTTTGACAGGATGATAAATATTTCTCTAGATGTGTGGCAGAGAATTTCCACAATCAAATCCCATAGGACGCAAACTTTTACACTTCGAGTTTGATTGGCGGAGCTACCAAGCATTGTATTGAAACTCAATCCATCATCATGTCAGGATCCCGAATATCTCCATACCCAAGATATTCGACGATATTCCTTTCCTCGGTTCCTTGTACTTCATCCAAATACAGAGTTATTATCGGGACATGCACTGCAATACATAATCTTCGTGCTTTGGTATATAGCTCTGGTGAGGGAATCCGTATCGCATCGTCCGATCCTTTACTACCGCTAAAGTTAAACTTACAACGAGCCTTTCGTTATCCATTGAAGATAGGAGATATTATATATCTTTAATCGCTTAACAGCTAAGTGCTAATATGCCTCTGAATCCTTTTCACTTACTAGTGGTTAGTTGCAAAGGGTTTTTTAAGCTCTGTAAAATGTTAGGTTGAGCTAAAAATTTCTACGTCTTGTAGTATGTATTTGTATATACTTTTGAAAATCTACTGCTGTAGTGCTAGAAAGTATGTCTATTGTTTTAACAGATTAGGGCTTGTATAAGTCTGCTAATGGAGCCCCATGTCCTGGAGCTTTTGTCTGTCTAGATACAAGGCAGCTTTAAGAGGAGTGTGTAGCAGGCACGTATGTATTCTTTAAATATCGTAGGTCGCGAGACTCAGCTTCTTGTTGACCTCGCTGTTCGTCCCCCGCGGATCTTTGTTCCTGTTCTGCTCGCTCTCCGGCCCCTCCCCCACCCCGCCCCCCCCCAAAAGCGGTGGTTCGGTAACGTCTTTTAACGTCTTGGCGGGCAAAACCCTCACTAGAAATCAAGTTCAGAGAACTAACTACCACGTCTCTATCATTTACTATGATACCGGGTAAAACATGCTGTTTTGCGAAATGTGACCTTAAAAATTTACAGTCAAATATTAAAGCTCTCCTATTTCTGGATTCTTGAATAATCAAAGGGAGATCAGTAACAAGAAGCTCTCTAATAAAGGTTCTTTCATCTAACATGATAACCCCCTAACCCCACCCCCCCCCCCCCTGCTCTGCACATCTTACATCTTACACAATTCCCTTTTAGTTCAAGGCGCTCTAATATATACCTAAACTCCTAGAAAGCTCCCCAAGGTCTTTCAGAGTGAATATCAAAGCTGATTTACGTCTCCAGTTTTGCGCAAATCTGAGCCATCAACCTCCCGCAGTTCGTAAACCCAGGCACGAATTGCCGCTCCGGTTGACATGCAAACACTTCGCGTGCATTACCTGCCAACTGCACCAGTGTTTTTGCAAATCGATGCTCATCGAAATTCTCTTTATTTTCGCTCTTCTAACAAACTTCGCCCTTTAATTCGCCTTGGCTTTGCCCACAATTTGTCATTGAGATTTTGCGATACGTTAGCACAATAATCACAAAATTCAAAGCTAAGAAAAATACCCAATAAGATAAAACATGCAACACAATTATATTTACGCTTCGAACTTAGGGTAATACTTGCAAGTCTTCCTGAGATTATGTGATTATAAATATGACCAGTACAGTTCAATAATGCGACTCGTTCAGGGAATGTGAAGGAGAAGCTATCCAGACTTTTGGTCAAGTTTTGGAAAGAGCGACGTATATAGTAAGTAACGTCATTGAGTTTAAGGGCAAAGAGTACGTGATTAATATTAAGAAGTCAATTGGAGGTAGGATCAATAGATCAGTCCTGGTTCCAGCAACAAAAAAGGTCTCAACATTGTGTCAATTATGAAGCATTTAATTATTCCTGCAGCAGAGCACTTAAGGTTCCCAGAAACTACACTCTCTCTGTTTTCACTCTCTATCGTTTCCACCATTCTCCATAAAACCTGACGGCCCCTTCTTCTTCATTTTTCATCTATTATCGTCCCTGGGACTTTCATGTTGGCTCATCTTCACCTGACGTTATAATAGTTCACCCACAAAGTCTAGGCTAAATGTTCAACCAAGCTCCTGATTAGTCCATCTTTGACAGCCTGTTCACACTCCTCTCTATGGTTTTCGAGCGTGTTTTGGTCGAGGACAGGAGTGCTTTCAACCTGCCCTGTGAGCGATTCGATCTCGCTATGAAGCTCTTCAACGGTCCTGAATTTTCCTTCCCAGCAACAGCTGATCACGGTATCCCACTGGTGAGTGTCTAATTGAGGGAATTCTCGATTCTGAAGCAACTTCCCCATATGAATCCTATGACCCTTGCCGAACCACTCATTTTCGTAAGGTTGGTATCCTCGTGTCAAACAAAACAAGATTGAGCCTATTGCGAACAGCTCGGTAACAGGGCCAGCTAAGCCATACGATCCGTCAACTAATTTCCTTGCAAATGGTTCAGTGCCAATATCCAACGGTGAATCAACATGGACAGAGTGGTCGAAATCAATGACTTTAGCATGATCGCCATCGATGACAATATTCTCCGGGCGTAGGTCACAGTGTGCTAAGCCAATCTGTTCCAGCCAGGCACAAGCTCCAGATATCTCTGTTCTCCAGTGAATAGGGTAGTCGGATGAGGCGGAAAGAACACGACGGGTTTTTGGATCTCGTGTCTGGTTTTGCTGAAGAATGAATTGGAGGTTTGTGCCCGCGGATTCTAGAAAAGTCACACCCGGAGCCCGGTAAAAGCTGGTGACCAGATTCGGGAATCGTCCATAGCGTTCGATAATGTCGAAGGCGGCCTGTTCTAATGCATGGGCCTCTTCGTCCCCTTTCTCGCGGGGTACTTTCACCAGGATGAAGGGATTCAACCGATAGATTTTGCTAGAACCTCCAATGAATTCCAGCCTGGCCATATTGTGAACTTTTTGAAATCAGAGAGATTTGTAACAATGTAGATGAGGAGAAAGAGGCAGAAGCCAAGAATTTGTGAGGTGCAAAGGTGAAAAGTAGTCGAGATACGCTTGATTGTATTGAATAACGACAGTGTTAAGTAGAAGGCAGTCCCGCAAATAATCGCCAAAGACATGGGTGCGCTAAGAGGTGTTGAACCACCAGCCCCCAAAGAAGCAAATCCCAGGCCCACTTGTGCCCCCACCCCAGCAATTTATGCCTTAACCCATTTTCCATCATCCTCCTGCACCCAGGTTCCATTCGCTTGACAATCATCACAAGGAACCTTTTTCTTTGTCGATCCCATGTACACGGGCTCTTCGCCATTGTCTATCCCGCAACCCCCGCAATCATCGACCGGCATAAGCTGAGCCGGCTGTTCAACCTCATCATCACAAAGATAAATTTCTGTTGGGATGCTTTGTCTACACATGTTGCTAGACAGTTGTTTAGCTCAAGGGATATCATAATTAGACAGGCTACTTACGAGGTCTGCGGATCTGGTCGTGCAGTGTGTGATCAACAGTGAGTCCGGTGGGATGCTGACGTTTGTGGTATCGATAGGTAAAGTTGACTGATTGAAGATGGATGGTAAAGATAAAACGATGCTTTGGAAGAAGGAGGAGGATTGAGCTGCTTATAAGTTCGAGAAGGTAGCAGTATCTCCTAGGTTGTTCTTCTTAGTGTATTGTAGAGGCGGGTACTATTTCCGCCATGTCTGCAGTACATACTTCACAAGATACACATCGTGCTATCATCACTGGTGATCACCGTAATGGCCTAATACAAAGGAATGGGAATATCTACCGAGTGCCACCAACTTGTGTGTGCCGGCATGTTGATCCTTGCACAGCTGAGTTGCTTTGTGGCTATTTCGATGGTCTCTGGGGACTGGAAGAGTTGGTGATTAGGAAGCCCTAATCGTAACGATCTATTTTCTCGCCTGTGGTATAAAAAGCGACGACGATGTGCAGGAAAGGCGGAAATGATGTATCGCTGTCAATGAGGTAGTGGTCAGCATCAAGCCAGCCTGCACAGCGCCAACCAGCAATTGAAGTATGCAGGAACGACAGAAGTCCGCAGGCACGATGGAAGTTTGCAGAGTCGATGGCAGCCTTCACAACGCATTCTGCCACTAATGTATCGTTGTTCTCCAGAATTCACACGCCAACTGATTTTTTCTTACGGAGCCCGTACCTGTATATCGGTGCGACTTTTAAGTAGCCGATTTTGGCAAGACTCCTGAACCACGAGAAACTGGTGTTTCTAGCCACGATAATCTAATAAAAGATATGAAAAAAGAATGCGAGGTTATTAATAGTCGGTCCCCTGTATGAGGCTGCGGGCACTTTGTCAGCGGCTAAGCGGAGACTGAAAGGGAACAGACTATTAGCTAGTCAATTATAAAGCCTTCACAAAGACTGATAATATTTGGAATCGTAATAGGTTGTATGATTGTTGCTTTAAAGTGTTAACTCGGGTAGTCTGCCCGTGCCTCAGTAATCAGCCACTTAAAAGTCGCATCAATAGCCTGTCTGTCACGCGATGCTTTAGTGGAGATCCGATGCCCTGGCCTCCTACCTGATGGAAGCATTGGTCAAGCTGTATCTCTTCACCAGCCATCTCCCCTACCAACCTGCAGTAACTTCCCACCATTCTTGCGAACTTCTGCCAGCCTTTTAAGCCTTCCCCATTCTTGTGCACTTCTACTATCCTGCGAATTTCCGCCATTCTTGCAAATCTCTATCATCTGCGAACTTCCCTCACTCTTACGAACACCCACCACAATAGCAATTCTTTAATGGCGCTTATCCACGTCGCAGCATTTGATTTATGTCAGCTGTGATTCGGTTGGAGTCGCTATCGGATACAAAAAAAAAGGTTTGCTTTGGCGAGTCTATGAAACGATATCTGAAGGTTCTGCGAGAAGCCCTATGCGATGCAGAGAAACCTCAAAGTCAGCCATATTTCTTCCCTCCTATCCAGAGTCTCGATAACGAAATTAGTTTACAGCAACTTAGAGTTCACTTTTATAGCACTCTAGAATCAACTAAGCAGAATTGGCTTCCAAAGGGAAACATCGAGAACGTTATCCGAACCTGCGTCCACGGACAATGTGACAAATCCGACTATCACAATCGACTTTTATCGCTATGGAGATATCTATGCAGTCATTGCACTCTACTTAGCTACGAAGGGTGACAATAACTGGGTATTTGCACGGATAGAGGCGTTGCCACAAGAATGGCGAAAAACCCTAATAGAGGAAGTCATGAAGATTAGGATTAACGACCATATCCCAATATGGATCCGTAATTGTATTAAATCTCCAAGTATCATCTCTTCTTTTTCCACTGTAGTTTTTAATTGACTAAATTAGTTCGTGATAATGAAGAAACACCATATCTGAATCGCCATGCTCCGGCTAAGGAAAAGCCAGGAGCACGTCCCAAGAGACAACGATTTAGAAAAACATGGTGCTATAGCGCCTCTCAGTCGTCTCCACCACCTACCCCCCACAATAGCCTGACGCTACTTCTTCCCGTAGCGAAAGCTCCGTCACTCTTGGAATCGACGCAGTCTCACCGAAATGTGCCACCATATCAGACCGCACCTCACTTTTCGCAAGCAGTCTCTAGCGTCACCCATTCACATGATAATCAAAATCGTCCAGGTCTGAAAGCCTAACCCCTCATCATTGGATTATCTGATCCTCATTCTGTCTAGATGACGTTGAGATAGAACGCTAACATGGACGCGTTTTGATCAGCAATATGATGAATCCCATTCCACAGAAGCAACATATTATGACCCGTTATCAAATTACAGATGAACGGCCATCGAAGCGTCTCCCGTTGGCATCGGAGCAGGTTCCAGGTTTGTGAATTGGGACCTTGATAAGACGTCGCTTCTGTTGTTAACATTGCCAGGCAATCTTGAATTGCCAGGACAGGGCCCTTATTACTCTTTCTCATGCATGAGGCGCTGTATGGCTGAAAACCTCCCCGAGCCATATCGAACGGGGATGAAAACGAGTAATTTATGGTGCAAAGAAAAGGAGAGTGGAGGATTGGCGATCACAAATGCGCTAAAGATATACCTACCAGAAACTCCCAACGAGGATACTCTCTTTATGCTTATGCTTAGCTACTACCAAGGATTTAATATCTGTGATTTGTTCGGTTTAGGGGACCCAGAGATTCGGAATCTCAGATTCCGGAATCCGAGCAAGCGGCTGCAGAAGATGTTAGTGATTGAAAAGCATACACCGCTTCGGATTACCACTTGGCACCAAGCTAGCTCTAAATGTATGTGCAAAAATGACAAATGCTTTGCATTTTTAATTCTGACTTCCTTTCAAACTTGACCCATGCCCTAATCACGTAACACCGATAACCAGCAATGACCTCTCTTGACACTTGTCCATGTACTTCACTTAATTGTTCGACTACGTTCCCTTCACTGTCTATATATTACATGATTTCCCCTGGAATTCCAATGTCATATTCTCTGTTATATCAAATGTTTTCGCTGAGATCTTTTCCCATTCTCCATTGAGCGCCTTATCCCCGCTCTGAACAGACATGATTCTTTGGTGATCGGTAGGAGATAGATTCGAACGGCAACGCACGCAGCTCGATAAGGTGGATGTTTATCAAGCAGAAGTGTTCTACATCGACTTCGCAAATTGTTCGCGATCGCGGATAGTTTGCCAAAGGGTTGTTGGCCTACACAACATCAGTAGCTGCACAGACTGCTGGGGATATTCTGGAATCACATTTACAAGTATTTGCAAGGTTAGTTGCCGGCCCGATAGTGATACTATTGTGGTGCTTGATTGCAAGAGGTACGAGAATGAGGCCGCCAATGGACGCGCCAAAGGTAAAGTTGAGTCTTCGAATGTGAGGTATCCTCTGCGCCTTTGATAGCAGAGACAGATTGTGGTTTGCGGCCTCTGGAAGTTCAATGCCCATGTGATTTGCTCAGCAATCCAGTTCTGACCAACAGTGACCCAAGTTTTTGGTCGCAGAAACGTTCTTCCGAGCACCCTCAAACATTCTCATGGTGTCTCTATGATTTCACCACAAGCCTGGAATAAGGGGGGCGCCTAGCCCGTTGCCTGGACAATAATGAGTGGGCCAGCCAAATACGATCGCCTAATCTATACTTTTGCTTCGACAACAAGCTCACATCTACAAGATGTCGTCACGACTGGACTCGGATTTTGCGCGCCTAGGTCAATTGCCTCGGGAAGAGCGGCGCGATCGACAGGAAGGTAGCGCCGATTCAATCGAGAGAGGCTTGAAGGTGTTCTCTTCTCTTTACTCCGTGGGGTTTTTGATGAGGGCTGGGCGAATTGAATAAGCGAGATACAACCAAAAGTCACCAACTTTCAACTTTTATATCTTTGATTAAGATTCAAATTACTCCTCTTTACAAAATAGGTTGACCTATAATAGCTAGAAGGGAATATTCATTTTAAGTATAGCGATGCAAGGAAGTAACTGACTTGGATAATGTTAGCGCGATTCTCTCACTCAAGGCCTTGGTGAGAGCCTGAGGTGCCAGTCGTCATCAAAAACCCCACCGAGTAACATCCTCGCTTCGTCCAAAATAAAAAAGTCATGGAATGTTCCTTGAAACGACGCGGGTATTGATCTTCTCTTGTTCGTCATATGATTCATTTGCCTCTCCCAGTCTCAGCATGTCCGCCCCCCTTCGTCAACCAGTGTGCTGGATCTGCCGATCATACAGTAGAGATGTCTGTGGCGCTCCGAGGTCTGCGTCGCTGAAGCCAGCGCGGATTAGCTTTTCCCCTCTGGAGATCTGGACTGCTTACCCCTCATCTTCGATATTTCTCAGATGAACTCAATTCTCGTCTTGCAGTAGGCTGTGCACCACTGCAGGTTCCCCTTTGCTGTGCATCAATTAGATCGTCACTCGGAATTTGGTCAGTAAGCTTGGGGCTTGGTGGGCATTCCTGGATATCTTGACATTCTCAACTCCAGTACTCCAGTTTCATTCCAATTACGAGCCTCCCCAATTAAATCACTACACATTACCACGTCGCGCTGTCCGTGGGTGGCAACCCAAATTTATGTCCTTGTTTTCTTCCTTTTCCTCGCTTCCGGATATCGTGTTTTCCATCAATTCGCCCACGACCGCCCTGCCAAGATCTTGTTCCTGCATTGGGCCTGGATACCAAGCAATCTTTCATTCCGGGATCCATTCCCGCTCCGCTGGGATCGCCCGCAGTCGTTCGTGGTTGAAGTTGCGGTCGAGACTGCGTTGGCAGTGTGGTGGACGTTTTGGGCTCTCACTTCATAAGCCAATCAGCACACCCAGTCAGCAAGTAATTTCCACATCCGCACTTGGACGCTCACAACATCTTTGGCAATGTCCAATAGGCAATTGAGGTACGACTATGGTCTTTCGACACGTCCTCTTGCATGCAGCCTTATGAAACGCAAAAGCTCGGCATCAATCTCAGTCGTGATCAAATACTTTGTGGTTCCCGAGATCTCAAGTCAGGCAAAAGCGCTGCTTTCACAATGACTTCGCTAAAGGCTCTGCTACTGCTACTCGCATCCAACTTGCTTGCATTGCAAGTCGCAGCAACAGCACATGAACATCAACATCAACACCAACACATCCATGAGCAACGACATGCGGAGCCTATTGAAGAGCCTCTTGAGGAGCACAACTCTACACTAGAGTCTCGCTATGTCCTTTCCTACCCCTACAACCCACTCAGCCCGTTGAAGCGAGGTCTCCCATTCAACAACCCTTCTAAGTACATCCAAAGCTTCAAAGGAGCAGGCAGTAAGATCGCATGGGCATATAACTGGGACTCGTACATGGACCCGGGGTTCCCGACAAACATCGAATTCGTTCCAATGCTCTGGGGAGACGGCGCTGACCACACGACGAACGTAAGGATGACCCGTAGCTAAATATTTACCATCTCGCTAACTTTCCCAGTGGGTCAAAAACGTCAACGATGCCATCAACCGCGGATCTCGCCACATCGTTGCTTTCAACGAGCCAGATGGATGCGTTGGAGGAGGATCCTGCATGTCTCCCCAACAGGCCGTCAACGCCTACAAGAAGTACATCCAACCCTTCAAAGGCAGAGCATACCTAGGCGCACCAGCCGTCACGAACGGCCCCGCTGGTCTTCCATGGCTCAAGGAATTCCTCCGATTGTGCACCGGCTGTCAAGTCGACTTTCTTCCCGTACATTGGTATGATAGTGCGACCAATGATGCTTGGTTTAAGCTGTATATGTCCCAAGCATATGCCGCAACCGGAAATCTCAAGCTCAAGCTTTGGGTGACTGAGGTATGTTCTTGCCTTTCCGTGCTAGAACCCAAATTGACAGTAAGCAGTTCAATGGCGCTGGCACAGCTGCTCAGAAAACAGATTTTCTCCGCCGCATCATGCCATGGATGGACTCCCAAAGCTACATTGCGCGCTACTCGTGGTTTTGGTGCGATCCGAAATCCACGATGGGCCCTCTCGTCGACGGCAGTGGCAACCCGAGCGCGCTCGGCAATGTTTATACTTACTCCTGATCGCGGAGTCCTTACTTAAGAATGGGCTTGGGTATATATGGATGTTTCCGGCGCTCAAAAAAGTATGTACAGTGGCGCACTGGTGCTTATATACTGGGGGTTCTTGATGAAAGGGGTGTTCGGTGTTCTTTTCGCGGACGGCTGAGGACTTACCTACGATATCCCCTTTCATGTTCAGGTGTTCTTGCTTTATTTCTCCGGCCAGCAGGCACATTTACCATTTTATGTAGAGTCAATAGAAAGTCCTTGATTTATGGCTTCCAACCTGGCTAGAGTGCAAGTCGATGATGGAAACTAAATTCTCACTTCCCAGAAGAAGGTCAAGTAACATCACCTGACACAACCGAAAACCGTAAATACCAACATCACTATCCTAGCAAATCAACAGCGAATAGTGGTGTGATTACTGTAGCATGGAGGAAAACGCGGAACAGGCCGTGGATTCTGTGACGAAACCTTCCGCAGGTTTTGCAATTGCACAACATCTGGCTACCAGCTGACCCAAGGTGATTGGCCTTGGATATTACAGATGGTTCTTTTGAAATCTGCGAGCGAACGAAGAGATAAAGAGGCGACCCGAAAGAAAAGTGCCGAATCTCACTAGAAAGAGCAAGGTGATCATTTTTACACATCAGTTAGTCAGATTCAAGAAGCGATGAGGTTTCTCAGCGAACATTGTTGATTCACTCGCTTAGAATCCTTCGCGAAAGGGGTAACATGAAAGCTCAAGAAAAGGTTCACCTAAGAAATTCTGCGTGCACCTGGTACCCTACCCCTCCTAACTATGACCATAAGCCAGAGTGGTTGATATAAAATGCTGCTACCAACAGATTTGCTGAAATCCATCATCATCCACCACCCATAGCAGATCCTACCACTCCAAAACCATCGTCCCATCTATCCCTCCATCACTTCACCTCCTCACATCCCCACCCAACACCTCCTCCAAAGCCCTCACAACACCCCCAATATACATCAACAAACCCCTCAAACTCTCCCTGTCAACCCTCTGTGCCTCCCCAATAATCAGCTCCACAAACGGGATCTTCGAACACATACTCTCTTTCTCCTCCTCATCCCTTTTCCCATGCCCCTCAACTGCCTCCATCCCTTGCAGCGCTTCACCACCCCGCTCCATCCTCTCAGTCTGCCGGTCCTCCTCATCCCTCAGTATCTGCAACTCAACATTCTCGAGAGCAGTGCTGAGTGCTAGAAGCGATCTCCCTTGCTCTGTACCGTGTCGTTCGAAGGCGAGGAGGTTGATTACTGCTATGGCTTTCGCCATGGGACTGCTTGAGATGGATCTGGTTGGTTGTTGTGCTTGTACTTCGGTAGGAAATATGGATGGGACGTTAGAGCTGGATCGAGATTCTTGGCTGAGAGGATCGCGTGCAACGGCTTGATGTCGAGTTGAGTATTTGTGCTGGGGTGCTTCAGATGCTTGGGAATCCGCCATTTTGGTTGTCGCTGAGACGATTTGCTGCGATGTGATGTGGGAGATATGTTTCGAAGTACTGGATTTTATGTGGTGCCAGCTTTGGTGGCTCGATGGAGTTGGTCAAAGAAGAAGTTCAGGAGGGGAGGATTCCATAATTGTGAAAGTGCCGGTCATTTTTGTAGGGTTATTGAATAAAGAAGAAAAAAATCAGGTTGAAGGGTCGAAGGCAGGAGGGCTTTCTGAAATGATTGTATTTGTGAACAAAGTCATGAAAGTCTGAAAGGCTCAAAGAAGCGATAAAACAGTCTGCTTCGAAATCGATTTCTTTGATTTGATTCAGTGTTTTGTAAAATCTCCAGTCATTGTTAAAGGCGAAAGAGAGGCTTGAAGACTCTTGCCGCCAGCAGAAATCCTTGAGTCTGAAGCTGATGGTTGGAGCTGATCATCAAAGGAGTAGAACATCGAGCGTTAAAGTGAGAAAGGATATGTACTAATATTCAAAGGGCTTCCATTATTCACGAGAAGCATTGGTTGCTGCGAAAAGTTAGTTGACAGTCATAAGAACTGGTGACAAAAGGTGTAGATTAGAGAATAGCAGCACTATCTAACACACGTAGCTAGCTGGGATCCCCAAGCTCGCGAGAACTAATCATCCGAACTACAATAGCACCATGTGCTTCCAACCCCGTCACCAATTTTCCATAACATCTCTGCACACGCAACAACACTCATCTTTTCAGTTCAGTTGAGTTCACCAGTAAAGCAATCCACCACAAACATTCTCCGCACTTCCAATTTCAGTGTCTGTCGACATTGGTAGCATCGTACCTAGGTTGGGCCAAAATGCCAGCCATGCGAAGCATGACAGGTAGCAGGTAGCAGTAACCCACGGCAGTTGGTCAGCAGTCAGTCGTATGTATCGATCGACGAGATCCAGGTTGCTGGGCGATAGATAGGACAGGCGATTCCTGTCCGCTATGTATCTCGGGCAATCCGATTCGGTCATCAAAAGTCTATGTCGTGTAAAATACAGACATCTCGGAAGTCGATCAATCATAGCCTCCTCCAACTTGGCTAGCAAATGCAGTAGAGACACTCTTCTCATCATCGTCCAGTCGACGGCCACTCAACAACGAGCTGCCCCCAAAGATGCTGCCAGCGTCGCCTGTCTTGTAATCAGCCATGCGGCCACCAGACTCAACGTAGCGTTTCAATCGATCGGATTGACTTAAACTAGTCTGCTTTTGAGTGCTGTCCAAACCCAAGCCGCCCAGACTGACGCCACCTTGTCCAAGTCCCTTTCCGTCAAGAACGCTGCTGGTTGTATCGGTGAGCTCACTAGCCGCAATTGACTCGCCAGCAATACTGTCAGCAGCACGACCTCTACCCTTTTGACCATTTGGACGAGCACGAGGATCAAGACCGGGCCAGGTTTCAGGGGTGAATTGAGAGAACATTTGAGGATAAGCGGATCCGAGACCGACTCCACCCAGAGCAGAAGAGTGAACGGATGAGACATCGTCAGCGATGTAACCCATCATGGAGCCAGCATCGCTAAAATCGCGAGGAGCTTTTCCGTTGGTACCGGAGCGTCCGTTGAATGTGGCATGAGACATCTGGTAGCGTTGTGGACCACGGTAAGTAGCCTTCGGTCTGCTGAACTGGAGAAGGGAAGTTTGCAAGTTCGAGAGCGGACCTTCGACCAAGCAGTTGCGTTCCTTGAAGTGGAGCAAAAGGTAATGCCACAGTGGATGTTTGGAGAGAACCTTGGGATTGCCGAGAATGACAAGACCGTACTTGGCACGAGTGAGAGCGACGTTCAGACGACGGGGATCACTCAAGAAACCGATGCCCTGGTGATCGTTGGATCTGACGCAGGACAGGACGATAAAATCCTTTTCACGACCTTGGAAAGCATCGACAGAGGCGACTTCGATTTCCTTGTAATTCTCCTTTTTGAATGTACCAGTGTTCTGCATAGAGCTGACAACGTAGCTGCGTTGACCTTCGTAAGGGGTGATGACTCCAATATCGGCGGGCTGAACTCCAGCTTTGAAGAAGCGTGTAACAATCTTCTCGACGTTCGAGGCTTCAGTGCGATTGAGATACGAAGTTCCAGAAGCCGATATTTCTTCATTGCCGAGATTGGACCAGAACATCATTGGAGTATCGCCTACAGGCCATGGGAAATCGACGTCGCGTCGAAGTCGCTGTTGCATCGTAACGCCATTTTGAAGCGAGCCTTCGTAGAACATGTTCGACGGGAATTCCGAGAGGCAGGGATGCATACGATACTGGACATTGAGACGAATGGGAGCTAGACCGAGGATGACAAGACGTTCAAAAAGTGACTGGTTGAGACCTGCCTTGGCAGCCTTCTTGTTCATAATGACAGGCCCTAACTGTTGGTGATCTCCTACCAGGACAACTTGCTTGCATCCGAGGACCAGAGGAATCATGCACTCGGGTTCGGCTGATTGGGTAGATTCATCAATGAGGACAGTTCGGAACTTCGTCTTTGCGAGGCGAGGATCGCCAGCACCAACACAGGTGCAGCAGATGACATCGGCATTGGTGAGGATCTCACGTTCGGCAGCCCTGGTCAAGGTCTTGAACTTCTTCTCATCCTGGCTGGACAATTCGCCGAGTTCACTCTTCAACTGAGAGAGCTTGGTCAACTCAAGGTTGCTGTCGTTCATGCGGACCTGCTCATGGAGAGACAGGAAGCCAACTGATGATTCGACATCCTCGCGGGACTTGGCTGTAAGACGCACGACCTTCAAGCCGGTACGGTGAATTCTCTCACAGAGTTGGTCGACAGCAACGTTAGAGGGGGCGCAGACAAGGACTTGACCTCCATTAACCTTAGCCAAGTGGTAAATGACAGTTGCAGAAGTAACGGTTTTGCCGGTTCCTGGCGGTCCCTGGATCAAACTCAGAGGTTTTTGCAAGACGCTCTTGACTGCGTTGATCTGACTGCTATTCAACTCTGGCAAACCTGGAACGCTGAACTTCTTGGGCATCTGGATCTTCATAGGAGCTGCAGCTACCTCGTGACCAAGTAACTTGTGGAAAATGTAACCAGATACACTCATTTCGTCGATAGCAAAGGTCTTCATGGCGAACTGCATACGATCATAAGAAGTGGCCTTCCAGACGTAGTCGGCAGAGAAGTTGTGGGTGCATTCTGTGGGGACCGACTTGTCACTTCCAACTTTGCGCAACTCGATTGTAACCTCATCCGATTGGTTGTTTGGGATCTTGACAACATACCCAACTCCCTCCCAGACAGGTCGTAGTTCGCCCTTGTATTTGAGTCGCATCTCATCTCCAACTGCAAGTTTGACGTCTCCAAGCTCAATTTTCGGCAGAACGAAGCTGGCCAAATGCTTGTTGTTGAGACCATAATCCCAGCGAATGATCAAACCATCTTCTGACTGTGCCTCCTTCAGCTTGCGATCGTAGTCGGCCTCGATCTTGACTAGGGGGCCGAACACATTCTGGTATTGATATGCATCATCATACTTGAGGAGGACTGGGGCTGGGTCATCGTCGATTCCAGCAGCTTTCTCGAGGTCCGAAATAGTAGCACTCGCGTTGTCCTTCCACATCTCCTCCAACTTGGCGATCATAGGAGGTGTAAGATGTCTGGCGCGCAACTGCTCGGCATCGGTTGGGACAGATACAAGCCATGGGAGAAATGATCGGTCTTCGATAAGAGGTTGCCATCTTGAAATATCCCAACTCATATCCTTCGAGGATGGTGTAGAAGCACAGGGCTGACGGCACAGAAGAACCACAACGGTATCTGATTTGGCAGGAATGAAGCCAAGTAGGAAAACATTCTTTGTACCACAGTTGTAGCATTCGAGTACGGTATCTCCCAGCGTTGAAAGTGGGTGGAGCTGGACTTCCTTGTGTCTGGCACGGACTAGATGATTGACAATGTGAGAAGAGGTAGCATTTCCACGGGCACTGCAGAACCATTTCGTACACCCTAGGCACTTGACAACACAACTTGGAGAATGGATCCCACAGTATCTTCAAGGTGTCAGCTTCCTTTTTGTTCTCAACAACCTTCGTGTTTGCCACAAGCACTTACGCGCACGCATGAGCAGGAAGCTCCTTTTCGTCCTCGATGCCCCTCAAGCCCAGGTTCTTCATGCCATCCACTGGCACACTTGCCAGACTCTCAGCGTCATCGTCGTCAAAGACCTCAGTTTCATTGTCGTCGTCGTCGTTTCTTCGTCTTGTCGGTCCTAAACCACCACGTCCTCCGTACGGTCCATACAGTAAGGTCTCGTCTGGATCAATGTTCGAGAGATCATCTGCACCGGCATTGATTGCAGCGGCAGAGTCTGAAATGAGGTGGTTTCCGAGGTGAGTGAAAGCGCCTTCCATATTGAAGGTTTTGCTCGGTATCTGAGAATAGTTCGAAGTCAGCCCTTGGCCCTCGCTGAAACTGTAAGTTCAGAGCAGAAAGAGAGCCATTGCCCGCCTCCGTGGCCCAGTGATCCTTGGATATGCTCAGCTGGGTTGGGGACTCACCTTTCGAATTGTAGTGCAGCCTTGTGGCGCGAGAGGTAGGGAGGGTTGTCACAAACGCCGATGGGCTCTCAAGTCATTTCTGTGCAGCTCGAGTAGGGACAGCTTCTGGCAGAGGCTGCTATCGCTAGTTGAGGTTGTAGAAACGTGTGGACCTTCACGGTGGTTTGTCGTGTTAAAGAAAGAATGTGGATGTGGGATGGGCAAAGAAAGCATTGACATCTGGAGCCGCACCAGTTCAGTGCCGCAAGGTACATTTCTTAGCGCGGGCCAGACGCCAAGCATCTATGACGCTAGTACAGAAATTTATATTCTTCAGCCCTCGCTCCCTCGTCTTTGCGCCGATGACCATTCACGACCGCAACCATGAATACTGCTATTGTAAGTTTCAATGTCCTGCAATCTGATTGTAGCTTTATTTGTTGAAAAGAATACTTCCATTGGAAGAGAGCTACCGACAGCTTTGCTCATTCTTCAAGCAACTCTTAACATTACAGCAGAAAGCCTTGCTAACTCAATCCGCAGAGAAAACGACAACGACAAAGGAAAGATTATATCTACCGCAGAGCAGTAACCCTTCGAGATGCCGAGATAGCAGAAAAACGATCAAAGCTTCGAGCATCATTAGCTTCTGGCAAGCCTCTTGACCCTTCGATCGCAAACGACAAGAAGCTACGGGAGGACTACAAGTACGATGAATCCAAAGCAGATTTGAGCGCAAACGACGCCCTAGATTTGGATGATGAATACGCTCAATTATCTGGGATCGTAGACCCTCGAGTACTCGTCACAACCTCGCGAGACCCCTCAACAAGACTGTCTTCATTTGCAAAGGAAATCCGATTGCTTCTCCCAACATCCATACGACTCAACAGAGGAAATCTTATCCTACCCAACCTCGTTTCCTCCGCACAAGCATCAGGTCTTTCAGATATCGTCCTGCTGCACGAGCACAGAGGTGTTCCAACGGCCCTGACATTATCCCACTTCCCTCACGGTCCGACAGTCTCCTTCTCCCTTCACAACGTCGTCCTCCGCCACGATATCCCAAACAGCTCGCGAGGCACAGTCAGCGAATCCTATCCACACCTGATCTTTGAAGGCTTCACATCCAAGCTCGGTCTGCGCATGGTCCGGATCCTGAAGCACATCTTCCCACCTCGGGAAGCCATCACCAACAAAACGAAAGTCGGAAGCAGAGTCGTGACGTTCAAGAACATCGAGGATAGTATTGAAGTCCGCCATCATGTTTTCGTAAGAACCGGATACCAGAGTGTGGAGTTGGCAGAGGTTGGACCGCGAATGACAATGCGCTGTTTCGAGATCAGAGGGGGAACGCTGGAAAATAAGGATGGTGATGTTGAGTGGCGCTTGAACCAGTACACAAGAACGAGCCGAAAGAAAGATTACTTGTGAAGCTGTTAAACGAAAGATCTGCTTGTTTAGCGTGGCGTTTCGGAAATGGTAAAATTACTTACTGATTGAAAATGGAACTGGAAAAATCGCCAGCGAAACCAGATGGCTATGAAGTATGCGAAGCCGAGAATGTGAGCTTGGAGGTGGAAAAGATCAATGATCTCCATCCATACTCGAGCACTTTCTTGAAGGTGTGGCCAGAGCGAAATCGTGAAGGCTGTGCGGTAGGCTTCATTCATGACGCCATGGATGAATTTGATACTGAGAAGTGATTGGGACATGGTAGCAAGGACCAAAACTGTGGATCAAAGTACTAAGATCGCCGGGTTTCCATCTTATCTATCGAAAGTGCTGTTGTTGTCCTTTGCCTGAGACTATGCAGGGTGAGGTGTGACTGGGACGGAACGGACTGGACTGAGCCCAGATTCTTTCTTCTTTGATGGAGCATATCTCGGAATCCTAGCCTGGTATCTCCAACCAAAAATTGTCTGTCCACTTCGGTGCAGCTTCTCCTTGTGTCAGACTTGAAAAATATATGACTGTTTGTTGCACCAAGATTCGACCGATGCCTTCTAGTCAGCAATGTGCAATAGTCCAAGAACATCGTGATACCTATTGAGCAATTGTTGATGGGCTAGATGAAATAATGTTTTCTGCAGTGCTCAAAGCCCATATGCAAGAATGCATCTTCTTCACTGCCAGAGTTCGGTATACCTGCTAGTATGAATCTCATTATCCTTAGGCGCGACTGCTCCACCAGCGACATTTCCCTTCACCAGTACACATTCTCTGGCCTCATCTAAGTCTTTGCTCGTCAACTCCTTGCCTTCCAAACGCGCCACCGCCATAGGTAAGAACGGCACTCGATCGCCCAACGGAGCATCCGCCCCAACAGTCTCCCTCCAAGGCTTACACACCTTCAACCACCACCTACCAAACCAAGCGAGATGCTCCTCCCAAAACTCAGGCGTATCCTCCTTCTTCCGGTCCAGGATCACATATACAGTTTCCATTCCCCATGTGTATCCGCAGGTTCTCGGATCCCAATCACGCCGATTGAAGAATGACACCGGGAGAATGACATGCTGCACACCATGAGACTGGAGCCCCCTAAACGGAGCCTCTGACGCAAACAGCAGACAAGCTGGTCTGAAAGCCTTCCAAAAGCGATTGTATTGAATAACCAGCATGACATCAATACCTGGCCGCCAGTACATGTCCAGCATCGGTAAAACTGGGTCGCCCATTAGAAAGCGGGCGAGTTCAGCGCGCTCGATGTCAATCCCTCCATCAGGCTCAAAGCCGCGTTTGTACACTGCCAAGGAGGCTTCTCGACTCTCTACGCATACGTGGAAGATGCTGGGTACAGTTCTTGGAGGTACAAGCAAGGGATTATGTCTGTCCCCAGGTGAGGTTTCTATGGCGTTGGTAACATGAATTATTTCTCGATCCGGTTGAGCTAGGAGCCAGATTTTGAGCCTGAGCTCGGTAGGGAGCTGAGAAAATGGGTGGAATGTTTGTCTGCTCATGATGGAGAGCTTGGTGAAGCCGGCGAAAACAAATGCAGACTTTAAGGGCTATCAGCAACAGGATGTCTTTCAAAAGTCTGTATCTCTGGATTACAGCTTGCCGCACCTACAACCTCAGTTATCTAGTTCAGTGAGTCGAGTTGACGGAACGGGCGGTATGACAGGATAGACTTTCTGATGTGAACAAATGGGACAAGTGCTGCCACTCGAAACCCTTCTTCAGCTGACGTTGAGTAGAATTAAGACTGGGAACTATATATACCCTGAACGTTCACGCGCGTGAAATTCTAGGAGTCAATACCTATCAGTTTATTGTTCCGGAGATGAGTGTGTCTGGAAGGAATAAAGAAGTCTACGATGAGATGTTGTCTTGGGAAGGTCTCTTGGCGCGTATGTGCCGAGCCAATGGCTGCTCGAGCCCCACTTAAACAACAAAAGGGCACCTCGCCTCCAGGCACCCTCACCGCCAAACATCCCTTCCGACTTGAAATCCTCTCTTCAATTCAGGAGAAGCAGACGATCAACTTTCTACTCGATGTTGCACCTTGTTCTCATAACTTAAGTTTATTCCAGCTTCAGCTTTGACATTTTCTTTCTCAAGTTATAACTTATCATTCATCTCTCTTGTTTGACCAATGACATACTGTATATCGTCTTGAATGCTGAGTCGGCCAACCATTGCCACCAGATTCCAATGTTCTGTTGTTCCTTCTATATTCAGTACCGGCAGACTGACCATCATTTCAGCCTATTTTCACAAGTATGAAGACTCAATCTTTCAGACCCTTCCCAAGGCTTCCAGCCGAACTTCGCCTCAAAATATATTCATTCGCTCTCTCAGAACCCACCATCATCACATTTAACAACCGGAGACTCGATGACCGCACGCGTGAAGGGACCAATGTAGCCTGGGGTCACTGCAAGGGCGACAACCACATTTTTGTCAGACATCGGCCAGTACCCAGTCTGTTCCACGTCTGCGCCGAGTCACGAGCGGTATGTCTTCAACACCATACCCAAGGTTTCGAGGTCTTTGTCACAAAACGGAAAAGCGCAATCATGTCGCCATGCACCGTACATGGACATTACCACGACGGCGTAAACACAACCCGCAAACCTCGTTGCCGTCATGAGAACACCATGTCCTCTGGAAAGCTTAAACACATCTACTGGAATCCCAACGTGGATATCATACATATGAAACGACTGCCTATAACCGATGGTGGTATCGGAGAAGATGGTTGGGACGACAGTAAGACCGCCGCCTATCTTTGGGCAGATTACCATTGGTGCAGCTACAAGCTTGCCATCTGTGGAATCCGTCGAGTTGCAATGAGCCTTGTCATGTTCAAGCGATGGTATAGGGCTCCGAGGCAGAGGATTGTGAGGGGCGTTGAAGTGGTATATGTCCTTCTCAATCGCCAAGTCGGCGATGGAGACCAAGAATGGGATGAACATGTCAAATGGTTTGGGAGGTGGTTTGCTCCTCACATGAAGTCTCTCCTTGAGGATGAGATGGTGAAGGCTGATCCGCTTCCTTTCGACACATTCCAGTTGAAATTGGTTGGATTGATAGGAGAAGAGGGATTGGAACCGAGAGATCTTCTGAACGCCATAGATTGGGTGGAAGATACAACTGGTACCTGGAGTTCCGAAGACCAGGAATTCCAGAAACAACGGTACCCAGAGATATTCAGATGAAAATTCCAGAGGTCAATACAGGCGAGGCTACAGGTCGTTCCAGATGTAATTGGTTTCCCAATCACGCCAATAATTTGATGAAACATGTCTGACCTGTCCCCTGCTGAGTCGGGGCACCGGTCTCCGTTTCTTCAAGTTTCTTAAAAGAATGTATAGGTACATCACCGCCTCCATCTCACAATATCTGAGAATTCCTTTTAGGAAAGTCATCATCTTCTCTCTTGACGATCTTAATTCTCTTCCCGTGCATAAGCCAGATACGACTATGGAAATTGCCAGACAACAAAGAGCAAATATAGTTTACTTTATTTTGGCACTCCAGTCTATATAGTCAACACCACCCAGGCACCATTACGGGTCCAACTCTTGATTCAACCGGAAGCTACGGCTTAGGACCTTGGCTCATGGTCTGACAGCTCGCTTACGAAGTGAGGCAAACCACTCCAATGGAGCTAAATGCCGTGGTGGACAATGGAAAAGACGGTTTACTCTTCCAGATTGCCGTTACTTTCTTTATTCTTGGGAATGACAATGGAGCCTCCGAGACAGATCTTCGCCCGGAGGTTCTAGCAATAGAGTGGACAGGAAGTCCAACTCGCTTCTCGACTACTGAAGTCCGAATCTGCCGGTAATAGATTTGTATGCTTCTTAAGCCTTCTGAGACACCTTTACCTTGATAGTCAAGTGTAAACCTCAGTGACGCTGCTAAGAGGCCTAAGGCTAGCGTTAAGACCTAAGTTTTATTGAAAGAAAAATACTCGAGACAATGTGTTATTCTGCCTGTTTGCTTGAATTTGCTTTGTTTGAATACAAAGAACGTTCCTGCTCAAGCGCTGCACAGCCTTTAATCCCCTGACGTCGTTCGGTATTAGTTGCTCCATTGTCAGACCCAAGAATAAAAGGAGTATTTGGCCTGGATGAAATTTTCTCGGCCCACGACACAATTCGAGAAATTTGACTAGGCGTATAGTGGAGTATCCGCGCAGTTGCTACTCGATCCACTTGTGGATTTTTTTGTCAATTTCATTCAGCCGATACCATACCAAGTCAGCCGTGACGCAGCCACCTTCACACATCATGGCTTCGACTGTCCTCCCGTTCTATGCCAGCAGGGACACACTCCCGGCGGATCTGCCGACGGACGAGGAGATTGAGAACTCCGTGGAAATATATGTTGACCAAACTGCACGCAAAGTAGTTGGAGTTGGGCCACATTTCGTCGTCAAGTACGGCCGGCAAATTGACCTCATCGAAGGCAAGAACATGCTCTATATTCAGCAAAACACATCAGTCCATGTCCCCAGAGTATATGCACTGTACTCGAAGCCGGACAACGGGAAGCATTACATCGTGATGCAGAGAGTCGTGGGCGAAACGCTGGCCAGTCTATGGCCGACGCTCGATGTCTCCCAAAAGACAGCTATTTCCAGAAGTCTCCATAGTGCTATGAACACCCTCCGAGTACTGCCATCCCCGGGCGGATATTGTAGCTTGGGGAGGCAGCCGCTCCAGGACGGTATTTTCTGGACTGGCAATGATAGAAAGATGTCGCCAATAAATGGTCCGTTTGAGACCGAGGACGAAGTAAATGCAGCAATGGTCCAAAAGTATATTTACAACAATCTACCAGTCCAGAAAGCCGACTTTTACTCACGAACTCTCAAGATAGTACTGCAGCATCACCAGCCGGTTTTTACTCACGGAGACATGCAGCGAAAGAACATCCTGGTGAGGCCAAGACGGCTGCTGGCAGCACAGCCAAGCGGTGCAGAAACAGCTGCGCAAGATTTCGAGATCACTATTCTGGACTGGGAGACAGCAGGGTGGTATCCGAGCTACTGGGAGTATTCGAGAGCAATGCTTGGATGCGGGAGATGGGAGGATGACTGGCATGTCTTCTTAGCTCAGATATTGGAAGAATACCTGTTAGAGTGGGCATGGGTAAACATGATGCTCGTAGAGCTGTGGTCATGAAGCATGCGTGGGATTAGCGAACAAGTATTCACGTCCGGATGTTATCTAGAATGGCAATTTGTATAAGAATGCTTCATAAATCTCCCTCACCTACCTAGATGCAGATAAAGGGATACATACCTACCAAGGTAAGGTTATTTATTATATGTACCTAGGTCTAGACTCTAGATCTACCCAGGTACCTTGGCTTATAGGTCATCTATTGGCTGCAGCAAAAGGTGGCCGATTCAGCCAGGTGCCTAGTTACTTGAATGTCGTATTTTTCCCAACAAAACTCTTTCAAATCTCACTTAAAAATCACTAGAAGATCGAGGTACTATTTTCAAAACTATTTCTAATGATCGAATTTAATTTTTGTCACCATGTGTTCTGAAAGTGATGTGATGTTCTACCTGTGCCTGAATTGGATCGGCCACCTTTTTCTGCAGCCATTAGGTACTGTTGTTTCAGACGACAGTGTCACGACACTGTAGCGTCTGTTATTCGGACATTATCAAAACTGAATTTCTGACGTGGACTCATTCGTCATGGACGACCTCGGAGACACAAAATCTTCCAGCACACCCTCCTTTCCCAATGTGTGAACAACATCCACCATCCATTCCTGGCATCTCCGCACTGGTTCCTGCGGAAATAGCCTCTTCGGTCCATCGAACTGCCTTTTCGGCTCCGGCACAGTTTCCACCACTTCCTGAACCCTCCCATTCTCGAAAGCTTCTACTCCGATACTGCCGATTTGCGCCATGGAAATGAAGTCCACCTCTGCAGACGGTGGCGGGGCCGGTTTATGATTGAAGAACATTCCGTTTTATATGTTGCCCGAGACTTGGTAGATGTAGCCACTTCCTGAAGGGGAGGTTTGGATGAAAAGGGAGTGGTGGTCTCGTGGAAGGCCGAGAGTTTTGAGAAGATAGGCTGGATATGACATTGTTTCCGAAGACTCAATTTGTTGCAGAATTGGTAAAGCTTTTAGGCACCGAGCAAGAATATCCATTAATTTGATGCCTTTTGTGAGTGGTCTGGTAACGATAATTCTGCCAATATAGGCATTCGCCGAGGTGGATTTTCGACACATGAGCGGATGGTATTGATACAAACTCGTAAATCGAGCAGAACAGTATATGCGATTGTCCGACTGCTTACTAAGGTATGACTGAAAAGCTTTGTTGACAAACAAAGAAGAGTTTTAGGTTTGAAATTTCTAGGTTCTGGCCCTGTGTTAATGTCACTGAGTCAACACTCCAGATCACACCAATCAGGATAACGTTACCAATCTACTTTGACTCCCATTGGGGAATCATGATGGATCCTCTCTGGTGAACTCCGCAAAATTGACATTCACCGAATGTTCGAAAGTGAAGTCATTCCCAAAGAGGGAAACAGTCATGTGACCCATTACGCGCCTTTTTGATCACTTCCCACGGCGCGTCTTCTTTCGTCCAACACGAACTTTCCCATTACACGACCACCACGATCACCAAAATCGACGCCGCAAACTCTCGCCCTGGCTCTGCATACTTCGCAATCGCGTGGAATCCTCCAATATCGACGCGTTTGACGCGTAATTCTCTTCAGCCCCACGCGTCCCTCGAAATCACTCAATCTCGCGGGTAATTGGCGCCTCACTTGCACCAAGACGACCTCATTCGACCTCTTTCGCATCCCTCTACCCTCTGTCAATATCATACCAGCAGCCAAGATGGTCAAGCCAGCTGGTCCAGGAGTATACTCGGCGACCTACAGTAATGTATGTGCTCTGTGGGAGGGAAGCGGTGGTGCAGTTCTGACCTCGTTAGATCCCCGTCTATGAATTCCAATTCGGAGAAGGCCTCAAGGAACATGGTGAGCTGCGGCCTCGTTTACTCTTTCCACGCATGTGCTGACGAATGCGAATAGTTATGCGCCGTCGGGGCGATGATTGGATCAATGCGACACACATCTTGAAAGCTGCCGGTTTCGACAAGCCAGCCAGAACCCGTATCCTGGAGCGCGAAGTCCAGAAAGAGACGCACGAGAAGGTTCAAGGTGGATATGGCAAATACCAAGGTGCGCTTGATAGTTGTGGGATTGCGGAGCTCCTGTCTGACAGTGATAGGAACTTGGGTCCCTCTTGAACAGGGTGAAGCTCTGGCGCAACGAAATAATGTCTACGAAAAACTGCGGACCATCTTCGAGTTCACCCCCGGCAATATCAGTCCTCCTCCTGCCCCAAAACATACGACAGCAAAGCCAAAGCCGCAGAAGAAAAATCCAGCTGTCCCAAAATTTGCGACAAGTAAGGCTCAGAAGCGTCAAATCGCACATAGCAGCACTAACGGCATAGAACCAGTGGCCGCACCCGCTCGTATGATCCATGATGAATATGATGACAATTCCCAGATGGATAACGAGAGTATTGCGGATGATATGACAGTTGGCTCTGCCTCGTTCATGGCCGAGGATGATCGATATGACATGTCCCAGCAGAATACCGGCCATCGTAAGCGCAAGCGTGAAGAGCAGCTACAAAGTGCCACTGATCGAGATCATGTTTTATACGCCGATGAACTGCTGGATTACTTCATGCTCCCCCATGGCGGTCCAAAGCCGGAACCACCGATCAACTTCCAGCCAGATTGGATCATTGATTCTGACGGACACACCGCACTTCATTGGGCTGCTGCAATGGGTGATGTCGAGATCATGAAAGAATTACGAAGATTTAATGCCAACCCAACCGCTCAAAATATCCGAGGAGAGACACCTTTAATGCGCTGTGTTTTGTTCACGAATTGTCAGGATAAGCAAACGATGCCAGCAGTGGTCAAGGATTTGATTGACACCATCGACTGTGTCGACTTCTGCCAAGCCACTGCCCTTCACCACGCAGCAGCAATGACAATAAGTCGCCAGAAGCATCAATGCGCCCGATACTACCTGGATATCTTGCTCAATAAGATGTTAGAAGTCCTCGATCCGGACCATTTCCAGCGTATTATTGATGCACGGGACATCAACGGTAATACTGCTCTTCACATTGCTGCGAAAAACATGGCCCGCAAATCAGTCAGAGCTTTGCTTGGTCGAGGAGCTACACCCAGCCTCCAAAACGCAGAGAAGGTCACCGCCGAAGAACTGATTCAAGACCTGAACGAAAACCGACGATCACAACGAAATCGTCAAGGTTCATCCTCACCTTATGGACCGGACTCTCGATCGGTATGGGAGATGCCAGAAGAGCCCAATCGCGCCGTGCCTCATCATGAGTCTGAGGCCGCCATGTCTATCGAGTCTCGCATTGCACCAATGATGCTTGAGAAGTTACAAGGCTTGGCGAACTCCTTCGATGATGAGCTTGTTGAGAAGGAGACTTCAGAGAAAGAAGCAAGACGTATTTTGACTAGCACGAAACAGGAACTGGAAGCAACCAAGGTTATGAGCGCCGAGATGGCCCTGCAGAAGGAGAACCCAGACGTCGTTGCTCAATCGATGGAGAATCTCGCTTACATGGAGAACAAGGTTACAGGAATCATCGAGCAACAGCAAAAACTCCAACTCTTGGCCTACGCTCAACATGAAGAGCAGAAAAGCAACGGACACATGTCGAGTGGAGAAGACGATATCGGAGAGAGAGTCATGCTGGCAAAGATGCTACAAGAAGAAGAGAACAAGCGTAAAAACAACGTCACCAAATACTCGGACGCTTTGAGCAAAGCCGGAGCTGGCGAGAAGGGCGACCAGTATCGCAAACTTCTCTCCCTCAGCCTTGGTGCAGAGGTCGAGCACATGGATGAGAATATCGATACCTTGCTCCAACAACTTGCCGAGGACGAAGACGGCCAAGAAGGCGAGACTGTCCTTCCGCACGTTTCCTGATCTTTACTGTCCACGTATTTGTTTGCCCGCTTGGGGTCTTGCCACCAATCTGTGGGCCATCTATCTGATTGTTCATTGTTTCCCCTCTTTTCCTCAAATCTGGGTATGAATCATAGGAAGCATAAAAGGACAGGCGTTTGTTGTTTGTTGTTGTCTCCCTGGCGTTGGGTTCGCCTGTCAGGTCTACTTGTCGAAAACCCATTTGTACAGCACTGGGTCTGGTATGGTATGGTATTCTTTTTTGGGCGTTGTCGCTGGCGATACGGGGTATTTACGACGTTACGGACATCTGACACCAAGGGCGGTTTTCTTCACATATGCGCGAAAGGCGCGAGGTCAGATCAGGCATGCATGGATAGGATGAACGGCATTGGGGTGGATCTATTGTGTATGAGTTCTCGCCTGTATTGGAGTATCATCGGACTCGTTGTTCTGCTTTGTTTGTCAAACGAACCTATCGTTGTTCTATCTGTTAGGGGCATGCATTGGTCTTTGTGGGAGTGGTCACGGTTTGCCTTTCGGCATTGTAAGCTTTGTGTACCCGGCCAAGGAAGACAAAGCAGCTTATTTGTTAATTCCCTGCCTGCCTTACAATGCATTGTCCTACGAGTAGTTAAGATGGCTGGTGTGTAAGCAGCCACAATACACCACATCATCCTCTCTACTTCTCGTTTCTTCGGGTTCGTGGTAGATGTGAGTATCGAGACTGGAGTCTCTATTTCTCTCTTCCTCAATTCGTTCGCCACCCACTCCGCTCAATTCCGTTTCAGGGAAACGAGCATACACACCTGCTCACCATGAAATCCGACTCCTTCCTCCTCCGCCCCCTCCGCACCAGCTGCAAAACCAAAAGGGGATACGCTCGCCGCTCTCCATCGAATCCTCTCATCCTCTCACCCTCACCATCATCTTCCTCCTCGTCCTCATCCTCATCCTCCTCTCACGTCCCATCGGACAGCCACACCGCCATCAAAGCACACTTCCAGCGACTCATCCACTCTTCAAAACAAAAACCACGCCAGTCTCCTCCCTCTCAACTCCACTCCAAAGCCACAAACAACTTCTCTTCCACGTTCTCTGCCTCAGCAGACGGAAGTCTCCGTATTCAACACGACATCAAACTCCAAGATGTGGAGGGCCAGAAGCGGAACCAGCCCCAAAACCAGATTCCTCAACTCGTCTACGAGCATGAGCTAGTCGACGGTGTGGTGCATGATGCGGAAAGGGGCGAGGTTTGTGTGGTTCTTGAGGTGGGTGTTGCGCGGGTAGTGGGCGTGGAGAGGGTGAGGTGGTGGGAGGTTGGGGTTGTGGATTTAGATCTGGAGGCCGATTTGGGTGTGGTTGGGAGGGAGGGGGATAGGAAGAGGCAGAGGTGGATAGAGGAGGAAGATATTGGGAGGGCGTTTTGAGAGTGTTGAGAGTGACAAGGGGTGGTATCTGCGAGGCTTTGGAGAAGGGAATGATAGTCTAATTGTCATCTCGGCATCGGTAGGGATTTTGTTAGGTGCGGTTGTTTTTGACCGGCTTCGTTGTTGCGCCTGCTCGCTTACGAGCTATGGATCAACTTTGTGGGCAGGCCTCTCAAATGAAATAAACTTTTGGAACAGTTGGAGGTTGTAAACAAGTGCATGATGCGTGACAATATGATTATTGTGTAAGATTTAATTGAATTATCTCGGTGCTAATGAAATGTCGTCACTTGCCCATATTGTGGTCATGAGAGGAAAGCTTGGGTCTCTGAATGGCACAATCTTTCACTGCTGAAGCTACTCATACATAGAAAGGCAGATGATTATTCTCCAATTTTAGTTTGATTTCCTGAAGCAAAGATATGTCTCTAGGGTAGGTAGGTGGAGTAAACATGGAACCGAGAGTGTTGAAGTCTAGAAGTCATGTGACATAAAACTTGATTACCCAATCATTGCATCTTGACTCGCGACCCCCACTCATCTCAACTTCGTCCCATGGTCTTCAAACCGCGTCAATATCATCATCATTTCGCTGCTTACGTGCCATTCTCGTCTGAGAGACGACTCCTATAGAGATTCCTGGTCCCTTCAACTACATACCTCAACAGGAGGGTTTGCAGTCCGCTGCAGTCAAACGTTGCACCCAGCCACCTCGTTTATCTCGCGTTTGCCAGACCGACAATAGATAACGACAATATCGAAACGATGGGGGCTTACGATCCAGAGAAGGAGATTCGACAACCATTGCTGAAAGACAGGCAGTCTTCCGATCCGGCAGAATCGATACAACCGAGCAGGAAATCAACTTCATCTTCGTCCTCGTCCGAGAAGCGGCGGAAACCCACTGTATCGACCGTTGCATTTTCACTTGTCCTTCTTGGAGCTATTTTAGCATTCTTCTCATCGTTGACTCTCCTGCTAGCACTCGCCAACACGTTATCGAGTTCGCCTGCAGAAAAGCTGGAGGCATGTGCCTGGGAAACCCTCAAAACTCACGTGTCGCTTCTCGACGTCCCCCAAATCAGCCATGAGGAGTTTCTCAAGCGTCAATCCATTTTGGCCGCCGCATTGGACGAAGCTGGTGTCGATGCTTTTATCGCCGAACCGTCAGCCTCTTCCAGCTATTATGCCAATATCTCCTCTTCATACGATTTGTCCGAACGTCCATTCTTGATGATCTTGGACCGAACAGGCAAATTCTCTTACCTGGCACCGAAATTCGAGCTAGGTCGCATTGCTGGCCTCGACATGGTCTTCACGGAGAAGACAGTCATTGAATGGGCTGAAGAGGAATCACCCTACGAAGTCTTGAAGCGGGAAACCGGGTACAAGAAGATCATGCTGGATGAGCATGTCCGATTCATGATTGCCGCCGGTGTCCAAGCTACTGGCATCGACGTCGTTCCCATGTCCCAAGCTATCCAGTCACTCCGCTCAGTTAAGACTGAAGCTGAACTTGCTATCCTCCGCGGGATTAATGGCTTCACTCTGGAGCTGGTTCGCTCACTTCAGAAATGTATCGACATCGGCATGTCACAAGAAACCATCAACACAGCTGCCCACAGTCTCTTCTCTCGAGCTGATGTCGGAGCAGGATATTGGGCAATCATCCTCTTCGGCGAGCAAGCAGCTAGTCCTCATGGTGGATCTTCAGGAAAGACATTGCAAAACGGAGAGTTCGTACTCATCGATATTGGATCCAGCCTGCACCGCTACGGAAGCGACGTTACTCGCACAATACTCCCTTCTAAATCTACTGTCAGCAAGGAGCTCATGGGTATCTGGAAGACTGTTCATGCTTCGCAGATTGCAGCTGTGGCTCTTATGCGTGTCAATGAGACGTGTTCGGACGTGGACGCTGCGTCGAGGAAGGTCATTACTGACGCGGGGTATGGTCAGTTTTTCACTCATCGACTTGGGCATGGTCTGGGATTGGAGATGCATGAGCATCCTTATTTAAATGGTGCCAATTCGGAGAAGTTGAAGGTTGGAGAGGTGGTAACGAACGAGCCGGTATGTTTTCTTCCTAGCTTTTCTCAGTTCATTTGTCCTTCCTGAATCAATTGCTGATTTCGGTGTAAGGGTATTTATGTCACTGGTGAGCAAGCAAAGGGATTAGGCAAAAGCGTTGGATTTGGCGTTAGACTTGAAGATCCGATTTTGGTCACTGCACATGGCGGTGTGCCAATGACCGGTTCCAGAGCCAAGTCGCCCTACGAGCCATGAACAAAATACCTATTTTGTCATCTTGAAGCCGTTTTCGGTATTGATATGAGGATGTCATATAAACTGTATATTTCAGACCCGCAATTACATATCCTTCCCTTCCAATATTTTCTTTGGACAAAATAATGTTCCAAGGTTTGTGCTCCAAATGGTGAAGGCTTTGTTGCACAATTCTGGTCAACCGTCACCGCTCTCGCTTATTGTTGGTTTTGATTTCGCCTGACTCACCTTCCAACAGTTCAGCTCCTCGATCCATACAACAATTAATACAACTCCTCCAGCGAGTTGCTCCGCAGTTCTCCTTTATTAAACACTCACAACCGCCATCATGCAGTCTCCCACCTTCCATGTTTTCCCTCTCCTGCCTAAAGAGCTCAGATTGGAAATATGGAGACATGCTCTACCACCACCAAGGATCATCGAAGTCCTATTCACAAATGCAAATTGGCCGTCACAAAGCATCTCAGATTTCTCAGTAGATCACCTAATTGGCTGGGGTTGGATTGTCTCGATGGACGATGTTCCTCTACCGCTGCTACGAGTTAATATCGAAGCTAGAGAACTCACACTGAGCATTTACGATCGACTTCCGTCCGGTCTCCATATTGGTTTAACCAATCTTTACCGATACATCTCTTTCGACAGGGATACATTTTATGCTGCAAGACACTTGCAAGAATGCCTCTTCAACGCGTTGGGAGGGGTGTTCTACGATATCCAAAATCCAAAGCATCTGGACATCCAAGACTCAATCACTAGCTATGAATCTCGGGTCTCTTTCAAAAGGGCCGTGGACTTGGGACCTTCCCACACATCCTGAACTTGAGCGCCTCTCTGACCTAGGAGGTCGAAATGAACCATCACTTTTCCTGATGACTCTCTTCCGTTCATTCCCAAAGCTCAAAGAATTCATCGTGATAATGGACAGGAAGGTTCCTGATGACCGACCACCCATTGGGACTCCACAGTTCTCAATACACTTCGAAGACTCTCACGACCTCGCAGGTGGAGATATCTCAGGGCGTTGGATCCCAGGAGCTCTCAAGCATTTGAAAGAATTGTTTCCAGACTTACACCAGCCTCATGTTTGTCTGGCCCGTTTGACGGAGGAGAGTAACCCATCAATCCTCAGACGTCGTGATAATTATCTTCATGCCTGCTGTAAGTACTGTGAGGCAGGACTCGATAGGCAGCGATCGGAGTTTGCATCTGTCTCACCTCCTGGATCGGATGCTGCAAACCCAATATTGCCAATGTCTAGCTCTTAGTTTTTTCGGGTCATAGTGGTATCTACTGAGGATATCGTGGTCCCAAGGTAGAAATCACTATCGCCGTGATACATACCTGCCGTCCATGATAAGGAGTATAATAACGCTCTTTTTTGACAAATCCGTGAGAGCCAGGTAGGGCGGGGTTCGATCAGTTGCATATCTGCAGTATTGCTGCGACGGTAACCTGATTGGATGCCCTTGAGGTCGGACTGGGTGGCAAAGACAAGCACGGCATAGGCTTGAGAGACATTCAGCTGCGGGGTTCGAAGGGAATAAGAGCTTTGGTAGTACAATCTAGCTGTGGGGCGCGAAATTTCCTTCTCAATTGTTAGCTGCTGTAGTTTTAGACGTTTACAGCGTTCCAGCATACTTTCATTACGGTATTTTACGGAGGCTGCAGAGGAACCACTCCAGAGATTCCGACGTAGATATGCATCGGTTTCACACTGAAATGTCAGAATCTAGTCTAGCTTTAACTTTCATCATGCCATCCATTCCATCTAAGGGTTTCTGGCGTTTTAATGCCTTTGCTTGTGGCGTGCCACAATTCACTTTATTCTAAAGTAATGTGATAGCTGCGCTGTAGCCTGTGCTGTAGCGAACAGCGCTGATGATGGAATCTTGGCCCCTCGCTTCAACTGCTCTCGCTTGTTGTTGGTTTTCATCTCGTCTGAGTCACCTCTTCCCATTGCCATCCTTTCACTCTTCAATCTGTATTTATATAGATCGCTGCTCCTCCTTCAGCAAGCCTTTTTTTTTTTGGCTTCTTCTCTATCAAGTGTTTTGAAGCAATACCCCACAATATCAAACATGGCACCCCAATCATTCCACCTCTTCCCGCTTCTCCCTAAGGAGCTCAGAATAGAGATTTGGAAAATAGCTCTCCCAGACCCACGAGTTATCGAACTGTCCCTCATCTAGCACTTTGACCCTCCCCGTCTACCACAACGGTATCGCCAAGCCTGCCGCGGAGCATGGGCCTGGATTGCCACAGCGTCCCCAACGGTCTTCCCACTCATCCACATCAATGCCGAATCTCGCGCCTGCGCCCTCGCATCTTACGAGCCCTGTGATATGCCAAACCAGAGCAACCTTACTAGACATCCAATGTATATTGACTACTCCAAAGATACCATTTTTATTAGTCGTTATACTCAAGACCAGCTGCGGGATGTCTTGTTGGGATATTATCAAGCTGTACGCTTCACGAACTGGAGGTTGAAGGTTCGAAATCTGGCAATGTCTTTGGCTGTCCTGAAGAAATCTCGGTATTCTCGAGTGGCTCTGTTTCCTGGTCCCGAGCCAGCTGATCCAAATGGTTATGAAGAAGCAACTCGTTACCTGGCTAATGTCATCCGTATGTTCCCCAAATTACATGACCTGAGTTTTGTCATCGATGGACGGAATCCAGGCTTTGGAGGAAATGTAGAGATTGTGGAAGCATCTTCGGAGCATGAGGATTACGATGTTGTAGGTGGCAGAGATCTGGCTTCCGCATGGATACCTCAAGTCTTCGAAAACCTGAAAACTGTATTATCAGATGGGAAGATTCCTTCTGTTCGAGTCGCACTTTTGATCAACGGACGGGATACACCCAATCTAGAGCGACGATGGAGCTACCTTCGTATTCGCTGTGGAGTGTGCCATCCAGATGGTGCAGACCCGGAACCAGAACCTCCTAGCCAACGGTCAGGTATAGCTGCTAGCCGGTACTGGTACCCAGGGAATGATTTGAGCACTTCTGAGAGTGAAAGCAGTGAAGATGGCTCAGCTGTAGCAGGGGAAGGGGAAGATGGACCATCTGGGCCTGGATCTGATTCTAAGACTGATGCCGACAACCACGGGAGTAGCACTCCTGTGAAGAGAAATTTCATTTGTCGTTTCGACAATCCTAGCTCCTCCGACGATGAAGATGATGGCCCAAGTTTCGCATTTCCGTCATTGCAAAACGAGCGGTCATCGCATTTTCGGGCAACACTGTTGTGAAGGTACAGATGAAGCGTAATGTGGTTGGAGTAAACATGTAAGAACAGGAGAACTGGAGAATAGTCACCTAGGCTTATTTCAAAATCGATTTCTCGTAGATAACCTCATACTCTTCTCAGCAAATTGAGGAACCTGGATATACTAACTAGTCAGGGCAGCTGCTCCATGCATGTGGACAGTCTTTTGCAGCGTTAGGTCTATCGTGCGCAGGGTAAAATGTTACCATCGCCAAAATACCATGCATCACAAATGGATTTAAGAATGCCATCTATCAGGTTGGGGAGGTAAGACATCGCCAGGGTTTCAGGTCGGTCTGGAGAAGTGGGGAAGAAAATCGAGGTCGCCGTCCTGGAAGATATTTACATACTTTGTTGGTTCCTCAATGGATATTCTTCTGGAGATGGATGCATATCTGATCTCTGTATTCGAATACGAATCAAGAGTCCACACAGCACAATACCCGGAAACGCGATCAATTGCAAGTCAGCTTTGCGCTGGCGCGAAGGATCGCAATGTATGAGCCGCAAGGCCTTATACGCATACCTTGAACGAAGAGACACAAAAAGAGTCATGTTTACAATCAAGCGAATCCGGATGATTTCTCGGACCTTTGCCGTCTAGTGTTGCGTAGAGGCAGTCGACTCGATACGTCGTATTGCCCTGAAGCTAAATCCCCCTAGGCAAGAGTGGAGCAATTTCGGCGCCCCTCATGATCTCCCTCGCTTAGCTATTTTGAATCACCCCTTTTCTAAGAGTGTATCCACATCATGCATTTCCATTCGCTTCAGTCCCCGATAAATTCCCAAATAGATGGTGGATACTTGATGATTGGATTTCTAGTACAGGAGAGTCAGTCGTCGATCTTCCGTTGGGATGAACCGCTGTCTGGAAGTGTGGCTGTTCACTCTCCGGGAGATTGAAGTGGGCTCGAAGGCCTTGTCTGTAACGATTGAGTCGCTGCTACCAGGATGTGGTGTTATCCGTATTTATCGTATTGGATGGTACGGTAATCGCATACGATAGGGCTGGCCGCTTTGATTTCTTCCATAACTTATAAGCTGTGTGCCTGGACACCAACATTGCTTGATACAACACTCGGTCGTCCATCCATTCGTTTTTTTCATTCGGTCGTTCGTCATCCACTCATTTATCATCAACTCAACTCTTCAAGAAGCAGAACTCCGTCAATCAGCCAGAAACTTCTTCGAGCAAGACATTCATTCCAATTTATTAGCGGCTCGTTGTTGCATTGGCATACGCAACGTCCTTCCGTGACATACCGTCGATTATTTTGCATCAAATAACAAACTCTTACCAAAGAAAGATCTTCAGCTTTTCGAAATCAGAAACCAGCCAGGAAATTTCCATCATGGCAATAGATCGAGCCGCCAATGGGCTGTACCCATACAAGCCAAACAGCACAATGTGCATCCCAGTGGCCATCCTCTTTGGTGCAAGCGCAGGGTATCACATCTTCCAAATGATTCGAAAGAAGACATGGTTCTACACACCTCTGGTCGTCGGATCAGTCAGTAAGTACTGCCATCTTCCATTCTTTACTCCATCGACTGACCTATCTAGTGATGACACTTGGTTACATTGCAAGATACCTTTCCACCAAGAGCCCAAACTCTCTAATGCCATATATCGCCCAATCGATGTTCATCATCCTCCCACCTTCCCTGTATGCCGCAACACTGTACATGATATTTGGTCGTATCGTTCTGCTGGTCGACAACCCAAAAGCCTCGATCATCCGACCAACTCGCGTCACCAAGATATTCGTGGGAGGAGATGTGCTTGCCTTCTTGATGCAGTCAGGAGGCGGCGGCATGATGGTGGTACAATCCATGGCAGCTATGGGCCAAAACGTCATGCTGGCCGGCCTATTCGTCCAGCTGTTATTCTTCGGCTTCTTCCTGGTAGTATCCCTGATATTCTTCCAACGGATGCGAGCCTCGCCATTACGGCACACCGTCCCGACATACGGCAAACATACTTGGGCTGGTCTGCTCAACCTCCTATTCGCAGCAGCAGCATTGATCATCTTGAGATGTATATTCAGGGCGATCGAGTTTGGCCAGGGACATGATGGTGGATATTTGGCTAGCCATGAGGTTTACATGTATCTTTTTGATACAGCGCCTATGTTTATTGTTCAGGTTATGTTTCACGTTGTTCATGCGGGGGATGTCTTCCCTCCGCATTTTGGAATGGGCAAGCTGGCAAATGATAGCAAGGATGACATCTACTTACAGAGTCGAGTGTAGTTAGATAATCGCAGACTTACAGTACTTAACCACAGCAATAATTTAACGAATTAGCCTTCCATTATGGAGATTAGTTCAAACGTCTTCTCAGCCCTATTATCATAGCAGACTTCCAAATAGTTTCAATTCGATTCATTGAGTCGTGAATATGGTTTGCTCTGCATTAGGGCTCCCAATCCCACGCATCTTCAGATACGATGGTTTCATCGAACGGCGTGCTCAGTAGCTTGGATAAAGCCTTTTCATGATTTGGAGGCCACAGGGAAAGCGAATACGAATACGACAGGGACGTGAGACACGGAGATTGTTCTATGTCAACATGCCTTTGGCATTCAAGGCGTGAATTCCAAAGGATCTATAAGACGCCGTATGTCACTGTCGGTTCAAACAATCATACCGAAGAAATGCTTTCTGTCGTCCAGTCTGGATCGTGCATTTTTGATTGGCTCGGCTGATTCCACAGGGTCATCACATCCCTGGGCATGAAGTTGACCTGAACTTTACTTACTGAGGATTTCAATGGTAAGGCTTCAAAGTTCCAAGAGTCTGTCAAGACATTTGCTAATCATCCAGAGCCAATTTGAATAGGGTATCCGCCTGCTCATAGAGATTGTCGATGTTGAGCTTCCCCAACCCGTCGTACTCGACTCCTTGTGTTGCACATTTAGCTCCAGTCCGCAGGAAGATTTGACCAACAAAACAATCAAGCAATGCTTTCTCTCAGGTGATCGACGATGTCAAAAATGGCAATCGAATTCAGAAGAAGAGTTCAAGTTGTCCAAACGACAAAATCGAGCTGACAAAGCAAGCACACGACCAACTTCCTAATCGTCTATCTCCCTTCCCCAGTTGCTTGGCTCCTTGGCATATGAAGACGCTTGACCCAGATAGTCAGGTGCTGTCACATCCTTTCACATCAAGCCCTGCTGTCGCCGCATCCCGAAGATAAATCTTTGGTAGCTGAAAGCTTGCATAAGTCTTCCTGTCTTCTGCTTGGTCAATTGCTAAGAGTGACGGTGAGCGATCTTCGGAGATCATCCCAACTTGGCGATGGCAATCTACTTCTTCCGCATCACGATGTGTACAAGTAGCTCGCTTTTGCCGGCTGGTCTTTGAAAAGAAACAGTGGGAGGATCCCTTGACTTTTCTATCTAGTGAAATCGGTCAATTCTCTTGTCCGTAAAAATTTCAGAGCATACCGTTCATCATGCTTTTGTCCAACCTCCTCGCCGCTTGTTCGGTGTTAGCTGGCGCAGCAGCATGGAACACAGATGTTCACAATCAAATCGGATTTCTGGCTGAGGAATTCCTATCTCGCGACACAATAGGCATCATCAAGAAGATCCTCGAGCCCCAATACGAAGGATCAATTGGCAGAGCCGCCGCATGGGCTGATGCCTACCGCCGCGAGCCAGGCGGAGAGTACACATATCAATTTCATTGGATAGATTCATTGGATACTCCCCCTTCAGTCTGTAACACGTATTACAACCGTGACTGCACGAAAGGCGGTTGTATTGTGTCGGCCATCGCAAACCAGAGCATGATCCTGAGGGGCTGCATCCGCCTCGCTAAGGACAACAAGATCAAGAACGGGAACAACCTCACCTGTTCCTATGCTCTGAAATTCGTTACGCACTTCACCAGCGATCTTGCTCAGCCGCTTCATACCTCAAATCTTGGTGCTGGAGGCAATGCGTTCAATGTTTCGTTTCGAGGCAAGACGAACAATTCGGTTCTGCACTCAATCTGGGACGGTGCCATCATCTACTCCCGCGCCAACGTCACATCCTTTAGCAACCAGACCATCGCGCCTTACTTCTCCGCCCTGGCAAAACGCATTAAGAAAGACGACTTCTTTACGCCAACTGCCAAATGGATTTCCTGCACCGATCCAGCCACTCCAGTTGCCTGCGCTATGGACTGGGCTGTCGATTCCAATATCTGGAATTGTGATTATGTGTATAGTCAGGATTTCAGCGCGCCGGATCTGAAGACTAGTGGGTACTTTGCGGGTGCGTACCCCATTGTGGAGATTCAAGTAAGCAAGGCGGCGTATCGGCTGGCGACTTGGTTGAATGCTTTGGTGGATGGGAGGTATGATAAGGAAAGGGAGGTTATTTTGAGGGTCAACCCTGCTTGGAAGGAGTTGTGAGGGTACGTAATGTGTAATGATTGAACTGCTCATGAGGTTATACAAGACCGAGTCTTGAATGCGACCTTTGAGATTAGTAATTCACATGTGAGGTTCGAGCATGGGATTTCACGCGCTACGATTGGCATGAATTCTACCCATGCCCGCTCTCAATTTTTCCGCTTCTTCCCACGTCGTCGCCCAGCTTCAGGATCATATGCCCAACTCCCAAAAGCAGAAGGATCAAAATCCACCATCCACTCAGCAAAGATCTCCGCCCTCTCAATAATATCCATATTCTCCCCCTCAATAACCCCCAGCCTCTCCCAAGTCCTCTTCGCAATCCCCCTCGTCTTCTCACTAACATGCTTATCCACCGAAATTTCCTCAAACCTCCTCTTCCACAGCCGCCATCTCTCCAGACAAAACCCGGCTTTCTTTCCCTTCCATGTACCGACTCCTTTCGCACCAGAACCACGATACTGATCAGACCTGAGCAGTTTTTCGCCAATGATATCAATCCACAGCGCTGCAACGGGAAGGCGTGCGTCTATTCTGGGAGCGCCTTTCTGAGTGGCCTGAGCGCGCCACCATGCTGGTGCGGTGGGTGAGGGTTCGTCTTCCAGGATGTCTCGGAAAGAATAGATGGTCCATGTGGAGAAGTCTCGGATTGAGTCTCGCGTTAGTTTTGCGCTGAAGGAGTAGAGGTTAATTTCCTCTTGGGTGCCTTGCTCGGTATCTGGTACTGTATGTTAGCCGCGTACTCACAACTCTGGTTTACTTCTATCCCTTCCACACCAAAAAGATACGTCTTGGTACTTTTGGTGCCTGGTGGAGCTGTGGGGAAGACAAGCAGACAAACGAGCCTCATCAACCAGTACTGGAAATCTTGGGAGCCCTAGACTGAAACTGAAGATGTCCTCGCTTCAGCAGCCAGATCCTGGGACTATGCTCCAGAAGAGCGTGTACCGACAAAGTGTGGCTTTTTGGTGTGGAAGTTAATGTATTTATCTGTACAGTGTGCTTACCATTCTGGGCTTCCCATGCAGCCATTCCAAAATCGTCCAATACCCTCCACTTGCGATCCAAATCATCGTGTACATCTTGCTTAGCGGCGGCGAACTTTACTGAGATTTCTTGGGCAGGAGAGTGATATGGTATTTGTGGTACGATGAACCAGAATTCAGTCCAAAGCCACCACAGGAAGGAGCTTTCATCTCGTCCAAGTTCCTCCTCCAAATTTTGTTGTGACCACTGGAGATATAATTGGTTGACTTCCTGTACGACAACTTCGACGGACGGATGGGGATGGAGAAGCATATCGGTAATAATTGTGGAGATGCGGAGTGTTATTTCTTCCTTCTCGCAGAAGGGGCTGCGGTGGATTGTGAGGAGCATGGTGAGCTTTGTTGGTATGGATAATACAAATGTTGAGGAAATAAATTTAGAACTTATAAGATATTTATTGGGGATTGACCAGTCCAATTCCGATTTGGATAGTATGGCTTAAGATGGCCCTTCCTAATACGGAAGTGCCCCAATTTTGACGCTAAAGGTATGGAAAACCGCATTTGAAGTAGCAAGTATGATGTATAACAGGAACAGTAATGAAATTCATTTCAATGTCATAATATTGGGTGAGGACATTGGGGGATTGCATTTTAGGCCATGAAGATTTATCTGTTCGAAGGAGAGTACGAAATTCAAAAAAGTATCTCCAATGTCTTACACGAACTTCGCAACATTCAGACGTCGAATGCCATTCTCAAAGCCGAGTACAGGTAGTCTATGACCTAGAAATTGCAGCAAGGAAAGTGCGTCCAACTCGACCTTGAACGGAGAAGAGAACAAGGGAAGGATACTTCAAACTACTGAGAGCTCTTCCAATTAATGTCGTAGCACTGGGCTACAAGATTGAAAACACTGCTTCTCGAGGCCCACATGGATCCATCAGATAACATTTGGATGTAAATCCGAAAAGCATCCACAATGTCCCATCCCAACTTCGCGACTTTCAGAACTGAAATGCCTCACATGCTATGCGCCAGGATTGTAAGGAGGAACTGCATTCGAATCGACTTGGCTAAATAGAAAACAAGAATGGTATTTCATGTCGTCTTCCACTTTCACAATATCGCTGCGCTAGCTTAGAATATTGAGAACACTGCTTCTTGAGACATCGGTAGATACCAGGATACGTACTGGATATCGTTACAAAACTAATTTCCAATGTACCACCAAAATTCGCAACATTCAAACCCAGAATTTGATACCACCGAAATTCAATCCTCGTTGCTGACTAATCCCAATCCACGCTAGTCCCCATCTCCAAACCTCAACCTCAAAGCAGCCCTGGGTTCCCCTCCCTCCCCTCCACAAGCCCACACCTCAAACACAATGACCGTCACCGAAGCCGTCAAATCCGCCGTCGGGCTCAGCTCATCACCAGCTCGTACGTGTCCTTCCTTCTTTCCTGGAGCTCAATTAGCCCTGCTAACGGAGAACATAGCTGCGACGAGAGAGCAGATGCGCGATGCCAATCTGCCGATCCAGTACCGTGATAGCTGTGCGAATCTGCTGATACCGCTGAATCGATGCCGGTATGAGGAGTACTATCTGCCGTGGAAGTGTGAGGTGAGTTCGTTCTGCTGTGTTGGGGTTGGGGACGTGGGCGTTGGTTTAGAGCTTGGGATGGGAGATGGGACGGGATGTTTGGGGAGGGGATTCAGGATTGGGGACTGGGGACATTGGGAATGGGAGATAATTTGGAATAGAAAGGCTGACGATTGGCGCATTGCAGACCGAGAGACACAGTTACGAGAAGTGCCAGTACGAGGAGTTCAAGAAGCGGGTTGCGAAGATGGATGAGTTGAGGGCTGCGAAGGGTGGTGAGAGGAGCAATTGAGTGGATGGCATGGGATTGATTGGACTGGGAGTCCTTGGGATCGATGGGAGAAAGGATTTCGAAACGGTGCTGTACATATATCGCTGCGGATGGTATCGAATACAATGGCAATAGTCTAACAAGGATTTGGGTGGCTGCGGATGATGTGTGCATAGCGTCGGAGCATGCGGATCTTTCGGCATGCTGTATGCTAACATATGACGAGTGGTGGAAGGTACCTTGATAATGATGTGGAGAGCTGTCGTGTTGGAATACCGCAGTGGACAGGTGAAGGCAAGAGACATCTGGGTAGAGGAACTGCTGTCTCTCGAACCACTGGGAACATATTTAACGTACTCAAATCCTGATCTACATACTTCGATGACCCTAAGTCTTGATCATCACACGCCAGGCCTGATACTCAAAGAATGGCGAACGCGATATACATCCCTACAACCCCCTTCTACACGCATGCTAATATCTATCACCACAGACTCGACTCCGAGAGAGCAAAACAAGACAGCATCTTGCCAGAGGAGCTCTTGCATGTCTCGCAAACTCTGGCATCGGGTTTGTTTACTCTTGGCTACACTACAAATTCACACCACCTTAGGGTACATTTACCAGTCTCAGATAACCTCGGCGAGCTATCCAACATCCCAGATGTGGTTTTGTCTTTCACATAGACAGTGACAATTTCAGGGGCAGATATGAAGCCATTGTTGATAGAATGAATCGTAGGTCTTGAGGTTATGGTTAAGGCTTGTTTTGAGATGGAGGCGTATAGTAGCAGGCTTAGGTACTGTATGTTACTGTGTAGGGGTATTCGTAATATGAGATGAGTTCAATAGACAGCGACTCCAGGCTCGGGTATAAAATGTGGAGGGAGATGAGAGGGAGTACCAATCGGCAGTAGGAGAGTTCCTTGGACCCATCTATGCAACAGTCATGATCTCTTCTTGTTCCCTCGAGACAACTCCAATCTCACGTCATCTTTTGGGAAAAGCTGAAGAATGTGACAAGCATGACATTTCAATACTTTGCTTACTTCCTCGGTAAAGTCCTCATCAACCCCTCCAGCAACGCAATACCTGCCTTAACTCCATCCAAAATATGAATATCCTTCGCCTCAAACTCCCCTAACTCCTCCACCAACGCCTCATAAACATCATCATCCATCCCCACCATCCCTGCACACCCCAAACAAATAACCTTAATATCCCGATCTCTCACCAACCTCTTCGTCGCCTCCTTCATCTTCCTCTTCACCAACGCCGGATCAGCAGAATGCAGCTCACCCGCCGACAACCCCGTGCTCTCCACGCCCTTAAACCGTCCAGTTGCATCCACACTCTGTAAATCCAAAAACCGCCTCACTCCATCTGACAGCTCTTCCTCCCAGTAACTGCCCGTACTCACAATTCCGAACTTCTGGCGGGTTTCTAGACGCTCTAGTTTGGGATCGGCGTACACCATTGGTAGTAATGATAAGGCAGTTGTGATGCTGGCTTCGAAGATACCGGTCACATGAATCCCAGTGGGAACTTCATCTTGCAGTCCGGCTACTAATGGATGGACGCTGTAGCATGCTACGAGATGAGCATCGTAATCTTCTAGTTTAGGACGTAGGTCCTCATATACGATGCGTGCAGAGGCCATGCAATCGTCGCTGTTATCTATGCTGGCGGGACCCTCGGGTGCGGTGTATGTTGTTATTTTGGTGGTGGTTGGGAACTCGGTATTGAGCTTTTTAATCAATTGCTCGACCGAGGCTGTCATAGCCTTTGAGGTGTTGGGGTTGATGACTAGGAGTTTCTTGGACTTGGGTGCCATGGTTGCGGTTGATCTTGTATCAGATGAGATGATAATGAGTATGTAAATGACCAAATTTAGATCAGCTTTGAAGAATTAGGTCAAAGGTTGAGAGGTTGAATGGTGTAGAAAGAAGATAACTTGTAACACCAAATGTATCAAAAAAATCTTTCGCATGAAAGTGGCAAATGCGACTCGTGAAAATTGTCCGAAAGCGGCAATAACGAGGCTCAAACTGCAGCCTCGTCGGCGGGGAAGTTGCGCCTCGCTTGAACTACGGCGCCCCATTCGACCACCGCTCATCGAAGCTACGCTTCGTCAACTCCCCCACCAACCCCCCCCATACCTTACCTAGGTAGCCAACTCTAATTGCATCTCCACGACTTCACATCCTCACTTCTCCCACATACTACCATCGAACAGTCTGAAAAATGGCGGCGGAACCTCCAATAGGTATGATACCTCTCCACAACCACATCAGAAGCATCTATTGACTCCATTCCACAGTCCTGGACGGAGGAACCGGATTCCTCAAAGTTGGATACGCCGCACAGGTATACATGCGCCTCTCCCTCTCCAGCTATATCCCAAGCTGATTGTCTCCTCTCCAGAACTTCCCCGAATTCCAATACCCCTCGATTGTCGGTCGACCCATCCTACGGTCCGAAGAGAAGGGCAATGATGGCCTCGTCATCAAGGACATCATGTGCGGAGACGAGGCGGCAGCAGCTAGAACTATGCTCCAGGTATCATATCCCATGGAGAACGGTATTGTGAAGAAGTGGGACGATATGCAGCATCTATGGGACTACACTTTCTACGAGAAGATGAAGGTCGACACTACTGGGCGCAAGATCCTGCTTACGGAACCACCAATGAATCCCTTGCGCAACAGGGAGCAGATGTGCGAGGTTATGTTTGAGAGATACCAGTTTGGAGGTGTTTACGTGGCTATTCAAGCTGTGCTGGCTCTATACGCGCAGGGTAGGTCGTCAGATATGAATGTGTAGGAATGATGCTGATTGGAATAGGTCTTAGCTCAGGAGTAGTTGTTGATTCCGGAGATGGAGTTACCCATATTGTCCCCGTCTACGAATCAGTCGTCCTCAACCACCTTACCCGTAGATTAGACGTAGCAGGTCGAGACGTCACCCGCAACCTGATTGCCCTCCTCCTCCGCCGCGGATACGCCCTCAACCGAACAGCTGATTTCGAGACTGTCCGCCAAATCAAAGAGAAGCTATGCTACGTTTCCTACGATCTAGAACTCGACCAGAGATTGAGCGAGGATACCACAGTTCTGGTAGAGAGCTATACCCTCCCTGACGGCCGCGTAATCCGTGTTGGCAGCGAACGCTTCGAAGCCCCAGAATGCCTCTTCCAACCCCACCTCGTCGACGTCGAACAGCCCGGTATCGCCGAATTCCTCTTCAACACCATCCAAGCCGCCGACGTCGACGTCCGCTCCTCTCTCTTCAAAGCCATCGTCCTCTCCGGCGGAAGCAGCATGTACCCCGGTCTCCCGTCGCGATTAGAGAAGGAATTGAAACAGCTCTGGCTCACCAAAGTCCTCGGCGGAAACCCAGAGAGGCTGAGCAAGTTCAAGGTCCGCATCGAGGATCCGCCGAGGAGGAGACATATGGTTTTCTTGGGGGGTGCGGTGCTGGCGAATATCATGGCGGATAAGGAGAATATGTGGATCAGTAAACAGGAGTGGGAGGAGCAGGGAAGTAGAGTACTGGAAAAGCTTGGTCCTAGATAGGTTGGTGCATAGTTGCATGAGTTTTTTTTGGAAGCTGGGAAGGGAATGACGAAAATGAAGCTGATGATTGTTTTTGCGCCGACCACGAACTTTTTTTCTTGATACAGATGATTTTGACTTGTATCTGCGTGTTTGAAGCTGTGGCAAGCAATGAGAGAAGTAGAGGAAGTCCTCCGAAATACCAATCTCATTTACTTCTCCTTCTCTTCCTTCTGTACAATTTTTGAAAGCTGACTGCGGCGGAAATGCCCATACCGCTGTTGCCATGTCTGGCTGAGATGCTTCCAGCTCCAGCGAGTTACTCTACGTCCTTGAATGTCTCTGAGTATATGCCTGTGGGAGGGTATAGCAAATATCAAAAGCCTCAGACTATTTCCTTGAGCGCAGCAGCAGCAGCCGCAGCAGCAACCTGGTAGATGCAGAGGCGAAGCTGTGTTTGCGTATTTACTTTCTTATTTATCATTCTCTATGTGAGATGATAAGTGAGTTCCCGATTTAGGGAGAAAATGCTGGGATGGAGGTGGGGATGGGGCTTCAATGAATGAGCGAGCTTGCTGGTAAGAGAATGATATCAGGTCAGATGGCTGGAAAAGCAGTAAGTGAAATTGGACTTGGACTGAGAGAGGTGTAAGTCGTTGAGGATGAGGATGGTTGGTGTGCTGGGAATCATTTTCCGGTATTATCGAGTGGTAAAATTGGGGATCTGTGCTGCGCTTGTCATGTTCTTGTCCAGTTTGATATACCGGAGTTCAAAATCCAGATCTACCAGGAGGGAAAAGTTCAGTAACCACCTGGTCTGGGTTGGTTTGGATTCTTAACTACTTCTGTTGTGATTCCCACCTTGCGTGTCTTTTCCTCGTAATTTACATGATTTTGAGCCTGGGGTGGAGATTTCTATCCTTGCAAGGTTCGCACTTCTCTTACCTTTTGATGCAGAGAAAATTTATGTCCTTCTCCTTGTGTTGCGTGTGCCGAAACTTCATGACTTATTCTGTGTTTAGCTTGGAATATAATTTCTCTCTTTCCTTTTCACTGATGAAGCCGATTGAGTGATATAGTTCCGATCGGATTTTTCCGTGAATATTCCGCTTCAGCAAGTGAGAAGTGGGAAGCTGGTAAGCTGATGGAGTGTGGAGCCTAGAAACGATTCGAAATCTTTGGTATGTGCTCCTGGTGCAGCGAAAGATAATTAAGATGCTGTCTTGGAGAACGAAACTGGATTGGGTTGGGGAATATCTTCATGGAAGCTCAAGCATGTCTAGGGGCTCGCTTACAGATTGCAGGCATGACAAAACCCCCACGGACGAGCCTAGAAAAAGGTTCTTTAGAGGACGGGTCTAGAATGATGTTTTATAAATTTTATCAGGGATCTGCAGTTCCTACTGGTATTCGAGACCTTGCTAGCTGCTGCATCTTCAAAAAAGCGATTAATTGAGCCCAGATGGCGTGCTGCTAGATAAGTCGAAGTTGTGCTGGGCATTATTGCTTCTGCTCTTAGCGCATCTTTGTTGATCATAGTTTCTTAGGACCAGGTTGCTACGTATTCTCTCCATTTTGATGCAGGTGCTCCTTTTTACTCTCTGCCAATTTAGACTTCGAAGGATTGTCATGCCCTTTCGAGGCCCTCTCCAGGCCCTCGCTCTGCAGCATTATTGCTACCCAGCGCTGACTCCGAAGGTCGAGGCATGTCTTAAAATGCAAGAAGCCGGAACAACACACAGAGCGAAAAGGGAATCTTGGATAATCTTGGCCGTGCACGGGATACAAACGCGCCTTAGGATTGGTTCTAGATAACCTCTGTGCTGGCTTGACGCTGAGCTGAGGGACGGGAAGGTTCGAGCCTCGACAGCTTTGGGAAGAATTAAGCTTCAGCTCTCCACTTTGAGTGTAGTTCGAGATAGCATAACCTTCTCAGCTCAGCCTCATCGAGCTTCAGCTCGCTTCTGTCCCGAGCGGCAATTAAAGCGGCTCATAGATGTGGATCTATCTACAACATGCATTAGGCCGCAATGAGTCCAAGTTCTAGATTTTGACTCGAGTAGCGGTGTGTTGTCGCTTTGTTAGTCGAAGGTTAGAAGCAGCCAAGGATCGTGAGCCTCATGTATCTAGTGATATGTGACACTGATATTTATGTTTCGAGATATACATCCAGTCATAATCTATTACCTGGTCCCTCTACCCAAAATCAAAGACGCCAGCTTTCCCATGCCCAAATTCCATTCATTTCCAGTCTAGATCTTACATCTTCAGCGTAGGCCCCGATGACGGTGGTCCAGTCGCCAATCTCCTGTACAAATTCTGCGCAAACTTAACCGCTGGATCATCAATAAACCTCGTCGTGATCTCCGCCAACCAAAATGTAACAGGGAGTAAAATGATATGTGGTGCCAAGAACGCAAACTCCAAACCAAGTGGTCCTGCCATACTCAACGGGAATGCGTTCGGCCACTGCGGCATGTTCTTCAAGTGTCGAATCCGTACGAATCCAACTGCGCTGTAAAGTCTGTCCGCAAGGATGAAAATAACAGGTCCATGGACCAGGTAGAGACCGAATGAGATCTTGCCCAAATACTGACAGAATCTCCCCTCAAAAAACCTCCTCAGCCATCCAATCCGAGGAATCGATGCGGTGGTGAAAGTCGCCGCCCAGAATAGATAAAACCATTTATAGTCGAATGTAGCCTGTGGCTTGAGATACGCAAGGTAGTACCATCCTCTTGCCTTCCATACATTGTTCATATCCATGTTGCGGGCTGGGACACCGCTGAGGTACAAACCGATGACGAGGAGGTGGTAGAAGATAATCTGCTTGTATGGCTCTAGACGCTTGATGAAGCGCGGGAGGTCGTTATTGATTGCCAGCAGATCCAGGTCGCAGAGTAACATGCCGGCTATGAACATGGCAAAGAAACAGCCGTCGGTGACCCAGATGAAATACCAGATGAGAACACATTCCGCAAACAGTCGTGAATTTCTAGGGAATCGAGAAAATGAAACGAGTGCGACGTAGACTGCTATTGAGCCTTTGAACTCCTGAGGGATCGTCCAGATATGTCCGTTGTATGGAAAGAATGGATTCCCGCTGGTGTCGAACATGAAGCTGAAATTCTTGATGTTGGAGTACCATTCCCATATTTCCTCCCGGTATGTCGCCTTGTGGAAATAATCGTCGGTGTAAAACCCTGGATAATGTGCCATCGTCATGTAAATGTATGTCGTTATAGCTACCGGAATCCAAAGACGCATCCATCGTCTGAAAAGTGCGGACGACAGATTCTCAAACAATTTTATCGTTTCCCCTGACTGCATTAGAGTCAGGGGCTTTGCAGACAAAACATAACCGGAAATGACAAAGAAGACTGGGACGGCGAAATGGCCTCCTGTCCAGAAGACTCGAAGGAAAGGGAATGTCGCTAGGTAATGTTTGCCTGTGTATCCAAATGCATTCTCGAAAATCTCATCGTCGCCGCTGGTCTCCCGTACCCAGGAGTTGTGATGCTGCCAATACACCAGAAATGCTGCAAATCCTCTCAACCCATCCAAATAACCAGTCCGGGAAAGCGGTTTCTTGTTTGCTGGAGCTTTCGTCAGGATCATCGGCCGGACGAAATCCAGAACCTTGTACAGAGCTCGAGTGTGCAGAGGGACCTTCGATTCTGCTTTCGTGCTCTGCCAGTACCCCTTCTCCAAGACGTTGTCGTTCTCGTGCGCCATGTTGACCTTGTGCCAGTTGGTCGGCGAGTCGGGGTTGTAGTTCGACATTGTAGATGACGACGTCGACGACGAGAACAAAACCGCGAAACAGTCTCAATTAAGGTCGAAGACCGACAATACCAAACCCCAGAAAAATGTTGACGAGGGGTCTGCCAAGACTACAAATAGGGGAATTTCTTTGGTGGGCCAGAAGCCATTAACTACCCTTTCGGTAAGGGTTGGTTATCTTCAATAAATCTAGTCTAGATCGCATTGATCAATAGTTTGCAGCTGATCAAAGGCTTCTGGATGGATCAACACAGGCCTTGGTGGGCCAGCACGGCCAGCAAGTGAATCAAACTCATGCAATGCACTTCCTAGTCGGCTAGTCATCTGTTATCAGCTCTCGACCACGATAATCTTCAACGCCGTCGAGTCGAGGACCCATCTCAGCTCTCCATCTTCACATGCTATGATTGATTGAGGCAGGCCCGGGTGTTGGAGTGGGACAGTCAACATTCAGTAGCACACCTCCGAGGTTGCGTAGCATTCTGCAGCATGTGGATAGCGGGGGATATCATATCTGCACCCGCAAGGGGCAGAGGCTTAGCCGGATGGTCAACCAAAAACACCAGCCGTGTTTTCTCGGTTGCTCTAAGCGAAAAGGGGTAAGAAAGAGAACAACAAGCGAGCCGACTCATTGGACGAATGTCTGCGCCATTGCCGACAGGGGACACCAGACAAACCTAAACTCTGGATCCGGTCCTGGGTGTGCCTCCGAGCATGGCTCAAGCATGGGCACGGCACGAGTGCGCTGTTTTGCTGAGCCTGCTTCCCTGCCGCACTGGGTGTTGTTCCTGAAATCAAACTCAAAATCTTGCGTGGCCCTGTGCGAATGGGATGTTTAAAGCCCGATACTTCCGCCACGAATCCTTGGCTTATCTGAAGGCTGCCTGTGAGAGCTGGAAAATATTTGAGCGCTTCAGCTTTCCAACATCACGACTGATACATGCTGGATGATGTTAGCAGCGCTATAATTGGAGACTCTCCAATAATCGACATGAGGGCTGCAGCGGCCATGCGAGGCAGCAGGCTTCCCCTCCATGCCCTCGGAGCACTGCACTGTTTTTGTACTTCCATGCGTAATTGCCCTGATTTTTCCAAGAAGCGGGATGCTGCCGATTTCTTCCTGAAGAAAGGAAGCTTTCGATCTACCGCCTGTGCGGACGGGCAGTGCCCCTGAAAGACGTTAGTGATCGTCTTGCGCCCCACCCCCGCCTTCTAAGCTATCCCTGCAACGGCTTAGATTGGACGACGGACAACTACCCTAATCATTTTAGAGTCGTAGTATTTCAATTTTGTGATGAAGGACAAGACGGAATTTCCGTTGGGCGCTCAGCGACTAAAAAGGATGGTGGAAACTCTATTGCCCCCTAAGCAACAACACAGCTTCGTTGAATGACGCCTCATGTTGTGATAAGGGGTCCACGACCTTCTGGATGGGCAGTGATGGAGGTGTTCACAGATAAAAGCAAAGTAAAGAAGCAGACGAGATGCTACAATATCGATAGAAAACAAATATGTAATTCTACAGCTCCGAAAATTTGTATGTTGACTGGCAAAAGGGGACAGACACCGTAGATGCCGTGTTCCGTAACTGTTCACCACTTTGTGGATTCCACCGCAGAAGTTTCCTGGAAATTTTGATCTGGAAGATTGGCTAGATATGCAGCCCAGCGACAGATATCCCGCTGAAGATAAGCCATCACGGTCTGAGCCCGTTGAACAATGGTGAGCTCATGAAGTGAAAGACGGATCCTGATGTGAAGTTGAGCATTCGAAGGAGGAGAAAACTTCGTGAACAAAGCATGAGATGTGCCCCCTTGATTAAAATGAGCCCCCGAGGAAGAAACAGTCTGGAAGACAGACGACGAGCTTCGGAGATTTGAGGGAATCCAAATCCTTCTGCACCTGGAGGCTGACGATATTTTAAGAAAACAAAGAGCAACCACAGCGGCTATGGCTGTTCATTTCCACAATCGATCGCACGGGGACTCATCTCTTTTTGGACTTACTCGTAGCCAGTGCAACCTGACGATACTACAGTAGTAGCATGGGTGGCAGAGCATGGCAGATTTGGGAACGTGTTGAGGCGGCTTATGGCTGTGGCGACCTGGGCTTCTGGTGGGAAATTACTAACTGCCCTAGACAAACGAGCTGGTTCTTGGCACCTCTGACTGACTTCACATCATGCCCTCCGATTTTGCTTCTGTGAGCAATGTGGTCGTTGTATTCCTCGGAATCTACCACTTCCTCCCCCCCCCATCACCCAAATCCTTTGCCTCAATGACGTCGCACTTGGAATATTGGTCCTCGGCTCACTTGTGATTCTCTTCTCCGCATCTTCTACTCCGCATCTCTTCACACCCTCACCACGATTATTATCGGATGACAGCAAGGACGAGGAGTGGGCTAAGAACATGTCAGCGAGGAGGCCAAATGTCGCTTAATTTTCGGCTGGCGAATAGGAGGGCGATAATTGGATGTCGGCTAAGCACGCAGGTACCGGCTTGATGTGTTTGGCTGATCTTGCACCTAAATAGAAACCTAAACCCGACCTAGAAATCTTATCACCTCGGTCAATGCTGACTCCCATGCCTGTTTTGGGAGTCTTGTCCTCGAATAGTATATACTAGCTTCTAGCTCCCCTGTAGTACACATGTCTTGCTGCGCGCGACCTCGGTCGCCGCCATTACTCCTCTTCTCGGTCGAGATCATGGTGGGTTGCTGTTGACGTTGAGTGGCGCCCACCAATGATGCCCAGGCCAAGTTTCTAAAAATTTGTGATGTTTGTGTTGCTCTGCGGGAACAGGCAGGCATAGTGGCTGGAGTAAGCGAATCACAGCTGGTGTTTCTCACAGCAAACCATCGGATTATTGCATCGTTGCACTTGTCTTCCCCCACCCATCCTCCAGCATCATTACCAAGGTTGTTGAATCCTACAGTATTAGCCGAATCGCCCTATCTAGGAAGAGTCTGGAAGATTGCTTGCTTGTGATGATGATGACAGACCTTGACGAAGTTGAGATTTGGTGGTAATTGAAGCTCTTAGACCCTGGCTAGACTCGGAATCCACCCAAACAAGCTGGCACCTGGTCGAGCGGGAGAGGCGAACGGTGATTTGGTCAAGCACCTTACCCGTTGTGTAGGGTAATAAGCCATCAGAAAAATTAGTCAAGCCACAAGCACACGACCAACCTGATCGAGCCAAGTGCTATCTCTCCCATCAAAGAGGTGCCATTCCCTCCCCCGTCTTGCTCTTGATCTCGAACGCCTTTCAGCTTTCCTTCTTGCATACTCACGAGCGTCTTCGAGTTCGAGTATCAAGTTCAGCGTCGACAAGAACAAGGTCACTCGTTTTCGAAAAATCGACAACATGCGACTCTCGTACGCTTTCGTCTTCGCCGTCTCGTCGACACTGGTCGCCTCGCAGAGTGCCTCCAGCCTGGTTGCGCAGCTGCCTTCGTGTGCAATCAGTTGTCTGGCGAGCGCGTCAACAACAAATGGATGTGGAATCTCAGACTACGCATGTCAATGCGGTGCAAAGAAGGCGGATATCACCAAGACTGCTACCCCATGTGTTCTCTCTGCTTGCTCTCAAGACGATGCCCTGAGTATGTTTACATTTTTCTCGCTGTCGCTGGCTCAGGTACTTGGAAATACAGGTTGACTGACTTGTCCTAGAAACCAACTCCTTGACCGGCCAAATATGTAAGGCAGCTTCTTCAGTTCAGACTTCGGCGACCAACGGTGGATCGTACGCCTCCTACTTCCCAAGCACCAGCAAGTCATCAGCTACCAGCGTACCATCTGTTAGCTATCCCGCAAACCCACCACCAGCCAGTACACCGGCGGCGTCCGCACCAGCTTCAAATCCACCAGCTACCTATCCACCAGCTTCAAATCCACCAGCAGCAACCGTATCGTCAGCTCCATCCGCAACGACCAGTGGTCCCATTCAAGCAACCGGCGCAGCCTCGAGGGTCAATGGAGGAGTATTCGCTGCCGCTGCTGTCGTTCTTGCCGCTTTTGCTCTGTAAAGTAAAAGGTCTATGAGTGGATGAAGTAGACGGGCGTTTCTCAACTTTCTTCTTCGGTTACGGGTTGGAGGCCTTTTCGGCGTAGACGGTATTGGAAATCGGCACGAACTTTTTACGACGATTCATCAAGTTCTTGGAGTTTTACTTTTGGTCGCTAATGGAGGAAGAGGTGTGGTGGAGAGATTGGGATCCGAGGGGGTGGAAGGGATGCAGTCGACGGAGGTGGGGAAAATGTAGATATGGAAGACGACGGATGGATCAGATCTGGCCATGTGGGAGGGAGCTTTCACTCTCTTAGCGACCTGTTATATACCCAGATCCGGAGGGCATATCTAATAGACTCAACGTCAATTTTCTTCTGTCATGTATTGCTTAATTCTAATCACACTCCTTTTGACCACGCCCGGGTCGCACTTTTTTTTTAAGCAACCTGAACACCAGCAAAGTATTTCCTTTCAGTCAATCACAGAAACTTTCAAATAACTCAAAGGGTCCAACCTGAGAGTGAAACGTCGAGCCTGTCAATTCGCAGCGCACATGCAATTAACCTGTGTTCCCAAAGTTTGAAAACTGGGGATTTCATTTGACAGCTACATGATCGTCGCTGTCACTTGTGCAGTTCATGCCGTCTGTCAAAATTTGAGTTTTAGACAGCCGGCACGTCGTTGTCGCATCTGAGACTGCGGATGCTGCGCCGACACGGGTAAGGGGTTATCTTAACGAATAAAATTGGCTGAATCCTAGAAGGATTCCTTCTCATTAATGAGCTGCAATTCACAGCAGAAAATCAAGACAACTTCCCCAACCATCGGGCTAGCAATTTCGGGTGATTTATGGTTATTTTCATGCATGGGTCAGGTCTCCTCAATTGTCAACTGCCTAAGTCACATGTTACTTCCTCACAAGAACTTGCTGACATCCAACGGACAAGGCGTTCCTGCACGATCTGACTTTATCGTATAAGGTCGAAATTAATGCTACTCAGATCGGATATGAATTATGAACTTGAAATCGCACAATGCTGTGCAATTGGTCATGTGACTTTCTAATCCTCCTTTCATTTCTTTTGCTGCGCCAAGATCCCAGACTTCAGCTCCTTCATGAATCATGAGCCATACAGGAGCTGATGAAACAGGTTCAATGTCTACAACCTCACACGTGTTGATGAATCTTCTTGGGGTATTATTCCAGCCGCAGCCACCAAAAGTCCAGATGCTACTCACCATTTGTGTCGTCATACTTCCTGACTTTAGAGCATCGAAATTGTGGGTACATTTGTACGCCTCGGTTAATTCGGGATGGATGATGTCGACGTCACGTACAAATATCTCCACGAAATGGCTACTTTGGAAACTAGACAAGACAATAGTTACAGATAGTCGACCATGATTGTGTGGACTTGTCACCGGGTAAGATGTATCCGAAAAGAATGTGGTGGTGTGAGGAAGTGTTGATTCCAGACTTACTGAACATAAGCGCGGTAGGTATCGATGGGATACCCGCTCTAGATGTCACAACGCAATAGCAGCGAACAATTGCAGTGTTGCCCTCCAACTGACGACTGAGGTAAATCTTTATCTCTATCTCTGATGAAAAATTGATCTATACCACAGTTCTTTTCACACTTTTTAAGTTGAGACATACGGCTTCGCAGGCCCACTGAGATCAACATACCCATACTCATTCATCTCCTTGTCACTCCCCATCTTCTTTCCCCACGCCTCCATGTCCCTCATAAAGCCATTAACATTCTCCTGCACACTTAAGTCAATTGGCTCTTGATCCTTCCCAACCTGTCTAATCTGCGTCCTAGCCGCAACGTTCGTCAGCCCAAAATTATTATCATCGAGCTTCATCTTAATAGCTCCTGTGACCCTACCCTCCAACATATCTTTAGGAAGGTGAGGCTCCTGGCACGCTGGTCGCGCAATTCCAACGCCGTCAACAGTATCAAGAGCTTTCACCATCGCACCAACGGTTTTCAAACCACCTGTCACGTAGGTCTTTGTTTTCGTGAGCGGCTTGACGATTTCCTCTGCAAACTCAATAAAGAATGATTCTCGCTTGACTGTGCTTTCCCTTTTATGCTCAAACGCCAAACTCTCGTATGTTCCGCCAGAGAGCTCGATGAAATCAAACTCAGCCTTCTCCAAAGCTTGGCATAACTCCTTCGCTTCGTCAGGCGAGAAGCCCTTGTCCTGGAACTCAACCGAATTGATCTTGATGCCCACAATAAATGACTTGGAGACTCGCTTACGAATGGCGTCAGTGGTCTCAAGGATGAGGCGTAATCTGTTGTCGAGAGAGCCGCCATACTTGTCGGTTCGCTGGTTGGTAGATTGTGATAGGAACTGCGCCAGCAAATATCCGTGCGCGCCATGTAGCTCGATTCCATCATAGCTAGCCTTTTCGAGAAATTCGGCTGCATGAGCGAAGCCATCAATGACGTTATTGATTTCTTCTTGAGAGGCCTGGTGTGGCTTGGCGAATTCCATGCCCATCACGTTACCTAGAGAGTGTTAATGATTAAATCGACTAACTCGAGGACAAGATAAGGAGTAACTAACCTTCGAGCTGAACATCGGACGCCGAGATAGGGTTCTTCTGGATTCTATTCTGGACTTGTCGTCCTGGATGGCTGACTTGAGCAACAATCAAAGAGCCATGAGCTTTTGCCACAGTTGCTAGCTCCTGGAAAGCTTCAAATCGTGGCCCAGAGAACTCTGCTTCACGAGGTATGATTGGGTTGCCCATAGCTTCCAGCTGATCATACTCGATCATGACATTTCCTGTCAAGATGTTCCCGAAGCCGCCTTCACCCCATCGCTTGTAGACGTTGATGAGGTTCTTGGAGGGTATACCCCGAGCTTTGAAATCTTTGGGATCCCAAGATGAGAGACGCTCTGTCATTGCGGCTTTCAAGAAACGATTTTTGGCGACTCGACCGGAGAATTGGAATTTGAGGGGTTCTCCCAATGGGGAAGCATCGTTGCTATCTGAGGAGTATCTTTGTGGTGCCATGGTGATAATTGTAAGAATTTGTATTTTCGTAAATGCAATGATGAACGCTGGAATGACAGGAGAAATCGAATGGAAATATACGACCCGAATAAAGCCTACTCCACTAACTATCCGAACGTCATGAAACATACTTCTAACTCTTATAACAGTGTTTCTAATCAGTTCCACAATTTCGATCGTCCTTACCAGGTACACGGTACTAAGTTCTGCCGCCGTTGCAGACTTTTCGCCACCGAGCGAGAGATCCCCGGATATACACCCTGCATATGAAGCTCACGGTTGTCCACCCCCTGATCCATAATACCCACTCATCAACGTCACTTTCTAGATGTAAATCAATTGACCAATCGTTGTAAAGCATGGAGTGAGGACGGAGGTCGTGATTGGACACAACGTGATGACGGTCTCGCTTAAGAAGGTGATATTTCGGACATAACTTAAGCTCAACAACATGGCTTCGGAGTTATGAATGCACTCCTATGGAAATATCTTGAAGTATATTTCGAAGGGTGATTAACGTTATGGTCGGCTATATAATCCTTTCCGATGAAGCTTTCAACAGAAATGAATGAACTTGGCGGCATGGGAAACACGAAAGTCAAAGAGGCCGAAGATCTCCGAAAGACAAAATCACCATTACTGACGATACCCATTCCAGTCATATATTGTTTCGAAAGAACCAACAACAGCTCAACAAAGTCAAGCTTTCGGTATCAGCAGTTGACCTAAGTGGGACATTAGTTCTCCGCATCACAGCTATTCTCCTGAGACGTTACTTCCATTGGTTCCGAGTTCGCTAGTGTAATGACGTGGGAATTGTAAGCAGGTTGTTGTTGTTGATGCCTCAAGCAATGAAAACTAGATCATGAAATGAGCGTACTTACTTGATTCGAGGCTCAAACACACCAATGTGAGTTCAGGGTGAAGTGACAGTTAGTGTACCTATCACAGGTGAACGTTATGCGAGTTCCTATCTCGCGAATAGGGCCTTGGTTACATTTTGTTTGATTTGTTAGAAACAAGGGCAGCTTAACAAAACTAAGAGCAAGAGAACTTTAGAGTACCTTAATGAAACAATTCACTTTTTGCACACTGCTTCGATCCGTTGTTGAATTTCCAATGGACTGAAGAATACAAACAATGTCATCGCTAACATTGCAATGACCAGAACGAAATTGACGAGCCGCCACTACCACCAAACTTCCAGAGCCATATCCTGATTCCGTGTCTATTCTTCAGCAATATTCTTGGAGAAGTACTGTTGAGAGGCCTTGGTTTTAATCTCGTGCAATCGAAAGCAACTTTGAAGGGGAAAGCTCTGGATGGGATTTCCGAATTTTTAAGGAGCAACGTTCTGTGTTGATAAAATACTGAAATTCTTTCACTTGTGAATATGAATAATTGGAAAGCGGAATAGATTCTATGGTGAGGTTGATCCCTACCACCTAAGTTGTCAGCCTGTCAGTCTTATGCTTGGACAGATGTTGATACTGAACGCAACTACGACTGCGTAGCATGTTCAGACACTTCGTAATGTTACGTAATTGATAATCTTTGTATGGTAAATACGATCCTTGATCTTCAGGCAGTTTCTTCCAGAAATGACGACATTTTGACAAGACAATGAGCTGGACTGGACAGGTCTTACCTCAAAATTTGAATCGCAACCCACTACACCACTTCAACAATCCATGTCCCCTGACGCACTGTACGCACTGGGGATATATTTCACTCATTACCCAGTCTGTTCATGTAAACATATAGTTTTACGTCCTGAGCATCGATTCGCCCTGTAAAATAAGGTGGATCCGTCCGCTTTGTAATAAGCGAATTATTTGTTTACCCCTCGATACTCCGCTTTGCGCCGCTTCATACAATGCTAGGCTATCTGGACATATCTCGTTTGAGGAGTCAGCTCAAAATAGTCATGCTCCGGCGTCGAAGTTCCCAATGACAAATTCGTTCCTGCACACGAAGCTGTGACCTAACCTATTTTGCTAACCCGTAGGATTCTCGGCCAAATCATTGTCCCAGAAAATCCAATTTGATGTCGTTACTCCATTCCGGCTATACTTCTAGCCATCTGCTGATATGCTGAAACTCTACCATCTCACTCCAATCCGATGGTCCTCAAATCCAAGTTGTGGAAGATGAAGCTCGGGACGAAGCAGCTATGTAGAGTTGTCATCCCTGAAGTTTCATTGTTTAAGTTCTGGATTGACAGTGAAATTTTTTGACAGCCCACTCTTGGAATCGTCAACCATGCGACGACATGACTTCGGCCACAAATTAACTTCAATCCGCCACTGTGCAGAGCCCACGAGCAATGGCGAAGCTGATTGAGTTTTCTAGTTCAGTTGGATGACATATTTTCAACGTGAGATATCATTTATGAGCTAGACACAGTTAGAATAGAGAGCTCTAGATCATTCCGAGGACCCTTTTATGACACTATTTCTGTTTTATGAACAATTCGGCTTAGAAACACCCCACCCGTCGCACACTTGCGTTGCTATGCTACCAATCTGCTTGTAAAGTCAACAAAAGTTTGTGCGGGACTTTTCGGTGCGAGCCTGCCAGCAATTCCACCTAGAGGAGAAATTAAAGGGACTACCGATAATGACAAAGAAGAGCATCAAATGTATACAACGAAGTAGAATATCCCCGCTTATGTGTATCAACAGGTGTGGACGTCTATTCAAGCATGCCAACACCACTTGGCGTCCGCCACCAAGACCTCTTGATCCCTTTCACAACCGTCAAATGGACCCACAACATGTGAATCATGTCTCAAAATCCATCAACATCAACAAATCTGTTATCGGACTCGATTGAAGGCTTATCGCAGCACAATTCATTCGGACAGTCTCAAGCCGTATGCTGACATGAGTTAGTGTTCAGGCCACCAATCAAACGCCCCAGCATGCCAACTTTACCTCGTTTGGTACTGAGTCAGCCACAGAACGCTCTCAAAACGGCAGGTCTATCCTGTCCCCAACACCTTTCCCCGCAGACTACTGCACTGAGAGGCAGCTTAACGACCCAGCTACCATAACTGCCAAAATCTACCAGTAATTTTAAGCCCTTGGGACGAACAGATTGTCCAACCTCCCAGGCGGGCCTAGATAGTTTAAGGTGTCAGAAATCGAGCTCGTCCCAGTCCTCTGGGCCCGCGGGGCCAGTAAGCAATGCCATCGCTATCCATCCAGTCCTCTGTGCCCCTGTCACACACCACAGACCATCCACCACCACCATATCGAGGCCAATCCAACATCCTCGCCGAGTCTAGCGCGATAGATAGATAGCTCTTATCGCGAGACTGACAGGGCGTGGTTGAAAATCGGTGCGAATCACAGATGCGGAATCAAGCCACCAGTCTGTCACGCCGACATGGTAGGGTAGTTAAGCTATGGTAGAGCTGCATTGTGATAAGTAGATCGGGGAGGCCGCGACGGGGTTGGTTTAAACGTCGACCTCAAATTTGCAGCTCGTTGTTTTAATCTCCTGCTTTCTGTCTTCTTGAATCTCATACAGCAACTGGAAGCTTGTAAACCTGTTAAGCAGAAAGTAAAGAAAGAATACTCCTCTTTAGAAGCTTTAGAGCTGTGGGTGATTGGTGCAGTAGGATTAAGATGGCGGAATCGGAGCCGGTCGTGAGAACGAACTCGAAGTCAGGTTTGGACGATGAAGCTGTCCTTGCGTCGCTGGGTTATAAGCAGGAATTGCGCAGAGATTGGGGGCTGGCGCATAATTTTGGGATTTCCTTTTCTATTATTGTGAGTCCATCCACTTCAATTTTCATCCTTTTACTCAAAAAAGAGCAAGAGCATGTTCACTGATTCGAATCATAGTCAGTAATCACAGGCATCACCACCCTCTTCAGCTATGGATTGAATACTGGTGGACCAGGAGGTATGTTGCGCCGGCACGACCAAGATCAAAAGAGTGGAGCTGATACAATGCAGTCATGAGTGTGGGATGGATTGTCGTTTCCGTCTTCACGATGTTCGTTGCTCTGGGCATGGCGGAGATCGTATCTGCTATTCCAACGGCTGGTGGTCCGTATTACTGGGCAGCGATTCTAGCCCCAGAGAAACACTCTGCGTTTGCCTCGTGGATAACAGGATGGTGGGCTCCCATCCTTTGACTCTGAATCTCAGAGACCCAACTAGAACAGCCGAAAAAGTGCTGACAAGCATAGGTTCAACCTCCTCGGTCAAGTAGCCGTCACAACAGGCATCTCTTTCGGCTGCGCAGGTCTCATCTCAACAACCGCAACCGTAAAATCAAGCTACACCCCCACTGCCGCCAAAACCATCGGCATCTACGCCGCTGTCCTGATCTCACACGGCGTCGTCAACACCTTTGGCGTCCACGTCCTCAAATACCTGAATAACGTGTCCATCGCTTTGCATTCAGCAGGAGTAACAGCCATCGCCATCGCCGTGCTAGCCAAAGCTCCAACACATCAAAGCGCTAAATTCGTCTTCGCGACCTTCTACGACGGAACTGGCGATCCAGGATGGAGTATCAGAGCTTCACCAGCATATGTCGCTTGTTGCGGTGCGCTGATGTCGCAGTATACACTCACCGGCTTCGACGCCTCCGCTCATCTATCTGAAGAAACGAGAAACGCTTCCTGGTCTGCTCCCATTGGAGTCATCAGCTCAGTTGGCTTCTCAGCACTTTTCGGGTTCTTCGTCATTCTGAGCTTCTTGTTCTCGATCCAGGATTTCGACGCTACGATTGGAAGCGATTATGCACAGCCGGTGTTACAGATATTCGTGGATGTGTTTGGTACTGATGGCGCGGTGGTGGTTATGAGCGTTGTGATGATTTGTGTCTGGCATTGTGGGCTGTTCTCTATGACGAGTAATTCCAGGATGATGTTTGCGTTTGCAAGAGATGGTGGGATTGTAAGTACTTTGCCCCTTTTCATCACTTCCCATACAAGCGAACAAAACAAACAACAGACTTGAGAGATATTGCAAAGTAACTGACACTCGTCCACCCAGCCAAACTTCTTCCACAAAGTCGACCACCGCTTCCGCTCACCCATCCGCACCGTCTGGCTCGCCGCCTTCCTCTCCTTCTGCCTCGCCCTCCCCTCCCTCGGCTCGTCCGTCGCCTTCGCAGCCGCAACCTCAATCGCTACAATCGGCCTGTATATCTCCTACGGCATCCCCATCCTCATCGGCCTCATCTACCACCGCGAATTCATCGCTCGCAAGGGGCCCTTCAATCTCGGCATGCTGTCCCGCCCTGTAGCGTTCATAGCCGTGTCCTGGATCGGCTTCATCACTGTTATCTTTTGCTTGCCGACGGCGAATCCGGTGACGAGTCAGACGCTGAATTATACGGTTGTTGCGGTGGGGATTATTGCTATTTTCAGTCTGGGAGCTTGGGTGCTGTGGGCGAGGAAGTGGTTTGTTGGGCCGGTGAGGGAGGTTGAGGAGGCGGGGAGGTTGGGTGTTGATTTGCTGGAGCCGGGGGCGTTGGAGAGGGCGGAGATGGAGAAGGAGAAGAATGGAGTTGGTGATGGAGTCGTGGTTGAGAAATAGATCTGCTTCTTGGGTGAGAGTAGGGCAATGAGTGAGCTGGTGAGTGGTGTGGATTGTGATTTACTTCGTAGTTTGAATAAGCGTTTTGTACCCTGATGGGGTCGTATTTGGCGGATTATATTCTATGTGATCAAGATATGCACCTTCGTAGAGTTCTCTGACTCCATACTCTGATGTCCAGACGCAATCCAACTGTCCTTATCACGAGGGAAAGATTTTGGAATGGGAGTCCATTCATAGCTGAGTTTGGTTATGAGGAATAAGTCCGGACAGTAGAGGGCGACTTTGGTGAACAGCTTGTTCACTTCGAAAGCTGGTAGATAGTTTCGGGATAAAAATGGAAAACATAGCAGCTAGGATCTGATTCATACATTATTTTGCCCCATTGTAACTTTCAAGCGAGCTCTAGAGACTTCACGGTGCTCGAAGTACAGAGCAGTATAAGCTTTTCTCCTAGGTTCAAAGATCATAAGAAGTGAATCCGAGAGATTTAGGTAACTTAAAGAGGAAAGGTTGATCCCGCGAATGGAATGCAACAGATAAAAGAATACTCGTATAGGGCGAGTAGGTCACCTGACTCTTGGCAGACGCGGTCAACCCCTGAAACAACCGCGTCGCTGTTCAAATTGCGAGCAGTGCCCAATGCCCGACCGACCACCCCGACCCTGACAGCGCAATCTCACGCAAATAGAGAATTTGCCGGCGTCTAACTTTTGACTGATCTGAGATACCCAAGATCTCCCCTTTTTGTTCATCCGGCACACCTTCTGCGCCACTCCCGAACCACGATCCAGCCCTTCCAGCCCTTCCAGACATCCCTCACATCCTCGAACGCAGCTATCCCTAGCCAACACAACGAAACACCGAGACTCCCACGCGACCACATCCCCAGACACGAAGAAAGGAGGTTTCAGCCTTGTGCGATCGCTTTGGATTGGCATTGGCACCACCGGCTTCATACACCACGACCAGAAATAGAACGACACGGACACGCCTTCAACGTTGGCATCCGAGCAACAGACGGTCTAGTCAACGGCGACGGTGAACGGACCCTGACTCGACGATCAACAATACGAGCGCATATCTACCTCATATCTACGTCTGTTTGCGAACTGCCATCTTCCAAACTCCCTCTCTCACGAAACCCTTTACGACCTCCACTCCGCTCCCTCACACCGCCAACATGGGAGGCCAAATCTCCAAGATGATGGGCAAGATCTTCGGGTCGAAAGAAATGCGATTGTTGATGCTGGGACTCGACGCTGCCGGAAAGACTACCATTCTCTACAAGCTCAAGCTGAATCAGGATGTTACCACGATCCCTACGGTGGGGTTCAACGTCGAGACTGTCACGTACAAGAATGTCAAGTTTAATGTGTGGGACGTTGGTGGACAGGATAAGATCAGGCCGTTGTGGAGACATTATTTCAGTGGTATGTTTGGATCCTCTGTAGAAGGTGACTGGGATGGGATTCGCTGGAGGGAGAGGTAGATGCAGATGCAGATAGATAGGGGCTAATCATTCTACAGGCACACAAGGACTTATATTCGTGATTGATTCATCAGATAAAGTACGGATAGACGAGGCGAGACAGGAATTACATCGCATTATCAACGACCGAGAAATGAAGGAATCATTACTACTAGTCTTTGCCAATAAGCAGGACATTCCAGGAGGTAAGCTATACAATAGCGTGGTTGAGAAAGCAGGAACTGACTTTTTATAGCAATGAAACCACAAGAAGTAACGGATGCGCTCAAGCTTACACAACTGAAAGACAAGATATGGTTCGTCGTGCCAAGCTGTGCGACAACTGGTGAGGGATTACTAGAAGGATTGGTACGTTTTCCGCTCTGCTGTGAATATTGGAATATCCGCTAACTTGCGAACAGGCATGGTTATCCAACAATGTCAAATCTCCACCAGCCGGTGCTTCTCAAGCCAAGAAATAGATCCATAGACGACTCTCCTCCTCTTACGGCCTCTCTTCACTTCTCTCCTGGATCTCGGTCGCGGCAATGAATACATGAAATGGGTATAAGATGGGCCGCCAGCCACGCTTCCCACCTCGACCTCGAACCAGACCACCAACCTTCTACCCTTACACTGTACATTTTTTACGGCTGATGCAGCGTTGTGCTTATGCTTGCTTGCTTATTCGTTTACCTGCGTTGTTTCTTGCGTCTTGTTTCTGTTTCCGATGTTTCTTCTAAATTATTCCGGCGGCGATACCAAAACTTCTTCTTGTCACAATTCATAAACAATACGCGAATCAATCGACCGATCGATACGTCAATACTTTCCCAACACAATAAACAACGAATGAACACCTACAAGAGCTACAAAGGGAACACTCCATCCCTCGGGCTTGCTGCGCTGGGCTCGGGGGATGTGGGCGTCTGGATGCGTTGCGATATGGTGGGCGAAGAGATGAGGAATAGGATGCTAGTCCTTGCAGATTCGAATACTTTGACTTGGGTTATACTTATTCGTAGCGTGGTGTTCTTTTATAAGGCTCGTCTCGAGGATATGGGAACTGGATTGTGAATTTTACTCTTTTTTGTACTTTCTTGACTTCTTTGGTGGGCAAGGGGGGCGGTGCGGGCGTGGCGTGTGCTAGAGCAATGGATGGGATGGATGAGTCCAATGGTTTAGATGCGTGCGAACGGATGTCGATGAATGCGTTTTTTGAAAGAACAAAATAGGAATTTTTGTAATCGTAACGTTAGAGAATATTGTAATACTAGGTGTTCGTCGTTCGTTATGTGGATTTGCGGGCTCCCTTCTCCTGGGACGTGTTATGCATCTAGGCACTTATCACTCGCATCTTGGGACTTGGGAACTAAACCGGCCGGTGAGAAAATGAAGTCATGTAGGAAAGTGGTATATGATTTTGAGTGTTTTCATTATGCTGCCAGTGCTATTAACTTCCAAATCGCTCAAGCCATTCATTCGAATGGTATGGTATGCAACGCTCTCACTGTCTCCCTCCCATTTACCGCCTTTCTAATGTACAGCCTCTCCTGTAAATAAAACCATCACTGCGCAGCGCTGTATGTCGAAAAGAGAATGAAAGTCGCGAAAAATGTATATCCCAACCCCCCAAAACGCCATCCGTTATATCATCATCATCCTCGTGGTCTTTCGAAAGTCCATTCGGTCGCTCGATCATGTCGCTCAACATGTTCTGATCTCCACTCTCCATCCATCCCTCCCTCAATCTATCATCCAACTAACCGCACATCACCATCCTGCTATAGAATCAGTAACGACTCTCATCATTGAAGAAATCAATAGCCAACGTACAGGTAGAAGTGAGACATTCTTCTAGCGGAAACAGTTCAATCCGCAACATCTGAAGCGGAAGACGGGGCGGCGCACGCCGTGTCTGTCGGCTGTGATGGTTCCACCTGCGCGGCGGCCGCCGAAGGGTTTGCTGTAGAAGAAAGGCATTTTTGTGTGTTTGTTTGTGTGGCTGTTGGAGTTGGAGGTTGGAAGTTTGTTATGGTTTTTGGTTTTTGGCTTTGGAAGAGCAGAAGTATGTTGGTGGGAAGCGGGGGATGTTCTTTGTCTTTATACCCGCTGGTGCTGGTAGGATTGATTCACTTAAGTTGGAGAAGGCACGCTGGAAATATGATTGAACCAAGAGATAAAGCTAAATGACGGCGGGCACTGCCTTCCTCTTTATCTACTTATTTGATACCCACCACCGCACTACATCACCGGCCAATTCCCACCCAGCCACACCAACCGACGCAATCAAGGCGGGCTCCCAAGACGCTAGCTGGTACTCAAGTTCCAGTCAATCTACCAAAAGCAGGTTTTTTGACAGCCTGGGCGTGGAAGGTTCAGGCTGTGTACTACTGTACTCCGTATTCTTGTGCGCGTATTTTGGAGAGAGGTTGGTGTTGGCATGAGAAGAGGCGTTCCTTGGCTGACGATGTTGCGGGATGGGATAAGGGGATGATCAGCAGGGCAGGGAAGGGTGGACAAGCGAGGTGTGGCTGTGTTGTGTTGTGTTGTGGCGTCTAAAGTGTGGCGGTGCGATGAAGCAGAGAACAAACGCGGAGACGAGAGAGGTGGTTGTAATGCGAGTTACCTGGACGAGCAGGAAAGAATAGACTATAGTGTTTGAACATTAGATGACTTGGTACAGCTGATGCTGTATTATTATTACCTTGGTTTACATGAATGTTTTCGATGATGGATTGGTATGGTATAAGGATGACAATGTATTATGCATGGCGCAGGTTCAGAAATACCCAGGTACAGTCTATCTGGAGGATTTTCTCGCTCTATTCACGACATTCCGCTGCATACAGAAGAAGGTGCCGAATTGAGCGAACAAGTATCCTGAGGCAGCTTCTTTTGTGCGACTTCGTTCTGCCAGCCAAGGAAGCGAGGTTGTGTTGTTTGACGAAAAGGGGCTCGGCTAGCCAAGCGCGGGAAACGCAGAATCAACAAATCCCTTACTCTGGACTCGTGGTTGAGTTTGTATCGCGAAAATGACATCAGGCAGTAACACAGAGGCATTATGTCTGGTATGCATTGCGTTCTAATTTGGAAGCCTAATGCTCGGATGCACTATCTCCAGCTTGATCTCGAAGTCACAGAATACAAAATAGAATAATACTACCTGTTCCTCGAAAGTACTCGATGCGGCAGTGTCGACGCCCAGATTCCGTGCTGGTAGATAGTAATGCCATTATATTAGGTCGTGGGCGGAACACGAAAGAGCGAGGCGAAAAGGAATTTCCTATTATTTCTGAAATTTGGGGTCGGAGGAGCAGAGGATGGATGCGCCTGGGGAGAAGCGGATGTTGGATGTTGGAGGGGGACAAGTAGGATTTGCCACCTGTGCCAAGGGAGATGCCGTTCTGAGAGAAATCAGAATAGAATATGGGATTAGCAAAATTTGAGGGTGTGGCTTTGTGGTTTTTTTGCGGAGGATAATGAGGGAAGCTAACGGTTATTTGAAGAAGCAAAATCGAAAGGAATGTCATTGTTGAATTGCCAGACATTTTGAGTTCTAAGTAAATGAACTCAATGTTAAAAGAGGAAAAATCCAGGATATAATATATGCAAGAATGAGTCTTTGTATTTCTATCTAAAACACAAACACTCCATCTCTTTCTTAAATCAGCCTACGCGACACTTCGCCATCGTAACTGATTTAGACACCTGCCCCGGACATCAAACCAGTTCCCCACAATTGCAGTCTTATTCGCTCAAGCAAGAAACGGCAGTGAAAGATGGTCTTCCTAGCGGCAAAATTGGGCCTTGAAGTCTCTATCTGTGGAAATAGGTTCCTCTCTGGATATAGCGGCTTTCATGGAGTGATAGTGGATCGTACTTGTTTCTCGCTTAGGAAATGGAATGCTATGAACGTTGATTCTTTGGGTTTGGACATCACTATTTGTAGTTGCTAGCAATAGAGGATGCATCAAGGCTGTGTTTGCTATTAATTTACTATTGACGGAATGTGACGTTATCGTGCACGATGCTTCCGCTGCACTGGGATCTGAAGATGTACAAATCAAGACAAAAATCCTTCACCCTTCATTCATCATCCTCCATCCTTTTTCCTTCTTGCCATGATCAAATCCACTGAATTGAGCCCACCAGTTTAGACTTTATTCTTTGTTGGATGTATCGTCATCAGCAGAGTCAGATGCAACATCGCTTTCCTCTCCCTCTACATTTCTTTTGTACCCGCATCCTGGATGCTCGTCACAGCCTCGACAAAGCGTATTGACTTGACTGTCCAGCCTGAAATATCCCAAAACTTCGGATGAGTTATATCAGGGTGATCTGGATCATCACCATCTGCGAGTAAAATCTAATCAGCTCTATTGCTAAATATACTGGCTGGTCTCAATACTTACTTTCTTTCATCCGCTTCCGTCTGGCTGCATGACATTCCTGAAGGTCAGACATGGTTTTCAAGAACGAATTGGAAATGTCTTCCCATGAAACATCCTTGGTATGTCTCGTAGTGCATTGGTAGGTTCTTGACTCGTAAGGTAAAAGTACCGACGGGTTCCATTGGGGATCGATGAGTTGAACATTGAGTGACCGAAGGGAACTGGTCGGTCCGACCACGATCGAAATATGCTTGAACCCTAGATTGGAAAGCTGCCTACCCAGGTAAAGGACATTTCCAAAGTAACCAAAGAAACAATTGTTCAGAAGTGCATCCCAATGTTCGAAAGACAAGATAACATTGGAGAGTTCTGGACGATCTTCATTCTTTGCATCCTGGAGGTAAAGTGAGAGATCGTCAATACTGCTGCGAAAGTCTTCCTGTGGATTGGATGGATCATCGCCGCCATCCAAGCCATGTAGCCACACTGTGTCAACCCCTGGGTTGATGAAAACACACGGATTCTCAAAATATAAGCGACCCCCGATGTTGAACAGAGTCTCCTGACATTTGAGCGCTTCCGCTCTGGCTTCCTTACAGGCACCACGGACCCACAGCTGTTTGACTTTGGTTATGGGTGCAGGCTGATCAGGGGTTGGTTTCCACGTGGAATCAACTATAGCTCCAATCACTCGTGGGGTGTATAGTACGTAGTTTCACTGCAGGCAATAACTGTTAGCTTGAACTCTTCTCATTGGGCGAGCAATGACTCTTTTGGCGGCAGAAAACTCACAATCATTAAACGAAGCTCCAGAGGCAACTTGGGGAACAATGGAAAGGTGAAGAGTTTAGTGATACACAATTCATCCTTAAGGGCCTTGAGCTCCATCCTTGTGTGAGCCAGTGTTGTCTTCGACGCCGAACTCTCTGCTCCAAGCCGGAGCACATCGCCCTTGAGTGTAGAAACTTGGGTTTGTAAGTTGTTCATTGAAGTGAGAAGGCGGGCCAGCAGGTTCCCAGGGATCGCAACAGGTGAAAACCCAGCAGTCTGGGCAACTTCAAGTACTTTTAGGATGAGAATGGTTCCGCTAGAGTTGGTGTCGCCTGTGGTTTGCAGGACTTTAGCACCTGGGCTGGTGATCTTGCTCTCTGCGTCATCATCGGTCTTCTCTGAGGGGCTGGCGGTGTTCTTGGCTTGGCCTGTATTGGATCCGACAACGAGGTTTCGACAGGCCACCGAGGCAACGTCAAGTGTAGATGTGCTGGCGTTGTTTTCGTTCTGGACGTAAACAGATTAGCATCACTTTGACCAGCGCGTGGGAGCAGGAGGTGATGTCTGTTAGCACTAACCATTGAGGCAGCATCAGCTACGATCTCTTGTGAGCTTTGCATGTTCACTGCTGATTCCTAAAGCCAAAGTGCTAGTTGCAGATGATAACTTGAAAGGGCGTCAGGAATTCGAGGTTGAACCTGAGCTTCAGACCCGCCAGTGCACGAGACGGGAAGTGAACAAAGAGGAACGACAATCTCGAGGAACAAGTTGTTAGGATATGTGCGGTAGTAAACCACGGCAAACCAGAGATTGTCGCAATCAAGGGAGGCTGCCCGATCTCCACGATTGGCAATTTGTTCTTTGAAGTCAAGGAAGAAATCGCGAGGTGACAGGAAATGTACTTCTCAAAAAAGAAAACGCGCTAACGAGAAGAGGTGCCTGGCCACCCTGAAAATCAGGCGAAGACAGCACAGTGAATACAAAAAACAAAGCACATCATGAGCATGTAGTGCAGAAGGTATTGTCGGTAGACGACACTTAGGCGGGTGTTAAGCCTGGTGACAATTGACTCGCACTACAAGGTCCTGTATACAGACCCAGAGAATACAGATTGTACGACTGCTCCACCAAGCACGAACCTCCAGGACAATATCAGATCTTCCAGAGTCCTAAGAACTTGAGTATTCCACTTTCCTCTTTTGAAGCTTATGCTGACCACGACTTTCCAAGTTACTCCTCTTTGCCTCGAGCATCCATATGATCAACTTCAACGACATACTCAGCGAACGTGCCAGAGTTTCTCCTTGATCTAGTCATTCCCTCTGCATCCAACCCATACCCTATTCACCAACCCTGATGAACAGGCGAATCGGATTAACGACATGCCCAATCGGATTCGTGCAGGTGACGAGACATATGGATACCAAAGAGTGAAGATTTATTCAACTCTCCAACATGTCCTCGACCTCATAAGATTCTTCTAGGAAGCCTCTATGTGTCTAAATAGTCTATGAAGTTGCGAATGAAAGACAAAGAGATGGGATTTGGGCCAAATACTAGAGGAGTAACCAAGGGCGTGCTGCACTTTGACGGATAGTGACCTGAGGGACCCTTGAACAATTTTTACCTGAGGATTTCAAATAGGATTTCAGTGTAAGCTAGATTACAGTAAACTATATCATCAAGCTAACAGGAATTTATGGTGTTTCGTCGCGACTTTCGCCGCCGACCCGTGATTGTATTGCAATTTAGCCGAAACCCCAGATTCTTGCATCCAAATCAAATCTGGAAGCTCGATAAGAAAGCAGAAGGCCAAATTCATACATAGCATATACTAGAGTTTAGAATTGAAATTCTTTTTGTTGCTCAACGAAGTGGCCCGGACCTACAATCAGTTGTTGTCGCTGTCAAACCCCCCCTGAGATACTGACACGCTCGCTAAACCCCAAAGTGTGACTGAAAATGCCCCTCTCGAGCGATACTACCTAGAATCCCCAGCACTGTGCCTCTCCTTCCTACTTCAGTCAACACATGATTTCGAGTTAAAGACGTGGATCAATCCGAAAACCCCTATGAAACTGCGTGTTGAACACTGTCCACGAGGTTTCGCTGGCCCTGTAATTCCAGGGTATTTCGACCTGCTTTCCCGTTACAAAAATACCTTGACTCAAGCTCGAACAAGGGGGATAAAGCTAGTTGAAGGAAGTGTGAAGTCAAAACCGTCTGTTCTCACACAAAGATAAGGTTAAGGTAAAGGAAAAGACAAGGGAAAAGTTAAGCGAGTATCTCGAGCTCAAGAGAGATATACGTAGCTTACTCTTACTATTTCTATTTCTTTTCCTTCTTCATTTGATACTCTACTTTTACTCTCTCGTAGATCTTCATCGTAGTCCCTCTTCGTAGTCCCTCCTTGTAGTCCCCTCTCGTAGTCGCAGCCTTTCATATAGGAATTGACTTTTAAAGCTGTGACTTATACCCTCCTGCTGAGTTCCAAGGCTCTGAGACCCCTTGTTTCATCGCCTAGACCTCTTGATTAATAACTACTCAGCGTGATTCCAAATGCGTACCACCTCGTTTCAACCAATCGAACTAATAGGTCTTAACTTTAAACATAACAACAACCAGTGGTCATGAGGTGGTATCTCAGTGTACCAGTGCGACTCGAATTGTACTTAAACGCGTCTCCTCCCCCAAAAGTTTCTTCAATCCAGACAATCATTCTTCACGCAATCAGCCCCACATCCCGAAGCTTCAGCCGAAGTAAACAGACCCCAGAAGGATGGCACCAGACGCAACTCCAAATGTCTCATTGACCAACACATCTCACGACAAGACCATCTACAAAGTCCCCGGATCCAGCATTGTCTTGCAGAAGAAATCCATCATGGCACCCGATGCAAAATTGCGTCTTGAGTTGCTGCAGCAAGAGGACAAGTGGGAATGGGCCGTTCTGCTTAAAGAGCGTGGTTCGAATGGCGCTCGTGAGTCTTCCGTCCCACGCATATGCAGCAGGTAGATATGCATACAAACAGAACTGACAAATCCAGTATCGAGAGCGACCGAGATCGATTCCCGCGTGGGATGCGTGCTTGACGGAGCAATTGTCTACTACGAAGATGGCCACAAGACTCCATGTGGCCCACGGACTAACCGGCGAGGCGGCAGAAAACACCGTTTTGGTCGGTCAACGCAAGAAACTCTCATTTAAACAAAATCGTCTTTGGCTAATTGCGATTGCGCGTTGGACAGGCGGCCTCGCATCCGAAAGATTCCCTATCCCGCCGGGCGACGAAATCACAAAAGTCGAAATCGGCGTCGAAAGTTACATGTTGAACGGTCTTCGCTTCCACATGTCTGGTGGCACATCTGGTGGACATCTCGACGAGAACACCCCTGTTCACACTCTTGGTCTGTTACCCCCCATCCCGTCCCCTCCCCTCACTTATCTCCCCTCACTTCCTCTCCTCACCATGATCCAAGCAGTCGATTCGCTAACACCAAGCAGAACCCTCCCCCGGCCACAAAATTGTCGGTTTCTACGGCTGGAGCAGATGGGGCCAGATCTTCAACGAGGTCATGGAGTTCGGCATCATCACTGCGCCAGGCGATATAAATGATCTCCCTGAGATTATATACGATATGCCGGAGCTGCGGAATAGCAATGGTGGGAATGCGGATGTGAGTTGAGTTTTTGTTTGATACTGTGGTGGGTTTGAGAAATGACGGCTCTGATGTTTTTGTATAGGCTGGTGATGTGATGTTTTATGATAGTGATGGAGGTGAGAGTGTAGAGTGGATACGAGGATGAGGATGGGGATAGTGACGGGGATGGTACTGTGTATTGACTTGGGATTTCTGGTATCTGAGTCTGTTCGAAATATAGGGATTGTAGGCGTTGACTTTGTACTGTAGGCTATACTACTGAGTACGCTACCCCTTCATATAGGAGGTTCTCTCTCTCTGTAGTAGCTCCTTATGCAACTGCAATTCTGACAGAGTCAATGTAGTAAGGGTCATTCTTATTTCTTTTGTTCTTGCCTCAGCTGTTGTGCGGGGCGCTTGGGTATCTGGGTGTCTTTCGGGTTTCGTGTGATAGATGTCCTTGCCAGGTCGACGGAATATCATTTTTCTGATTATAATACTGGGACTTGAAGGGAATCTGTATCGGGGGTTGGGGAGCAAGAAAGGTCGATACAAGAGTTGGGTTAGGTTTATGGCACATGTAAGGAGTCATAGTATAATGTCACAGTTAGCGAAGAACAAATGTACGATGAGTCTCCGTGTCTTTCAAGTAACCTGGAAGTATTTTTTGAAATCAAATGTATGATTTTTAACACAACATCGTTGATGGTAATCGTCGTATTGAGAGCAACCAAAAATAGATCTGGATAGTTAGACCCTTGCCGTTGCAAGTAAAAACATAGTCACGAGCCATATCAGAAGGTCTTTAGACTTCCAAGTCGATGTACCCTACCATCCCCAAGCACCCAACTTCCAGCTACCCAAATCACCTTTTATCCCACCCAGCAACAAACACCTCCACCAACGGCAACTCCATATCCTCGGGCAAAACTTCCTTGAAACCACCCGTCACAGCTCTCTCAATCTCCCTTGGCATCAAACCCCTAAAAAGTTGTACAGGCTTCTGCAACGCCTCATACAGAAGCACCTTTCCCCAACTCCTCTCCAAGACCGACGCCGGATCAATAAACATTGTGAAACTCTGCAATTCCGGAAGATTATCCAGAGAATCTTCTTCCAGATGCACTACGTCAGAATAGAAAGGTGATACCAGGTAGCCGTGGAGGGTGAAATCACATGTCACCGCGACATGTTGCAGCGTCTCGAAGACGGGGAGAGGTTCATCCCGGGAAGAGAAGAGCCAGTGTAGTATAGTCGATCTCTCCCTATGATCCGGCCCAATGAACAAGACCATGTCGTCCTCTGGATCCCACCAGGGTTTATTCTCCTCCTCAATCTCCGATCCAACAGCAAGTCTGTACCGCTCCAGCGTCGCAAGTCTCGCCATCCGACAAGCATGCATCAGATTCAGCACCTCACGCCTAGAAGTCGCCATATCGGCGTTGGACGGCCTCCAGATCGCAGCTTCTTTTGACTCGTAGAACTCGTCGTCCAGTTCCCCTCCCTCGTCGGTGAATGGGAAGTGCATGGTTCTGTAGGCGGCTTTAAATTCGCGGATCGAGGGGAGGATGGCGCGGGGTTTGGACAGGTCGAAGTCGAGGAGGAGGCGGACGACGCCGAGGATTGAGCGTGGGTCGGGGATGGCGTGCTGCCATATTTTGAATTGGATTTCGCGGGGGAGGAGGGGGAATTGCGGGAATGTTGGGGTGGGGAGTGTGAGTGTTTGGGAGGACTCGTTGGTAGGGATTATTCGGGCTGGAAGATGTCATGTCAGCGTTTATTACTTGTGCTAAAGTGTTGTTTAGGGAGCAGCAGGCAGCAGTATTGTGCTCAGAGGAAAGAAGGGAATGGTAAATTTACCCATGGTGTAGGAGTGTCAACAATCGAGAATGCGGATCGGCCGTGATGACAGCGGGGTTGGTTGGACCTCAAACGTCAATTCTGGATGGCGGTCTGGCCAGATGAATATGCCCTTCGATAGCCGTGATTGCAGTGTGAATTGAAGCGTTATCGTCGTTGATGGTAAAGTTGGAAGTTGGAACTAGGAGGATACGAAAGATGGGAGACGCGTCACGTCTTAGGCAGCACCTGAGCCAAGCACCAGATCACGTGACGGCACTATCATATACAAAGTTTCGCTCCTGAAGGCTAAGTTAACTCTATATCAACGTCGAAATTCCTGCTTCTTCAATTCATTGCAAGATCCGGCACTTTCTGCGGCTTTCCTGGCACTTCTCTGGATTCTGCGTATCATTTGCTATTCAAGGTGGCTCGAGAAGCTCAAGTGAGAGTCTCGGTTTCTTACCTACTCTTGGCGCGGCACAATTGCGACTTTGATATACGAGGTTGATTTTATTTTGATTCTCAGTTGTATTGGAATTGTTGAGGGTTTTCTTGTTTCGCGCGAGTGAATTGAATATGATGATCAAAGCTCCGCTTTTCTTAATCGTATGCTTGCAACGTTCTGATGTTTCCTCGAGGTACCAGACTGGGCTCACATCGCATTGTCAAAGACAGGCCAGTGACGCTGGAACAGTCGCTGCTGGAAGTCTAGGATGACGAGCTGTTGATACCGCATACTCCTGCTCCTTTGTCAAGTTTATCGACCTCATGGATCAAGTCAGGCCATGTGTCGTTAAATCGGATACTTGCTGGATACATAAAGAGCATTCTTTATGGCAGTGTCGACTGTCCTCGTTGTGCTAATGCGCTCGCAGTGGAAAATAAATCCGTCCTTCGAGTAAGCAGGGAGGTATGGAAAGATACAAGCAGATGGTCATAAGAAGTCGTAAGAGTGGAAGGCTTTTTGAGTTCGGGCGAAAGGCTTTCCAGATGAATGTTGGCTTGTGAAGATTCACTGCCCTTCCTCACTCATCCTCCATGATGTTTAGTATGGACTAGTCAAACTTAGCAAGAACTGGATACCTGTTGACGAGTGTCTCATAGTTTGATCCCACGACCTCGGTAATGAATTTCCACGGCTTTCGAGAACCAGGGAACATCCACGCGAATGGGACTTGCCTTTCGCGAACCAATGTCCATGCTGTCAGATCCTCGCGTGTAAAAAATCAGTCAATCAAGAAAAATATTCTTGATGGCTTATTGATGATTCTAGAAGGACCAGTCCCTAGCCAGCAAGGTTCCACCTAGGACAAGAAGGCAGTCAACCTTCGGGTAGACAGACATTTTTCAACCTCGTCAACAACATCCCTTCTTGGTTCACATTTCCGGACGGTGGATTCAACTCCCCCACCTGACTCCCAAGAAACTATCGTCCAAGACGAAGTGATTACTTTGTTGAGCAAATTCAAAATCTGCATGCTCTCAAACTCGACGCTATCCCAACCGATGGTCAAAAAAACTCTCACCTCAACCCACGGGCAACAAAACAATCCGCGAACCAACCAATCATATCCTCCATCTCATCCAAATCTCACACTGTTTCAGCTCTACACAAGCCATCCCTTCTCACCATATCCCGACTTTCGTTGAAATGCCCTCCACTTTCTCCAGGCAACAACAATTGTACCCTGCAGGCAACTTAGTGTAGTAAAGAGGTGGTGGGGTTTAAGCCGCAGACGCCTCCCTCCGCTATTCTCCCGGCAGGCGTTCCCGTTTATCTCGGGGCTTTTCAAGCCTTCAAGCCACAGCACAAGGCAGCAACAAATGTACCCTGTCGAAATGTCACAATTTCAACAGTCGAAGTGTTGCATCCTTGTTCGGCTAACCGCATACAGCATCTGATACACATAAAACTTACCTATATCGGCACGCTCTGTGGCATTTGCTCCGAATTTTGACGCCTTCACCGCCTGTCACGTTATTTTTCTTACCAGTGGGATATTGGAAGGGGAAATTGCTAGATGGCAGTCCTAAGATTTGAGTGAGTGTATAGGCTAATTGGGTATCCTGCTCGTCTGTTACCTGGGCTTATCGGCCTATGGAAAGAGCTCGTTAAATCTAAGGGACATGGCACAGAAGTGGTTGGGGGTAGAAGTTGGGTAAGGACTGGCCACTCTGGTGAGGTGAGGACAGGGTGTGGCGCCTGTGAAGGGAACGCCAAGCGGAAAGAATGACCTGCGGGCGTTGCGGGGTAGCAGTGCGAAAGCTCTAGCATGCTTCTTCCCTGCTTGTGGGCCAATCGAATAAGTCAATAATCGATTGACTTTGATCTCTCGCTCGACCACCACCCTCAATAATGACAGCGACAACGGCGATAACTGCAGCAGCGAAGTGAGGGCCACCACCTTCGGTCGCTCCGAAGCAACATCTGATGCATTCTTCGGCCTTGTCGGCTACTCACTATTTCGGGCCTGTTTCATACCCTTCTCCTTTCCATTGGTTTAACATGACCGGGACTTAGGGACGGACAGCTGTACATTCAGTAACATACTGGCTGGATCCCGAAAGATGGTGGTCTGTATCTCTTGGCAAGTATCGTATCCTGGCTTGGAGACGAGCTAGACGAGCTAAAAAGATTGGCTTTTGCTTGAAAAGCGAACAAGGAATCTTGGTGAGCTTAATTGCTAGTGGCTGGATGAAATGGACGACAGGGCTCCGGGCTGCATTTGCTTGTGCATTGCAAAATACCCAGATGGAAAGTCATGCTTTGAGGGAAGGGAAAGCAGATCCTGATCGACAATCTACGATACATCTATGGAAATGGGCGTTCGTGCGGGCTGTTGTGCGACAGCAGGAGAGATGCAACTATTGGCCGTGGGCAAGTTGGTATATTGTGCGAGGTGAGAAATGGTAGGTAGGTCGATAAAAGTCCGTGCCTCACCTGCAGATGCGGGCTGCGAGGTAACACACCATACAACCCTCGATGTTCGACATGGACCACTGTCCTCCACCTATGGTCGTGATGGCGGCGGTGGTGATGATGATGATGCGAGCATTATGGTTGCATTGGAAGCAAGCAAGGGACAAGGGTAGCTTTCGATTTTTCCTGGGGTTCCAACCGAACTCCACAGTCTGCGCGAGAACACGGGCACGCTCGAGCTCAACCCCTCCACTCCATGTCTGCCCATGGAGGTAAAGTGCATGTAGAATTGTCATGACCCCAGACATCGCAGATAAGTATAAAGCTAAGATCAACCCCAGTTCCGGCGCAAGAACAAACCACCCATAACCACCCTCTCATCTTCCCTTTTCTTGGGGACCTCCCCTTCTTTCTCTCTGTCAGGACTCGTTCTTCAAATATACCCCTCTCAGCTGAATCTCACTATCCTCAAATATGGCCGACTCTGGTGCGCCAGATATCGACAATGCGTGAGCGCATCCTCTCTCACCTCAAATGGTCCATAACTGATAATCTCCAGTCCCAAGGCAGCTCCAGCCACTGAGCCACTCGAAGTACCCCACAACGAGAAGCGCAAACAATCCATCTTCCTTGATGCCGAACGCCGCAAAGAAAAGCTAGCCGCCATCGCAGAGAACACCACCGGAGAGTTCGTCGTCATCGATTCCCTCCACTCCACTCACCTCAACTAACACAACTCTAGAATCAAGAACCCCCTCGTCGGCATCCCCAAAGACCAATTGATCCGCGACGTCGAAGACTTCGCCGCCGAGTTCGACCTCGCAGACATCACACCCTACCTGATCAAAGGCGCACTCGTCGCCCAAAACCCCGCCCGCATCGACACCATCCACGAGCTCGACGATGAGGATCGCCGCGTCCTGACTGAGGAGGTCACGCGAAAGTGGAAGCACCCTCGTATCCTCTACCTCACCATCGTACTCAACTCCATCGCGGCTTGTGTCCAGGGTTGGGATCAGACGGGATCCAATGGCGCGAATCTCACGTTTGCGATCCAAATGGGCATCTCGGATAATCCGCTCTACTGCGATAGTGCGTCTGAGTGTAGCAGGAATTCGTGGCTTGTGGGTTTCGTCAATTCTTCGCCTTATATTGCTATCTGTCTGTTGTAAGTCCCTCTTCCAATTTTGACTGGAGTTGGCCTGACTTTGCTAGTGCTGCTTGGATCTCTGACCCTGTTAATCACTTCCTTGGACGTCGTGGTACCATCTTCCTGGCTGCTATATTTAGTGTCCTTGCTCCACTCGGATCTGGATTGACGCAGAAATGGGGACAACTGGTCGCGTGTCGTGTGAGTACTTCATCAGTGGCGATTGTTTATCACGTGCTGAACCATGCATAGGTCCTTCTTGGAATTGGCATGGGATTAAAGGAAGTTACGGTTCCAGTTTACTCTGCGGAGATTGCTCCAACGAGCATTCGTGGTGGTCTGGTTATGAGTTGGCAAGTTTGGACTGCATTCGGTATCTTCTTGGGTACTTGTGCCAATTTGGTGTATGTATATTTGCTCCGTCTTCCTCCTTTGCCAAGATTTTGGCCCATATCTGATTTTTGGCGAATGACAACAAGTGGCAGGAAGTATTACTAATGGTTCTCTAGATTCGTCAACACAGGCTCAATCGCATGGCGACTCCAACTTGCGTCAGCATTTGTCCCCGCAATTCCCCTCGTCCTCGGAATCTGGTTCTGCCCCGAATCTCCCCGTTGGCTCCTGAAGAAACGCAAGATTCCACAAGCCTACAAAGCACTTCTCCGTCTCCGCAACAGCCCTCTCCAGGCTGCCAGAGATTTGTACTTCATCCACGCACAACTCGTTTATGAGGATGCCCTGCTCGAGGAGAGTGGTCTGTCGAAGAACGGAAATATGTTCACTCGCTTCATTGAACTGTTCACCATTCCACGTCTTCGCAGAGCTACTCAGGCTTCGGGTATTGTCATGATTGCACAACAGATGTGCGGAAGTGAGTCGCTCTTGGTTGGGTCAAGTGTCAGAACTAACATGCCTCAGTCAATATTATCGCATTCTACTCGTCCACCATTTTTGAGCAGTCTGGTGCTAATAATATCACTGCACTGCTTGCATCATTCGGATTTGGTTTGGTCAACTTCGTATTTGCTTGGCCGGCTATTTGTAAGTCTGCTTTATCACATCATCCGAACTAATCTTGCTAACTCTCAATTCAGGGACAATCGACACCTTCGGTCGCCGCGGTCTCCTCCTCTTCACATTTCCCAACATGTGCTGGTCCCTCCTAGCAGCAGGAATGTCCTACTACATATCCCCCTCCAGCCGCGCCCACCTCGGCCTCGTAACCTTCTTCATCTACGTCTACGACGCCTTCTACTCCCCCGGCGAAGGCCCCGTCCCCTTCACCTACTCTGCCGAAGTCTTCCCCCTCTCCCACCGCGAGATCGGCATGTCTTGGGCCGTAGCAACCAACAACTTCTGGGCCACAGTCGTATCCCTCACCTTCCCCCGCCAGCTCAAAGCCTTCGGCGTGCAGGGCGCGTTCGGCTTCTACGCTGGCATGAACGTCATCGCCCTGGTGCTCATCTTCCTCTTCTTGCCGGAGACGAAACAGCGTACTCTTGAGGAGCTGGATTACGTGTTTGGTGTTACGACGCGCGCGCACGCCAAGTATCAGCTTACCAAGGCGCTGCCGTGGTGGTTTAAGAGATATGTGCTTTGGAGGAAGGATGCGACTTGTGAGGAGCTGTATCATTTTGAGCAGGGGGAGTGGACGGAGAGTGATAGGGAGTCGGGGAAGGTTGTTGATAAGGAGGGGGAGGCGGTTAGTTCGGGGGTTGAGAGGGGGCATAAGGAGGTTGTTTGAGGGTGCGTTATTTAGGGTTGAGACTTTGTGGATGTTGAGAAGTGGAAATTTGAGTGGTGGGTGAGGAAGAAGGAGAATGAAAATTCGTTCGTAGTTACAACTTCGTGTTTGGCACCCCCTTTTGGTTAGATGATTGATTGCCCGCAACGACAAATATAATCTGATCAAACTTACACCATAGAAATACTCATCCTTGACTTTCAAATCGTGATGTGCCATTCAGTTCCTTCACGATGGGAGCAACGAGCTTTTTCTTAGATTGACAAGAACGCAATACTACTCAGATGTTGCTGACTCTAACTATTTCTACTGTAATTAATGCAAGGGGGTTGGTCTTTGGGAGATGCTGTTTTTTGAAGAGGGGAATTTTATTTTCTTGTACTCGATTAACTCCATTCACGTGATGAATGTTTACATCTCGATTCTCGACCGACCGATGTAGCTGGCTTATAGGTATTTTAGTGATCCACACTAGGTAAGGATCCTACCCCACTTTCTCTTCGCCACAGCATATCCATATCCAAATTCTCCCAAAACTTACCTACTTCTCGACGCATTTCCTAATTCCGTGGAAACGAACCGAATTCTCTGCTTACAGAGTAGCTGAGCAAGAAATTCATGGATTTGCAGCTGGCTGTGTAAGCCACGAATGACGTTGAAGTTGATTTGCGAGTAGAATACCAGTGGAAACATGTCTCGAGATGTGAGTAAAAAGATGGTGATATCTCCATGATTAGAACTATCATCCACCTACTCACAGTTGATAAATCGCCGAAACGTATTTGGTTGGGCTAGGCCCGCTGAATGGATTGCACGCAAACTGACCTGGATCTCACTGCCAGGAATCTAAAGGGGGGACAGGAGAATATTTGGTTGTTGCTTGCGATTCCAATTGGAAAGCTTCACTGAATGGTGCTCACATACAGGTGGAGATTGAATGTTGGTATTTTCTCTGATCCATTTCGCTTAAAGAGACGAGTTTGTTGCTAGCCCGGTCTCTAGCGGAGAACCATCTTCGTAAGTCGAATCTGAGTCTCACTCTTGCTGTCAATGTCAACAGAGACTTTCCGCCAGCTCTGCTACGCTTGAATGTTTCAGATTCAAATGGCCCCTCAGTTGCCAGATTTCACATACTTTCCATATGGGGTCGATGGCCTCGCTAAGCGAAGGACGATAAAATCGCCAGTGGTTATAAAGTGGGGGTCTCTGGCCGAAACTTAGGTAAGCTAATGTATCGCCCGACGTAAAACAGCCCCTCGATATTTGCAGTCCTCGGGACAAAAGGGCTTGGGAACCAAACACCGAAAAAAGAGGCGCACATTACTCTATTCTTCAAAGCTTCAACAGAGAAGCACCTGTTCAAGGACTTCCCACCCAGAGTTGAGCCGAATCACCTGAACCCGGGAGAGCCGAGCCGTGATGAATTCACCAGGTAGGCAAATTGCCCAACCAGGAAAACATACAAGAAGCTAAATTTCTGAGCAGTATCAGCTTCTATGCCCATCAATAGCAAACGAAGGCGAGGAAGAGGACGACGACCAGTCCTGTGAGGCTCGTCAGAAGCATGAGCAGGGAAGCCAAAGGAAATATGTCTATTTCAGGTTTAGCGCCTTCTTCAACGGCCTGTTATCTCCACGTGACTGACCTCGAATCCACCGTCAGCTCCAGACTTCAACAGCTCCGATATCAGCCATCCACACCTCCCACTCTCAGGGATTCTCCAGAAGTGCGATAAACCAGGGGTGTTTTGCCTATGGCAACAAATCAGCCGGCCGGAGGCAACAGCAATGCCTCCAATGTCCCGGTCAATGGGTGGACAAGGCGAGACAGACCATGTGATGCCTGTCGAAGACGCAAGAGTCGATGCATTATACCGCAGGATACGGAGACATGTATCATGTGTCAGTCGAGGTCCGAGCAGTGCACTTTTATACAGAATCCTCAGAGGAGGAAGAGGAGGAGGGCAGAAGATGAAGGCAGCCCTGATGCACCCAAAGCAAGGTTGGTGTTCAGTCTCCGATGCTCGGTCAAAGCTAGTAACTGACGTCCCACAACAGATCTCCCGATGCAGATAAAAGTAAGACTCGGTTTCAGTTGTGGATATGCTCTGTTACACAATCATTATTGACTTCTTACAGGTATTCAAGCCAAACCACCGATCATCGACTACACCTCACTCCCTGGGCCATCACTTCTCAAACAGACTCTTGGCCTGCAAAATCGTCAGCATGGACAGTACCTGGGACAAACATCGGAATACGATGTTCGTCTTATCAATCTCTCGCCGTTCAATGGACGAGGAGAACACGTCAGTATGCCTGGGACGCTGAGAAGGGTCAGCCCCAATGTGCATTTCATCATGAAGACAGAAAGTCAAGCCGAGGTCGACGACGAAATAGCAAACATGGATTTAGTGGAAAACATTGTTCAACCACATGGTCGTGCTCTAGTAGACCTCTACTTCAGGATCATCCACCCAAGCTTTCCGATATTCGACAAGAAAGTGTTCCTGGAGAAGTATGGCCGGACACATCGAGAATTTACCCCGCCTGTTTTGGCTGCTGTGTACATTATGGCTTTGAATTGGTGGTCATACACACCTGAGTTAGTCAATCTTCCCAAACCAGATGTTCAGAAGCTCGAGCAACTGGTCCCCACCATGATGGGTGTTCTCCTGAACAGACCCAAATTATCAACCGTACAGGCTGGACTGCTACTCCTACAAAGACCAGATGGAGACTCCTGGGCGTTGACGGCAGAACTTGTTGCAGTAGCACAGAATCTTGGACTACATCTGGACTGCTCGAAATGGAAGATTCCGGAGTGGGAGCGAAGCTTGAGAAAGCGGCTTGCCTGGGGGCTGTTCATGCAAGACAAATGGGGATCACTTACACACGGTCGGCCATCCTTGATACATGCGGAAGACTGGTCTGTGAGGCCAGTAGAAACAAGAGACTTTCCTGAGACGGCCGAAGATGACGATGAGGAAGAAGGCAGCTCTGATATTGAGACCGGCCGGCTGACATACATCCATATGATATCTCTGACGGAGATTCTCACTAATATTTTGAACACATTCTTCACGGTCAGGGCTATGGCGAATCTGAATAGTGATAGTGAAAACGCCATGAAGAAGACACTGGAACTGGCAAAACCAATTCAACTTCAGCTCAAGGACTGGCATGCGAAGCTGCCGAAGAGTTTGGCGATCGGAGAAACTAGGGCCAGAAAACTATCTCCTACAGGTATGTTCTGTCCCAGCCTGACTTTGAAGTATTCTAATCAATACAGGATCACTCCATCTTGCATACTTTGCTGCAGAGGTGACTTTGCATCGTGCGATTATCAGATTCGACTCCACGCATATGGATGAACAACTTCGACACATCACCCGTAATGCTGCCAAGGCTCGGTTCACCTCGGCAATTGAATTCGTAGCCAAGCTTGAGCCAGCACATCTACAAAGTTTCTGGTACTTCGCATCCAAGGTAAACCTTGCCATCATCGGCACTTTTGGGAGTCTTCTCTGGGCGACTAGCGACAACCCGGAAGAGGCCGACTTTTACAAATCGCAACTTGCCGAATATCGTTGGACACTTAGAGTGAGCAGCAAGGCGGCCGAGTTTATGAAGTTCACTGTAGGAATGTTGGACTCGAGTCCAGTATTTATAAAAGATGGAAATTCAAAAACAACTACACCAAACATGCCGAAAGAACCTCCTCCACAGGAACAGGCACCTGAACCGACACAGCACGATCAGTACAAGCAAGAACAAGAGCAAATGAGCTACGGCGCCAACGAGGCTTCTCCTAGTGTTGCCGCATCGACCGAGAATGCATTCCAGTACGACCAGGATATTGCCGGTGCCGCAATGGCCACGACAGATCCTCGTCCGTCTTGGTCAGGCCTCGCCAGCAACGTCAACTTCAACACTGGGGACATTCAAGACTGGTCACTGGACCAACTCTACAACTTCGAGAACTTCCAGGTTGCAGAAGAAATTTTCGCGAGTCGAAGATTCATTGAGGAGTATGACGAGACGGGGAATAAATTTGCTGGCTTCTAGGTGAAAGTCTCGTGTCAGGCACTTCAGTGGGAAATAAGCCAGCTGCCTCAGCGTCACCCATCTCCTGCAACGCCGCCTGGGACAGGCGTCAGGATGCAGGATCCAGGAGTATGCCCTCCATCGTCAAAGATGATGATTTCTGCGCTTCATCCTCCCCATCCGAAATCGCAATCGTCATATTAACCTTCGCGATCCAATCCAGCATAAATCGGCTTCCAAGGAACGACATAAGCGCCATTATCGCGTTGGAATTTTTTTCGTCGCGACCTTGCTGTGTTAAGCATGATGATTAAGCTGTTGTTCCAAGATGTGGATGTCGCGTCAAGACCGTCGATGGCGTTGATTGGCATGACGGAACTAGCGAAGATGTGGAGGGGTAGGCAGAGGATGTCGGTGGGTTTTTGTGATGAATAAATGGTGATTTGGGAAATTGGACCTCGGGGTGTGGTGTAGTATGGCGTGAAGATCCATCTATGATACTCTGAAGTAAATAAATCTAGAGTGATGTGATGTCGAGATGTGGTTGACATCTGAGGAGCAAGACTCCAAATATACTCCTACATACATGACCACGATTATTCTACCCGACCGATTACGTATTTCCATGTTAAAACATGAAACGCCAGTTCTGACCATAGTTGTTAGTACTTATCACTGAAAATTTCTTCAAGAACATGTACATCATTTTTTTTTCGGCTACTCTGAACGAATCAAAAATCAACGACCTAGGTGAAGGAGACTTAGCTTTTGGGAGCCCAGCCCACGAGCATATTCCATGCCAGCCAGCATTGCGAAGACAACGATTTCGGGGATGAGAACACTGCATAAAACGAGAGCCAAAGATGCGTCAATGATAGATGTATATAGATGACAGCCGTGTAGAAAATGTTATGGCCAATTTTTGATATGTGTACAGACACCTACTTCCCGCCATCAAGATAATACGACAGTGAGTAGTTGAGAAAAGCGCACTGTGGCACATCTACAAATGAACTCGTCATAGACGGATAATCCAACAGCTTGATCGGTCCCTTCTTACCCCTCACCTCCTCCCATTTTCCAGTGTTCTCCACAGCCTCAAGAGTCTTCGTATACCCTCTAGCCGCCAAGTACGCCTTCGATGGGTTCGGCTGTCCCGTCTTGACAAACTCTGCAAAGTATCCGGAAATCAGCTGCACGGAGTACAAATCATTCGCGTCTCGCAGCGTGTTGAGCGTTCCAAACATCCATGGCATATCAGCGCCGTGCAGCTTGAAATATGGGAGATTTGGATTGCCGTTCGGGTAGCCGGGTGTTACTGGCGGACCACCGAGATTATTGGGGTCGTAACCGCCGATTGTCCGTTGCATTTCGTAGTAGTATGATGATTCAAAGGCATTGGTTTCGGAGGCTGCGTACATTGTTGCCGAGTCGATGCAGCGGAATTGGATGTCTGTTGCAACACGCTGGGAGACGTTGAAAGAGTCGAGAGTGATGTTTCCTGTATTGTAGAGAGGGAACAGTCCGCTGTCTATGACACTTTGTGCGTAGGCTGCGGAAATTCCAAGTGATGCCTGAATTCCTGCAAGCTCTGTGGTGATGGGAGTTTTGGGATAGGTCGAGAAGCTGGCGCCGTCGTTGTCAATAATCCCGAATATCACAGGGACATGTGCAGTGCCGGAATTGCGTTTGGTTACAGTGAGTTTTGGAGTGTTGACATATGTGCCATCTTGAACCACGTAACGGGCGACTGAAGATAGTCCAACGACCGTAGCAGCAGGCAGAGCTTTGAGGCAAGCGATTTGATCGTCCAGTGCCGCTTGGGTGCATCCAGCTGCCTTGAATATGTTTTGCCCCGCGTTAGCATAGGATTCGTTTACGGTAAGGTATGTACTGTATGTGGTAGCGTAGTCTCCCGAAAGACCGAGCGTGACGCCACCACCAAGGTTCGACATGGCAATGGCTCCTTGGTATTTCCCAATAGCAGGTGGGGACCCCAGAAGGACCCTAACAGATCCAGCACCAGCAGACTCCCCGTTGATGGTAATGTGTCGGGGATCACCTCCAAATGATGCGATGTTTTTGACTACCCACTAGTAATTGTCAGGCCTGCAAAGAAGAGCGGACAGCGAACTTACCTCAAGCGCAGTGATTTGATCAGCAATGCCATAGTTACCCTTGATATCAGTACCAGGGATAGCCAGGAAACCCAAAGTTGAAAGACGGTAGTTGATATTCACAGCCACAATGTCTTCTCTTGATGCCAAGTTTCCTCCATCGCTGAGTTGATCTGCCCCAGATCCTCCGGTGAACCCGCCTCCGTGGATCCAGAACATGACAGGCCGCAAGTCACTTTTGTCTCCTTTCTTAGGGATGTAAGGAGTCTGGATGTTGAGAAACAAGCAATCCTCACTGCCGGAACCGCCTTGAGCACACTGAGGGCCGTACGAGGTTGCATTGATGGTCTTCCCAGTCGAGGAGTAGAGAGAGGAATAAACGAATCTTTTGGGTGGGTCCGCATATGGGATGCCGAGGAAACGAAAAGATTTCTTGTTTCTAAAACCAACAAAGGTGTTTCCAGAGGAGGCTACGGCGATCTGGTTACTTGGAGACACCTTTGAATTATATGGCTGGTTGTCGTTGCTGGACTGTGTACACAACACGGGAAGCTCTCTGTTTTTCGACGGCAAAGCAGGATAGCTCAGCTTTCTGGTACGCTTGGAGAACGACACAACTGCATTTTCGATGAAGTATGACTGCTCTTGAGATGCTCGGTCCACAAACTCGAGGTATGACAATGACTGGAGGATGTCGTCCGAGTGTGCTTCGATCGTGGCTTTTTGGAGAAGCTTTTCATTCACTGCACCACAAGCAGCAGTGGCATCCTTCGCCTCGAATTCGTCTAGAAGGAGAAACCCAACATGATTGACGTCGTCGCTACCATTAAGGTTGTTCTGATAGAGGAGAGTCAGAGAAGTCGCAGAGTTGGAGACAGCTGCTGCGACGAAGCAGAGAGGCAGAGAAAGAGCAAACAATGACTTGAACATGACGAGGCTGCACTCTTCTCTGTTAAATCTGGCTCCATCTGATCTTTATTTATCTTCCCTAATTAGACGTTCCCCTCACTACATGGACATCCTGCAAAAGTACATGCGTACCCACGAAAGTGGTTGTTTAGCCGGTCGCAGCCGTCAAGCAGGGTATTGTTTACCAACGCTCTGGAGCCCCTCATCATGTTGTGCGCGTCATGGACGAAGTGGATTCGCTGGAGAAATCGGACATGAGGAGAAAGAGAATGAAGCATTTGCCCTTGCAGATGGACCACATAATGCATATCATCCGGGCCTTGAATGCTTCCGGATGAGAATCCGATCTGCTTGACCATGGGGGAATCCCGGAGCGGGTAATTTCAATTTACCCGGCACTCCTCATAGCCGGACATCAGGAACCGAATGCAAGGTTCTTTTGCGAAAAGAATATGAAAACTTCTTAGCAGCATCTAATGACAAATTGGCTGCTCAGAAGTCCTAAAATACTTGGTTGGGTATCTACCTACCAAATCCGAACTCCTAGCCCATGTGCCCGAATGTATTTGGTATTTGGGCTCACCTGAACATGAAGCAGACCGATGCAAAGACCGAGAACCCCAACAAAGGGAAAGCATACGGCGTGATTGTACAGCATAGGAAGCCCTTGGAAAGGGATGAGAGCTGGGCTAGGATCGGTTCTTCGTCTTGGAGCACTCTGCTGTGAAAGCAGCTAGCAAGGTCTGCAACGATGTGTGAGTATGGAACATCCAATGGACTGGGGGAAACGAACCGTAAACTCATGATCGGCCATGCACCCAAACACTGGGTCCTTAGAGAGCTTCATTGCTGCAACTCTGGGGCTGGAAATGCCAAACGCAACCCGAGCCAGGAAACGAGCATCATCTTTCACACCTACCCTCGAAAGTACGGCCTTGAAAGCGGCCTTGTTCAAGGGGACTGAAGGGGGTGGTTGCTGGACTACAGCCTTATGGGATTTACACCAGGTGCAGTGTCCACACTCGGTCTTACCACTAGGCAGATCATCGCCGAAATGCCGAGCCAGGGTTCTTGAGAAGCAAGCTGGAGCAGTGATAAGACTAAGCATTTCTTCTGTGCGTTGTAGAGCCTCTTCTTCTCGCTTTTGCATAACCAAATGTATACTCTCGGCAATCTTGTCTATTTCCGCAGCGGTCCGAGGTAATTTGTCGATGACCTTGTAGACATTTAAAACCCCCGAGGGCTTCAATTCAATCACGCGGTTCTCGTTCAGATCATTTAGCTTACGAATGACATCTGTTCGTGGGATGCCATATCTCTGCGAAGCAGCATCAACATCAAGGTGATGGAATTTGGCCGCTTTCTTTGCGAAGCCTCTGATAGCAATACCAGCCGGGGATTGATCATCGGCGAGGACTGATGCATACGAGCTTGCCGCCTGAAACTGATACTTCGTATATATGGGTGTGGTAGCTCGAATGAGTTCATGAGTGAGCTCTAACTGTGCATAGACATTCTTCAGTGTCGTGGGCCGGATGTCGTAATCTTTCTCTTGGGCATAATGAGAGAACTTGAGCTCACCACCAACTGGTACATTGTTGCTCGGGTCAAGGATTTCCTCCAGCAGACCACGAATGGACTTGAAAGATGGCAAGTCTCCACGCGCGAACATATCCCGTAGATGGAGATCTTCTCCGCAGATATAGAACATGCATATGCTCTGCTTGCCGTCTCTCCCTGCTCTCCCAATCTCCTGACTGTATGATTCGAGACTACTTGGAATATTGAAATGTACTACGTTCCGAATATTTGATTTGTCGATGCCCATCCCGAACGCGATAGTGGCAACGATGATCAAATCATCACTCTGCATAAACTCATCTTGTAGCTCTGCCTTTGCGGCTGTATCCATACCAGCATGAAATGCTTTCGCCTTGAAGCCTTGGGATCGCAAATCGCTGGCCGTTTGTTCGGTCTGCTTTTGAAGGGTGACATATACGATTGTAGGTCCTGGATTGTGTTTGAGGAGTTTGAAAAGTTTAGGGAATAGCTCTTGTTTACTTCTCCCAGACTCTGCTAGCAATTGTAGATTTTCTCGGTACGTGGATGTTCGAAAGAGGCCGGATTTGTCGATGTTGAAAGCTTTGCAGATGTCGTCGGCGACTCGAGAGGTTGCGGTGGCAGTAAGGCAGACGACTCGTTCGGCATTGATCTCATTCACGAACCTGGATATCTCTGATAATGTTAGCTAGATCCTTTTGATGGTGGGATACTGACTAAGGTAATCTGGGCGAAATGCATGTCCCCATTCAGAGATGCAATGTGCCTCGTCAACGGCCAGCAAGCGAATCCCTCCCCGAACGTTTTTCATCTGCTCAATAAAACCTTCGTTGTTGAGTCTCTCCGGGGCACAGTACAGTATCTTCAGTTGTCCGTTTCGTAACATCTCGCAGATATGGATATATTCCTCTCGAGACTTGGATGAATCGAGGGAAGCTGCCTTGATGCCCCGGCGAACGAGTGCATCTACCTGATCTTTCATCAGGGCAATCAATGGAGAGACCACGAGTGTGATGCCGCTTTCTCCTGGTCCACGGATGCCCGCAAGCTTATCTTCCTCCGAGAATACCAAGGCTGGAATTTGGTAGCAGAGACTCTTTCCCCCGCCAGTCGGAAAGACAACTGCTGCGGATTGTCCACCCAGGATCTTTGATATGACCTGCTCCTGCTTTAATCGAAATTCCTTCATGCCAAAATTCTTCGTCAATGCATTGACAGCAGAGGGCTGAATCGCAATGCGCTTCGCAGGTGGAAGGATGTCTTCAGAAGCCTTTCGCTTTTCGACGCGATCTGTGAGGGCCAGAAAATCAGCATCGTCGCCGGAATTGAGACCGAAATCTTCTTCGTCGTCGATATGAGGCGCCATGATCCAATTGACCGAAAAGCTGGGCGTATTGTGGACCGAAGTTGGGCGGCTTATTGAGCTTGGATTTCGCGACGCGTTGACAACTACGCCGGCACACGTGACCTGTTCGCGACAATGTGGACTTACGTGGTCCGATTAAGTCCGTCTTACACAGGTATGGATTTTGATCTCTCGTTCAACATTCGAACAGAAGATAGAGACATGAACACCAACTTCTTACTTGCACCAACTTGGATCTATTTGTCGGAAATAGGCGCCAGTGCAAGTGGGTGTGATATGGCAAAAGATCAAATGTGCTACCCGTGTTTTGACATTGAACTCGATAATGTGAAGGCGTAAGCTTCTCATGTATTCCTTATAATCCCCTTCTCATTCGAAGCAGAATGTGGAACAACGTTTGACTACGATAAAGTGCTGTGGTAGTGGGAAGCCACGCCCGTTCGCTTAGGTTGTGTACATTTTTGCAATTTGATCGCAGACATCATACTCTCGCTTTCCATATACATATTAGGCTACGCCGGCAGCTGAGATAGAAACACGACGAACGGCCTTGAAGATGAACGTCCTACACAGAAAGTCAACAGCAAAGTGGAGGGAGAAGAATGCCAAGATTTCTCGCTTCTGCTGTGATTGCGTGGGCCACAAGTTCAATCTCCTGCCGAAAGCCGATTGATACAAGTTTACTCTATGATCGAACCAAGGCTATGCTGTGAATCCCACGAATATCTTGATTGAAGATGCCGTCGAGGATTAAGGGAGAAATCGGAGCCCTCAAAGCAGCGAAAACAGGTAATGTCCAAGAACGGCATGGAGTGCGAGTAGATCAGATAAGATAAGTGGATTCGGACAGATCCGTGCGGCGAGAACCTGTGTTGCAGGTGTGGCGTGATGTATATCCTTGGCGAAGCTCCCAAAATTCAACACTTCATGCAGGTAATATGTCTTCTTATAAAAACAGGACCAAGAGTAAAGAAATTTAACCTACCAGAAAATCAAGTTTTGAATGGAAAAGCGTCTCGAGGAAATCAGGATAGTGCAACAACTCACTGTGAGTTGTAGGTGATTTTGACAAGGGGAGGGGACCCAGGATCTGATAACAAATGCCAAGTAGCTAGTGTTTTCTTAGTGGAAGACTCGTCAACAAGTTTTGCATTATCTTTTCGTTTAGCGGGCCCTGATCTTCTCTCATTCGAGGTCCAACCTATCAAATGTCCTTGTGGCCACAGCGCCAAGTCTAAACTGCAGACGCAATGGCGCAGCTTAGAGAAGCTCACATTTCATGGCTGTATGAAATACTTTACTTTCGCCTCAGGAACGAGCATTCCCTTTCACTTCCTCTTACAGATTGTTCAACAGACACGGCTGAACAGACAGCATGTCGACCCCAGCCATTACCCCAGCTGTAAATCAAAATCGAACGGAGGAGCCATCAAGACTTGCCAACTCCAAGGTTACACTTTCCACCAAAAATGGGGGACAAGAATCTAACGAACGCCCGAATCGAGACTCGGTCGATGCCATCTCCAAGCCAGATGTGTGGGCTGGAAATGAAGTACAAGCTGAAATAGGTGTCAGTAGAGTCGAGGCCTTTAACAAAGTCCTTTACCAGTCTGGCAAGTCCGGGAAAGTACTTCTCTGGTTACTCGGAATTTCCATCGGCCTGACCATGTTCGCATATGCCCTTGACCAGGGCATCACAACAACTATCTTCACCACGATGGCCAGTTCGACATTCGGACAGCACAGTTCTTTAGCCGCCGTTAGTACTGCTAGCCAAATCATTCGGGCTATCAGCAAGCCGTTTATTGGAAAGTGAGTTGTACAAGCAGCAGCAAAATCTTTGAACCAGAGTGCTAACGGGTCACAGACTGGCAGATATCACATCACGTCCTACAACTTACGTCGTTATACTCGTTTTCTACGTTGTGGGATTTGTTGTGGCCGCCAGCTCGAGCACCTTTGCAGCGTATACAATGGGAATTTGCTTCACATCTGTGGGCAAGTCAGGACTTGACCTGTTGAGCGACATCATTGTTGGTGACCTCACACCACTTCAATGGAGAGGATTCTTTGGTGCTGCTCTTTCGATACCTTTTGTCGTTACCGTCCCTGTCAATGGGTTCATTGCCGAGGGCTTCGTTGATAATTGGCGTTGGGGTCTAGGCATGTTCGCGATCATCGTACCTGTTCTACTTGTCCCGGCAATTATCACATTGTACTCGATGCAAAAGCGGGGAGAGAAGCTGGGCATGGTTACTATCGCAGCATCGAAGAGAGTGCGGGCTGGAATTGATGAGGAATCACGAGGTTTCAGATATTGGAGTAAGCTCCTGTACCAAGGGTTGATTGATATCGACATTGTGGGACTTCTTATCCTCGGAGTAGCTTTCTCCCTTATCTTGTTGCCATTTACGCTAGCCAAGCAGACGCCGAAAGGTTGGGCAGATGGGGGTATGGTTGCTATGCTAGTCGTCGGCTTCTTTATGCTTTTCGTTTTCGGTCTCTTTGAGATTTATCTTGCTCCCAAGCCGCTCATGACCAAACGTATTCTGAAAAATCGCACCTTCATCGCCGCTGTTACCATCTACACTTTCAACCAGACAGCATCCGCTGTTCGGAATACGTACTTTTCATCGTACATTTATATCATCAAGGACTGGACGACATACCAATGGACAATCTTCTTGGGCATTACCACCATGGGACTCAGTATAATGGGACCCATAGTGGGCCTCATCCAGAGATATACTCATCGTTACAAAACAATGATGATTTTTGGTGCTATCGCACGTTTAATTGCTTATGGCTTGCTCGTCACCCCGAGGTAAGTTGTATGAACTCGTCTTGGTATTGGAACTGACCGGCAGCAGCGGTCTCATGATTCAAGATACTGCTCGTTTAATCGTTGCTCAGCTTCTCTTTTGTTTGGGTTCTTTCAACGTCGTTGGAGCAAGAGTCGGTAGTCAAGCTTCAGTACCGCATGAAGATATGGCTTCAGTCATCGCACTTCTAACACTCTGGTCGACACTAGGATCTTCAATTGGGTCAGCAGTGTCGTCGGCAATCTGGACGAATGAGATGTTAGATCAAATGTACATGGAGATGCCTGGAGTTGACGGTAAGACAGTTCGTACACTGTATGGGAATATCAAGAAGCTCCGTACCAGCTACGACTTTGATGACCCCGTCAGACAAGGAGCTATCCGAGCATATTCCTATGTTAATGGTCATATCGCAATTGCGGCTCTTGTTCTGTCGGCGATTCCACTGTTAGCTACCTTGTTCATGCCGAATTTCTATTTAGGCGAGCAGCAGAATGCTGTCACAAACACAGGCTTGGATGGAGAGAGGATTGAAGTACCAACCCGAGGTGGAGTTGTGGGAAGCTCGTTTTGGAAGAGGTTGACGGCGTTCTATCACAAGGAATCGTAGACAGGGCAAAATACAGCTAGGCCGCAATTCTTTGTAGCGATCACACTTCGAGGCGTTTCTTGTACCATACGTCCTGCGAGTACAGTTTCCTCTACTCGAGTAATGTTCAGCACAAAAAAGCCTTCAAATCTGCCGATTCTCTTAATGTCTTCCATGGATTCATGTATTCAAAACAAACTAAAATCCCTGCCCTGCTAGCCATCTTTCCACACCTGGATGATCTCGTTCAATCCATTTCATCCTCGCTTCAATTCCCGAAGTAGCTTCCTCGAAAGTCTTCTTAAACTTTTCCTAATTTTACAGTCAGCTTCACATTCCTGACAAATTAGCACCACCCCCATCAGACCTACCTCAACACCCAACGCAAAAGCCTTCACTTCTTCCAATTGCTCGGCTGTTGAGAGACTACCCGTGCAACTAGCAACATATCTACAAATGCCCACCCTATCCACTCTCCCAAAGTTATCCCACTTCTCCTTGAGCCATGTCCAGGAGGCATCAGCTCCAGCATAGTGCGTTTGCAGAGCGTTTAATAAGAACCACTTCTCTAGTCCGGAAAATGGCTCGCCTACTTGTGTCAGAAGCTTGAGTGTTTCTTGAACCAGCTCTGGGCTGTCTGCATAGCCAAGAGACACGAAAGCGTCGGTTCGCAATTCTGGATCTCTTGTGGTACGAGCGATTTTCAAGACAGATTTGTACTATGAGAGAGCACATCCACTTATCAGATTCGTTACATCGAGGTTTCAGCTGTGGACGTGTACTTACATGGTCATCGACGACAGCTTGAAACACGTGCTTCCGAATATTGGGGTTGAGCGCTTCTTCATTCCCAGATTTGAACTCGTTGAAGAGTTTCTCGGATCCAGCCTTGAGGTGCTCATACCGAATCCCCTCAGCATAAAACATCGCTTTTTCATTCTGAATATGAATCGGGTCTTTAGACCCAATCTTCCAAACGTCCTCAGGAGAATTGGCCAGGAAGAGATGTTTGTGGAAATTCTGCAGTCCTGTCCGAGTCTTAGGGGACGAGAATAGGAATGCTTGTCGGATCTTGCCAAGGACGAAGAAGATCTGTCTCCAGACGAGGAAGTGATGGTCCTTTGAGAAGCGGGACAGGAAGTTGAGAAGGTCGGCGGTTGTCATTGGGGTATTGAGACAGGATGAAATCAATGCGAAGGAATCGGAGATCAACCCTACCCAATCTTCTGAACCTAAATTGGATCTTGAAGTCTGCTTTTCAAACTCCTGGAATCGAGACAGTGGATAGGAGACCCGGTAAAGTCCAATCTGTCCCGCGTTGAGCTTGTAGGTTTCGAGATCTACTTGATATGTTCCCTTTCGCGAGGTCAACAAAACAGAGTCTTCTGATTGGCTTCCAGTGTTTGTCTGAAAGTTCAACGGAACGTGATAAATGTTCTTGTCTTCCTTGGGTGTGATCTCGATTGCTTGGAAGTACCGATGTTGCTCCAACGTGATCGTGCTTTTGGTGTCGTCTTCAGAAACCATGAGAATAGGATACCCAGCACATGCGGTCCATTCTTGCATAGTCCTGGCAACATCCTTTCCACTACCGGCAGCCAAAGCTACCCAGAGATCCTTAGTCTTAGCATTTCCAAAAGCATGCTCTTTCAAGTACCGTCTTACTCCATCCACAAAGACATCCATCCCCAAGAAGTTCGACAGCATTCTCAACAGAGCAGCGCCTTTCATGTACGTGATGTTATCAAAAAGCTCATGTATCCGATCGGGTGAAGCGGTGGGATTGTAAACTGGATGGGCCCCTGGTGTTGAATCAATATCCAGTGCTCCTTGATAAAATGCCATTGCCTCAGGATCTGGATCCGCAGCCACAAAGTGCAGCCAGTATTTCCATTCGGGAAACATCTTATCGACGACGGTGAAGCCAGCCCATTCGGCAAAGGCCTCATTGAGCCAGAGATCGTCCCACCAGCCCATAGTCACCAGGTTGCCAAACCATTGGTGAGCGAGCTCGTGGCAGAGCGTTTCAACAGCCATTTGCATGGACTTGGCGGCTGTGGTGTCGGGGTCGAGAAGAAGCCAGCGCTCACCGAAGACGATACAGCCCCAGTTCTCTAGTGCACCTGCGTCAGGGAGAGCAATCAAGTCTAGCTTGGGAAGAGGATATTCGAGGCCAAAGATGCGCTCGTAGTGGCCAAGAGCATTGGTAGCGATGCTCAACATGTTCGACGCATGCTTGATCTTTGCCCCCTTCACAGCATAGACCCTTACTCGGAACTTGAGCTTAGTCGACTCGATGAAATCAAAATCTCCAACAACGAAACATATCAGATAGGTCGGCGTTTTTGGCATGGTGCTGAAGGCGACCCGCTTCGAGATTTGTCCTTCGGATTCAGAATGCGTGACCTCGGACGAGCGAACGTCCATATTGCTCACGCATGTCAGATCTTGGTTGATAGTGATCGTGGAGGAGACTGTAGCTTTGAACTCGGGTTCATCGAAGCATGGAAAAACACAACGTGCCCCGACTGGCTCAAAGCTGGTCGAGTATGCCCGTTTCTTTTCACCTTTGGCATCTATGTAGCCCGTCCATGCAAAGCCTGGAGTCCTTCCATTCTCTTTGATGGTCCCATGGAAAGATTGGCGAACCGTCACTTTTGAGCCTGCTGTGAGGGGTTTTGATAGCGAAATTGTGATGGTCTGCTGTTCAATATTGTATTCTATTTCGGGAATCTGGACAATCTCGACTGGAGAGTACTCAATTTGGGTATTGGTGATCTTGAGTTCTCTCGCATGAAGAACGATGGATGACGTCTCTTCACAAGCATCGAGGTGAACGGAGACTGTGCCGTGAAAGGTTAAACCATCTAGATCTAAATTGAGATCTAGGTCGTAATGGCTTGGAACCACATTCTTGGGTAGACGTGCCATGGTCAACTGGAGTAACCAAAAGCAGAAGGTAAGAACTCGAATGGAAGCCAGAATGAGTTGTTAAACACGTCGCACAAAAACGGAGGGTGATTTGAAGAAACGAAAGCTTAGTCAGCTCATAAGGCTCCCCCACTTGTTCGAGCTTCCTAATGCGGTCCGGATGTACAGCATTTCCTTGCTAATGACAAGGTGTTGCTTATCATCGTTGACAGACAGTATATGAGTTTTCATTCCACAGTATACACAGTCAGCTTTTGAGTAATATGGATTCATATCTGCTTTACGTCATGATTTTCTCGATGTGTTCAGTTATACCTCGTAAATTCTTCTCGTGCATTATTGTCTGATACGTGCTGGAAAAAATAGAGCATAAAAGTAAATTCAAACTTCAAAGCTGAATTCCAAATGGCTAAAAGCGGGGGCTACAAAATCATAGCTCCGAAAGGCAATATCCACGTTCTCCCATCCATCCGTTTAGCAGCCGATCTACATTCTTGACATATAGCCGAAGTGATAACCTGCCCATTCCTTTCCCAATAGCATCACAACTCAAAAGCAGGGCAGTCTTTTGGTCTTGTGATGTCTGTCAACTTCTTCACATCTTGACCACCAACAGAGCCTGTGACCACAAGCTCATCAAGATGTGGTGGCATTGGCAGAAGCACAGCATCATCCGGCCGGACAATTTTCTCCCACTTAGCAGGCTCATCCTTTAACTCCACCTCCTCCTGCCAACGCATCAAGGCGTCAAAGTCCCGGCATAATTTCTTGGGACCAACATCTGGGAAGGGATTGTGCTGCGTGTGTCTCCAGTTATAGGTCAACATGTCCAGATCGGAGTTGCACATGATATTCTGACGCAGGATATCGATGCAGTGGTCAACATGTGACTCGAACATGACGGGAGGCTCGTAGTTGTAGACACTGCCCCAGTAGTAGTCGTAGTTCAGCACATTGGTTCTGCGAAGGGCGTCAAGACAATGCAACTGATGGAAAACGTCAATTTCCGACATGTAAGTGTCAGGGCCGTACCCCCATTCTGGCATGGTCTTGGCACACTCAGTTGCATTCTTGCCGATGTCTGTAACCTCTTGCTTTGTGAGAGCATGCATTCCGATATCTGTGTGTTTTTAGAGTTTTGAAAGTGCAAATGTTTTTGAATTCAGGGAAGTGACTTACGAGAGATGCGCTCCCACGCGGCATCAACCTCAGGGCTGGGTCGTCCTCGATAGATATGCTCTGGATTTCCAGGTTCTGGGAACAGAGAAGGATCAATCTTCTTCCAGATCATAGGAATGTCGATTTTGTCCATCACAGGGGCTAGGAGTCATTAGAGAAAGGGTTGTGATAAATGGATGAGGGTTATGACCTACAGTACGCAATTGGCTTTGTGTACGGACTTCCATGATCATTATGGCTGTGCATTGCCCAGGTCCCGAGCACGGCGCCATAGATACTAAGTCCATAGACCAACACAATAGTGACAATCCCTGCGGTATTGGCCGTGATGTACGGCAAGCGAGAACGGCGTGTTGTCTTCAGATAAGACATATCATAGCCTTCACTTTCCGCCTTCTCAGTACTCACGTCACTGAAGCGAGAGGAAAGATGTTCCTTCTCTTCATCATCAGTTACGGAGGAGTATGTGACTTTCTTCGCAAGCTTGGTTGGAAACCACATTGTTGAGTGATGGCTCAATATGGTGCAGATGGGAATGTGTGCTTTGTTGTTGAAAGGATCACCGAAAATATCTCCAAGTCTTGAATGTGTTTGGGAACTGGGATGAAGGCTGGGTTGGTTGTATTATAAAGCACTAGACTCGAATAGGATGGTGATAGATATCGGCATAAACGATGGCGACAGTTCTATTTTCTGCAAGCCTTATCGTCTGTGGCAAAGGAGCAATCTATTCTACACATGCTATCAACGTAAGGCAGAGACATGTCAAGTCCACGGCTGATCGGTAGATCAAATGCATTCCTGCAAGTGGGTCCGCTGCAACTTCCTCCGTTCTTGATCGTATGAGAATTGCATGAGAATTGACATAAGTGGATGTCAAACCACCTCCTGCCTTCTTTGGTCAGAAGTACATACATGAATATGTCTGTGCGAGTTTGCTACTGTCGTGGACTTTGTATGCATACGAGCTTACCGCTACTTTGTGTAAGTGTAACTCGATATCACGGTCGGCCGCTGCGATATCTTTCGGCCGACACAATCTAGATTGCATGGACAGGACACAACCAATCGAAGAGATCTGAGACGAGGATCGTACCATACATGGCCATGTTCAGGGAGCGCCACGTATGGGGCAAGGTGAATAACAACAGCATAGTTCAACGGATCTTGTGACATTTCACCTTGCAGCTGGCATTGCTGATTTTACACTGCCTATCGCGCAAGATTTAACTCGCTACTCTCGGCTCATTTCAAGGCGGAAGCTGTCCGCATTTCCCAATTAGGAAAGTCAGATTTCATATTGCCAGCTCCAACGCTAGTCTCTGTTCAACATGTCAATGTTGGATGCCCATTTTCGAGACATGGATACCCACTATTGCGGAGCGAGGATCGTAAAACTCCGAGTACCAGATACACATGCTGAGCGCTGATTTACTTATACTCTCCATCACTCTTCCTTTTTTGAAAGCAGTCAATCTGAACTTACTTCCTTGCTTCCAACTCACACTATCCTCTTCACCAATCAACAAGAACAATATTCGCACATTCATTATGAAGGTTCAAAACGTCTTCTTTCTGCTCGCTGCCCAGGCAATTGGGGGTGTTATGTCTGCTCCCATCGCTGCTTCAGGTAGGGCACCGCCCTGACTACTTTCAGAGACACCTATTGAACCGAGTTTCCACTGATGTATTTTCAATAGCCTCTACCTTACAGACCAAGGCTATCGAGAAGAAGGGAGTAGCGGAAGTTTGGGCCAATTGGAATCATCCCGGTGCATTGAAAACCGAAGTTCCGGCAGAGGAAGCTGAGAAGAGAGGTGTAGCTGAAGTGTGGGCAAATTGGAATCATCCCGGTGCATTGAAAACCGAGGTCCCGGCAGAGGAGGCCGAAAAGAGAGGTGTAGCTGAAGTCTGGGCCAACTGGTGAGCTGTTCACTCTCTTAATATACTATCTCATCAGCTCATTCTGAACTCTAGGAACCATCCTGGTGCATTGAAAACCGAGGTCCCGGCAGAAGAAGCCGAAAAGAGGGGTGTAGCTGAAGTCTGGGCCAACTGGTGAGATCTTCACTCGCTTCACTTAGTACATTGCTAATTTTGAACTCTAGGAATCATCCTGGTGCATTGAAGACCGAGGTTCCGTCAGAAGAAGCCGAGAAGAGAGGCCTTGCTGAAGCAAGGGCGAACTGAAACTGTCCTGCAGTTCAAAGACCGCGGATTTTGAGGATGTGGCTGAGTGACTGAGCATTGATCAGAAGAAGATTTGCTCTTTGGTAAATTTTTGTTGGAATTTGCTTGTTTTTCTTGAAGCGGGAGATATCGGAGGTATTGGGCGAGGAAGAGAGATCAATGGACTTTCAATATGACAAATGGAAACGACTTCATATTTACTCTACCTCATCCGCTTCAAAGTGACCGGAATCATGATTTCCAATGTCTACAGTTTCGAAACGAAACGATCGATTGAGTTCAACTCTTCGCTGATCTTGTCGGGGAATCTTTCTTTCAATTTTGAAGTGGGTAGCTTACACGTCAATTGTGGAGCGATTTTCAGCTCGCCTGGATGCTTGGCGACATGCGACGAAGTTTACAACCAAAGACAACTCTCCTTGGCATCTTGCTGTGCCTTTTCCAAGACAGTCCCCCAACCCTGCTCGTTTCCCAATCTCACGAAGCTCACAAGGGCCCTCACGTATCGACGTTGCATACGAATTGTTTTCACTTCACATGGAGACTGTGCCGCCTGCAAGAGGGGCTCGGCCCTTGGTCCCGCGTTGGATACTATTTCTTGAGTTGATGTGTTCTCCAACTCCCACGACCGTTGCGCTATTTCCCCGCCTTCTTGCACGGCCACCAAAAGAGTGGACTGGGATAGGATTCACTGCGTCTCATGCGTGCTCGTTATCTCTTACAAAAAACTTCAGCTGTCCTGCTTCTCCACATCGATTGCATGAACCCGATGAACAGGTGTAAAGTGGCCACGAGCACCTTAACTGTATGAAGTAGATAAGGTAATGGACCGTGGTCACGCGCGGCTTGATTGTATGAGCTTGAAAAATTGATGATGACTGGTCAAAAACAAGCTTAAATGCTGACACTGAAGTGATCCACCGCGGCAGCTTATTTGCATATACGAGGCATTAAAAGCTTGCAAGTGCCACGCAGCTAAGATTGCTGAATGGACCATTGCCATTACGTGCGATAGTCTTCTACTGTTGTAGCCCTTGCAGTTTGAGGAGCTACCATCTCAGATGATGGGTGGCACCTTGATGGTTGAACAATCATGTACTCTAGGGTAGCATTCGCTCGGCAGTACAAGAGCTAGTTTGATTCAGGATAGTATATCCTCGACTAGATAAGGCCAGCGAGAATTGAACGGTACCTCGTCTGACCTTCCTAAATCGACTTCGGAACATTGATTCCAAGTCGTCTTTAAGAACGTGGCTGTCGCGGCGGTCCACTGAAAACTAGCTGTAGTAGTGGCGGGTGAATCAATGGGGAACGCTTGGAAAGCGAGCTAGTACGGCACATGGCCTGGGCAAAACGGGCCGCCCCGCTGACAACGTCCACTGCCCAAAAGCAGTTAGCCTTGTTTACATCGTTACGCGAGAATGCAGAGTCAGCAAAGCGCAAAGCCCTAAGCTCTAAACTGCAGGTCACTTCAACGTATGCTATCGAGTCGGCCGAACCCTGGAATTTGTAGCAGGGCCTGCAGCTCGTGGGCATCCATTTCACCTAGTCTAAAGTTATGCCTGTCTTGATGTGCTGGTGTAACTTATTGCATGCATTGCACCTTCCCGACATTGTCCCCAATAATCAGCTTCACATTTCACTCACAGCAAGTCCAGACAGTCATATAGTTTTCTTTTGAAATTTGCATGCCTCTGCCTGAGAATTGTCGCCGTGACTTTATTTGAAACAACAATGGATCATTCAGAACTCGAACGAAATCTTCTCTCGGAGAAAGACATCTATGAACACTCTGATGCCGACTCGGAGATGTCTGGGCTGTCCTGGAATCCAAAGAACAACGGCTATGTCAATCGAATCAGAAACGGCATCGAGGATTTATTCAGTTCGAAAGGGCAAAGGATCCTCCTTCTCAGTTCCGCTCTTCTCAACACGATTCTCTTGATTGCCGTCCTGAGCTTCTCGAGGGCAGCACACAACGAATGGAACTGTCTGAGTCCTACCGGTATGTGTACTTCTATGATTGGAGTTCTGTTTAGGAATTGACTATGTCACTCAAGTTGGTCTTCTCCCAAATACACTCGAACGAACAATCAGCGATATGACGCCGTTCTCGCACCGAAGTGACAACAACAGTGCACGAGATGCGCTCTGGAATAGCATGGCGACTGATCGGGGTGTCGTGGCCGTGGATCAAGAGACAATCGCGAAGCAAGGCTTGACCGAGACAATCGTATTTCCTTGGGACCCTACCAAGCGAGTTTATATCGTGATTGCTTTCCATCAACTGCACTGCTTGGTAAGAACACGTTCATATTTGATTTTGAACTACTTGTTAATATAAGTACAGAAACTTCTCTACCAAACACTCACCAGTGCATATAAAGGAGAAGAGTTACAAAAGCCGGTGTATGAGCACTGTGTTCACTGCTTGGATCAACTACGACAAGATGCTGAGTGCAATGCGGACGATGTAGGAAGCCTCAAGCCACCTGTCTGGGGGATTGAAAGCTAACTGTGTATTCAGAATCTTTGGTATATTGGAGAAAAGAGCACGGGACAAAACCGCAAATGCAAAGACTTTTCCAAGCTTGACGAATGGGCCCTGGAACGCCATGCTTGCTACAATTTTGAACGGCCGATGAAACCTGGACCACTTGATGTTGAGGCTTTCACCAATTGTCGTGACAGCTCTCCGTATCTACCTATCATGAAGAATCATTTCGGGTATGGTGATGATTGGAAGGGAGATTACCCTGCACATGAAGGTCCGACCTTTGAGAATTAGAATTTGGGTGGTCAGATTGGGTTCAGGAAACTAGCAGAAGGAAGTCATTCCATTTGCTATCGTACTTGCATTCATGGTACGACGAAAAGGATGTTCTCGCAACTTGACACTTGTATTGAAGCGGCTCCACACAATTGATAGTACACATCGAAGGCGCTCACTTTCGAGTTTTTCAGGAATCTAATCAATGCACTTTACAATTTTAGAAGTATGACACCTTTAATTTCACGCCCATTTGCCACTTACTTGACGACAGCTCAGTAGATGAACATATGCTTGGCCTAAACTCTGCGAGTAACTCAACTCGCTTGCCACATCTTTGGCTCGGTCTTCAAACACCCGTGGCACGAATGTTTGCACGTGATCGTGACGACGGAATGCTACCGCGACTTGACCAGTTCATCCTGTCACCATGCAATGCAGCGTTCGTATCTGCAAACTTCCCCACACCGCTTGTATGGTCCTAGCTCAACCTGAATTATTGTAGAGTTGCTTACTTGTGCTTGAAGGACAGCGTGGTCGTCGGCCGACAGCTGCCTATCATGGGGTTGGACTACATAGACTCCACATCCAACTGTCGCGCTAAAAAGCTTGGTTTGTTTATATCCAATCAACCCATAGAGTAAGCCAGCTACCTTCCTCATCTATCACATTTGGTGTGATTGATGCCACCACGCCACCACAAGACATACTCCAAGACAACAATACGTGTTTCACGAATATTGTCATGAAGAAAGCCAGGCAGAGAAAGGTGGGATGAAAGCGGAAGAAGATTACGGCAAATGCAGGCCTCCACTCGCCAGTGCAGGCCATCTTGACCACAACCGTTTGTAATCATCCGGACAGTGAGTTGTTTTCTGTGCCAAGGCGTATTCGCTATCTATACTCAGCTTTATCTGACATACATATGAGTGGCCGCGTAAATTTGATCGGCCGACCCGCAAGTGGAGACCGCTCGATAATGCAGATGAGAAGAAACGATGATCTTTAGAGGCAATCAAGATAGACTAGCCGATGTTTATCGTGCGTAGGAAGTACTGGGCTGGACAGTCCTCGTGATTGCTGGCGTGATGATATGTTCAGGTCGAGAATGATTGCAGACTTCCTCGGCTGATTGACGATAAGATTCTGGTACATTGCGATCCCCTCGACCTAGATACCCTATTGTCTCGCAGAAAGCAACTGTGTGGTTGAGTTGAACCCGAGAATATGTTTCTTGTAAAAGCTTTATATTTTATCTGCTTCTTTTCCAGCCTCTCTGCCCTTCCCAAGACTGGAAGAAACTTTGCTCTGCACGAGAAACGAGAACCAGGTTCTCAAACTTGGACTACAATATCACGGGCTCATCCCTCCGAGATTCTTCTCGTCAAAATCGGCTTGGCACAAAGCAACCTACACCGGGCAGAAGAATACTTACTCGACATCTCAGATCCTAGATCAGCTAACTTCGGTACGTGCCTCAAAATTAGAGTTTGATTTTTGTACCTCTAATACTGATTGAATGAAATTTAGGCAAGCACTGGACTGCTGAGGAAGTTGCGAACACTTTTCAGCCGTCAAAAGAAAGTGTTGATGCGGTCGTGGAATGGCTTGTTGAATCCGGTATTAATGCTGAAAGACAAAATTTCTCGATAGGTATGGAAATATATCTGCCCCAGTGTTGTCCCACTAAGATTTCAGGAGCTCTGATGTCTCACCGGTTATCATCTCTCGCGCAAGCCTTTTTGAATCACATTTCCAACTTTATTGCTGAGTTCTGACTGAGGCAAAGGTCGAAATTGGATTTCGTTCAATGCCACTGTAAATGAAGTGGAGTTATTGTTCAACACAAAATATCATTACTTCAGGGATGAGACATTAAAGGGTTACCGCATCGCATGTGACGAATACTACCTACCAAAACACGTGCAAAGGCATGTTGATTTTGCAGTAAGTCACCGCATTATAAGCACACTTTGAACTGGAAGACTCATCTCAAGAAACAGATGCCAACAATCCAATTGGAAGGGATGCGGCCAATTGAGAACATGAATTTGGGCATCAGACCTTCTATCGTCGGTCTTACAGGTCTTGAGAATTGTTATGAACTCATTACTATTGAGTGTTTACGAACATTGTACCAGTTCACTGCGGGCAACACAAGTACGTGTCACCTTCGCCTCATATTCAGAAGTCGCTGACTCTGCAACAGGTGCACCTGGGAATGAAATCGGAATCCCTGCATTTGGCAGCTACCTCTACCCTCCAGATTTGGAACAATTCTTTGAGAACTACACCACGCAACCAATCCCCAAATCAGTCTTTCCGGAGTTCGTTTCTATTGATGGTGGTGAACGCTGGGACGATTCTTTCACGTTCGGCAGTGAAGCCACACTTGATGTCCAGGTTGCGTATTCCATGATCTACCCGCAGGGTGTGCGTCTTTATCAAGTTGGTGATGTCAATACGGCTTCCGATGGTACATTCAATACATTTCTGGATGCATTAGATGGTTCGTATTGCACGTATCTCGGTGGCGATGACCCCAACAACGATGCGGTGTATCCAGATCCAAAGGGGAAAGGCTACGATGGGCCCCTCCAGTGTGGTGGGGCCCCTCGAAGTAATGTTCTTTCTTTCTCGTACCTTCAAAGTACGTATGATGTTTGAAATCTCGGAGAGCTGAATACTAAAGTCCTGACCAGTCGAAGCGGCCCTTCCAGCTTCATACCAGACTCGGCAATGTCATGAATGGTTGAAACTTGGTTTGCAAGGCATAAGCGTGCTCTTTGCGAGTGGTGATTCTGGTGTTGCTAATCGCTTTGGGATGGGGAAGGACAACAGTTGCTTGAAGCCACCAGGTGAAGGATCGAACATTGATATCAATGGAACTGGATTTTCTCCTTCCTTCCCCTCGAATTGTCCTTGGGTGACTACAGGTAATTCTTTTCTACAACCCGTTTCGCAGCAAGCTAACGAACAAGTGGGCGCAACGTTTCTCAAAGACCATGATATCAAGAACGGCGAGGTGGCAGTCGCACTACCTTTCGCACCCAATCCTAAGCGAGACTATTACTCCGGTGGTGGATTCTCAAATGTTTTTTCACAGCCATCCTACCAAGCTGAGGCAGTCTCCAACTACCTTACCACATATCCCCCACCGTACGGAGAACACATCTTCAACAGAAGTGGTCGTGCATTTCCAGATGTTTCAGCAATCGGACTGAATGTATCGGTCGTTCTCGGGGGTGGGGTCACAGTCGCGGGTGGAACAAGCTCGTCGACGCCTATCTTCGCAAGCATCATCACTTTGCTTAATGAAGCTCGAATCGCTGTGGGAAAGAAACCCGTTGGATTCTTGAATCCAATTCTTTACGCCTTTCCTGAGGCATTCAATGACATCACGGAAGGTAGCAATCCGGGGTGTGGGACCAACGGCTTTCAAGCTCAGCCAGGGTGGGATCCGGTGACTGGGCTGGGAAGTCCGAATTATCCGATGCTTGAAAAGATATTCGTGAATCTACCTTGAACTATAGACTCAAATAGAATTTTATCAATAGATATACTTAGTGATGTGCCATAGAACAGCGCAAGGTTATACGTTACTTTCTTTAGCTTCTGTGCCGCCATCTCAACATCCTGTGCAGGATACCGCGTTTCAATTGTCATGCTGACAACTCCCCGTCCTCGTACCATAGTTCCTTGCACGAAATGGGGCATTTGTTTTTATTGGAGATACTCAGTTGAAAATACCCCAGTCGGTGGCAACCTGTTCAGGTACAAGTTCAGAGGAAGGCTAAAGTAGTCCAGAGCTCTTGAACTGTTCGCTAAGAGGACAAAATATTTCGACTAGTCTGCAAATTCCAGGATCTAAGTGA